CTCTTTCCCTACACGACGCTCTTCCGATCTGAACTTGGACTGATGAGAATCATTTAAAATGTTTTCACATTTTGAACACATAAAATCTGATCCTGTTCCATCCAATGAAAAGTGAACTTGCAAGACAGAATTAATCTTTTTCTCTATGTCATCTGTGATTTGTATTCTTGAATCTCGCTCGGTAACGTCTTTGAAACACAAACGACATTTCTCGTGACAGTTTATAAAGTCAGAAAAGATGTCCTCCAGAACCACTACGGCCTTCAAATCTTGTTTTTTCATGACAATCCTTTTAGCACGCATTCTAAAATTTGATTAAGCTGAGGCCTTTTGAAGTTTCAAATATTTTACAGGAATATTAAAAACTCGTTTTGAACGGATTTGAGTTTGTATTCTTAACTTTAATGTCCTCCTTGTCTTTTATAGTTTGTGGCGAGAATATAAACTATTTCACTAAGTTCCAATAAAGTAACTTGATTAACACTGAAATTAAATAAAGTTTGTCTTCAAAATTTACAAATATTTATTTAGAAAAACCAACCGTATTGCTGTGATGACTTTTTTAACTGCAGTTATTAATATGTAGGCAAATGTATCCAGAAACTTTTCTTGAAGAGAGATTCTCGAGAGAGCTGATGATGATGAATGCCTTTAACTAAGAAATATTTATGGAATTGAAACTTTTCGAAAGTAAGTAGCGAATTTCGAATCTGAAGATATTTAACATGTAATAAAACACGCCCGACCTCTAGCATAATTATTATTAACTTTCGATATTTCAAATAATCCGCGGGAAATAATTTATGCAGAAGATAAATCAAAGGTAGGATTTATTTTTCGATTATGTCTCAATATATTAAAATAACTTACCTTATAATTGAAATTACTTTTCATCGATATTTCTGCAGAAGAAAGATTTTGTGTCGCTCTTGTGTTTTCTAGAAAATTTAATTTGAAGTCAACAAATATCGATCATGATCACCGTAAAGGTTCAACAATTAAACTCTTCATCATTAAACCCAGTCGAAATCCAAAACAACTAAACACTTCATGTTTTTTACGTTTGATTTTACCTTACTACGAAATTGATTTTATGTTTACCTTTTCAATAACCACTTTTACTTGAGATTTGCGTTATGTTTCAATTAGGTAAACTCTTATGATAAAAGTTGAGATAAATTGATTATTTTGGTGTTTATTTTCAGTCTGAAATGAGCGAATAAGTATTAAAAAAGATATTTTATATGAGGAGATCTCAATTATGTTTAGGATCAGAATAACAAGTACCTAATCAAATTTTATTCAAAACTTTCATTTTAACAGTTATATGATGTTCATAACAGTGTAAAATTCCATATGATCACAGGTTGATTTGAATGTCATTAAAATAAAAAAAAGAGTAAAGAACAGAGAAACTACATATAGAAGAGGCATTTTAACTGGAATATCCAATGCAAAAAATAGCATTCATGAATTCCTTATATAGTAAAATACAAACTAACTTAACTTATAATAATCGGCTTGATGAAGTTTCAAAGATTGGTGAATTGTTTGATGATTTCAAAAACTCGCTAAATTTTAAACTGTTTTGTCAATTAGTGTAGAGTATACAAAGTTGCTAGGTATCAACACACAAGTTCTTAACCTTCGAGAACAAACTTCATTCTAATTTCTAACTAATTTTTAAACAAAATTCATTGTCCGAATCTTGTTCCAATAATTTTCAGGTTCTCCACGAGAAAGTTTTTTAAATGTCTTTTCATGGAATCTTTTCTTCTTACTGAGTATTTACATCCATTTCCAACAGGACATGGTTCATGGATTTTTTATTAGAATGTTTTTAAGTTTAAATTTTCTTTTGAATTTCTTTTCACATCCAGGAAAATATTTAACAAGCAAAATTTCTCTCTTAATGCATATTCTGATGAATCTGTAGGGAATTTTTTTCATGAACAGTTCTTGTATGGGCTTTAAGTCCAGGTTTACTGAAGAAGGATTTTCCACATATTTGACAATGGAAATCTTTCGTTCTGGGTCCCAAACCAATATGTGTGCTTATGTGACGAGCAAGGTTAGATTTACGGAATTTCTTTCCACAAATATCGCACTGACATCGTTTAATATTGAAATGCATTTTATTCAGATGATGCTTAAGATTTCTAATTGATTTCCCACAAATCTCACAAGGTTCGTTTACCTTGTGAGGACGTAACTTATGATTTTTTAGGCCTTCTTCGGTTCTAAAAGCTTTGCTACATAATGAACAAATAAGGTGCTTTTGTTTTTCATGCATATTGAATGTATGAGTTCGAAGTGAACATTTATCGAAGAAAGAAGCTTCACAAAGATCGCATTGATAATCTCTTGTTCTGTGTTCTAGACTAATATGTGTATTTAAATGATTAGTAACTTCATTTTTATTTCTGAATTTGTTATCACAAATATCGCATTGATATGGTTTCATCTTAAAATGCATCACATTCAGATGCATCTTGAGTGCATTTTTTCCCATCGATTTCCCACAGATCTCACAAGGTAAACGATGAGGAAGTAACTTATGACTTTTTAAGCCTCTTTCAGTCTTAAAAGTTATTCTACATAATGTACAGGTAAGATGCTTTGGTCTTTCATGATTATTTAATATATGCGTTTGAAGTGTTTCTTTATTAAAGTAGGAACTTTCACAAATTTGACAATGGAAATCTTTTGTTCTAAAATCTTTGTGCGTATTCACGTGTCTAGTAAGGTGTGATTTTTTACCGAATTTCTTACCACAAATATTGCACTGATATGGTTTTATATTGAAATGTACCGTATTTAAATGTCGCCTGAGTTCGTTTTTTCCAATCGATTTCCCGCAGACTTCACAAGGCAAACGATGAGGACGTAACTTATGATTTTTTAAGCCTTCCTCGGTTTTAAAAGTTCTGCTACATAATGAACAGGTAAGATGCTCTGGTTTTTCATGCATATTTAATGTATGTCTTTGAAGTCCACATTTATCGAAAAAAGATGCTTCACAATGATCGCATTGGTAATCTCTTGTTCTGTGTTCTAGACTAATATGTGTATTCAAATGATGAGTAATTTCAGTTTTACTTCTGAATTTCTTCCCACAAATATCGCATTCATATGGTTTAATCTTAAAATGCATCACATTCAGATGTTCCTTGAGTCCATTTTTTCCAATCGATTTCCCACAGATCTCACAAGGTAAACGACAAGGACGTAACTTATGACTTTTTAAGCCTCTTTCAGTCCTAAAAGTTCTTCTACATAATGAACAGTTAAGATGTTTTGGTTTTTCATGAACACCAATCACATGGGTTTTAAGTCCATGTTTATCAAAGAAGGAACTTTCGCAAATTTGACAATGATAATATCTTGTTCTAAGATCTTTATGCGTATTCATGTGACGAGCAATGTTAGCTTTGGTTTTCATTACTTTTCCACAAATATCGCACTGAAATTTAGTATTGAAATATCTTATACGACGTGGTTTGGTCGTGTAACCATTTTTTAATATTTTTCCATCACTATCGCTTAAAATGAACTGAGGATTTGACAGATCCTGCTTTTCAGGTTCATTTGCTTCTTTATTCTGACTTTCATCAGGTTCGGTTGCACTTCCATTTCCAGAACTTTCTTCTTTGACTTCATTTATTGGTGAAGTCAACTCCATCTCTGTTGATAATTTCAATTCATCTTCAACTTTAATGAAATTCTCCTGAAATGGGACTGGTAGTCCATCATCGGCATCGTCAACTTTTTTGCTACTAAACTTCCCATAACACTTTAATTTCTCATTTATTTTGAATGTAAACTGATGGGAAATATTTAAATTGTTTTCACATTTTGAACATATAAATTCTGATCCCATTCCATCCAATGACAAGTGAACTTGCAAGACTGAATTAATCTTTTTCTCTATGTCATCCGTGATTTGTATTCTTGAATCTTGTTCGGTAACTTCTTTAAAACACAAACGACATTTCTCGTGACAGTTTCTGAAGTCAGAAAAGATGTCCTCCAGAACGACTACGGCATTCAAATCTTGTTTTTTCAAGATATTCTCTTTGGCACGCATTTTAAAAATTGATTAAGCTGAGGCTTATTAAAGTACCAAAGATAAAAAATTTTCAGGAATATTAAAAACTCGTTTTGAACGGATTTGAGTTTGTATTCTTAACTTTAATGTCCTCTGTGTCTTTTATATTTTGTGGCGAGAATATAAAAGATTTCACTAAATTCCAACAAAATAACTTGATAAATACTGAAATTAAATGAAGTTTGTTTTCAAAATTTACAAATATTTATTTAAAAAACCAACCGTATTGCTGTGATGACTTTTTAACTACAGTTGTAAATATGTAGGCAAATGTATCCAGAACCTTTTCTTGAAGAGAGATTCTCGAAAGAGCTGATAATGATGAATACATTTTACTCAGAAATATTTACAGAATTGAAACTTTTCGAAAGTGCCGAGTTTCGAATCTGAAGATATTTAACATGTAATAAAACACGAACGACCTCTAGCGTAATTAATAAAACTTTCGATATTTCAAATAATCGGCGGGAAATAATCAGTTCAGAAGATAAATCAAATCCCTACTTTAATTTTCGATTATGTCTCAATATATTAAACTATAACTTACCTTATAAATGTAGCTACTTTTCATGACATTTCTGAAGAAGAAAGATTTTGTGTCACTCTTTTGTTATCAAGATGACCACCACCACGATTGCTTTCCATTTTTTTTAAGATTTTTTTTTGCGCGTCTTTTTCGAAATTTTTATTCAGGGTTAGATAAATAACGATTATTGTAAGGGATTGGGAAGCAAATCTAAAATCACTTTCAAGTGCATATTGTACGCAACTCATACTAACAAACTTCATTAATAAATACCTAATAATAAATTTTATGTATTTTTTAAGATTTTGAGTTATTTTCTTATTTTCGTTTCAATATTTTTTGTCTTATCAGTTCTCAAGAGTGTCTTATTTAGTTGTTTTATCAAGTTTGGTGTGAAATCTGTACTATCATAGATATTTTGTGAAACATTAATTTTGGGCAATATCTACAAACATTATTGTGCATTTATTATTCTTACTAAATTGAAAATTAGAATGAAAATGATTCATTTAAAACCCTCAATTTATTACAAGTGATGTTATGATTGTCGTATCCCAGCGAAATTATCTTGATATAAATAAATGAAATAATGTCGACTTCAATTGCTACAACAACAAAAATGAGTGAAGATTTGCAAAGTCAAACAAGTCGCTATCAGCAATTGCAACAGCGCAAAGAAGCACTTGAGAAGAAGCTCAACGAGAAATATGAGCAACTTCATCAGATTTGTCAAAAAGTAGTAAAAAAATATAAAAAAAATTTGCACAAATTTTAATAATTTTTATGTAATTTTAGGAGGCTACACTGATTGGTAACAATTTGGATCTCATTTCAACGCATTCAGGTGCAACTACATCACAATCCACATTAAGAAAGAAAGTAGGAAGCAGCTTTAGAGTGCCAGACTATCAAATATTCAACGATGAAGAAATCAACAAACTTCTCCTTCAGCGCCAAATGCAACAACAAATTTCGCAGGCTTCGTTCCGCATCGCTAATGACCCTTTGCAATCGAAATCAATTAGACGCACACATAAACAGACATACGATGGATCACAACAAAAGATTTCACAAATTAATGAAAGCATCAGTCTGATTCAAAGGCACCAGCAATCAACAACACGGCCATTGTCACAAGACGACATTGACTTGCATCGATGCGAGAATCGTTTTGTAAAGAACACATTAGCGATGGTTGGCAACAATCCGAAGAATTTGCATATTTTAAATGCAAGTAATTTAATGTCTGAACGAAGAAGCTCAATGAAATCAACCACATCGTCATTGGGATCGTCAAACACTTTTATAGTACAACCATCGCCATCATCAGCATCGTCTCTCACATCCTTAAAAACATTACCTAATAATAATATTAATGGTAATATGGGAAGTCCAAGAGGACGTCATGACACTCGATTCGATTATGAATTTCATCAGCAAAAGAATGAATCACCGACTCCATCAAACTTTTCTCTACAAAATCCTCAAAACGTGAATCATCAAATTCCATTGTGCAGTCAAAGTCTGAAGAATATTAAGATCAACAGCGATAATCAATCGATAAGTAGCCAAGACTATTACAACAACAATATGAATCAACATAATCAATACTTTAACACCAGCAACAGTCATCATCAACTTTTGTCACCTCTCAGTCCGCCATCGTCAAATCGAATACTTCATCAAAGCGAAAATAAATTTATTCATCGATTGCATAGTTTTCATCAACAATATCAACATGAAATGCAACAGCAACAGCAACAAGATGATTCAATGAGGATAAGACAACTTCAAAAAGCACAAACGCTCAACAATAATCATCACAGTCCGAATCATTACACGCCAGCACATTCAGCTGGTCTCGGTGGTTATTGGACGATTAATCAGAATAATCAAAGAGTATGGATATCTGATAATAAATATCCTTTGAGTCCACCACCGCCGACAAATATGGTAAGAAATTCTCGAATTTCTTAACTTTAAACATACTTTCAATAAGTAATTTCATTTTATTTTCAGTCAAAAAAATCGAATTCACTTGGGAACTTTGAGTTTATGCACAAACATGACAATGAACAACAACATGACTCAGTGAGCATCTCGTCTGGAAACAGCAATGAAAATAAGAAAAAGGAGAAAGTTTGGTGAGTTGATTTGTTTTTCTCGTTTTAATTTTGAATTCGTTCTAACATCAACAAAGTATTCTTTTAAGGTCTGAGACTTCACTTGATGTTGATCCTCCAAAGCAGTTATATCGTCCACGAGTTGATTCTCCAACAACAACATCAACAACCGTTGTTGATCACATAAATAACAATCATCAGGTTTATGAAAATATGCAATCATCACCATCATCGAAAAGTATTCAACAGCAAATCATGTCACAACATTTCCAACAGCAGCAGCAACAACAGCAGAACAATTATCCATCAATGACGTCTAATGGTCATCAATTTAAATCAATTCATCATTCGGAGAACATTTATCTAAATCCTTTGGCTAATGCCAACAGTACGAATCATCATCATCATCACCCTCCAAATATCCCACCCAAATCAAAACTAAGATATTCTGAATCGACGCGATCATCAATCTCCAATCGTGACATTGAAAATAATATTCTCGCTCATATGCAACATACGCCACCGATTCTTCAAGTTGAATCACCTAAAAATGTGACAATAATTCAAGAAGGTTCGTGGAAGCCTTACAAGGAAGAGATTAAAAGCTATGAGATTTCTGATTTCTACAAGTATAGTCAGAAATATCGTCAACAACAATCCTCTCAACAGAAGCAGAATGCTGATTGTTAACATTTCCCCTCATTGATCTGCTCGATCCTTCGTGCCCCCTACACAACCCTGAGGGGATTTGACCTTCCATACAAAACTCGGGAGGTTTAAGTTTATGCTGTCTCGAGAATTATAAATTAATTGCCTCGTACCCCGACGGTTCGCACGGATTTGACCTCCCATACAAAATGCACATGCAAAATTTCTCCGTGTCAGATAATTTCTCCGTGTAAACATTTCGATCGTAGCGCCGCCAATTGGAACGTTCTCGGTCAAAAGATCAATCAAAGTTTGAAATGATTCCGTGCACGAGATTTATTTCCGACCACGAGATTTGCGATTACAGCGCCGCCAATTGGAATATATTCCAATTTCCCTCAGAGCTTTTGATTATTCAGATTTTTAATTTAGAAGTTCGTTTAAGAATTATTATTCGTTTTTTTTCATAAATATACGCAAGATGCCTTAGATAAATAAAATATCTAATGAATAATTTGATAAGTCGCAGAAAATAAAAAAGAAAATTTAATTTTTATGAAAAATTTTTATTTGTTTCACTTTCATTGTAAACTTTCACCAAAAATGTTTTTGTTCTAATTTTCCAATATAAAAAAAATTCTCAATTATAAGAGGGAATGAAGTGAGGATTGGTGGGGTCAAATGAATAATTTATATCTTATTGTTAATAGTAGACGACTTTTTATTGTACCTAAGATTCATCATCATCAAATTCGATGATTGTTACGTTCTTAGTAGCCATAAAAGGTCATCGTTCAATTATTTTAATTAAGATGTAATCATCAAGTGACGAGATATTTGCATTGACCCCCATTATTACATTGCATAATATATTAACTATGCTAAATGCCCATTAGAAACGCATAAAATATATTTAATGGTAATGTAAAAAGAAAATCAAAAAAATAAATTCAAAAGAATCAAAATTTACATTTTAGCCGATTTCTTCAACTTGATAGCTTCAGTCAATGCTTTTCCAAATTCAGACGAAACTTTAGCAAAGTTTCCAATTGCACGTTCTTGAATGAAAGCTTTAGCGTTTACCAAATGACCGGCAATGTTAGACACGAGACGTTTGCGTGCTGCTTCATCCAAAACTTGATTCCAGAAGATCGTCGCTTGACTAAAGTTGTCTTCGTCGCCACTGTCAAATCGATAAACTTCACCAGAAACTTTGTATGGTTGTTGTAAGTTAACGGTACGTGAAGATGGTTCTGGACCTATGGAAAGAAATAAATTAAGAAACGAAGAACGCGATCATAAAGCAAATCAAGAGAATTTCTCTTCTTATTTTTCTCCTTACCTTCAAACGAGTTTGGATAGTAATTTGGAGCTCCGCCTTGGTTATCGTTGAATGTCATTGGACCATCACGTTGATAATTCTTAACACTGACACGATATGGACAATTAACTGGCAACTGCAAATAGTTAGCGCCCAATCGATGACGATGAGTGTCAGCATAAGAGAACAAACGTCCTTGCAACATCTTATCGGGACTTGGTTCAATGCCAGGAACTAAATGTGACGGTGCGAATGCCGATTGTTCAACTTCAGCGAAGTAATTGTTAGGATTTCTATTCAATGTCATGCGACCAACTGGAATTAAAGGATATTCCTTTTGTGACCAGACCTTCGTGACATCAAATGGATTGTATTTATATTTCTCCGCTTGTTCGAATGTCATGACTTGAAGGAACAAATTCCATGATGGGAATTCGCCCTTAGCAATTGCATTAAACAAATCACGAATTGCATAATCAGGATCGGAACCAGCCAAAGCGTCAGCTTTCTCAGTTGGTAAGTTCTTAATGCCTTGAGCGGTCTTAAAGTGGAATTTGCAATAATGTGCGTCGCCTTTTGCATTAATCAACTTGAAAGTGTGCGAGCCGTAGCTGATTAAAATAAATTACATTACAACTTGATAACCGGTAATAAAATTAATTAATTTTACCCATTCATGAAACGATAACCATCAGGCGTTCCACGATCGCCAAACAAAAACATAACTTGATGTGTTGTCTCAGGTCTTAACGAGATGAAATCCCAAAACATGTCAGGATCTTTCAAATGTGTTTGTGGATTTCTCTTCTGAGTATGAATGAAGCTTGGGAAAAGAATTGGATCGCGAATGAAGAAGATTGGCGTGTTATTACCAACCAAATCCCAAACACCATCATCAGTGTAGAATTTTAAGGCAAATCCGCGAGGATCACGAGCTGTATCAGCTGAACCACTTTCACCACCTTAAGTTGATTTGTTTGTTGTTTAATAAGCAAATGTGGCGAGAGTAAAAAAATTATTTTTAACCATAAACATTGATAAGACAGAAAGAGATAAGAAAGCATACATACCGACAGTTGAAAAACGAGCAACCATTGGCTAATGAAATGAATATTTAAAAATTAAATTCATTCTCAACTCAACCAAATAAAGAACAGTAACTTACTGTTTGTTTTCCAATTTTTTCGAAAACCTTCGCATTTGTGTACTTTGTGATGTCATGAGTGACTTCAAAGACACCAAAAGCACCAGCACCTTTAGCATGAACAACACGTTCGGGAATTCTTTCGCGATCAAAATGCGACATTTCATCAATGAAGTTGATGTCCTGAAGTAAGACAGGTCCACGTTGTCCGACAGTTTGGGTTGCAGTTTTAACACCAATTGGTGCTCCACTTGCAAGTGTCGCAACACCAGGACCATTCTATTATTCAAATTAAAAATAGACAAGAAATTTATTACGTTAATTCATGACTAATTAATTTTTTTTGTGTGGCCTTCGATTTTTATTACCCAGACCAGCAAAGTAATTCTAATTCCATGCGCTTTGTTCTTCTCTTCTGTTCTTTTAAAACCCCTAAAGCCAAAGTCATAATCGAGGCTATTCAACAAATTTTCTCTTACATAAGAACGACTTCAACAACATTTAAAAATCGGTTAAAGTGGTTTAATGGTTTGGAAGTCTCTCAGACTTGATGAACAAATAATAAAAGAAAATTATGAAATGAAAGCAACACAAACACACAAATATCTTTGATTATCTGTAAGCAAGTGAATTAAATATCGCAATTGATAAGATAACAAAACGTGATTACAGTTACAGCTTAACAAAGAACCACGCGAGATTTTTTTTGCATTTCTTTCTTCATTTTGTGGTTGAAAAATCTCCAGTTGATTAAGAAATGACTGGAATTATTAATGGAACTGGTAAAAATATGTAAGAATGTGAATGAAGAAAACTGTTTGATGTTGTCAAAGACAAGTGTAAAGTCGAACTTGAAATAAGAGTTAAGGTGGAGATTAACAACAGAGAAGTCGAAACCTGTTTGGAATGCTTTTTGATGGTTATTTTTGGTAATATTCCCACTATAATTAAAGCAACTTTCATGTATTTCTTTCATTTTCTTCTAATGACGTTGCATTAAAAGAGGAAATCAAAGCGAATAATACAAACGAAAGATTTTAAATGATATGATAATTGAAACGACTTATGACGGAGCGTGTCGTCTTTTCTAGAAAATCGTTACGCGTTTATTAAATGTTTTTATTTTCTTGTGATAAGATAAGAGGGAGAGGGAAGGAAAGATATTAATTACGTTTTTAAATTTGCGGTTGGATCAGATGGCGATCATTCTGTCATGTTATATAACTAACTAATTGACTGATTTATATTCTCGACCTTTTTTTCATTTTGTTGTTGTTTTCTTTTGTTGTTCTGGTCATTTGAATTCTTTATCAAACTTTACTTTACATTCTTAAATTCTTTAAAATATTCTGACCAGCAGCTCCTTTCGAGAATGTGTGTGGGGAGATGAGGCAATTTGAAGTTGTTAGAAATGGAAAACAAATAATTCAATACAACGACGATGAAGATTATTATTATATAAAATTCAAATCACCGATAAAGGCGAGGAATCAAAGTTCATCGTACCTTTTGGGACTTTTTAAAGTCACTCAGTTGATTGTCGGTAGCTGACATAGTTGAAGATTTTTAATCCGATAAGAATTCACGATAACTTCCACACTACTTTCAAGAATTTATTCTGTTTTTCAACACGAAATTAACTCAGCAGCTTTGCTTCTTAATTTCACGAAGACCGGAGTACGAATGACTAGGAAAAAATAATTTTTGTTGAATTTATTTTATTCTAAGCCATCGAAGTGTTTATGTGTATGTGGGAAAAGGGTGATGATTGTAAAAAGGGAAATCAGGAAGTTTGGTGTTTACTACAAAGCCTTTTTTAAATGTTTCACTATGATAATATCTTCAGAAATCACTAGAAAATGGAATTTTCCACTAAATTAAGTGACGCTACTTTTAATCTTTCCCTACTATGAATTTTATTTCAATACGAGAAATAAAGAAGAAAAGAAAACATCAAAAAACTGCGTCGCCGGCTTAGAATGAAGTTGAGACAAGTCACTTCACGCCCGGCTGAAATTTGAATGAATTTGAGAAATCTTTTTAAAACGTCGTCGTTGACATACAGAAAGAACAACAACACAACCACAAGATGAAATAATGCATAAATAGGTAACTAAGAATAAAAAAGATATTTTCTATTTTAATTAGCTGACATTCATCAAATTTTTATTTCTTCTTAAAACCTTTTTTGTTTTCTTTCATGTTTTGTAAAAAATATAATAGTAGATAGTAGATAATTAATTAATTAATACCTTAAAAGTTTATCACAAGCTAAAATTTTCAAACTCATAATAGTATTTCTATTGCAAGTATTTTGAGTTTAAAATGTAAAGGAAAATCTTGTCATCAATGCTACTAAATAAGTATTAGAGGAATAAAAGTCAAACTCAAATATCGGCGGCTTTTATGATTAGATCATACATTTCAAATGCATATTGTGGCTATGAAATTCATTACAATGAGAAGTAAAAATATTTTTTGTTCACACCAGTTCTAAATAAATGCTTCACTCTCTTAACTTTTAAGTATTGGCCATGAACGGAAAAGAAAAACTAAATTTGTCATGTTTCTTAATTCATTGTTTCGAGTAATCTAAGAACTTAATTTTCACACGTGATCGTGGGGTTCATCATCGGCTTATTTAATTATTATAAGAAATGAGAGTATTTTCCATGTTTTCCATACTAAACTTCTAAACTTTCTTGCACAATTGGAAAGAATTTAAAGGAATTAAAAAAATTTGTTTCCTTTTTTTTCATTTAAAAGCGCTGGCATAAAATTCTCTAATCACTTTCATCATCAAATTTAAAATGATTCTTCAATAAAGTATCGTTTAAAATTTATAAAACTTACTTTTTCTCTTTCTTATTTGATTTAAATTTCTTTTTATCAATCATCATCATCATCATTTAAGAGGAAAAAGTTTTCTTTTAATCTCGTTCATGACTTAAACGTTAAAAATTGTTTTTCTTTAAAAAGTTTGTTAATTCATTACTTATCTTATTCATATCATCAAATAAAATTAAGGTTTATCTTTATCATCATTAAAATCTCAATTATTTACAGTCGTATAGATTAAAATCATGAATTGAGTCATTTATTTGTCAGCAATCGTCGCCATCAAGCGTTATCCCGACATTTTCGAGCTTGTTCGCTAGATGAAGTTTCTTGCAGTTAACATCCATTTCTAGAGATTCAATAATCTGAAAGAAGAAAATATTTTTAAGTATCTGTCATTGACGTACCTAATTTCTTTCTTAAACTTACTTGTTCCTTGTACGTTGTCACATAAATGTAAAGTTCTTTTAAAGCCGCAATCGTATCGAACTCATCATTCTGTTGTATTGAAAGTTGTTGCATGGACGTGCCCATTTCTTGATCACTAATTTGAGGTAAACGAGCTATATCAGCATAAAATTGTGATACCATATCACGATACTGGGGTAAATCCTGAAATAAATATAAACGTACAAATGAATTAAAAGTTATTGTTGTCCATATGGTTAGCTTAATCCAACTTGTGAACGCGGAAGTGTAAGGTTCACAAGCAAATTTTGATACTTCACTATAATAAAAATGTTAAATTCTCACCTTGGCAAATAACAATTTATTCGATGGCGAATCTTTTCCAAGTCGATGCTCGTTTGTTGAACATGCGTCCATAAACGTTTGAGCAACGACACTTAGGCACGCATCCACGGTTACTGTCTTATTGATGTCAAAAATGAAATCGGGATTCTTAATAAAATTCACCCAAAATCTCAAAGGTAAACTATAAAGAAAAATTCAATTAAAATTCTTATTCTAATTAATTATATAAATGAAATATTCACCTATTTGACTTCCATGCATGAATAATTTTCGGATCATTTGTCTCTGGATGTCGTCTTGCAGCATCATCAAGAAGATCATAAAGCCATTTGACAGCAGGCGGCAATTTCTCATTAACTGTTAAAATCGTCATGAAGAAATCATCAACAAACTTCTGTACAGTTCCTTTTGTTGCCAGCAGTCGTGTTAAATAAATTTCTGGAATGGCTTTATGTGTTCGTTCAACTGTCATGGCATTTGATGGTGGAAGGAATGGATGATGTTGTTGATTTTTTCCAGTGAATGTACCAAAGTAATGTTCATCCATATTCGACTTTACTAAATGATAAACTCTACAATATTGTTGCTTATTATGACTTCCCTGCGTCAATGTCTGTTGTTGATTTATAAGTTGCGGATGATGATGATGATGCATTCCAGTCGTATCGAGTACACCATTTATAAGAACATGCGATTGAGTATTATTGATGTAATAGCAATTCGGATACATATTTTTATTACTACTATAATTAATATTGTTAAATGAATCATGTTGACGTGCAATTAGCGACATCACAGCCGACTCTTTCACACCATAATGAGCCAATGTATTTACACGTTTCCATCCATTCAACGTTTTCGTTGTTAAATCTTCATCTTGAAGTGTCAAATGTCCTCCACGTCCATGACGCCATTCCAAATCAACATCATGCACTGATGGTCGCATTGAAAATGGAGTATTCTTAAAAAGTGCATCAAGAATCTTCGATTTAACTTGTGTAATTGTATCTTGATCAAGAACTTTGCATTGAACTTTATCTTCAAGATCATCTTGCAGAATGTGAAGCGTCACATTGTTCGTGTCGACCTGTTCACGAAGTAAACGATCTTCAGACAGCGAATACCTCGCATCATGTGTAATGGCATCAACCAAGCCTTTCTCAACTTGATGCTTAATCGCTTTGTATAAAAGGAAGAGCGACGAGCCGCTATATTCACGAAGATAATTGTACATACAAATCGCCATGTAATTCGTTAACATTTTTTCAACGACACTTTCCGTACGTCGTAACATAAGGTGAGGATGTTTCGTCATCACAGATTTATCAACGAGACGAAGGAGTAACCATTTAAGAATATCTGTCGCATATTCCATTTTATTCATCAACACAATCATCAACAGTGACGCCACGTTGACTTTATCGCGAATATTAAACGTTCGTTGAGCTTCCAATGTCTCAATGAATGTCAATAAAAAGAATTTATTGTTAATTAGTTGTTCGAATTGAAGCATCGCAGCATCGTAATTAGTTCGTAGCATGTTGATTCGTCCTTTATGTCCATTAAGAATTGGATGATCGGAAACTCCAGGGAAGAAAACTTTCATAATGTAATTGACATGGTCTAATGTTGGAATGCCTGCATTTTCAAGATCAGCTGTTAAATCTAAGATATCAGTTTGAAGTTCAGCAAATGCTTGTTTGCACTCTAATCGAACATTGCTTTCAAGTGTGTCCATTTGTATTTGAATCTTTTTATATTCACGTTCAGCTTGTGTCGTCTTTCGACGATAAATCACAAGAATAAAGACGAGAACAATCGCCAAGACAAATGTCGATGCTGCAATCACAATCATTGCTTGTGAAAATGCATACGGCTTTAATAATTCATATTTCAAGTATCCTAATGGAAATCGAAGTCTTTGACCGACACGAATCACCACTAAAGGCAAGTCAATGTCATTCTCAAAACCATTTTCATCTGTTGATTCTGGTTGTTGTTCAGGTGGAATGCAAACTAACTGCGTCAAAGCTAAACTTGTGACATTACATTTGAGTTTGCCAACTGTCACAATAACGTCACTTTCATCACATGCAAGATTCAAATTCTCACCTTCAATTACTAAAGTGTCGCCTTTATAAAGTTTTATCGAGTTTTGAAATGGAAAGAAGATTGGATCGTCAACATAAATTAAATTACTTCGAATATGTTGGAAATGTTTGTTCAAATCTCTCACTGACTTCACATTATCCATTATGAAACTGATTTGAAAGTTTAATTGTGTTTCATGAATTGCAGCGTATGATGATGAAGCTGATGACGATGCCATGTAGGCTGATGTTGGAATGACAATCTCGTCATCTTCCTTACTTATCATCACATTTCGTTTCATTATTTTCTTTGTTGATAAGAAATATGATTTGAATTTCTCCTGAACGGATGGCGATGGACATTCCATTTGATTTGAATTGATGACCGTGCAGTCAGTTCGATTAATAATTTCTTCACCGAAAATCACTTCCATTTGTGGCTTTTGAATTGTATGAAGATTCGTACCATGAACTGTTATCATTCGTCCACCACTTTTAAAACTCTTCAAAGGTTTGATTTGCATGATTTTTGGATCCATTGTGTAGTTAAAAATACTACAAACACTTCCCCGACGACTTCCATAATTTGACGAAGAAATTTCATTCGAATTGTGATATTTTGTTGTCTTACATTGAAGTGTTCGATTTGCCAAGTCAACAATCAATGTCAATGTACGAATATGTTCAACAGAACGTGATGCTGTTGTTATGCAATTGAGATGATCATTTGTCGCCAGTGACATGTTAATATGACAAATGTAATCGTCAAGATATGCGATGACACTTGAGCCAATGTTCAAGTGACGACCATAAATTGAGATGTTTGTGCCGCCTGATTGTGGCCCAACAGTTGGAAGAATTTTATCAACACGAAAGTCTTTATATTGGAAGTAAATGTTTGTTGATTCAGTGACGCCTGCATCGTTGCCAACTTTCACTGTCGCTGTTGCCTCTTTATCAACGGCTCCAGTACGACATTCAATCTTCACGGAAATCTCATAGTTAACTAACTCACATGGAACGTTTCCAATTTTTATCTTTCCTCTCACATCTTCTTCACGAATTCCCAAATTACTTCCCTCAATCGTCACCAAAGTTCCACCTTCAATTGGTCCACTTAATGGTTTAATTGAGAATATTTTCGGTCTTGGACATTCAGAAGCACTTCCCTGGATACATGTATCGTTAAACACGCATTGTTTATCACACCATGAACACTGATATTTTGGATCACGTGTCACACATAAACTACAATCAGCATGCTCCTTATGAGATCCAAGAACATCACATTTGTAGAGTGTTATACTGATGGTGTCGATGTAATGATTTCGGTTCCATGTCACATCAACTTTCGCCTTGTATTCGTTTGTGTTGGCTTCGTAAGAATACTGAAAACATAGAAATTTGTTGGTTGATGTAATCGTTAGAAAATTGTTATTTGAGTTCAACAGTTTGTGGGTGGAAAAATGGAACTTTCCATTCTGCATAAGAACTTTTTCTTTTTTTAATGTCGTAACAGAGAATGTCATCAGATGAGATTTCAATGACATTCTTACCTAACTTTAATTTGATTTTCCACCCATATCTTCCACCCACATAACAAAGAAGGGGAATGTTCAACACTTACCGGTGTTTTATCGCAAACGATAAACTTATTTGCTTCAATACGTGCTGGTAGAATCATATGAGCACCTTCAATATTGACGATGCACAAGAATCCTGAGTGGGCACTTTGCGGGCGTGGTAAGTTGATTATTTCCAGTTTAATTTCCTTTGGCACTTTGTTCGGCAATAGAATTTCATTTTTCGGTGGTTTTATGCGAGGACATTGCTATTGATGGGTAAATAGAAGGAAAGATGTTTAATAAAGGATTTTAAGAAAAACTGAAATCGTGATTAAGCAGAGGGGCTCGTAACTAGTTGAAGTTTTAAACTCTTTTAGTACTCAGGAATTGTATTAAACCCATGAGATTTAAGTTAACTACAACTAATTACATTATCCACTTGCAATTAAGTAGAGAACAGGGAAATATTTAAATTTCCTACCATCCTCTTATCATGTTAAACATTTTAATATGAATTTGTAATCAATTAATGTCAACATACATTTTCAGCATTAATGATGTTGCCAGTATTACGACATGTGGTGTTTTGAACGACACATTTATTATCATAAATGCACCAATTACAACTCCATTGGGATTTCAGACACTTAAAGCACGAATCGTGCACGGAACAGTCAAAGAAAGCAAAATTTCTTGAAACAAAATCCTTGTTTGTTTCACTAAATTGAAGAAAGAAAGAAATGAAAAATTATTTTCGATTAATTTAATGTTAAATAATTCAATTCACCTTGAACGAACTGACAATGGCACAAGAATGTGATCCTTTCCTGGTTCAATATTTGGACGATATTTAAGCGGCGGGGTCTGGCATATTAATCCATTATCAGTGACTGTTGCATCAATTGGTGGCGTTGAATTACCATAAACACATTTATACTTTGCATTCGATGGTAATTCGGGAAGAGTTTTTATCACAAGATTGACGGATGACATTTGATTGATTTGAATTCGATCGGGAATAACAGTTTCAAAGTCAATGCATTGTTGTCCAATACCAATTGAGAGCCAACGTGATGCGCTTGTGTCACGTTGACATGCATTTCGAACTGTGCATCGTTTCTCCAATGAACACCATCCACAAAACGGATCCTTCGATTCAAGACAACTTGAGCATGTTGTATGTGAAGCGCAATTTTCAATTTTCATTTTTGTGATTTTTTGTCGCGATAAAACATAAAGAAAATCTTGATCGGGCGAAACCATTGTGTCAGGAAGTATGGAATTGTCAGCATCAACTTCAACTCGATCATATTCACCAGCTGATGGATCTGAGATCACAACTTTCTTAATATTTCCTTCCGATGTTCCAAGAAAAGCGACATTATGTGGACCCGTCATTGCTGTTGTTATCGAAGTGACCGACTCACTTTCAAAATTGAAAATCGCTTTTGAAACAATTGGAGCAACACCAGAAATTTTAAGTCCCGCATGACAAAAGTCATGAATATTTCCAATCGATCCAAACGGACATTTTCCATCAAGAATCGATCCGCTAATGTATTCCAAATTTCGATCCTTAATCGTTCCATTAAAGCACAAATGAATATTCTCATTAAACATTTCTTCGATGTCTTTCAAAGTGTATAAACAAATTGCTGAAGCATTTTGTGTCTCGGAAGAAATTTCTTTGCTTGGTGAAAAAACTGTAATCAGCACTTGGTCTTCCTTTCTAATTCCAAGTTGTTGTCCAAGTCTTGAACCAGCTTCGGTTATTTTAGCATCTCTTAGAATGTTATAATCTTGATTTTTCACCATACACGACAAAGTCATTTCCGTGTAACTATCGTAGTTCGGATCGGTGACACAAATTCTTGCTAATCTCGTATGAAAACCAGCTTCTTCCACCAGATGATTCTTCTTCTGTACTAACACAAAATATGCATAATCAGTGCTGTTGAATCCATAAACGTAGTTGACAAGGAAGTGATCACGATACTTCACATCGATGTTAATATTTGATTGTTGAATTGAAAATTCAGCATAATTTAAATCATCCAATTTACGTGATGCAATCGCTGGAACATTGTCACGATAATCTCCGACATTTGTGAATGTTGTGCCAACATATAAAATGTCTTCACGTTGCCATGCTGTATAACGTGATGGACCGATGAATGCATAACTGCTTGAATTCTCGTCATTTGCGACCAATGGAAGTTCAATGTATTTGGAGGATTTGGGAAAATTATTGAGATTATCGTAAATTTCGCATGCACCTTGATGAAGACTACCGCATGATATCAAAGTATCACCGAAAGTGTTTAAGATTAAAATCTTATTGAAATCATTTGTTTCGACAGTCTCAACGTCATCAGGACAACCACCTGCATGACAAACCGGACTGTCTTGCTTCGGCCCTGTCGTACTCGTATTAATTACTGTAAGATTCTTGTTGAGCTGAATAATCCGATTTGTTGCGCCAGCAAACAAGCACGAGCGCTTTTTGTCGTACACCAAATGTGTAAAATACGAATCATTCTTTTGTAATTGATACTGTGACAATATCACATTTGATGTTGCTGATGATTTGATTTTAATCAAGAGAGCGAGTAGGAAAACTAAAGCTGTGCATGATGTAATTTGATGCAAAGCTATTCGGACGGTCATATTATTTGCGATTTCAAACTAAAATCAAAATTTCTTGTTCTTCTTTTCTTATGCGTCTCTGTTTGTTTGATTTACTTAAGCATATAAACTGCGCTCACGGTGTTGTGCTTCATGGGAAGAAGATTATTTATGTTTATTCTTCTTCTTTTTCTTTTATGTTGCAGGTTTAAGAAAATTGATTTTTATTTTTGTGCCGCTTGTTCTAAATGCTTTGTTTTTCAAATTAAAATGGATATCGTGAGGGTGTACTTGGACGTAGATATAAGTATGCAAAACAGAATGTGAACCCTAAAGCGATGAAAGAAAGAAAAAAAATATAAAATCGCATTTAGAATTGACTTGTTTCTTATATTTTTTTTTCACTTGTGAAGGGAGAAAGGGAAGAAGGGAATGAAAGAAACAGAATGAGAATGAAACTTTCTTTCGCAAATATGCATCTTAATTAACCGCGATAATTTATGCACTTTTTATTTTGTTCACTGTTGTCGTCTACAAATCACATTTCTAAAGTGGAAAATTGCATGAAATTCTAACACTTCATTCACATTGCATTCTTTTATTCTCTCCTTTCATATAAATTTCTTTCATTCTTTTGGTTTTTTTCTTCTCTTTTCGTTTCTATTATTTTGTAAATTTCCACTTTACACATTAAAATCAAGATGGTCGAATGGACAGGTTTTCGTCTCATCTTTTAAATCACTTGCAGAAAACTATTATTACGAATGCTACATGAGAAGCAAATTAACGTAGCAACTTAACACTTTAATTTTATTATTGCATATCGAAGAAATGTTTTTCGATTTGGATTCCTCTTGAAATATCGATTCGTATAATAAAAAATGTCGCAGAAATGTCGACAAATTACTTTTTTTTCTTGACTATTCATAAGAATTCTTCTTCTTCATTATCAAATATTCACAATTATTAGCTTTACTCTAATCATATTCAATTTATGTCTAATTTAAACTGTTTTGTTCATTCAAAATTGCATAAAATTATTTAAAACAATCACCTACACTTTTTTTAGTGCTATGCAGACATTAACCAAAATATTTCCATGAATACTTTACTGCATCATTCTCGTTTGATAGTCAACTAAGCCGTGAAGAGATTCTCATTCATTATAAACGATTTTTGACAGTTTTTCATTAATTTTTCTTTTTTACTAATATTATACGAGAATAAATTCCTCACTGTGAACAGAGATCGTAACTTGTGACTGGTTTGAGTCGATGCGCACAATACGCGAGTAAATGAAGATATCAAAGTTTTGATAAAATATCAAGGTTATAAGCGGTAATTATTAATTTCACGGAGAAGTTGATAGTGACACAGAAGATGTTCTTAGAAAAACTGTAAAAAAGGTTTCAGTTGATAGAAAGTCAGTCACACAAGCTGAATATGTTCAGCTGAATATCTTCAGTAGAAGCAAGCCAAACTACACAATTTTTAAAAGTATTCCTACCAAGGTAGGTAGAAGCACAACTGTCAGAATCGGTACTGACGGCTCTTTTTCTCTTTTAGATCTAAAATCACAGAACAATCATATCAGTTGGTTCGCAGTGGATATAGAATTCAACATCCACTTTTGGAGGAAGATCACGCTCTGTTCCAAATTCCCCAGCCATGTCAAACATCCAAGAAGATAAAGAATATTATCAAAGCATTACCGCCATCAAATTCCTTGACAGTTATACAAAAGACATGTCAATTTTCCACTACTTAGTGCATTGTAAAAATCCGCAGAATCATTATGGAGGCTGGAGCTAAGAATCAAGTGAAACTTGCTTAGCTTTCCGGAAAATTTGTCAGCTTCAATGGTGAAAACCATGGAAATGATATTGATTTCTTGCTAATAATTTCTATGACGAAAGGATATTCGATCACTAAAATTATTAACAAGTCAAGCTCTAAGAAAAAGTATCCTTAGAAGCCAAAGAATATATAGGGCAAAGTTAAAATAACGGAACTGTCACTTTATGCTGACTTAAACTGCTTCCCATCGAGAGCACATGAACTGCTAAGCAAATAAGAAGTCAGAAATCTTGTGAGCACTGAAGTGACAGACTTGAAAATGTCGCATCGTCTGTCATTTCAAATGGTTCGTCGAGGTGTTTTATAATGGTTTACTGCACACATTTCTTTGTTCTACCCAGCAGTAAAAATTAAAAAAATCTTCCACCCTGGAAAACAAATTGACCAAGTGAAAGTTTGGTGAAGGCAACTAAGCTGAAATTCACGAAGAATCATTTCAAAATTTTCAACTGTAAAAAAATATCCTCTTCAAATGGTTTTATAAAGATGAAAAATAATAAAATTAATAAATATCTGAAAAATAGAAAAATGTTTAAAAAAACTTCATTAACAATTGATAGAAAGAATGTGTGCCGCAGGTTTTTTGTTTGAAGATGGATTTAATGCAAAAAAGTTTCTTCAAAATCTACAAATTTAATCAGTGTGTGGTGTGTTTAATCACTAATCTAATATTCTATTATATTTAACAAGATCAAAACGAAAAAAAATGTCTCTTAAATATTCCAAGAAACAGAAAAATAGAAAAAAAAGGAACTTCTATGTAGTCTGTTATACAATAAGATTTCTTCATGACATTGTTTTTCATGTATATTTCTAATTTTATTACAATTATTATTACAACTTTTTGAAGTCATTGTTTATATTGTTTCTTATTTTTTTCATCAGAGCTTTCACCACCACTAAAACCTTCAATTTATTGGATTTATTTCCTCATATAATTATTGGATGAAAAAGTCTGTTTGGAAAATGTGAAAGCTTTTTTTTTCTGTTCTTCAAATTGAATTATTAGTTTGCAGTCTTTTCATACTATTAACTGTGGGCAATGAATTTTCGTCATTAATTTTACAACTTAATTGACGAATAAACTTTAATATCAAATTAAAGTTCAAAGATAAGTATTAACGGGCTTATTACAGAGTGAGAAAAAGAATTATCATTCAAAAGAATTTCTTCACAAAAAAAACAATTAGGTATCTGTTTGTTACGTGGGAAGATAATAAATTTAATTAGATATTGTATTTCGAGTTTCTTTCCTTGTTTTTTTTAATTCACGAAACAAATGTCTAACTTTCTTTTAAATATAACACATGAAGTAAATCTTCCACCGGAGAAAAAAATATCATTTGTCCTGTGCATTTTGAGTCGTTTGTCTGCAAAAGAAGAGAAATAGAAAAAAAATCAAATGAAAAAGTTTCAACTTTTTTTTTCTTTTTTTGTTTAAAATTTGTAATTTTTTTGTTATTATTTCAATAAAGAAAGAAAATTATATTAAACATAATTTTTTCTTCTCATACAATTCATATCATAATTTCATAGTTTTCTTTTGTTTATTATGAAACTTTCTTATTCAATATCGATCAAAAAAAGGCTCGAGGATGGAATTTCTTAAAATTTTCATGGGATTTTCCGTTCACAGTAACAAAAAAAAAGAGTTTTTCCTTTCTTTCTCCATCATATGTTAAATAATAAACAATTATCGAATCCAAAAATAGGAGGAAATTAAAGGAAAAAGAAAATCTAATGTCTTTCATTTTCGTGGAAAACTTGACAGATGTGAGAATATTAAAATTATAATTATATCATTTGTGAACGTTCCCACTTCTTCATCCAATCAAATTAATTTTCCACTTATCAATTATAAAAATTCTCAATCCATAATTTGCATGTATAAATATTAAACGTAAGTTAAATGCATTCTATATACATTAATGCTTATCAGATTTATTTGTTTTGTTTTCATTTCATGTTTCCATTATTAAAATTTTCTTCTGAATCTTTAAGAGCTTATCAGTGAATTAAAATGTTCTCAAGTTTGTCTCCAAATTTACTTAAAATGTACTATAAAGTATACAAGAGTTTTCTATCAAAAATATTCATTTCATCAGTTTTTTTTTGTTATTCTTTCATTCTCTGCTTGGCTTTCTTTGCTCCGGAAATTAATTATTTCTCTTTTAAAGTTATTTGGGAACGAAATCAAGCAGTAAATTGCTGTGGAATTTAAAGAAGTTTTTTCTTATTTTTTTGTTTCAATTTCTTTGTTATTTTCTTCCTTTTCTCTTTTTTTTATTTTGTTTTCATCAAATCACTGAGAAATTCTAGTCTAAACGTCAATCGAGTGTGTGACTCTAAGTTGTACATTTAAAGTTGTTAATGTTATTCATCAACATATAATCGTTAATTTGCATCCTCTTGTCTTAAAAAATAAACGACAAAAAAAAAAGTTGCGCGTTATCAAGCTCATTAAAAGTAATCATCATGCAACGTTCAATAGGAAAAGGAGACACATCTTAACATCAGAATTTTAATTACTTTCTTAGCTCTACAATGTGATTTATGAAAATGACATGAGTAACAGCACTAAACGACCTTCTTATGGTCAATTGCTGCACATACACTCAAGTATTGATGAGATAAAGAAAGAAAACAAAGATTTATAATGATTATTAAATTAAAGAAGAAAGATAATTTAATTTAACGAAAAAGAAATTATTTAGCAGCACTTCGAAATGAAGATGTTGATTTGTTAAAAAGTTAGTTAGATGACAAAATGATCTAAACTAAAACGAAGCCTTTTTTATTACGTTTATTGGATTTTTTTGCTTTGTGAATTAATTAATTTGATGTTGGTTTTTTTTCATTTTCTTTTCTTTTAAATTTTAATCATAATTACCGATTTAAAGATTCACGCGAAAGAAGGAAATGTTTAAGATTTCACATAAAAATAAGCGACAACTGATAAAATTAAAACACCAATGGATAATATTAGTGACCTGCGTTTTTTCGTCGATGAAACCTTTTTGCTCTCGCTTTCTTTCTGCTTTCTTTTGATCTCACGAATCTTATCTTGCATTGCCGACTGTCGGGCAGCTCGATTACGATGACGCATTGCGTTCTTACTATCACCAGCTTTCGGATTTCTATTTATGATGTGAAAAATGAATGAAAGAAATGAATGATCATACAAAATAAAGGAAGGAAGTTAAGAAAAACTTACTTTTCATCATCAGAACTGAATCTTTGCTTATCCGAAGGTATTGATAAATCTAATGTTCCATTTGGAACCGGTGGTAAACTTGAATTGGCGTCGAAACGATTTTGACCATTTGTGAGCTTTGTTTCATCACCAATAGCATCATCATCATCATCATCATCAGTGTCAGTATCAGATGAATCATCATCTTCATCGATCTCTGATATATCAGATGATGTTGGATCACTCGGCTCGGAAATTTGTTCTAATTGACGGCTCGAATCAAGGGGCGATGTCGGCAAAGGCCGATCATGAACTGGAAATGATGATGTTCGTGGTGGTAAAGGTGGAGGAGAATTCTCTTCTTCATGATCACTACCAGTTGCAATTTCAAGTATATCCAACTCATCAAATGTCTACATTGTAATGTAATAAAATATTTTTATGACAGAATAAGTATAATAAAAGATATAAAAGACTCACTTTATTATTTATTCGTTCCATTCCTTCAATGATAGCTTGGTATGAGAATGTTAACTGATCATGTGTCTGAATCAAACCCATTCGATATTTGCGTAATTCAAGTAAAACATCTCTCACGGAAACACGACTTTCTCCTTCTTTGTCGATGAGAACTAAACAACAATCGACCAAACAAAATGTTCCTGATCGCCCAATGCCAGCACTGTACAAAAATAAATTAAAAAATTATGAACTCGTCATGATTTGTTTCATTTTTTAATGACTCATCTCACCTGCAATGAATTACAGCTGGACCAACATTCTCATCGAGAACGCCTGAGTCACGAACCTGCTTTAAAAATTGCAGGAATGCAATTGGCGAACTTGGAACACCAAAATCTGGCCACTAAAATCAAAAAAAGAAAGAGAGAAAAATCATCATTATTGTGATTATTGACGAAACGGTTTCCTCATAAATGAGTCATACTTGAGTGTAGTGGAACTGAATGACGTCTCTTGATTTTGTCGATTCTATGTCGGTGATGCGAAAGAGACGCTTCGAAAAATTTTTATAATTCTCAGCCGAAATATATTCAACAATTAATCCGACATCCTGCAGTTCAAGCCTTTGTCCTTCACCTTTCGGCCAATACAGATGACATTTGATTTGTCGCTTTTCGATGAGCTTGTTGAGCATAAGAATTGCTTTTGATTGTTGCTCCCACACCATGAGCCAGAAATGACCAATTGTACTTTGAAGGGGACCCTGGCACAATATATATTGTCGTTTGGCTCGTTCCAATTTTACCAAATTAGCGTTGATGTAATCAGTGTCTATATTCGGCCTCTTTAGAACAATTCGAGAGTGGTCATAAGGATTTACATCTCCATATCTATTAAGAAGTCCATCAAATCACTTTTGATTCAAAACTCTTTCAGAAACTAAACTCTTTTACCTGTTAAAGCTCTTATTTTGTATTTTTTTCGATTCGTTTATAGTGTAATTACATTTTCTTGCCTCGATTTCGCTTGCGTCTTTGATGTTCTATGAAAGAATTATAGATTTTTTGTGTAGGTGTACATCAGAGAGCAATCAAATTTTCGTTTCGAATCAACATAAACCTTTCATTTTACCTGATAAACGATCATCCATTGGTTTTTTTCTTGAATTTGTGTATATTCTTGGTAAATACTCTTTTTTTCATCATTCATGTTTCCTTCACAATGTTTTTTTCTTTCTTCGATTTCTTACGCTCACAATTTATCTTTTAAACAATTCAACAATTTCATCAACATGCATCCGCTTTAACTAACAAATTAGGCATCCGCTTAAAACACAATATAGCCGTCGAAAGTTAAAATATTTAAAATTTAGCGAATCAATGCGAAAGAATAAAGTTTTTTCACACAAATTTTCAGAAAGAATGGAAGAATTCGCATATGACATCACATGCATTTGACCTTTGTGTTGATTTCTTCAACCATTCCCATTGCAGAAGAATAGACATCATTTTTCATTAAAACAACATGTAGCTCAGTTTAAAATTTTATTTTCCGTTAAATTTTATATTTTATTCTAATTTATAATAAGAAAATTTTATTCTCGTTTTATGATGATTTCGTTAACATTTAATTCTGTCTCTTCGTTATTCTTTTTTAGTTTATTTGCTGCATCTAAATATTGCTGATAAATATTTTCCTTTTCGCTTTTACCTCTTATTCTTTTTTCATACTCTTCGCCTAAACACCAAAGTGACTCAAGATCGTAATTCTCTCGACAACTTTTAGAAAATATATGAAGTGCAATGTTTCCTAAATCCATAGCAATCCAATCTTTTGATTTTTCGCCTTCAATTTTTGGTATTATATCTCCAGGACCTCGTTTCATTTTATAACATTTTCGAGCAAAATGAGCCATTCCTAACATATGACGATAACTGAATCCAGTGACAAGACATATGTAATCAACATATTTTATTTCTGATGGTACTTTGACAACGAAGAGGTCTCTTGCGTTTTCCTTTCGAAGAACTTCAACAAGATCTTGAATATCGAAGACTCCAGTTATCCCACCTTAAAATAATGAAATTGATGTATTTTAGTAAAAACAATGGTACTCAGTTAATTTACGATTGAGATTAATTCCTTCAAAAGCTGATGAATATTGCTCCTCTTCTTCAATTTCATTCTCTTCCAGAATCTTTCTTTCTTCTTCAATATCAAAAATTATTCCGGTCTCATTTTTAAACACTTGAAATTTCGTAGAAGCTGATCCACTAATTTCCTTCTCTGCCTCATCTTTCCTGAACTGTATAGAAGATTGACAAATTGAGCGTGAAACTCTTGAAAGCTTTATTAAATTTCTAACTCGAGTTAACATGTTTTTGTTTATTGATGTTTCTTTTTCAGGTTCTTAAGTTGCTCTTTTTTGCTCATTTTAGCCCACTTGTTCAAGAAGTAAACAAACCGTCCACGATGGATAAAGTTGCAGGTAAAATATTTAATAATTTAACAACCATCAATCATTATTTATCTTTTTTTAGAAGTGCAAAATGTCATTGAAAATCTTGTTCATAGTCGAGAGAAAAAGGAAGACAAGATTCAAGATTTAACAACTTATACTGAAATAAAAAATGATCACATGAAAGTAAAAAAACCACAAAAACTAAGAAAGCAAAAGAAACGTTTATCAAGAAATGAAATAAAAAACATGGGATTATATTCACTTCCAAAGAAAACTCTTAAATATAGCGATTATACTGATCTCAATTCAATGTGGAATTCTTACATGGATCAACAATTTGGAGATAACAATACAAAGCAATTGGAATTGAAGTTTAATCCAGCACATCCTCATTACGACAACACTAGCGCTTTAATTCACAAAAGCGATCTTCATGGTGCTAAACTTAAAGTCAAAATGTCTAAATGTGCTAGTTTAATAGGACATAAAGGAATAATTTTGATGGACACAAAAGGAACATTCTCAATAATCTGCAAAGACAATGTTCTCCGAACAATACCAAAAAGTGATTCAATATTTGAATTAAAATGGAGATCTCTAAAATTTGTCGTATATGGCAAACATTTGTGTTATCGAAGTGCAGATCGAAGTACGAAAAAAGTGAAACAAATATCGATTATTGATCTTTGAATGGAAAGATTCGAATAATCAACGGACATAAATTTGAACATGAATTGAGCAATTTACTTCGCAAATGACAGACCGCCATTTATAATTCAACGACATAAATATGTCTGTGCTAAAACAAGTGAAAACAAAATTTATTATTTTTCGTCGTCATACCTTTTAGATAGATCAATTCTTGAAGAAAATAGCTTATAAAGCATCAATTTAATTCAATAAATGTAACAAATCTAAAGTTTTCCACGTTTGACAAAGATTTGTGAGTTTTAATAATTTTTCTATTTTAAGTCTTTGTTTTCATTTCTTCTTCACCCTTTTTTAGCGCAAAGTCATGTCAGAAATTGAATTGGAGACAGAGTTTGAGAAGATTAATCTCGATGAAAACTCCAATAACCATAGAGAAGAGTCAAAATGCGATTGCAAAAAGATTCTTCTGAAGCCTCTTGAGCATTCGAACACAGGAAGCAGCTTGAAGGTCAAAGATAAAAGAAAAAATCTCATCAAACCAGCGCGTTTGAAGATGATTGGAACGTGCTTGGCTCGAAAATCACGAAATATTGGAAGTGAAGAACCAGAAGATACAAAAGTGGTAGTACCAGAACTCACTGATGATTTGGAAACTTTCACCAGCGAAGCGTTTCTTAAAATGCGTATAACACCTTCAGATGTGCTGAGTCATCAAGCGTCATCACCTTCTGAGGACAAAGATGAGAAATCATCTTCCGCATCTCAGCCTAATTCATGCTCAGCTCAAGCCAAATTGCAGCAGCAATTCTCGTCATCTGAATTTGATTCAACCATAGATGAAATGTCCGAATGGATGTCATACCATTTGAATTTATATCCACGCGATAAGTTTCTTGTAGACTCAATGTACACGTAAATCTTAAGCAACCTAAAGCCATTATCATTTTCTGTTATAATCTATTTCTCTCCTTTCATTTTAATAAGTCGTCATAAATATAATGTTTTGTGAAATGTAATTCAATTTGTCTGGAGGTTTTGAATTTCAGAGTTATTTAAATTTCTTTTTTCAGCTTCAAATTTCATAATTTCAAGTTTCTACAATTCTTTTTGTCCTGGAAACAATAAAAAGGCTCTATTTTTCACATTTTCAGAACTTCGATTAACACGAATTATAAATATTCAATACTCATTATCAAACATTCTATTTTTATCTCGATAATTTATCCAAAATTTTCATGTATCTACCGTTTTATTCTCATACTTCAAGTGATCAAAATAATTTTAAAAAATACTGCAAGTGTTGCGTACATCGAAAAATAAACTATGTATCCACAACATTCGTTTCATTCTAGTTTTATTAAAATTTTCTTTAAAAGATTTTTTCAAAGCCGCTAAATAATAAAATACTTAGATCCACTTTAATTTTCTACTAATTTTTTTGTTTTCTTGCGTTCAATTTGCAGCTCAAGATTCCTCATAAAAACAGTTGATTTCAGATAGAATGGTATTATAAAAAAAAGTAAATGATTTTATCTTATTAAGAACAATATAAAAATTATTCCAAGAAGTATTTAATGATCTTTCATTGCAATTCTATGAATTTTCTAAGAAAAAAATTTTTTTTCCAAACCGAACGAAAAATAAAAATGGCGACAATTTCTCGAATGTATACAAACATCACTGGAATAATGTTGAATGGCATATAAATATTTCAATTTTGGAGCATCATCATTATTCTATGACGAAAATATGTCCAAAATTATATCACAATATAACGTATGAAACTTATATGATAAGCTGGATGGTTATAATTCAAGATAAAAGGTCTAAAATTAATAAAATAAAACGTAATAAAATTATAGAAAAATAAAATTTGAGAAATCTGATATTATTTCAAAGAATTTGAATGTTTTTTCATAGAATTCTTAATGACTTAATCAATATAGAATATATATTTACTAAGGTTGTGAGTGAAGAAAGTTAATATTTGCAAGAAATTAAACTTTAAAGATTTCTTTAAATAGAAACATCAAGTTCATCGAGATTGAAACACTTGAAAATTAAATGAGAGAAAAATTGTTTCTATGAATTCGAAAAATTACTATTTTCTCTCTCTCAACGCGGGCGTCGAGATTTAAACGAATAGATTTATGTTTCAACACTGGAGCATAAAAATCTTAGCATGAAATAAAATGAAGATAGAAAAAAAGAAAAAAATTGAATTTTATGTGAAAAATGTTCTAAATATTTTTTTCGAAAAATGAATAAATGTTGAATGAAATAATGTAGTTAAGCATATTGAAAATTTAAATTACTATTTTGAAAAACGAAAAATAAAAGAGCTGCGGCCTTAATTCATTCAAGATCAATTTCAAAGAGTGCATTCGAGTGGGTGATTCGACAATGTATATTAATTTAGTTGATGCGCTTACAGATGTTTACAGCGCTTAAAGATTACACGATTCAAATAAGAATTTCAATCATTTTTCTTTCTTAAACTAGCAAATGATTTAAAAATAAAACTGAATTCATTTAAAAATAGCAAAGTGCAATAATTAAAAATAGTTTGTTTTTTAATCAACTTCTCAGAAGGTAAGATTATAGATATACATAACTTTATATCATGTGATATCATTTTATATCTGGAATGAAAATTTTCAAAAATATTTTAATACATTTTATTTGAATTAAATATTTATGCAGAAAATATTTTTTTTTAGAAAATTTGAAGTAAATTACCACCCTACAATTACGAGATATTCCCTGAATTCTTCTAGAAGAATTTTCTTCGTGTAGATGTGCAGACATGTTTCTCTTTCGTTTTGAATTTTCAAGGGGTAATTCAATGAAGTATATTTGTCGACTGCCTCTAAATGATGCTTCGAAAAGCACTAGCTAGTGCTTTTTCAAAAAAAAACTATTTTCCAAGAATTGGAACTTGTGTTTTTCTTTCCCAATTTTGCTTTTGAAGGAAAGTTTTTTTTTTCCATGAATTACCCCTTGAGAATTTAATAAAGTACAAGAAGCGTTCAAAAATAAAAACTAAAATATTTTCAATATATTTTTTCATATGAACACATAGATAATTCATTTTTATACTGCTTGTCTAATCACGTATATCTCTATGAGTCTCACAGAAATTGATATATAATTTAAAAATAGCCTTTGAGTCGGACGTCGCCCATTAAATGATTATTTTCATGAATTTAAACTGAAATTGTTTTTAACTCAATGAATATCACAACACAATTTCAAATAAGGGAGATCTCAGAATGACTGAAAATAATCGACAATGCTTGATTGGACATCACATTTCATTACGAATGAATTTGTAAAATTTGCACATTGCTATTTATTACAACAATTGGAACGTAAATTTATTTTACGATTTTAAATTAAAATCTCAAATTATTTTAATGATTTTTTCGTGAAATAGGAATTAAGGACACTTGAACCATAAATGGCACTTTTAAACCTGTACATAATTGCTTGTATTAAATTATAAAGTCAACTGACAGCCGTAGATTAATTGTTATACGTTCAATTCAGTGAAACGTTGATAAGAAAAGAAACTTTCGAGCAATTTGACCTCGAAAAGAATTTTTTTCACTCATTACAATTTTCTTTTTTGAAAAGATTGGATTGAAGTTATCGAAACAACACTAATTGGTGGTCTAATTAGGAGTAAATGAGATCATCATTTAACCGTGGATTGTTCTTTCTGATATATAATCGTAATTGCTGTAAGCTTTGTTATGTTTGTTCAATATCAAACCCCCATTAATCCAACGATTAGATAAAGTAATATTTATTCTGACTATGCCAATTTATAAACTCTTTCTTTATAATTTCTTATCTTGCTAATACCTACAAGTCTATTTTGCTTAAATACATCTAGTAATAATATAAAACCTATCGCAACTTAATGCACGTGTTTACATTTGATAATTCCTATATTTTTAAATACAGGAAGTAAGATAAGTACACTCTAACTTGGGATTATTATACACGATTTTTTGCTTTGAACATTAAGTTGATACCTACTTAATTTGTAACGACACAATTGTTGATAATAATTAGGTAGTTGTCGAATGTTAGCTTGTTTCCCACAGTCTGAATTATAAAATATTTCGTAATGAAAATTTTATATTCCAAAATGAAAAGAGAGGGAGAGAGGCATAAATGACTGATTAGAAAAGCTGGAAATGTTCAATGTCTGACTGATTACATTTTTCATTTAAAATATCAATCAATTTCAGATGCAGCATTTTGGTGAAAAATATAAAAGTCAGGAACATTTTTTCTTCTCCATAAACTACATTTCACAACAATAAAATCATAAAGAGAAGAATAAATGTATGAAGTAAAGACAAAATTGTGAGGGACGCTTCATATAGGTTAAACATGAAAACGGCTGAGAGGGAAACAAACTAAAAAGAAAGATGAAGATTCATTTTGCTGACGTAGATTATATGAAAATTTAATTTGGAAATTTAAGACAAATGACTGTAGATCTGTTTAAACGTTGAATAAAAAGATTTAATTTAAGACATATATTTTCATATTTTCACATTTTTAAAGTTCAAGCTTTAGTGATAGTCGAGTAAATGAAAAATTTAGAAGCGTTTCAACCTAAAAGATCTTGCAAGTTCCTAAATCATAAAATATAATTGGATAATTCCAATTTTCTAGTTATTTTCAAAATTAGGCACAATTTAGAAATGAAAATGCAATTCTATCTGAAACATTGGATTTAAATATTTGTAATGTGAATATCAGAATAATATATAAAGCTGGAAAAAACAACAAAAGTATAAAAAGATTGAAACTTCTTCGAAGTTGTTTTTCATCATAACTTTTTGTGCTTCAATGTATTCAAGTTTTCAAGTAGATTTCAAACATGTAGGCTAAAGTTAGCATAGTGTTAGTCGATTTCAGCGTTGAATCTTTTATAACAACTGTTGTCTCGAAGTAAAATCGCTGAGACTTGTTTTTTTTCTTTTTTCATATTCAAGTGGTTTGAATTTGGAATTGCGCTTGAATATAAATTGAGTTATTTGAGACGCTTTGTTGTGAAGTTGAAATCTTTATAAGGCTATAGCGTTTGTTTGCTTCCAAAAAAGTATTTAAAATTCATTATTTCTAGTATCATTCAATAGCTTTTGTTACAGTGACAATGATATTTTGTTACTATGAAACTATCTTAAAGCTTATGATGAAGTTGTTTCTCATCACATTTAGTTAGCTCAAGACGTCTAAAATTTCATTTAAAAAAACTTTTTTTTTCTTCTACTCTTTTATGATCCGTTTTTGAATGCTTGAACTTTATGATTCTGTTTTCTCCATTGTATTTATGTGTTGGTTGTGAGCTTCAAAAGAAGAAAATATTTTTAACGCATTATAATTAATTGAAAAAACAAGTCTCGCGTCCCATAAATCTCTCGCCAATTGATAGTTTGGCAGAACATAAAGCAGTAAGAAGAAAATTAAATGATGCTTCGAAAAAGTTTTTCGTTGTAATCAAAATAATAAGAAGCATTTTAATTAGACGTTTTAAAATTTTAACGACACTGCTAATAAACTTACTCCCATAAATTATGGCTTGCTTTCATACATAAATGTACAAGCTAAAAATACGAATTAAATATTTTATGAAAACTTCAGTTGAGAAACAGACGACCAGTTTTTGACCCTTCAATGTTTCTGAGAAGTAAGAAGAATCTCCGACACAACATGCCAGAAACCATTTTACAAAGTGATTTTTCCCAGTCATATTTGTTGGGTTTATGGGAAAACTTTCTACTTTAGGTGGTCTGTTTAAAATGTTTTTTAGATAAAAAGACTTGATCGGTTATTGGTTTTCACTTTATTACGATGATTCTTAGCATCTTAAAGATATTTATTGATATTTATGATTAGCTTAGGTCTAGAATGTTAGAGAAACATCGAATAATACTTTCATTTATTATTTATAAACCTCTAGCATTGTAAATTGATAATAAATAACTTTTTATCACAGACATGAAATTTATTCTTGCGGTATTTAAATATACAAAAACATGCTAATCAACCAACATATCATTCTTGTACTGTGTAATGATATATTATTATACTAATTTAAAATGTATGTAGCAAGTACAACAGCATATTAGTCAGACACGCAACCACAGATTTTCTACATATTTCTTCGTGAATACTTTGATATTCAACTATCTTTATATTAGATTTTTGAATAGAATTCTTAGGTTGTCTTAAACGTTTTGTATTCTTTGAAAGAGTTGAAATTTTTGAAAATGATTCTACGTTTCAGAAAATTTATTTTTCTTACCCTAAAGTTAACTAACGTCAGATACTGCGATTAATGTTTAACGGAAGAATTTATATCCCGAACAATTTTTGTTACTTTTCGCCATGATTTTCACAATTCTTCATCTAAATGTAAATTGTCTACGATCCCTTAGGGTTATGAGTTTGACTATATGAAACATATTGTTATCAAAACATTCTAACACGCAAATTGACTTGAATGATCTTTCATTTTTAATTTTCCGAATTAAACATTTTTTTATTAGTGAAGATTTTTCTTATTTTTGGAAGTCCCACCAAAGATGAATTTTGGTCTTCAATCTTACCGAGATTCAACTTCTATCCTTGGCTTAAATTGATGCACTTTAATTCTATATTTAATTAACTATACATTTATCTAATTTGAATGAAGTCTTGCATTCATTTTAATTCATCACAACCATTCAACAGGATTAAATCAAATCAATTAACGTTTCGTCTTTTGATTCTATGAATTCTATTCAAGTAAGTGGAAGTGTTTTTAATAAGTAGATTTCAATCAATATAATGACTTCAGTATACATATCTTAAATCTAAATAGAGACGTACATCAATTAATCATTTAATTATTAATGAATCAGGGATTCAAAACACCAAAAACAGATTTTAATTCTTAAGAATTTTTGGTTTCTTTTCGTTGTTTATCACGGCATGATAATTGTTATCGTACATAATACCGACAATTGTTCAGTTGTGGTTATAAAAAGCAAATCTGACATCAATGACGTATCTTTCATTTAAAGTTTGAGAAAGAAAATGGTTTAAGTATTGTTCTAATTACTTCTTCTTTCTTTTTAAAATTATTTACAAAGGTAAAAACAAATTTTTGCAAGACAATTTAGAAGAAGCAGAACGTCGACATGTTAATAAGTTTCATGCTTTGCGTCTCAGGTAAATATTTGCAAATCGCTATCTTCAATTGCTGATATCTGGAAATAGAAATAACGCACATAAACTTGAAATAACAACAACGCAAAAATATTTTATAATAATAAAATTTGTTTTAAAAATTTCGACAGATTTACATCGACACACATATGAAGCTATTTATAATGTTATTAAAATTGTTTAATATTCACGTCTGAAATGTAAAAATTATTACCATCATAATTTCCCTTTTTGTTACTTATTTTGTTACCAATATACACGAAAAAGTAATTAGTTAATGAGATTTAAATATGACGAGAGGGTTGTTGTTATTTCAACATGTAGACATGTAAGGTTTATAAGAAATAAAACGTTCACTTGCTCATCTAGTATGCTCAACGCTTCAACTTAGTCAAAATCTTACATCAGCTCATGCATAAGTCATAATTTTCTTGTCGACTTCTTGACCCTTTCCATTGTGATTGCTCGAACACCTAAATTTAAGTCGATTATGTAAACAAATCGAAAACAAACTTTAAACCGACCAACAAGCAACGCATGCAGATACGTTTGTAACTAAGCGATGGAAAAAAAATCATTTGTCGATAAACTCCTATTTTATTGATAAACAAGTTTAAAGGGGAAGACGAAAGAAGAAATGAGAATCGACATAAGTGGGAAGGAAACAAGCCAACAAACAATTTTCTTGTTTCATTTGCTCCAAGAGAATTGAGAAGTGCGAAAACGTTTGTGTCAAATGAGATAGGAATGCAAACCATCGTAAAAATGAAATTTTATGTTTGTGTATGAGCTTATTGGGTTATTTTTACTTTTGCCTAACATCAGATTCTTTATCCTTGAAACGAGTGCTGTGCTGTTTCCCAAAGTGTCCCTCAAACCACTTTCTACCACAACCCGACGCCCCATATTAAAAGAACAAATTTACGTAACATTCAACACGCGTCTGCGCATGAAACTTTGGTAGAATGTTAAGGCAAAAATATTGATCCTAAAAGTTTTCCCTGAGTTTTCCAAGAGCAAATATATGTGAGGTGCGTCACATGGGAGAAATTTATGGAACCACATAAAAAATTTTCACGACAACTCAAATTGCTTAAATGAATGTAACGTGAAACAATCTCATTTTATGTGCGATATCATGTCTGGGTTCTTGTTACATGACTTATGGATGCATCCCATATAATATATAAAAATATACATAAAATTTTCTGAAACTCTGTCCCTATCAAATTTTATTGAAACAGCACCGCTAGCAAAGTTAGAAATTTAATTAAAGCATGTCGTTTCTAACTGTGATGCTCGCTTAAGTGTTGGAACCCCGGTAGAGTCTTGTGAAGGTCTTTAAGGGGTCTGGAAAGTATCGAATTTCGTGACTCGCCTATCAACCACAAAACTCGATATCGCATCACAACAAATGCTAAACACGAAGCCAAAACAAATGAAGAAGAGAAACATTGATCATAAATCATTCAACGATGAAAACTCTTTTTCTTTATTCAACCAAATGTGTTGTCTTTCATCATACAAAAATGAAATTGACTAATACTGTCGTAAAAAAACTCCCCCACACAGCTCATTCAATCATTCCCCCTAAAAAATCATGAAGAAAGAAGGAAACCTTCCCTTAACTTTTCCCGTGATTTAAAGAAGAAAAAAAAGTTCTACCCTCGTTTGCCTTACAATGCGTATTCCATATATTCTTCAATCTCTCTTCTCACTTCTCTTTATACACATTTTTCATAGAAAAAGTGAACAGCGCTGTGTTCAACGACAGAATAAAATTTTATTCGTTTACATTTCAGTTTTCTGTTATCAATATTTTATATATGTCGTGTCGACGATGTTTTTAAAATGATTGTTTTATGCCCTCAAGTGAAACTCACTCACTCATGGAAGTCATTATTAGCCGTTAATTGCTTTCTGAACTCAACGATTGCTAGCAGTTAAATAAACAAGATTTTCTCGGATAATAATTTCTTGTTATGAGATTAAAAATAGTCAAAATCATGAGATTTACAAGCCAATAGGAAAACAAATGAAACTGGTTCCTTCATCACAACGAACATTTATCACTTCTTTGTTTCTTTACTCGATGAATATCATCATGCGACGTCGGTGGGATCTGTTTATAAACAAGTTAATAAATAGCCCCCTTTCTGTGATGATGTATCATCAATATGAACTGCTTAATTATTTTATGGCGGGATTCTTGATTCTTGTGTGTTGTTGTTTTTTTTTTACCTGAGCCACGCCTAAGCTCGACATCGAAATAGACATCATTCATTCATAATTTGTTTTGTATTCTGATGCTGGTCTCTCCAGAATGAAAAATGTTACCTTTTCAAACGGCTTTATGACCAAATATGGAAAGATTTAAAGAGCTTATCTCTGAAAGGAAAGGTCGTAAAGATGAGGTTTGAAACAAAAACAAAACTTTTCTTTTTGCTTTAAACAAATTTTAGGAAACTCATAAATTTATTTACATAATAAATATAATAAATTATCATACTTAAATGTTCTTTTTTGCACTAAGGATCACAATGTAAATCAAATATTGTTTTTTTATCAAGATTTTGAACAAACGATAACATAAAAATTATTACATTATTGCACAATAGTCTTCCCTTCTTCATACATCTTCTCAATAAAATTTTGTCTAATAAATTGTTAAATATTCAGAAAAGTTCAATAATGTTTCATCTTTTAATATCATTCAAACTTCTTTTAAAGACTTAAATAAATTTTGGAAATGAATCTACAAGATTAGATAAATGTTATAATTATGTTTATATCGAATATTATTTAGCATCATAATAATGATTTTTTTAGTGCAGTCAATTTAAACTGACTAAGGTAATTTCTTTCTGCACTGATAAATTACTTAATTTTATAAAGGGAACATAAAAGTTTCAAAAATCATAAAAATCGGAGTTTAACACAGCATAAGACAATAAAACTGCAAGCGAGTGCACATCGTTTGTTTTTTGATTTCATTTGATATGAAATTTTTATTTCAAAAAACAAAACATGAAGTTTTGCGCCAATAGAAACATCGAATAAATATGTACTTGCTATCAAAATCAATGTGCGATGTTGTAATTTATATTTCATTTCCAATTTATTTCTTTATTTATGAATATAATTTGAACTTTTAATTTACTGCCCATTAATTTTACTTTAAGTTGAAAAATGATTGATTTTTGGACTCGCTTCTCATTTTGATATCTATGCGGATATTTATGTTTGCTTTTCCTGCTCTCAAGCGAGAATTTGCATTTGTTCTAATGTGATTAATTAAGTTAACTATTTCTCAAAAGGGAATCGTTTAAGAATGATTATAATTTTGTCTAGTTTTCATTTACTAAAAGTCAAGTTTTCAATTTCATAAAACTTGAAATGTTGCTATTTGATAGTTTGGTCAATGACAAAACATCAAAATAACCGAACGAAAGTGTTTTGGTTAAATTTTGTGGTTCAAACCATTCAGTGGTTGTATTGATTGAACATTTATTTAATTTAGTTTTATTCGCTGATTTTGTTTAGTCAAATTCGAAAATTTTTTCATTGAAAATTTAACAAATTCAAGAGAAAATTTGATTTTCTGTATTTTGGTCAATAAATAAAAATGTTTGGCGAGTTAATGGAAAGTAAAACTTGTCAGTTCTTTTCAATGTACGGTTTTGTGTTACCATTTCAACAGGCAATTTTACATCATGCCTTATTCAAATTTACATATTGTTAGATATCGATAAGATAAATTGGATTGAGATTCATTCCTTTTATAATAACTTTTTGAATTAAGAATCAATGCAAATGACGTCAACTGACGGCACTGAAACATTCATAAACTTATCTGATTTGCTGTTCATTACGCTGTAATTTCTTCCATTAGCTGACGAATCGTCACAACTGCTTTTATTATTGTTGTTATTATTATCGTCATCTTGTTTGTTATCTCGTGATTTTGCGGCAGTCAATCGAAGATATTCTGTAAGCTTTTCAATACTTTTCTTATCATTCACCTTCGAAACATGTGATGATTTATGAAGCGACAAATCAGAATTCTGCTTTTCATTTGCTTTTGCGATTGTGGACTTTGATAAAATCTCTTCGATATCTGAATTTTCCAAATTGCTTGATGTGACGGTTTCTTTTTGCGTGGAAAGATTTTTTTGACTGTTATTTGTCGAATCATTTTTAAAGCCGCTCGTCTGATTGCGTGACATCATCAACGCTGAAGGATTGGGAATGTTGCGTACAGATAAGTTTTGTTGTAGATTAAGAAGATTTTTTGTTGGCATTGGAAAATTTTTCAATTCATTTAACTTGCTGTACTCTTCCAATTTACGTTTTTCCCAATGTTCAAAATTCTTTTCTAAGCTAAGACTTTGATCAAGTTTAGCAATATCATGTGTCAATTCTAAAGTATATCTCTCTAAGCTTATATCGTGATTTACGGGCATTTGATAAATTCCTGAATAGTTTAAAGTCTGACTGCTGCATTGAGGTGATTGTTGGAAGCTTTGATTAATTTGAGGCTTTGGCAGTATTTTCTGCGAAACTGAACTTTGTGCACTTTTTCTGATCCTTTCAAGTGGAATCGTTGAATGCATCGGTCGATTAAGTTTGATATTTCCGGCCGGCGAAAATGTTTTCTGAGGTATTTTAAGAATTTCAACCGAAGGACAAGCGTTAGGAAAAAGTTTTATTGGATCTTTAACATTAATATTTGGCAACTTATTGAATGAATGATGAGGTGATTGCGATTTGCTTGGCGATGATGTCGATGATGAATTTGTTGTTGAAGTTGTTTTTGTTGGCTGGATCATTGATCCATAAAAGCTTTTCAGCATTGAGTTTGCTGATGGAATCAAAGGTGGAACTTTCGAAAACTGTTGCATGTCATGAGAAGAGTTTTGGAATGAAATTTTGTTTGATTTCATATAAGAATTCATATAAGAAGAAGTCGATTTTTCCGCGCCTAAACTTAATGACCTTTTCAAATTCTGATTGTGAATGTTTAAGTCACTCTTGACTGATGTTGATGGGGGCGACTGAGAGATAGGCGAAAGTTTAAGCGATGCGGGAATGCTATGAGGTCGAATTGGACTCAACGAAAAGGTCGTCGAAATTTGTGATTGCTTCGGTGAGCCCATTTTCGCTGTTGGTGGCTTCATCAATTTTGGATTTACACAATCTGAAGAAGAGATTGCATCGAATGATTTAACATTTGATTTTATGCTTTCATTTGTATTCGTCTTTGACTGCTCATGCAGGAATGATTTTCTTCTTTGTGTGCTGTCGTTAGACGACGCGACTAGTTTATCATCCGTTGCGGTCGTGCTTGGCGTTTTTTGCAATACCAATTTAGGTATGAAGACCATCGGTTGATCGGATCCAGATTTAATATTCTTCTGTTCGGTGACAGAATATTTGTGATTCTCCATTCCAACACTGTTGTCTTCCCCAGTAACACCGGTAGCTTGCTTTTCTCTAATGTTCTTCTGTTTCTCTTCGTGCTCGTTTGTCGAAGGTAAATCAGCGGTAGTTTTACACAGAATCGTTTTTAAATTACACGTTGAAGCGTCTTCTTCGTTCGTCTTTTTACAGCTTTTTCCACCCATGATTTTTAGTTTTAATTTTAGACTCTCATCAAGTGATGAAGAAACGTGCAACTTGGGCCGTTTTGAATGTTCAGCTTCTCTAGAATGCTTCGATTTTTTGCGTTTACGATGCAATATTATCGATTCAACCTTCCGTTCAACCGGTTTGAGGCCAATTTTTGCTGCATATTCCTTTTGATTTACGAAATTTGTGTTTGATTCATCATTGTTGAAGTTGAAACAAGGATCGCTCGGGGACTTCGAAGAGATGTCAAAGCGAACTTTCTTCAATGGCGTTTCACTGCTTCTCGGACTGTGAGGAGATTTTGAAGAGATACTGTAGGTATCGTTGGGCGTTTTAGGTACAGTTATAGTAGTTTTGAGACTCGGCAATTCAATCTTCAATTTCGGAACATTTAAAGAGAGGTTGGATTTCGATGCTTTAATTTTTTCAACTTTTTCGTTATTCTTTGCATGCTTCGTACTCTCGCGCTTTTGCTGCTTCTCCGAAGAATAACATTTCTCTTTTTCTCTTTCATTCAACGCGCCAGAATCGTAATAATAATCATGAGAAGCACTGCTATTATTGTTGTTGCTGTTGCTATTATTATGCTTCTTCACATTGCTCTTATTCTCAAACTTTAAATCATGATGCGAGACCGTTCCACTCTTTTTGCTTAAAGTCGGCTTCATTTCCGACGTTGAAACGATTTCTAACGACGAAGCCGAAGAGAATCGTTCGCTATCGACATCACCACGCAAGCGCTCAAAATCACTTAGAACCTTACTGCTGTTGCCGTTGGGTTTATTCAACCTTAATTTATTGTTGCCAACGCCAATGTTTTTGCTTTTGCTACTCGACTTTTTCGCTATAATTATTTTCAAATCATGACGTGGAGTTTCAAAATTTTTCGATGTTTGACTGCTTTCATGTGAGTTTGTCGAAACATATTCACACTTTGACGCCTTCGTTGATTCAATAGCCTCTTTCAAATCACTACTAAGCTTCACAAACGGCTGTTGATTGAGTGCTTTTTCAATCATTTTCAATTTGGAACTTGTGTGCTTCTTGCTACTTTTATAGATGCGATAGAAAAGCTTAAGTGGAGCTTCCTAGATTGATAAGATTAAATAAATTTCATTTAATTACTAATGAAGTTGAATACACGAAGATATTTAAGGGATTAAAATCTTTCGGAAGTTTACTGATATCAAAAGCCTTTTTTTGTTCACTCAAAATAATTCTCCATCATTGTATGATTACATGGCAAGTTTTATGATTGATTTTTATAAAATTGTTTTTGATCAGAGACGGAAGAAGCTAACAAAATTTTGTTTATTTTTTGAAAGACCACAATTCAAAGCTTCTCATCGCATTTCTTTTGCTAAAGATATCTGACAACTTGAAAAACATGTTTATAAACTCTTTTTCAAGTGAAGAAGTCTTTGAATGAAGAATAATAGGACATTGTTTGAGACAACAAGTATCAAGTGTCAATAATTTCAATTTTACTTATATTTCCTTCATCTTACATGAAATTACAATCAAAGCATCAAATGTTGTAAAAAAAAGTGATATAAAGAAGGTGCAAATTGATCATGAAATTAAACTTCATGCAAGAACCTGTAAATCTTTCAAATATTTCATTACATGCTTTGTCGCGCTTTAAACAGACTCGAATTTTATGTTTTTATTGCATATTCATAAAAGTAGTCAATAAACCGATTTTCTGAAGTCATAATGTTTTTATTTTCTACCGACGTGTCTCTGCTTTCATTTTATTTGCTTTTCTTTTATTCCTTTTTTATGAATTATATTAAAAAGTTCAATTTTATTGTTACTTACTCGCTCCCAATTATAAGCGTAGGCGATGTCCATTAATGAAAATTCATCAGGCTGCACATCACTCTCATAGATAATATCAATGTTCATCGATTTTTTAAGATTATTAAGATCATATTTGGATGAAAGGAACTTTTTCAAGTGAACCACTTTGAACGCTGCTGGTGCTTGCAAGTATCGTACTTGAGGAATGTTGTTGATGCCGATAGTATTACCAAATATGGATTCCATGTGATATTCCAAGGATAGACTTTTGATGGAATATTTTTTATTCATGGTTAATAATCGTGAGAAAATCTTTTTAAATTCTTAAGAAATTACCTAATTGGCTCATTCTGATCGTAGAAATATTGTTTAGATAAAGAATCATCTTCACTACATAACAGTTGCTTATCCAACTTGCTTGTAAATGTTGATCCGTTTACAAGATTTCTTTGTTTTTCATTTCTTTTAATAGATTCTTGTTGTTCTTTGGCGAATAGCCCAGGAATAATTTTATAAACTAAGGATCTGAGCCTCATATCTGGCCTATAACACGTGAACAAATGAAATGTTAACACAAGTTCAGCCTTTCAATTTTTGTAAAAGTTTATTTATAGACACAAACGTTACTTACCTCAAGTTGGAAAGCCTTATATCAGTTTCACAATTGGGACAAAAATATTTTTCAAATACTTTTACATGCTTTACAATGCACGAGCGACAAACTGGTGGAAGAGTTGAAGAGAAAATAGAAACGATTTTAATGACAAAAATGTGATATTTATGCGACTTTATTTTTAAAAAGAAAAAAATTTATTCAACTTACATGAATGCATGCATGTGTTAATTGTCGTAGCCTCTATCAGGTATCCTTTGCACAAAAGGCAAGTTAGAATTTTGTTGAATGTTTTGACACGTTTTCTCGTTATCATCTTGTTTGGTTTGTTTGTTTCTTTTTTTTTTCAAATTAATTTATTTTTAGTGATTTATCTGAAAAGACATTTAAAATATTTTATAAAATTTAGCGTTTGTAATAATTTATTTGATATTGGTTTACTTCATTATGCTATTTGTTTTGTTTCGATCTCAGCGGCTTTGTGGTGGATTCGAAAGTCTTTTTATAAAGAAAAAGATTAAGATTTATTATGTGCTGGGAAGCGTTGGGGTTTGAGATAAGCTAAAATGCTTTTTATATAACTTGTCTCGATCCAAGACGTAAATCATTATAAACTTTTTAACGTCTATTATTTTTAGATGCATCAAATTTATGAAAAATGATGAGAAACTCGACAGTTTAATTTTTCTTTTTAAATATTTTAATTCTAACATGTGAAATATTTCTTTGAAGTTAGCAATGCGTTTGTTAAGTTTTTGTTATCTATCAAACTATACAAAACAGACTTTCAATTAAAGAGAGATCATTGTTTTGACTTGAATTAATTATTCTTTTCGTATTTCAAACTGTATCATCAATATAATTAAATTTATGCGCGACACTGATGATGGGAAATATTTCATCAAACACCATGTCAATTTTGACGTGATTAATTGAAAATTTGTATCTTGATGATGGTGGCGAAATTTGAGTTTGGGTAATTAATTTGATGTGGAGAAGCTTGAAATCAATATCTTGAGTGATGCAATGTTGAAGTTGCGTAAATCATCACAACAAAATCAACACCAATCATGAATGTAGACCAAATAAAGAAATTAGTTTTTCTATTCGCCATAACGAATCTGTTAATTAACTTAAACAACTTCTCTAGTTGTTAAATGTAGAGTGGCAATTAAAAATCATGTTCCACCCAAATAAAAGAAACAATTTATGTGCCGAATTTTGCGGTTGTTCAATCGAGCGTAAGACGAAAAATGTTCGTTTAAATGAATGAATAACATGTTTAACGCGCATATATAGCAAGGCAGAAATCAAAAATAATCGTCAAACTCATTCAATTTTCGTTTCGATTTTTCAGGCCAAAACATCGCTGGAGTGAAAACATTTTCAGAGTCACAAACACACACACAAATCTACACTTACCATAATGTTATTTTGTACAATCTTACAATTGTGTTAGTGCAGTGTGCCTCGTGTAGAAAAAATTTTCATTAAACGAAATTCAAAATTGTAAAAGAATATTGAATAACAAAAGGACAAATTTCACGGCCCTTGGGAGATTTCAATAGATACACATGAAGGTAATTTTATTTTGCACACTCAAACACAATGCGACGCAATTTAGATACACTTTAATGTAGAAATATTTCACTTTTGCCTTGTGAAAATTTGTGTACTCTCCAACTCAAACACTAAACCTCGACTGATATAAAGCTTGCATCATCATTACTATAGAAAATACTCCGCGTATGAACGAAAGCAACAACAACGAAGGCGAAGTGAAGAGAAAAGCCGAATTATAATTTCTCGTACTTCGTGTTGCTCGTGGCGGTCTGTTTGTGTGTGGTGGAAATACATATTGTCAGAAGAGAAAACTCGAAAATAAATGTAGGCTTCATCATGTTTACTAAAAGAGGGAAAATTTTCTCTTGATTCTTTGCAACCAATCAAATTTGGTTTCATCCACACAACTGAATGATTTAACAGCGATGTCAGCCGAACATTGCCGATTGCTACGAAACGCCAAAGCGAACAAAAATGAAAAATTCTCTGTAAACAATTCAAATATTTTTTGCTAAGATTAAAATCAGAGGAAATTGAAATAATCTGGAGTCGTTTGGGAATTTTCCATCACGATATAATTTTATATTAAAAACAAAGAAGATTAATATTTTCTTGCAATCTCGCTTTGTATTTTAATTATAACTTTATACGACTTTGAAATATTTATGGTGAAATTTTAAATTTATTTTGATTCCAACTCTGAGTAGAAAAAAGAAAAATGAACTTTAATGTAACGGTAAACAGTTGTTCCTATTGTTTTCTACAAGTATCTAACAAAATAATAGAAAAAGTAAATTATTCTACTTTAGCCAAGCTTTGTATTGGGAACGAATTTTTAATAAGAAGAGAATTAACTTTTACAGGGCAAATTATTTTAATTTCTTTTGACCTGAATTTTGTATAAATTTTTATATGAAAATGTAATTCGAATGTTCACAACTTGAATTAGAGATAGTTTAAAAAAAAAGATCAATTACTTTTAAAATCCATTGATCTGTCTCATTTATAGCTCAGGTCTTTAAAGCTTAAATCACTTCACTCAGTCAATCATTTGAAGGATCTTCTTTCATTTTTTATAATTCATTGACATGTTTTCATACAGTTTACATACATTTAGTGTTGTGTTAAATCGGAAATAAATTTGAAGAAATTTTCCTTGGGGGTTTCTCTGTAAATTCTCCGAGATGACTTGCTGAAAACTTTTCATTTTATTTTCCCCCCTTTTCAATGCTCCATAAAGTTTTTTTGCTAGGCTTTGAATCCCAGTATTGCCAAATACCATTGACGAAAATTTTACTAATGCACCCTTCACATATTTATTTGTATCATAAAACGGGAATTTCTTATTTAGGTATGTCGATTAAAAATAACTCAATAATCTTTTGATTTCAGAGAATTCATCAAGAGAAATCCTTTAAGATTCTAAATAGAACCAACTTTAGGGATTGAGCTTGAAAATTTTGAATCAGATGAAACAAACAGTGTAAAATTTAAAGCTTCTTAATCCTCATTCATTTAAATGTATAGCAATTTTAATTATTCATCATGTAAAGGTTTCATGAATTACATTTTTGTATGTTGACTAAATATATTAAACATACACGTCATGCATGTCATACACGGATATTTTTTATAAAAAATTGTTTGTTAATTAACTTTTAAATTGCAAATAAGCTTTTTTTAAATGATCCAAAATTGGACTCATTCATTGACAGATTCTCAATAAACTTGCTGCGAAAATGCATGTAAGACTGAACGAGTAAAAGAATTTTTCACTTGCGGATACATATGCACATACTGATTCATGCAAGTATTTATGTTGCTTTGCGCCAAGTTTTTGCGCAGTCATGTGAAACTGATAAACGTAAAATTATGAAATCACTCGAACAGACCTTTATGAGTAACCTTCATGATTTTATGGAGAACAGTAATAAGATGCTAGTCTGGATAGGTAATTTCACATTTGCATGGAAATTTTCTTTTTTTTGTTAATCAAAAAATTTCAAATCTTTATGCATCATAAACTTTAACATAAAGTGAATTTGAAAATATTCACCAGACAAAAATATCACATAAAAGTAAATTTTTTATAAGAATTCTCTAATTCAATCCACCATTTTAATGATAAGGAAAAAATAATTAAAATAAATGTTTTATGGAATAAAAGGTGTTCATTCGGTACCTACATTCAGACAGAGACATTTATTTAAATATTTTGCTTTCTCGTGCATCACTGTTAAAATTCCTGTGGTTAGAAAAAGTATTCAAATAAATATTCATGAATGCAATAATACAAGTAAAATTATTGAGCGCAGTTGAGTTAAACTTTAACATTTTTCAATGATTTCTTATTTTTAAAATAAATTTATTTCAATAGAAGAAGAAAAGTGAGAAACATTCATATGCGATTCGATTATCGCACCCTTGGGAAATTTTCGGAGTTCACCATGAGTCTGACTTAAAATGAGAAACTAAAGAAAAATTTAAAACTCAAACTGTCCTTTCAAGTAAGAAATTTATATCTATGAGAAATTGAATAGTTAATGTAATTAGATAAGTAAACAGAAACTGAAAAATTGAAAGCTTCATTATCGATTTTGATGGAATGCATCTTTTAAAAGAATGAAAGGCACCGCGCACTGCCGCAGTGCGTTGTAAAATCTTTATGAGAAAAACTTTTTGTTATTAGGTACATCCAAAAAGCAACATAAAACTTAATGAGTTTATCAATTGTTGAATTGCTCAATCATTCAAACTTTAATGTCATTGAAGAAGATTTTATGATAAATTGTTCCGTGATTGTTAAGAGTTTGGAAAGTATTTTTATGTTTAGTAAGAAATTTAAACTTTAGTTACTTATAATTCTTTAATTGGCTACTTTCAAACTGAAATTAGCTCGAAAATTGGAAAATATTATTTTCACTTTACCATTGTACAATAAATTGCAAAAAGAATGACTAACCATGACTCCCCTCCATCATTCACACCGAGAGTGATAAGACATTTTGATGTTTTTACACTTCATAAGTAAAATGACAATAGACAAATAATCACTAATTGAATATCATCAAGTAACTTAAAGCATAAACTGAAACCATCATATTTGATCTTAAAAAGGGGTTTATTTGCAAGAGTAATTCTCGTATTACGAATGGTTCTTCTTACTATGAAAAATGACTTGAATGACTTGAATGCCTTGAATCATAATCACTCCTTGAATTCCAAGAACTCTCAAAAAAGGCATCTTAGAGACTTTTGACTGGAACAATGTTGTGGTTGTTGAATCGTCATTAGTTATGTTAATCCGAAGTGTGCAAAAAATTAATATTTTCACATCTATGAAGTTTATTTAAGATATCTCGTTCGTGTGGATTTTTAGAGATTGAACAATCTATCGAAAATATTTCAAGGTGAAATTGTGAACATTTGGAATTTATTTTAAGACGACAGTTGATATTGAATGATTTTCAAAGAAATAATGTTGAATACTTAAGCAAGGCATGAATTCAACATCAATTTATAGACACAACATTAATGGGTTCGTTGACGTATAGCTAGTAAATTGAAAAATGAAATAAAAAGAATTTACTTTGGCGGTGGGCACGTGAAAAGAAGAAAATAATAAAATATATAAAATGAGAGAGAAAAGACAAAAGAAAACGTAATCGACGGACGTTTAATCTGCCAAGTCCTGAATTAAAAAGTGATGTAACATTTCTAGTGATTGTTTTTACATCTTTAAGGAGAGTTCTTGATATCTTTTTGGATATAAAAAGAATTTTAATTGTCTCAAAAGTTTATATTTTAATAAATTTCCTTACTTGATTATGCAATTGTGAATTTATTCCATTTCCAATTCTCAAACTCTGCTTTGATTTATGACACAGATAATTCCATCTTGATCGATAATAAACGAAATTCTGTTTATCTATGTTGTATAAGGAATTATCTGCGATTATTTTAATTTATAGATGCGAAAACTTTTCACTAATGAATACGACATTTCAATGCGAATTCTGTAATTTACGATGGATTATCTGAATTGAGATTGTGATATTATAAATTCAACTCACACAACTCTGCGTTGTTTCTATTTCGACAACTATTTCAAAGTTATTGACCACGACTGTCATAGATATTTTAAGCTTATCTGTCATTCATCAGATCCTTTCAAAATGTGAAAGTTTCATTTATATGTGTAAAGATTGAGAGAAGAAGTTTCCTGGTTAAGAAATTAAATTGACTGAGAAGTATAATAAAGATTAGAATCTTCGGAATAAAGTAAAAAAAAAGAAACTCAATAATTTCAGAGAAGTCAATTTCCTTTGTACTTCCGTTCTTCTTGATTCTTCAACCCAAATAAGTAAGCAAGTAAGACGCTCGTGAAAAAGTTCATTCGTCTATGACAAACTTTTGTCGTAATCTTTTTTTTTTCTTCTTTTTCTTCTGTTCGTTTTAAAAGATCGCAGTTTGCAAATCAAGGAGAAAAAAGCAGAGCATCGCAAATTGTATGAAAATAAAAACTTGAAAATCGTCTTTTGCTTAGCGAGAGGCAAAAGTTTGTTATGTAAATTGAATTAAGTTTATGTATTGTGTGTTGTGTAGCCGTCGAGCAGTGTACATAACACAATTTTTTTCTTCTTTTCATAATGAAAAAATGTGTTATACTCTCATGAAAGTATAATAAAGAAAGAAAAAGTCGAGCAACAAAATATTCTCTGCACAACTCTCTACAGTCAAGAATTGTATAAGTCAGCATGCAGTTGAGAAAAAGTAAAAGAATTGAGTGTGCATAGAGTGAGAAGCCTTGTGTAACGAGAAAATAAATAATTCAGATATTTTTCCATTTTTCATCATCGTGTGGGTTTGACGTTTGTGTTCGTGACTGATGTCGAGCGTTTGTGTTGGTTTATTGAGTTTATGAGGCTTTATAAATGTTGAAAACTAAAACGAGTGAAAATATCAGATAGCAGAAAGGTATCGAGGGTTGGAAGAAACATAAAATATTCTTTATGTCATAAACTCGAGTGCGGCTCATAAACTGAATGAATATTTTTAAACTCTGAATGTTGTATCATGAAAAAACATAAACGAAAAAAAATCCGCTTGATGAATGAGAAACTTTTTTACTTTACGTTGTTCATGTTTTTTTGAATTTCTGGTTGGTGGATTATTAAGATGCCTTTTCCTTCGTTCCCCGATAGCAGAAGCAGAAAAAAATAAATATACGACGAATAATCCAGATTGTTGTTACGAGCAGCTACAATTTTTTTAATGAGCATAGGGGAGAGATTCGAATTATTAATTTTATTAGATAGAATGTCTTTGAATTGACACTGGTGACGTCATGTAAGGAAGGAAGGGAAGAATTTTTTTTTGAGGAATTGAAAGACAATTTTATCATTTGTCGATATTGAAAATAATTTAAAATAAAATTGACTGGAAATATAAAGAAAACTTTCAACTGATAAATATTTGCTTTGATGGAAATTAATGATAAATAAATTGTCCTAGAAAATTTTTTCTTTCTATCGATGCCTTCATGATCGATCGTTATTGAAAGTTCTAGGAATTATATGGGAATCGAACCCTTTCGACTTATTCCAATTGTGAATTCAACTTTTATCACAGTTAAAGTTAAAGCAGTGCTAACGAGTTCAATTGTTGATCAAGTGATGCAAGTGACTGTCTAACATATCGAGATCGACATCAAAGTCTAAACATTTCAAAGACATTTAATATTTAAGAAACAAGTCGAACAATTTCCTGTAATTTAATATCATTCGTTGATCTAGAAAAAAACAAAATTTGCCTTTTTTTTTCTCTTTACTTTTACAGATATTTTATTATGCTTTGCTAATTCTATGTTGATTAATGTATAAAAATACAATTTGAAGATATTTAAAATTTCTAACACAAAAATTTATCAACAAAAGATGAAGAAAACAGCACATTAAAAGTCTTAAAAGTGTAAAATTATTTAAAAGTAAAAATAAAGATAATACAGAAGTTTTAAGCAAATACTTCATGTATGTTTGTAATTACATTTATTCAAATATTTGCACAAGCGATACATCTTAATGCTTTGAAGCGGAATTAGAAGACGGCGATGATGATGTTGAAGCATTTTTTTGAGTTTGTTGATGTTGTTGTTGCTGCATTTGTCGATGCAAAGCTAACAAATTATTTGACTCGACATTTTGTCGTAATGTTTCAATCAACATTGTTCTTTGAATATTCGCGATATCAAATGGATAATTTGATTTTGCTGCAGCACTCATTGCTGCATTAAGAAACATATTGAATTGCATCGCTTGCGCAATCGCTGGATCTTGTAACATCGGTGGCGGTGTAAGAGATTTGTTGGTGCTCATCAAAGATTTATCGCTCACTTTTGTCGGTGGTGGCGTCAATGAAAGGCTTTTCTTAGATGAAAGATCCGAAGAATGCTTCGATGAATTCTTTGGTGTAACAGGAACTTTAACAGGTTCTGGAGTTGCATCAACTTCAGTTTTTATTTCTGTTAAAAGTTTTTCTTTCTCATCATTCTCAGAAACTTCTGATTTATTTGTTTCTTTTTTCTTTCCTGAATTATTTTTCTCAAGGTTTTGCTTCGCATTGACGGACATTAATGATTCAAGAAACGCTCGCTGAAAACTTTCCTTTGATTCTGGAAGATTTTTCGTTGCATTCAGCACAGCTGTTGCATTTGGAACCAAAGCTGGCAGTGTTGTATTAATCGGCGATTTCTTTTGTTCAGACATTTTCTTATCACTAACCGTTGGTGACGTCGTTGTCGTCGTCTTTTTATCGGTTGGTGATGTACTTGAAGCTTTTATTTGATTACCGCCACCGCTGCTACTCGTCTTTGCCTCTTTTTCATCAGAAATTTTAATAATTTCAATGTTATTATTGACTATGCTTTGCTTTTGACTTCTTAACTGTTCTTTTTTGTTTTCTTCCTGTTCATTTGTAAGCGTCACGGAAAGAGACGAAGGGAAGTTAATTTTATTTAAAATGGAAATGGCTTTTGGATCTGTTTCCGAAGTTTTTGTAGGTGACGGTGACTTTCGTTTTTGTGGGATGCCTGAGTCGTTTGAAGAAGATTGAGAACGCTTTCTTGAGTTGTCACTGGCTGTTGTTGATGACGATGACGACTTTGGTGGTGTCGCTATGTTGTTGTTAAGTGGAGGTGACAATTTTCCAGTGTTGTTTTGTGGACAAAACATTGACTGCATAAACGAAGCATAAAGATGTGGATTTGCATACTTATGCTGTGGTTTTGGATCAAAGTTGGGTGTGTATGACGGACTACTAGGAACATAAAATGGCGTTCGACATCCATAAGGTGTTTGCATATTTTCAGGAATATTTTTCGGCATTTTCACTGGACATCCGTAAGGTTTTAATATGTTTGGTATCGAAGTGTTGTTGATTAATGAATTTGACTTTGATTTTACTGGTAAAGGATGTGCGAAAGCTTCTGGCATCTTAAATGTCTGTTGTGACTCTGTTGTTGTTGTTTTCGCTGGAGATTTTGGCCCATAAACACGAAGCTGATGATTTTGATCGTTTATCTTTGTTACACTAATTTCACTGGCTGCAACATCTTTCTTCGTTTCTGGCTTCTTTATGACAAATGCAGTTGGTGAAATTGCAGTCGGTGCAACTGAAGTGGGAGCATTAGTTGGTGGTGTTTGTTTTGGTAACAACATCGGCAACTTCTTTGGCTTCAACGGAACATTTCGATGATGGTTGTTGGCTGGGTTTTCATTGTTCATCTGTTCATTTGATGCTTTCGTTTCATTCTTAATGATTTCAGATTTTGCTTTTGCATCTGCACGTTGCTGTGCCATCAAAATGTCACTTTTAACTTTACTCAACGGTGGTTTACTACCCAAAGGCTTGAGTGACATATCAAAAGTGATTTCATGTCCATCGCCAGTCTTTGTGAACAGAAATTTGTTTCCTTCGCCCACAGACTTCATCTCATGGAACTTGTACTTCTTCGTCGCTTTAACCGGTTCTTTACTCTTCCGCTTATTAACATTTGTTTCTGGAGTCTTCTTCTCTGAAGAATTTCTTTCATTAGCTGAAACGTTGTTGGACAAAGGAATGTTATTTTCATTCTTGACATTCACTCTGGACTGTAAACTCTTCTTCGATGTCAACTGAAATGAGTTCAAGAATCCAAGCTTCTGTTGATCGATATCATCATCAAACTCATATTCATCCTTTTTCACTTCTTTCGGTTGGTTCTTTTCACTCTCAATCGAATATTTTGGTATGAAATGTTCGCCGATTTTACTTTTCTTTTCCTTCTTCTCGGAACGTTGTTGTTGATGCTTTTGCTGTTTCATTTCGTTCTTTAATGCAGAATCAGCTACAACAGCGGTAGTATTCTTAATTATACTGACATTATTGTTTGAAACATCAAGTTTCAATTTTATTGTCTCGATTCGTGGTGCATTAGGCGGATAATCATTTAATGACTTTTTATTGCCATTCTCACTGCCTGTCTTCGTCGTCGTCGTTGTCGATGTTGTCGTTAATACACCACCGCCTGCTTTTTGTACACTCTCAACCGATTTCTTCTCAATCATCGATTCAACTTCTTCCTTAAACGAAACACTTTTCTTCTTTGCACCGAGAGAGTCGTCGGTAGCATTCGGGAGAGTTGTTGTTGGTGACCTGCGTAGTGCGACTTCAGGCAATTCATCGCATTTCGAATTTTTCGCAATGATACGGAAAAAGAACGGCATTGGAGCTTCCTAGGTACGTTGAAAAGTAATTAAAGTGAAGGAAGAGAAAAGGAAATCGTTTAGAAAACTATCATATTTCATTAATTTTGTTGATATTTCCTTACCTTCTTCCATGTATAAATGTATGCAACATCCATCAATGTGTAATGTTCGGGTAAAACAATTGTTTTGACTTTGTAGCTGATCTCAACATTAAATTTATGACTGTTGATGAGAAACTTATTGACGATGAACTTTTTCAAATGTTCAACTTTAAAAACTGCTGGGCAATTTAAGTATTTTGGATGAAGAAGGTTTTGAACGCTCTCATCTGTTTCCATTCCTTGAAGAGTTCTGCGAATAAATAAAAAGAAGAAACACACAAAATTTCAATAAGTAAAAAAAATTGACTTGCAAAATATCATCGAATGAATATCAAATTTTCTTACTCTTTCTCTGCATAATCCAACGATAATGAAATCAAATCGTGTGGACTTAATATTAAATGTTCCGTATCATCGCCGCGCTCTTCTGGTGATGCCAGTTTTGCTTCTAGTGGATGTTGTTTATAGAAAGCTCTTCGTCGTAACAATTCCTTTTGATACAATCCAGGAACTAGTTTGTAAACGATTGACTGGATTGTCGCGTCGTATCTAAATGACGAAAGTATTATTTTTATTTTTCCATATTCAATAACATTAGGAAATGCAATTTTTTAACTCACTTTATGTTTGTTTTTGACTTGTTTATGCTCATGTCGCATTGTGGACAACATTTCTCCTTCGTAAGATGTTTCATTAAGCAACTATGACAATATGTATGCAAGCACTCGACAATCGTTGTTGCTTCAATTAAATAGCCTCGACATAAGAAGCACGTAATGTAGGGATGAACATCGTTAAGTGATATTTTCTCAGATCGGTAAGCAGCAGCAGCAGCTGCCAATTCTTTCTGCTTATCGATAGCTCTGGGATCGGATTTATTTTCTTGTTGCTGCTGTTGTTGTTGTTCGATCTTCAAAGGAATCTTTGGAGAATTCGGAAGGTTTGCAACAGTTGGAGAAGAATTAACTTTTGCTGCAAAATTATTCTTCATTGCTGACAATTGCATTGAATTGATACTCCCAGTTGTCGTCGTTGTCGGCATTTTTTCACCAGTCTCAACTTTTATGTTGACGTTTGTTTGTGGCATTGGATTTGCTTTAACAGCAACACCGTTCTGTGGTGCAATCATGATTTTCTTGGGTGGCATTGTTGTCAATGGTGACATGATTGTCTTTGTTAGTTTCGGCAACTGGTTTGACATCTTATTATATCCGCAATGCTGCTTCGACGGATAAATTTGAATCTTCTCTAACTTCCTTGGATCCATTTTATTATAAACTTCCTTACTATCTATCTTTACCATATTTTTCCACATTCAATCGCGTTGTGTTGTTCAATCTGCTCGGAAATGAAGCAAAAAATAAAAGAGAAAAGAGAGATAGAGAGACGTGAAAATAAAATAAATCGACGACAAATATAAAAAAGGTGTCATGAGAATGTAAAGTAAGGAAAAACGACGATTGTCGAGGATTCCTCATAGCGATAATATTTTGAAGGTCTTTTAATCTTTGTGTACGTTTTTTTTTACTTCTTTCTTCTCTTTTTCTTTTTACTTAGCAGAGCTCGCTCGCTCTGTCTGTCCCCTGTTCAACATTATTTATATTTTAAGTATTATTTTTATCGTTTCCATTAAAAACATGCGCCAGCAGCGAGTGGCGTCTGCATGTCAAAAATGTTTGTCTCTTGCTTTAACTTTATAAAACATGCGAAATATAAAATAAAATTTATGCTGCGCAGGAATGCAAGAAAGCAATGCGCTTTACTCGTTTTGATTCTTTCATTTTCATGTATAATTATCCCTTTAAAGCGAGATGAATCTTTAAATGAACAAATGAAAAATGCGCTTCTCGTCGCTACTCAACAATCTCATTCCCCCAAGTTGTTTTCTCATGTTCGCTTTGTGCTTATGCTTTTTTTTTGTTTTATTTCAGAAAGCAGGAGATATTTTTCTTCTCTGCAAATTCTCTTCTTTCAGTTGTCAGTATCAACCGAAATGTGTACACACATTTATGTTCCATATGCTCGAGTAGCATGCATACATATACACACAAACAGCCGTTCAACGTTAGATGGGAAAGAAAGACTTAGCCGTACTGTGTCGGCAAAAGAGTAAAAAGGGAAAAAAAGAAAAGCAAATTTCAATGGAACGAAACATAATATTAGATGAGGTAAAGGAACATAAAATACATAAATGCCGATATTATGAGAGTTACTCGAGACATTGACTTAAGTGGAAACATCAATTAATAACAACTGAATATTTGTTTTAATTTTCTATTATAAAGTTGTGAAACTCACCAATAACAGACGAAATTATTCCAGAACATTTTAATAACATAAAGTTTTTGAAGAACTGCCCGCGCTGCTGTAATATGTTGAGAACACGTTTTGTCAAAAGCAGATTTCCGTTTTAGGTTCTTAAATATAAAGTTAACCCCCTTTCAATGGGAACTTTCAAATGTGTTCAGCATTGAAATATCTTTCCTTTGCTTCAGAGACGTTTTCCTTCTGTAATGTTTACACACACTGACTCAAGCGGCTTACAAATCGCATGCACTAACACTGTTATATCCTGGTCTATCTTAAAGTTTTTTTTGAACACAAAATTTAATTACTTTAGATTTTACTTCACGTCACTTTTATTCGTTATTAACTTTAGAAATTTATTTATTTAAGTTAATTAAACATTGTCTTCATCACTTGTCGTTTTTTGGATAATCAAATGCAAAAATATTGGAATAGATGTGATTACGTACCGCTTCGTGCAACGTCATAAACGAAACTGAACAACGAATTGTGTTCTGTTTGCTTCGTAAGCTCAATACATAAAAGCAGACACCGATTGTGTATATAAGGCTCAACGCAGCTGGTTAAAAATTTCCCCACCATTTTTATACACAACATTTATTTTTCTTTCACTCTCTCGAATATAAAGTTGTCGTCTTACGATTTTCTGTTTCTATCCGACTCATTCGGTAAAGGCAACAAAATATAATAATTATTTTTCAATGCTGCATGTATGCGTAACAAATTTACGATACTTGAATAACAAACTGTATATAAGGGTGATTTAATAGAAGCCTTCAAATTGAATAACGATGTTTTTTACGGGAAAATATATTTTTTGTTAACCTTAAAAATAATGAGAGCAAAAATTAGAGGAATTCGTTTTTATCTTGTTGAGATAATGGTAAAAGATTTTTTTCTCCTATGACATAGAAGCATTAATACGAGCATTAACGGAAGTCTATGATATTGCGTAGGTTGTAAAAGATGTAAAATATTTCTTAAATCAATTAACACTTCATTGTTATTATCACCTATTCGTTTTATTTATTATTCTTGATGAATACGTGCTTCGATATCTTTATGACTTTCATATATGAATAATTTTGTAAGCTATTTTGCTCAACATGTTTAATTTGCATTTCCAATCTATTCGGAGACGTATCTTTTTTTTCCTCAAAAGTCGACTGAATGCTGATTGATATGATAATTTTGTTCCCAACTTCCAATCCATGTTAATATTTAAAGAAATATGAAAGTGTTCCAAAAGATATCTTACATTAATGTTAGTGACTGCGTCGTTTATTCGTTAGCTTTTTATTGAGTCAACATTGAAGAATGTTTTTATTGGTCCGACTGTCTAAGATTCTGATATGATATCACGATAGGTTCACGATCACCTAATTTTATAAAATGAATTTCTAATTTAATTTCCAACTTGTATTAAAAAAAAAATTCTCTAGTTTTGTATTGTGAAATTGCTTTAAAATTCTTCTCTACTTGAAATTGTTTGCTTTTTCCCGCTTATTTCTCTCTTCGTTTTTGTTTATGTACAAAACTTTTATATACAACGAAGTACGATTTATATATCTGAGATATCTCTTCGTTTCAAGGGGATAGTTTACTACATTCAAACAATTTTTTCATTAAAAGTTTCGAAATATTCAACGCACATTCGTCACATACAAATTTGTTTATCCTCAATGTCGGTACTAATTAAAAATTCACTGTCACAATGATTTCACAAAAAACAGAATATTGTCTTTGAAATTTCATGACTGCACTTTTTTTTTTGGTATCCAACTGAAGAGAAAGTTAGTTTAAACAATCGAATGGTTTTGGATGCACGATTTTCACTCACTGACTGAAAAGAGAGTTTTTCGAGCTATAGAAATTCTTTTGACTTTTTTCTTAAGCAATCATTGATAAAATTTTAAAATTTTGTATTATATTCAGAAACGATTTGGCTGTGAACGATTTTTAAGTGCCTTATCTAAAAGTTTTTTACTTCGTGATATTCCGTTTCCTTTGATAACAGGGAATGAAGTTATCTCCATTTCTTAAAATGATTTATATTTTCCTCTACGCTGGAGGCTTTAATTTTGTTCAAAAATGTTATCTACTCGATATCGCAATCTCACATAAGAAGAGAAGAACGATGAAGAATTTTATGGAAGGGAAATATGGAAATTCTCTAACCTTTCTTCTTTTAATAAATTTTGCTTATTTTCTAAGTGACGAAGAATGATTCTCAGATTTCTTAAATGCATTTCCATTTGCACCCAAATAATACAAATTGTATGATGTAAATCTCTTCTAAATTACTAAGAAATCAAACCCATTCCAATACATTGCAGTTAAATCGGGGCTTGTATAAGTTGAAAAGACTTAGATATAAAAAAAGGAATTTCCGTTTGATATAAATTTGATCCCATAAGATGAAATTGAACTCTATTGAAATCGCAATAAATTTCTGCACTGCAATTTCAAAAATATTTTAAATAACATCTACACATTAGGGACTGAATTTCATGCATGAAATCATTTCTATTTTTAATTACATTTTCCCGAAACGTAAAAACTTTGATATAAAATTTTACTAAAAGAATGTAAAGGGAAAATAAATCTCAATAATATTAAAATTATAATTTAAATTACAAACTGTCAATCAGAAATTCGTACTCTGACACAGATAATACATACACGCATACGTACTTTCTAATAGTATCTAAATTAAAAGCGTTAGAGAGATCACATATTACAAGATCCATTGTACTGGTAATAATGCGTATTACTTATACAAGTGCATAGTCAGTGCAATAATAATCCCGAACGGCGAAACTGCCCCGTTTGTATGCTTATGAATACTTTATATGTATCCAGCATATTCCGCGAATCTTACGGCGTTGATTAAACGACCTATTAGAGAATGAGAAGTTTCCTTTAAAGTGACTTTTAAGTCAACTTTTTCGGAATTGCTGCTTGTGCCTATCGGGAAAGCATGTATGTAAATGCAAAATTATATTTAATTTATTTATATTCTGTCTAAATCATAAATCTTTTTCTTTATAAAATAAACTTTTAATCTGTGAGACAATGTGAGAAAAATTAAAGTGCCTTTAAAATAAAATTGAATTTACTTAATAAACTGAAATATTTTAATAATAGAATAAATATTTAAACATTCAATTATAGACTTTGCAAATATTTGCGATTTAAAGTATAAATTGATGGAACATAAAAAGAAGATTTTATAAAAATATGAAACAGTCATGTTTATGTTGAAGTATTTATGCTGTAGTAAGTTATGCTAGGTTCGTACGAGAAACGCTGTTTTCGAGCAACATCAAAAATATTCATTGAAGTACGCATCTAGATGAACTTGTCGTTTTCTCTCTCGCTTTTGTTTTTGCTATGCGCAGAACTTTAATATTCGTTCGTATTATCGATTTTATCAGTTTCTTACCATCTGAATACATATTTCTATGAATTTCTCGCTATCGCTAGCGGTAAGTTTAAATTCTCCTTGCTTAAACGTCATCTGTTTACCATCTAAATACAATATTTTCTTAGTAAAATCTATTTGTACTAATCTACATATTGAGTTCCTTATTGATTCGTAGATCTTTTTGAATGATTTAAGAAGATAAAAATGTGTCACTTCAACTACCGCAATCGTATGAACAACATGAAAATCTTTGAATGAAACTGACCTTTATTATTTTGATTGAAAAGGGTCAGATTTATTTCAAACAAATAGTAAACAATTTAAATAATTCAGATGATTGATCAAATTGAATAAACATGGATATTTACTGAATTTATTTTACGGAAGGTTGTCATCAGAAAATTATGAAACTAATTCAGTTGATTTTCCTTTGAAAAACATTTTATGAATGCCACTATAAATATAAAGCCATTAATTTTAATACAAAGCTTCTTATTCAATAACAATTCTGCGTATCTGAATTTTATAAGAAAATTTATGAATCTTCTAAATGAATAAATCAAGCGTAATCATCTCAATGTGCATATTCTCGATCTACCTTTTAAAGCTTAACAACATTTCTTTCCTCTTTTTTATGTGCATATATTTTATTATCTCAGTAAGGAAATCAGATTTATTTAACATTGGAATAAATCAACATTTTTCTAGTCATTTTGCTAAAGTAGTTATTCATAATTATTTATGACAATGCTTCGTGAGTTTCTAAAGAAACCTTTTGATAAACTAATTGTAACTTAAATTACTACTCCGCAATGCTCAATTTGGTCAGCTGATCATTTTAATCAAATTTTAATTAATTTCTTCCTTTTTCTTTACGAAATTGCTTCACTCGAAAGCAATCAAAATGCCACAAATATAAAGAAGTGGAAAGAACTATTAAATATAAAAGGAATTTTTATTTACTTTTTAATTATTCAGCAAGGAAATAAAGTTGAGAAATAAAGTAGTGCTTATTATGGTTTATATTCTTCCAGCTCTCATACAATGAAATGTATTTGCATTCAAAATTTCATAGTGAAGCTAATAAAATTCTACGACTTACGTACCTACATCCAATTTCCTTTTGACATGTATTGAAATGTTTAGTCATTATTTGAAGATTGCGTTACTTTTCCTAGCATGCACTCAAATACATGCGACATCCATAAACTTTATGTTTCATTTAATCTATGTTCCAAAACACGCGATTCTTATCATAAAATGTGATTTTAATTTTGTGAGTAAAATTTAAAATACATATTTAAATTAACCTTATCAAAAATACAAAATATGTTCCATTTCATCCTTGAAAACCTAGCGAAACAAATTTAGAATTAAGATTTTATGGCACGAAAAACAATAACAAGGGGAGAGCGAACAGAAACTTGCTCCGGAACCGGAACGTTCTTCTTATGTTCTGGATTATTTCATGTGTGTGGTATGAGGATGTTTCACTTCTTTATTTTCTATGCCTCTATGATGAAGCTACATACATCTTTTTTATCAACAAACTTCAGCAAGTCATCATTTATAAATATCTCGTCTGTAATCTATCAACTGTTCCACTACTTTATTTCCAACCTTATTATGTTGATAAATAATTGAACGAATTGAACGCATTCGCTTGAATCATACAAGATTTTCATTCCATTTCAATTTGAATTTCAATTGTCATTTCAAACCTGTTTGTATTGAGTGCACAACATATTTTACACCCACCCTCTTATTTTACCCTCGTCACAATTTATATCGATTTAAATATGAATGAAGATTTAGCAAAAAAAAAAGCGAATAAAAATGGCTAAGAATTTTTTTAGATGAAGTCCAGGTTAGTATCAATTTAGTTTTAAATTTTAAATTTCCAAAATAATTGCTTTTAGCCATAATGCAAGAATTGATTTCTATTTCTACTCATTATTTGTCTTTATTTTCTTTTGCTTTCTAAAAACATTCGCCATTTGTGAAAAATATTTCTACAAAAAAATAAGTTTTATGGACCTTAAATTACATTTTTATTATGATGAAGTCTTTAGAATAAAAATTTATTTACTTTATTAATTATATTTCCAGGTATCCACACCATGGAATGTTATAATTATGTTTAAATTTCATTTTCAAAAATATATAAAACGAAATCAAGTTTCACAAATGGAAGAACTCAAAAGAACTTCTAGTTTGAAACTCCACTGAATAGAGTTGAATGAAGAAAAAAAACATTGAATAGAAAGTTAACAACGGCGCTTACGAAAATCTCAAAATATGTATGAACCTTATCATTAATTAGATATTTATGAATGAAATTCTACTGGAAATATGCTTTTATCAGTGCATAAATCTACCTACACATTATACATCCTTAAAATTCAAACGTTTTCGACCATTTTAAAATTATCAAAGGTTCAAAGGAGATGGAACTTAAAATTTTAAATGTAATTTGTAATTGTACACCTTTATAGAAATAAAAAATTAAATTAAATTAAATTAAAATTAATTTCAATACCTACATTTAGAAAAATTATCTGAAAATATGCAAATTCTGGTATGGACGTATAAGGACAATATTGATTTCTTATGTATGTAGTATTGAAGATGTTTCATTAAATAACATTATTGAAAAGTGATAGAAGGTGGGGAGACTAAAAGATCTCGTTTAACTTTAGATTGGATTTAATATCAATTTTCAATCAAAGTTGTCAATTTTTATTTAAGAGAAATATAAATTTTAAATTTATTTTTATTTAAGTCATTAAATTTTATTACCTATTCAGAAAAAATATTCAATACGCACATATGCAAGAAGTTTTAATTAGAAAATAGTATTTTATTTTCAAAATACCTAAGTAGATCCTAATTTTTTTATTTAAGGAAAGGAATTTTACAACAGATGTAGTCATCAAAATTCTAAGCGCAACAATCATAGATTAAGAATTCAATATTATTGTTAAAAATAATTTAATAAACCTTCTAATTGTTTATGTTCTTAAATAACTAGCTTCTTTCAATAAATTATTAGTATTTTCCTATAATGAAAATCATCTAACGATTTAAATCTTGTATGGTATCTAAAGATAAAACCTATATGTATTAACTTTCGATTCCATTCATTATAATATTGGTTTATTTGTTAACAAAATTTAATTTATGTACTTGTAAGATAATATTAAGATAATATTAAGGACAAGATTAAGGATGTATAAAAATTATGAACTTAATCTAATATTTTTTTATTGAAAGATGTGGAATTTTACATTTGTAAGGAGTATTTTTATAATAAAGTCCATACATATTTGCTTTCGGAAAACATAGAAACATTTTGAAAACATTGAATATTGAAAATTAAATAAACAATGGCGGCCAAAAGACTTCGATAGTTTAGTTTCATAAGCTCTTTTTAGGTGAATACAATATTTTACGATATATTGAGACGTGTGATACAAACATACGCTATTAAACATACGTTTATATTTATTCTATAAATATCTTAGACCATGAATTTTGAAATTTTATGAATGGAAAATTTTTTAGGAAATTTATGTTGATCACATTTTATTCGCTCATATATGAGCATATCAGTTAATTTAAATAAATGTTTTCTCTCCCCGGACAGAAAGTGTCCGAGGATCAGTATAATGAAAGGAAAGTATTTTGCTTATATAACCACAGAGTACTTTAAAATTTTAAAAATATTAACTAAATTTGATACATGTTTCTCAAACATTAAAAATTATTTATTTAACTTATGTTTTGAAAATTAACTTTCGAGTCAAGTTTGCAAGTTACTTGCAAGTTTCATAAATAGTATAGATACTTTACACAACAGCAGTACAAAAATGTTTCACAAGGTGAAATTTTTTAGAACTTTTAGAACAACTTTTTTTAATTTAGAACGGATCAGAGAGCCGACGAATCTTCAATTTTCAGTGTTATTTCCTATCACTTTCAACATGAAAGTGTCATAAATATATCATTCGAATACTGTAAAAGTCAAATAGCATAAATTCGAGTGTATTTAGGTCGTGAATGTGACGTGAATAGTGAATTTTTGAAATCTGTCTTATCAAAGAAATCCTGGATTTACATGATAGAATTAAGATTGTTTAATCGACACTATTTTTATATTTGCCGCTCTCTAAAGCAACTTTAAGTGTGTTAAATCCATTTTGCCAATTCTTTGCTGATGTGAAATATAATCCTTCTGCATAGCAGTTGAGCAAAAGCTAGTTAAGGAGTGGAAAAAGTCAAAAAAATAAAAAACATGGCGATGCCTCAAAATTGTTCACTCGATGATATTGATTTATCAGCATTGAAGGTGAGCAAAACTTTACAAATCGCCGCGTTTATCGATATGAATTTTCATCAGAATTTTGATAAAACAAATTTATTGCATCTGAGTCATCTTGGGTCATTTACTGGAATATATTTATGAACAACAATAGGTGTGGTCGGGATTTTTTTCTCCGTTGAAAAGAAAGAAAATGATGAATCTGAGAAAACAAAAAAAAAACATCATCTATACAAATACCCACACACACACGCACATAACGCAGTTCTAAATTTTACCCCAAATACAAATTGTTATCATGTGAAAAGTTTATTTAACTCAACAATTAATTTTATGCTTTTAGGAGCCAGCTGGCATCTTTGAGCTGATTGAAGTTGTAGGAAATGGAACGTATGGACAGGTTTACAAGGTTAGTTGACTTTTTATTTCATCAGGTTGTTTATTCAATAAAATTGTGTTTCTTTTCGCGAAACTTATTAATTGCTCGTTTCTTTGTTGTTTCTTAGGGTCGACATACGAAAACTGGTCAACTTGCCGCTATCAAAGTAATGGACGTGACTGAAGATGAAGAAGAAGAAATTAAGTTAGAAATCAATGTGCTTAAAAAGTATTCAAATCATCGCAACATTGCCACATACTACGGCGCTTTCATCAAGAAATCGCCGGCAGGAAAAGATGATCAACTTTGGCTCGTAATGGAATATTGCGGAGCTGGTTCAGTGACAGATCTTGTGAAATCAACAAAAGGACAAAGTTTAAAAGAAGAATGGATTGCTTACATATGTCGTGAAATTCTTCGTGGATTAAGTTATCTTCACACGAATAAAGTAATTCATCGCGACATCAAAGGCCAAAATGTTCTATTGACTGACAATGCGGAAGTTAAGCTTGTTGATTTTGGCGTATCAGCGCAACTTGATAGAACTATTGGACGAAGAAATACATTCATTGGTATGTAAACAATGATAAATTAACACGAAATTCTCATAAACTTTCTATTTTAGGAACACCATACTGGATGGCACCAGAAGTCATTGCTTGTGATGAGAATCCTGATGCAACTTATGACAATCGTTCAGATCTTTGGTCGTTAGGCATAACAGCTTTGGAAATGGCAGAATCTCAGCCGCCACTTTGTGATTTACATCCAATGCGTGCGCTCTTTCTGATTCCAAGAAATCCTCCGCCGCGTCTTAAGTCAAAGAAGTGGTCGAAGAAATTCCACGGATTCATTGATACAGTTTTAGTGAAAGATTATCATCAACGACCATATACGGAACAGTTATTGAAAGCACCATTCATCAAGGAACAACCGACTGAACGGCAAGTTCGCATCCAACTTAAGGATCATATCGACCGTTGCAAGAAACGTAAGCAAGAGAAGGAACGTGAAGATTATCATTATTCAGGGAGTGAAAATGAGGAGGAAGAACCGCAAACAGCTGGTGAACCTTCGTCAATCATTCAAGCACCTGGTGGCGATACACTTCGCCGTAACTTTCAACAAATCCAAGAGGGACGAGCCAACAATGGTGCCGAAGCCAATGGTGCAGCGAATCGCAATCAGAAGTCACAACCACAACAAATACCGCAACAGCAGATGCCATCTCGTGATAAACAGCTCGAAGAGCCAACACCATCAAGACCAGCACTGCCACAAAGTCATCGTCTTATTGTCGTTCCTGATCCACCACAAAATCAACATGCGAATCGACCACTTCCACCCACACCTAAAAATGGTTCATCATCATCGTCATCGCAATCAGCTCAGTCACAACAACAATCAGCCCAGCAACAAACACCACCGCAAAGGAATTCACAAAATCTCTTTAAACCGATGGTGAGTCACTTCAGATCTGATTTCTTAATTACTAATTGTTAAGCTAATTAAAATCGTTGATGTTTTCATGTCATGATGTCATGTTACATTTCATTTCCATGATTATACTTCTAAGAAATCTTTATTTATCTCTTTTTTATGTTTGTTTCTTTTCATGTTAAATTCGTTTTTGATTTGCGAAATAATTTCGAATGATGTCGTCAATTATTTATTTAAAACAAATTAATTAATCTTCATTTAATGCTTTTAATTACTTTCGATGTTACCTTCCTACTCGTATTTATCAATGGATGTGTTTATAGCTACCGCCACGTCGGCCTGAGGTAGGTTTTTAAGTTTCTTTTCTTTTGTTATTTTTCTCCACGTTGTTACAACAGAGAGGATCGTTTTTCATTGAAATTTATGATTTAAATTTACATTGAACATTTCATTTCGAATCTTCTCTCTTGTAATATATTCTCCACATTAATTAACGTTTATATTTTTTGGCTTCTTAATCAATTTAGTTTTAATCATCATGAAATCATTTTTATATGTTGAACGTCATTGTTTTCTAAGGAATTTTATTTGCGTCATAACAGTCATGAATTCTTATAATTAATTAGTAATTAGTGGAAAAACATTTCATAATAATGAATGCTGTGACATTAAACTTAACTTAATCTTAGAAAACATTGGCAAATAACAAATATTCCTCATAAAAATAAGAATAGTTTAAGAAATTATTCATCAATGTGTTGGCTGCATGTCCTCATTCTTCTTACTTGCTGCTGCTGCTGCTGCTACTGCCCAACTTTTTAACCCCCTTCTCTCTTTCGTACACATTCTCAACGCCTTATCACAATTAATTTAATTTCTTTTTTCTTTTCTCACAACTTTCCGTTACTTGACTTGATTGAAAGCTAAATACTTAACAGAAATCTGCTTCTTATTTTTTTTGTAATCTTTCTTGCGAAACATAAACCAAAAAAAAACAACCAACGAGTTGGTTTAATTTTTTTTTCATGTTTTTGTGTTTTATTTTCATTGTTCTCGATTCTCTGTTTCTGTCAATTCTTTTTTTTTCTTTCTCTCACTTATTGAATCTCCCTTTTTGTACAATTGTACACAACCACAAAAAAATAAATAAAACAATGATCCAAATGAAACGTACAAAACAAAAAAATCGAAACTCCCCCATCTTCAACACATTGATTAGGATTTGGACATGTTAGCTGCACAATTAAATGAATTGGGAATCTCGCCCCAACAGTCACAATCGCAGCCTGAAGCACCACCACGAAATAATCGTTCAGGATCCGCATCGGCAGGTGGAAAGCAATCATCGACAACATCGAGTAGTAACAATAATAACAACAATCAACCGGTGAATCCACTTGATCCTATCGACACATCGGATTCTGATAGCGAACCAGAAGAGCCCAACGATCGAACGAGAAACGATGGAACATTATTGGCGAGTGACCCGCCAAAGCCACTGTGAGTTGATCTAAATTCAGTCAACTTCTTATTTTTATTTCATTATCTTTCTTTGAGACAAAACTTTAAGTAAGAAACTTAATTAAATGAATGAAATGAAAGTAAAGACGTGTTGCTAATATTTGAATTATCATTTCTGACTAGTCCTGAATTTTCATATAGACCTGGTGGCGGTATTGGAATCTTGTCAAGCGATAGTACAGCAACAAGTTCGACAACCAATCAAGGCGGTCCACCAAATCGGCCACTTCCACCAACACCCGATGACGATGCTCAAGGAGATCGCACATTAATCATGAAACGGGTAAGTCCGTCATGCTCTCTTTCTATCTTCAATTATTTCAACAATCATATAAAAATATCACAGCTTTCTTTTGTCGTTTAATTAATGTTAATCTGCGTTTCTCACTCTCTTTTTTCTCTTTTATGAGAAAGAAATATTTAAGAATTTGAAACAATTGGTAGTAAAACAGAAGTAAAGGAAAATGGGTTTAAATAACAATTTATTGTAGCCGCATAAATAGATTTAATTAAACCTTCACATCTATATTTATAAGAATATTTATCTGCTCATGGGTTGTGCATTTCTAATTCTTTATTTTTGTGCTGCTGCTGCTGCTACTGTAACAGCAGAAAGCATATCGATGATGATATCAAATATTAATACAAATGGTTGTGGCGCAATTAAAATCAAAACCAAGAAATTATTCTCTTCCCTCTTTCACCTTTTTTTAATTTAATTTAATTACATATTTTTTACCTTTTGTTTCATTTCATTATTTAATTGATGATGTGATGAAAGATTTCGATAAAATAATTAATTTTTCATGCCAGCAAAACTTCTTGAATGTTTCATTGTATTTCTTATTTATTTTTATGATTTTTGCGAAATTTCGTTTCATCATTTGAACTTCTTTTCTTATTTTTTTTTTGTTGTTTTTTGTTTTATTTGATTATCATTTATTTTGATCACTGTTAATTTTGTTGAAAATGAAAAAAAAACACTCCAAAATAGAATCTCGCCAGTCAATCGTCAAGTTCAGTTGCAACAACTGGTTCGTCGACATCAACAACATCGGAGAATGACGAGGCGGTGTTGTTAAGAGAATGGAATTTCGAAAGATTCTTCCCAGAACGTTCGTCAATGACTGCTGTTGATAGTCGAAAGTTTGATAATAATTCAAAAGATAATTTGGCTTTTAAAGAGAAACGAAAGATTGAAGACATGAACAATAAAATGAAGCTTGAAAATCGTGTGAAGAACACAATTTTTACCAAAAACAATTTTGAGACGCCACAAAATCAGAAACTTGTGTTAGAAAATGCACCAAAGCAAGAAACGTCACGCTTTTCAAATTTCGTTCGTGGCTTTCGTCGTGAGCACACAGATTTCTTCCCACAAACCAAAAGACATTCAGCTGTTTATCCTGATAAACAATCATCCCCACCAAAAAACATTACACCGCAAAAGATTCAACGATCGAGTGCTATATTTCAACGTAATCGTGTTAAAGGCGAGCCGATCTTGACCGATTTTGTCGCAAAACGTGACAGTTCATTGAACAAGAAAATAAATAACGAGCGACCGCAAGAAGCCACGGTCAAGATGCGGCAATCAAACGCTAGTAATAATTTAGATCTCCGATTACGTCGTGAAAAAACTGAGTCAGTTATTTTCATGTCACCACGCAATTCAAACGCCCAACAATTTAATCCATCGCCGCAGCAGGTAAAGCAACGCAATCAGGAAAGAAAAAAAGAAAAAACAAATCTTAATTGCAACCCGTTTTTTTTTGGATCCAAATTTTTCTTTTTGCTAATTTATTTATTTATTTATGATTTTTTTTATAATTTTGTTTTGTCTCTAAAGCATGTGTCCGCCTTCTCATAACAACAATCATCACCCAGTGATTCATATTTTGTGTGTGTTTGTTTTACCAATGCCATTGAAGATGATAATCTATTTATGGCAAAACTTTTCAACAGATTAATTTTATTATCTTCTGTTTTTATATGTTTGGGAATTCTTTTGTTTTCTAAATTAACAAATCTTTTAAGGAGAATCAAAATGAAATGATTTTGAGAGGAAATTTCGCCATTGGTTGATTCGCTGTTCATCACAACTTCATCAATGTTCATCATAAATGTTGCATGCTGTTGGAAAATGCTTTTTCTTCGCATACATATTTGTATTGTCTAATTTTTCTTTCTTTTCTTCTCTCAATCTTTCGCTACATTCTAACACAACAATCAGAATAAAATCTTTTCTAACCATTTGTTTAATATTTGGCGTCTATAACATTGTAACATATTTACATAAATAATGCTTTATTTTGGACTATGAAAATAATTCGGAGAAATTTTAATAATCAGGAGGAAGATGAAAATAATGTTAATGTACATAAAAGTTATTGTAAAAAGGAGAAAAGTGATTTTCTTCCATCTTAATTAACTTACACGTTTTCTTCTTTTTCTTTTCTAATCTGATTATGTTTATTAACAAAAACAATTAATGTTATAATTATTTCTTTGAATTCTAGAATCGTGGCAGTGAAAATAATAATCTCGGAGCACGAACAAGCGTCTTACCAGATCTTTTAAGTCAAGCATCGCCAGCGACTCCACCACGTCACGATCGATCAACAAGCGAAGAGGTACGTAAAGCTTTCATTCAACTTCTTGCTATTGTAAAATGATCAATTGTGTAACTTTTGTGTATTCTTCCGTAACAAAATTTTTAATTGGTCACGAGTCGTGAAGTTTTGAAGTGACATGGAAACTTTTTGATTATTTTTGTTAAGACATTTTTCCCTGAAAACAAACGACTACTTGCCACATGAATTTATAATTTTTTTTCTCTCTCTTCTATCCCTTTTTTTACTGTTCAAACATCCCCCAATGAGCTGATATAAATGACAAACTTATAATCCTTTTTGTCTCAAAATATAAAGATTAATCTCGTTAATGTAAGTATTTTCCTCATATTCGTACTAAAAGTAGACATTATTAATTTAATTAACTTCTTGTTTGTGATTTCAAATCAAATAGAAATACTTTTGATTATCAAGAAGAAACAGAAATTGTTCTAACCAACTAATCAATTAATTTTTTATAATTTTTTGGAATTAAAAATGAACAAAATTACGTAAAATTTCTTGTTATGTTGTGCATGCTTTAATTTATGTTTTCGGAATACTTTGTGAATGACGTCATAAGTTTTGACAGTTTTAACCAAACTAACAAATATTTTTGATTATCTTTTTGACTAATCGAATTAAAAAGAAAAAAGAAAAATCCATGCAAGAAATCATAACGACGTCATTTATAAAATATCCCTCAAAATTTTAACTGAAACTTTTTAATTTCTTTTTATGATTAAAACGAAACTTTTTTTTCATTTTCTTTCTTTCAAATCTTGATTTTAGTATCGCGCTGCTGTCAGTTCAACTCATTCCACCCCCACAAAAACATTTAATTCCCCTCACACCTCCCCTTTTCATTCTCATTCTCCACAAATTCAAAATCATTCACCCTCGAACCATGATAAATTGGCTCACTCACCCCATTTAATTCATCCACATTCACTTGCCTTTCAACAGAAGCAACGAAGCTTCCTTACGTTTGGGTTCGGTGCCGGGAGTTCCGGCGGTGCATCTCGTCGTGAGAGTCACGTAAATGTAAATGTCACGCCAACATCGCAGCATGATGCAACAAGCGACACACCCGAAATTCGCAAATATAAGAAACGATTTAATTCGGAAATCTTGTGCGCTGCTTTGTGGGGCGTAAATTTGCTCATTGGAACCGAAAATGGTTTGATGTTGTTGGATAGATCTGGACAAGGCAAAGTGAGTTGATGATGATGTTGAAACTGTTTCTATGTCATTAATTTTCGTTACTTAGGTCTACCAATTGATTTCTCGTCGACGATTTCAACAAATGGAAGTCCTTGAGGGTCAAAATATTCTTGTTACGATTTCCGGAAAGAAGAATCGAGTTCGTGTTTATTATTTGTCTTGGCTGAAATCAAAGATTCTCAGAACTGATGGATTATCAGATGTAAAATAAATTTTCTTTATTTATTTCTTTCGAGATGTCTAGCCAAAGGCATTCACTAATTTTAAATAATGAACTAAGAGATTTAAAGAGGAAATAGCAGCGAATGTTCCATGGCTACACATCTGCTTTTAAATTGCTTTCAATTCTTTTAAATTCTCATACTTTAATTCGATTTCGCAGCAAGTTGAACGACGCAATGGATGGATAAATGTTGGCGACCTACAAGGTGCTGTTCATTTTAAAATTGTCAAATACGAACGAATCAAATTCCTCGTGATTGCACTCAAAGACTCGATAGAAATTTATGCGTGGGCACCGAAACCGTACCATAAGTTTATGGCATTTAAAGTGAGTTTTAATTGTGATGTGAGATTTGAGAATTTCAATTTTTTCCTTTCTCAAACAGAGTTTCGGTGAATTAAATCATCGTCCATTGTTGGTTGACTTGACAGTTGAGGAGCAGACGCGATTAAAAGTCATTTATGGATCTGCTGATGGCTTCCATGCTGTTGATTTAGACTCAGCGACAGTCTACGATATTTATCTGCCAAAACATGTAAGTTGAGCTTTTTTTGATCTTTCAGTTCATTTCTCAACTTCATTTATAATTCCTAAAAGACTCAAGGACCAATCTCGCCGCATTGCATTGTCACATTGCCAAATTCAAATGGCATGAATCTTCTGCTGTGCTATGACAACGAGGGTGTCTATGTTAACACCATGGGACGTGTTTCGAAGAATTTCGTTCTTCAATGGGGTGAAATGCCAACGTCTGTCGCTTATATTGGGACTGGACAAATTATGGGATGGGGCAATAAAGCTATTGAGGTAATTAATTGAAAAGAGAGAAGCTTTCGCTAATATGTCAACTCACTAATCTCTTTTGGTTGTCTGTTTGTTTAGATACGTTCTGTTGAAACGGGTCATTTAGACGGTGTTTTCATGCATAAGAAAGCTCAACGCCTTAAATTCCTGTGTGAACGCAACGATAAAGTATTCTTTAGCAGTGCGAAAGGTGGCTCATCATGTCAAATTTACTTCATGACGTTGAACAAGCCCGCAATGATGTCATGGTAAAAAAATGCCATGGACGAGACACAACACGAAAAAAATGTATGAAGATTGTTGTTGACATCAGATGTGTCAACGGCCAGAAAACAAGAAATGAATGAAAGATGATGATAAAAAACATTAACGATAAAAAAATATATTAAATAATGAATACACGCATATATTCTACATTATTAAAACCTATTCAGACATTTTAGTGCTTACGAGGAGATTGGATGAAAGAATATCAGTTAATAGAAAGTTAAAGGAATGAAAAACATTTTTCGCTCTGTTTAGTTCGTTTTTTCGCGTAAGTAGTGATGTTGTAACGACAAAATGATGTCGAAAGGAAACTTTTTTAACTCGCTCATCGTGTTTAGTAAAAAGAAAATTCAAATTCTAATATGAAAGCTTCAAATTTTCGCGATATTTAGGTTTTTCCTCCCACGCATAAATTTGCTCGCGATTATAAACGATTAGAAAGAAGAAAGAAAGAAATTAATTACAGGAAATCTTATTTGAAAATGAAAAGCATTTATTGATAAATTTATTTTTGCTGTTCATTGTTTGTGTCACAAGTTTAATTAATTTAAAACACAATAAAATAAAAGAGAAGGAAAATTCAATTTTGACATAAGATGAAAGACTAGGAAGTAAAATAATTAAAAAAAAATTGCAATAGACATAAAAATATCGACAGGATAATCTTTAACACAAAATTTAAACGAAATGCTATTTTTTATACGCTAATTGTCAAAATATTTTCCACCAATCCTTTTCCTTTTTCTTTTACGATAATTCTCCATTGAAAAAACAAAAACAGTAACAATTAAAATCGTAGACAAAGCATTTCAAGTAGAAAAAGCAAATAAGGTAATAAAGAAAAACTAAAAACACTTTTTGATATAAAAAACAACGCTACTAAATGAAACCGATAAAATAAGAAAATGAAAATGTATTATAAAAAATAAAAGCATGAAAGAATTTTCCATGAAAGTAATAAAAATGAAAATTGATATTTCGTGCAATTTTTAAGAAAAAATTCATCATTTTTGGAGTTTTTAATATTTATTTAAGTGATCTGATTTGTTTTATTAATTTCCACAGCTGCACGAATTTCAAAATATTTAATTCGATTTCCTCCTCTATAACAATCTCAACTTTATGTTTATTATGTTTTCCTTGTTTTCGTTTTTAAATAAAAGAAGCATTATTAAAAAATGTACCTTATTCGTTTCATAAGTTTAAATTTGTGATCAGGATATTTTTTGCGAATAAATTCCGTATTTAGCATCGAAGGATAAACAACAACATCAGCATTGCAATCAGCAACATTCATTGATCTTCACAGCCATCATGTCATTGATGATATTCATTTAAATTATTGCAAAAGTCATTTCGTTTTGATGCATTTAAAAAATCGTTAACCCAAAAACAAATAGAAAACAAAATGTTAATTTATAATTTTATAAAAGTCAATGACTAAAAGGTTTCACATCAAAAATATCATCATTAACGTTAACTGAGATATTTTCAATCACTTTATTTATTATTTATTTCCGTATAGCCAATCGTTCGACAAGTTACAATAATTTCCATTTGAGAAATCAAATTACGGAAGCCACGACTCGCTTCTTTTACAATGTGCCATTAAAATAATCTAAAAAATTTACATAATTCCGTCACATGTGAAGTTCGATTGATTTGAGAAAAAAAAAGATTAAAGAAAATAAATTCAAACTGACTCATGAAAAATTGCCAAATATTTGTTAACAAAAGACTTAAGCGTGACTTTTATAAAAAATCGATGCTACGCTTGTGCTTCACCCACTTGAGAAATATTTATTTTATTTATTTAAATGTGGATTTTTCGCTAAATTAATTGATACAAGGCCAATCAACATCAAACATATTAAATAAAACAAGTTTTAGTTTTTTTCAAGTTACAAAAAAAATCATTTGACTGATGACGATTTATTTTCGATATTTTATGGTAAGGAAATTTTCAATTGTACATCAAAGCATTTTCACAATTTGTTTAAAGAAAGAATTTCGTTGCTTTGCTCGAAGTGCACCTCATTAATAATTAACAATCCTATGATGAAGGAAGATACGTTGGAGCAGGTGTTGACACTGGCGGTGCTTTTCTAGGTGCTGGTTTCGTTGGTGTTGCTTTAGGCTTGGGTGGTGCTGCTTTAGGCTTGGGAGGTGCTGCTTTAGGCTTGGGTGGCGCTGCTTTAGGCTTGGGTGGCAAGTATTCCTTTTCTGCCTTTACAACTGGCTTTGGAGGGGCTGCCTTTGGCTTTGGAGGCGCTGCTTTTGGTTTAGGGGGTGCTGCTTTAGGCTTAGGGGGTGCTGCTCTAGTTGGTGCTGGTGGCAAATATTCTCTGTCTGATTTCTTAGCTATAACAGGGGCTGGCTTTGGAGCTGCCTTTGGTGCTGGTTTAGGTGCTGCCTTTGGTGCTGGTTTTGGGGCTGCTTTAGGTGCTGACTTTGGTGGCAAATATTCCTTCGTCTGCTTTGGAGGCAAATATTTCGAAACATAAGCGTCAACAACTAATTTTGGTGGTGGTCCTCTTCCTAAAGTTTTAATTAATGAATAAGTTTTCATTGTCAATTAATTAATTTGTTTTCCTCTTACCAGGTGGTCTAATTCAATGTAATTGGTGGATTGAAAGAAAATGTAAAAGCCAAATTTTGACAGATAATTTGATAATTTCTTACCCTGGTGGTCCTATGAAGAAATAAAAGGAAAACAAAATTATTAAAGGGAAAAGTGTGGGAATTTTTTTTTATTTTAACTTACCTGATAAATTTAAAAAGCGATAATAGAAAGAAAAATAAAAGAAAAGAAATGAGGCATTAATATAAATTTCAAATAAAAGTAAAACATTCAACATGCAAAAAACAGATGCTGTTAGTAGCAAATAATTATAATCTAAAAACATTTAATAAAACACAAACATGCGATAAGAAATTTTTCACTCCCTAGTTAACCAACTTCTGTGCAGATAATTATGTACAAAACTAAACTATAAAAGAAGTAAACATAACATGCATGAAATCTAACATAAATACATAAATATTATTTGTGCATTGTGTGGTGGAATTGTGCTTTGTGCTGGAAAAGAAATGTGTGGTAATAACAAACAAAAACGATCGCAATCCATTGAAAGATCAACGAACATGCAAACATGCAAAATGCAACTGCCCGAAATCCATGTCTTCTATCTACGACATGCTTGAGAAATGCTTTAAATACCTGGTGGTCCTGGTGGGCCAGGACGGTAACGACCAGGTGGTCCTGGTGGTCCAGGTGGGCCTGGTGGGCCAGGTGGGCCTGATTTTCCACGATTTTTTTTTAATTTTAATTTCCATTTCAAAAGCTTCTGATTATGCATCAGTTCGATATAAAATCTTTTTACTTACCGGGTGGTCCTTTAAATTAAATAATAAATAGCAAAGCAAACTTAATTTAATGTTAACTCAAATGAATATAATTTTTTATAATCACCTGGTGGTCCGCCGGGTCCGCCGGGTCCTTTGATTTGAAATTTAAAATAAACATAAATTAATTATCATTTCTTGGAAGTAAATTTCATAACTTTTCTTCTTACCTCCTGGTCCTCTACCTCCGAATCCGCCTGTGTTAATAAAAAAATATTTCTTTATGGATAGAAATAAGATATTTATTTAGAATAATCTCTTTACTGACCGAAACCGCCTACACCGCCTATGAGTAAAACAGAAAAAGGCAAATAAGAAAAGGTTAAAATGATTCAAAAAACAAAATTTTCTAATGCATACCGAAGCCTCCGACTCCACCAAATCCTCCTGTTGGTCCCATGAAGTTGTTTGACGGCCTTGAAAAAGCGAAAAGAAAAAGAAACATCAAGACCGTTAGACGACTTATATTCGCAAACATTTGGTAACCGGTTACCCTTCAATGTGAATATATCTTCCTCGGTCATCGGGAATGTATTGACCTGATCCGTCTGGATTGTATTGACCTTCTGGGCCTCTGCGATAAGAGCCTGAATCGTCTGGTCGATACGCGCCACTGCCGTCTGGTGAGTAAGAACCTGAAGCGTCAGATATGTATTGTCCACTGCCGTCTTGTGTGTATGAACCTGCACCATCAGTTCTATATTGTCCACTGTTGTCGGGCACGTATTGACCTTCCTTCTGACCGTTGCTACAATGTAGCAATGCCGGCATCTGAAACATTATTTATGTGAACGTGATGAGAAACATTCACTTTTACATCATAACGAGATTATAAAAAAAGGTGCAATCATCCATCATCTGACAATCATCACACATAATGATGCTGAAAATTTGTAACATCGCATCGTGAAGATTAATTCGTTTTCATTGCGCAATGACATGATCTATTTGGATTGTCAAATTTCACTGTGTGAAAGAACAAGTTTCGATCTGTTCGTCTTCGATTTTATTAGTTTAGTATCGAAAAATATTTTTGTAAAGCTCGTTCGAATAAATTCAGTAAATTAGCATCACTTCCTACATTCCAGAATGTGAAGAGTCAAAACTAAGCTTTGTCAAAGCAGTATAACAAGTTAAATATTATAGAAAACAGAATTGGATCATCAAAAAAAGCTGCTATGGCAAGGGCGTTGGTTAATATTATGGATATTATGATAATCGTTTTTATTCGCAAATTCTCTTCTTTTCATAAAATTGTTGTTTTTATAAACTTGAAGCTTTTTTTTTCTTGATATTTCTTTGAAAGACGAGACATTGAACACATCTTTTTATTATCACTAAAGACTCAAATTTCTTACATGCAAACATTGAGAAAAACATAAACTTCATGGCATAATTTAGAGTTTCGCTTTGCACTTGACATTTCCGTTGTTCGCACACAAATACCAAAAAATTCGGACCGAGCTTTTGACTTGATTTGGAAAAAATAAAATTCCAAAATTAAATCCGAAGCGAATTCTAAATTCATATAAAAATATTGAATTAATTAACTTACTTATATGTTGAGACTTAAGCAACGGGCAGTCGATTAGCATAGAAAATCGATTTCTTTATTGTCTTATGAATAAATCAAATATTGATAATGCCGGAAAATTTTTAATTTGTTTGCAAAAAAAATGATAACCTCAAGTAGTTTACCTTGTTGTCGTGTGAGATGCTTTCTTACAAAAAGCTTCATTCATATTATTTATTTATTTATTTATTTTCTTATGCAATTCTCAGCAAAGTCAAGATATAACTTGTTAATGAATTTATTTTATTCATTTTTTTAACTATTTAAGTCAAGTCTGCGGTCGTCAAACAAAGTTAGAGCAGCATTTAAAATGCGCATCTTGCAACTTTGAAAATGTTATAATTTTTTTAACATTTCTGATGAATATTGCACAAGATATTCGAATATAAAAATTAAAATCTGATCCAAAGTCTGACATAAATTAAATATTTTATGATTTGCATCTAATCGGTTTCAAAAACTCTTTCAAACAATGTTTTGGACTTGTTCAGCTTTAAATTGACGCCCTATCTAAGTCAATTTAATAAATGTTTGCATAATGAATTATAGCAATAAGTCACGCGTAAATATAAAGAAATAAACAGTAAGCTAAGGCTGACAAGATAATATTGTTGATGATTTGTCAAAATAATGTCTTTGCTCAGACGCATTCGTAATAAATTTATGACAAATTAAAACCTTGAGGATTTCAAGCACGAGGCAGTCTGACTATCAAAGTCTTATTTATATGACAAGCGTGAAACTGGTGCTTGAAATGGTGATAATAAAAGAATACACAGTAAACCCTAAATTCGCGAGCACATATTTTAAAAAAGCGGTTGATCAGGATTCGTCTTGTTTCTATCTTCAACACTCGTCTACATCGAATGTGTTTAATTAAAATATTGAAGCATAAATTTTTGACACATTTTATTACAGTTTTTTACCCGTCTTGAAACATCATTAATATTTATGCGACACTAAAGCCATAAATCAATCAATACAGAGGTTATTTAGGTGTAGCATAAACCATGTAGATATCGTAAAATCCTCGAAAATTGTGGATTAATGTTTAGTTCAAATTAATGGTCACAATTTGAAGGAAATAAAATGAAGATGTTTTTATGATCATCTTAGATTAATGTTGGAGTCATGAATTTTGTAAAAAATATTTAAATATCCGATGAAATAAAATAATTCAGAATCTCCAAATAAAACATCCGGCAATGTCATTGTTAAGCTTTAGAAGAATCTTCACATCAATTTTGATCCACTCAATAATGATATTCTAGATCATGTTGCATTTTTAATAATATCATTAACAAAGCTATCCGAAGCCCACAAAATTTTAAGTGGTTCACTGTTGACATTAAGATTTAATCTGGATACTGAATAAATATATATCGTCTCTACATTAATCGTCTTCCCACAGAGCATTCCAAATCATGCAAAGATCAGTTTTTCCATTTATTATTTAAAATTTACGACCATATAAATTTTTAAGATCTTGCTGAGATTTCAAAGTCTTCTAAGACTTGAATCATCTTCAAATAATTTTGATCTGTATTCTGTTGTCATATTACTATTAATAAAGTTTTTTTTATTATGCAAAGCATGTTATTGATGTAATTTGGAAAGGTCAAACATTGATCGTGTTTATAACCATCATCAAACACATTTTAATGCTTATTCCTGTTTCAAAATCTCTTACAATAACTACCGTTCGATACGTAAAGACGAGCGCATTTATTCCTGACCACCTCAATATGTGGTGAAGCTTTCGCTTTCAATTTCACTCTTTTCGGTTTTTTTCTTGTCTCATTCTTTTTTTCCTTTCAATCTATGATGATACTTTTTTTTCGCTTCATTACACAACCGCAATCGATCATTATCTATCACAATTCAACTTTTTTTTTAATTTCTCCTTTTCTTACCAGGCAAAATAAAATTGCTAGTCTCATGACTTTTTAATTTTTTCTTAGTCTTATTTCGATAACGATCACTGCTCTTCACTACGTCTATAAAATTAATAAATAGTTTTAGTTGATGCGAATCGCTTGAAAATCAAAAAGCAACTGACAAAAATCCTTCCAGTGAATCTCTGTTATAAATGTATCGATAGATGTGAACTAGGTAAACTGGATTTTTTTCGCGTACAATATTTGGAAGCTTTTTTTAAAGGAAAACTGTTTCACGTGAAGTATCGTCTGTGAATGGCGAAGACGATGATGTGATACGCGATACTATGCGAAACCATCTGCCCATTGTTACACGCTTATAGAAATAATTTATTCAGCATTTGATGTTTGATGAAGCATTGGTGTTTTAACGTTTTTAAGGTATCTACTTGAACCTGAATTGGGAGCAGTTTTGATCATGTAAAATGATAAATGAAGGCATGTTTCATATGTGAAGCGCCACGTCGCATCAAAATTTCATAGAAGTTTATAAATGTGTTTGATCTGAATTATAAAATAAAATTTAACACAATCAATAGTTTCCTAAAATATCTTCATGGAATTTCATATATGAAAAAATTGAGAGTTGTCTATCGATTAATTACATCATTTTAGGGCTTTCAAGGGCGCAAATCTGGGTTTGTCATCACATGAAAAAATCTTTCATTATCAAATATTTAAACAAATTAAGATTGAGTTAGATATTGAGATCAATAGATCAGAGGATGATGACAATAAACATAAATTAATATCGTGTGAGAATATTTATTAGATGAGAGAATTATCAAGATTACATCACTTGACACTTTTTTATTCTTGTGTTTCTTCTTGAGTTTTCAAAGAAGCCTCAAATGGTGTTTAAAATTTATTTGAGATTTAATCTTTGATATGAAAAAGGTTGTAAGCTTCCATCTCATGTTTTGTCTTTGAATAAAAATCTATGTATCTATATGCTTTTTTTCAACAAAAGTTTATTTATAACAAGACAAGCTTTTATCATATGTTATGTGGATATCTTGAAAACAGAAAACGAGGAATGACATCATGTGAAAATATTTTTCTTTTAAACCTTGCCTTTATCAATATCCTGAATAGAACTAACGATTTAAGCATTTAAATTCGAATTTTTCAAACACTTATGAACCAGATTTTTGAGATCCATTTCAGCTCATTCATTAATTCATCTCATAAGATTTTTTTTATTGCTTTTCGGTTATATCACACGAATGTCGAATGTGATTTGACTGTTGTCAAATTCGCGATTTGCTTTTGATGAAAATTTTTAATTGGAGCAGAAGAAACCTGAGTTGATATTTGTTTTTGATCATTTAAATCTATTAATAAATAAAATTATTAATTAGTCTAAAAAAAAGATTTTGAAATTTATCACTTGATGGAGACGACATGACGACTGCAAATGTAGTTTTATACCTTTATGCAAACATTGAGTCGTCAGTTTCATGTTTGCATCTCGTGCCTATCGCTAAACGTTCGTGATCAATCTGAGATTGACTTAAATCAAGTGTAGATTGTCGTAAAAAATGACAATAAAATGGATTTATTTAAACGAGGTGATATAAACGACTTCACTGTTCATCCTCGCAAATTTTTCTATTAATAATTGGCCATTAAATTTGTTTTAAAAAATAAAAAGACATAAAAGCGTTAAAATAAAAATTTACAGTCAATTAATAAATAATTCAGTGGTCGATTGAACGATCACTTCTAATCTAAGCTCATAAAGGATTTTCAGTCGATTCTGATTGGCTGTTTTGAATAAGCAAGCTGGGAAGAATATTTTAATGAGACACAAGTTTTCGCACGCAAAATGTCTCTTTTAATTCTTGATCTTGGCTTATTCAGCAATGTCGGTACAGATGATTCAACAGATGAAATCAAACCATTGCCACATTGTCATCGTACGACCGTCGCCGTTATTCTTTATTAGTTTGTCATCAAAAATATATGAAAAAGAAAAAATTTACAAATGGGTTCGGTTTGATTTGTTTATAATAGCGTTCAACATGGACAAATATTATCGAATTTAAATAATTTTTAATAAAATTTCAGTTCATAGCTTTTATATCTCGCGCTCTTGCTGCCTGTTTTCATTCGATTTTGATTTTTTACAAAATTGAGAAGCCAAGAAAGAAGACGATGCAGAAACATAAGTCTCAGTTATTTATTTGACATTATTATCGCTAAGTCGTGCGATTAACAAAAATAAAAAAAGAAGAAGTAAAAATTAAAAAAATTCGCATTTATTCGCGGAATTGACTTTGGGTATGAAGATGAACTGATTGTTATGCTTATGGCGTTCATTGGAAATTAAAAGCTTTTAATTTATCACAGGAAAGCATTGATTCTTAAAACAAGTTTTGAATGTGCTTCAACGACTTCTTCATTCAATGCGGCAGTAAAAAAATGAAATTAAGTTTGAACTCCGATTTTATTTTTTTCATTAAATTCCTAACGATTTGTCATAATGACAAAGAATACAATTTTGTCACTAATCTTCTCAACATTATTAATATGTTTACTATTGATCATAATCAACGTGAACTTCATATAAAGAATCATTAAGATTTTTAGATTAAAATTTAATTTCAAGTTCAGAACGAAGTCGCACAAGAACAGCCAAGTTGGCTTCTTTATGCATCACGCATACGATTAATGAATCTTGATTGTGTACTTTTCACTGAAATACCTGTTTGCATAACAGTTGTAGATGATTTCGATATCGAAGATCATGACGTTTACGTTTCTTCTTATATTCCGTTTAATAAAATATCTCAACTAGTTTTTAAGATCACGACGTCATTGTTTCGATCTCTCATCAAGATTTGCATTTTATGTTCTCTCAGGCGAAACCTGTTTATCTTTGTTGTTAACAGCGTTTCCTATTTTGCTTTTTCTTTCCGATTGCTCTTCAGTTCTATTGTAACTTCCATCACGAACAGACGAAACTGTTGACATGAAGTTATCAATTTTAGCAGTGAGTCAACTTCTTCTATTGTTTAAGTTAATTATTTAAAAGTTCATAATCATTTTTCTTGTTTTTTATTTATTGTCAGTTTGCTGTGCTCTTGATAGTTCAAGTAGCTGTGGCAGGTCCACAATTCTTCAGTCAATCGGTTTCTTCATCAAGTTTCACGGGACCAAACGGTCAAGTTATATCGAGCAGTCTTTACACTGATTCCGCTGGCAATCGTGTCGAGAATGGAGTAAATTATCCTGCCAACAGTGGTCCACCGCCAGCTTCTCAACAATATCAAAACCCAACTCAAAGACCAACTCAAAGACCAACAGCTCCACCACAAAGACAAACTACTAGAGGTTCATCGAAATATGATTCAGGACAATACGTTCATGATAATAGTGGACAATACAAAGGCGAATAACTTGAAATTTATCTCGGTTGTGATGATTTCAAATTACATAACTTTTAATGATGGCTAATAAAAGTTTCTTAATTTATGAAGCTAATTACATAGAGAGTGCGTTGATCTTCATTCTTTTCTTTATTTCTTACACAAGCTGGTTCTTGCGTTCCATTCCAAGTGGAATGATGTTTCTGGTTTAGAAAGGAAGGTTCATTTAGTTCTATTCTTGCCTTGACAACTTCTGGTTTGAAATATCTCTCGTTAAGAAGACATAACATGCATTCTGGAAAAGTCTTGTTTTTGATGGTAAACTTCGATATTTTGCACTATTAAAAAAACCTGAAACTTATTTCTCTTTTGAAGATTTTAGCCTTGACGCTTTGGTTTGTTGACTTAACAAAAGCTATGTCGTTTAGTCAATCAGTTTCATCATCAATCGCTGTTAGTCCAACTGGAGGAATTGCATCAAACTACTTTTACACAAATTCTGATGGAGTTAAGGTCGTTAGTGGAACAAACGTTCCAATTCCACCAAAGGTGCAAATACTAAGTCGACCAGATTGGGATATTGATGAAAGGCGATGAACTCACTCACTCTTTCCACATATAAAATCGTTAGAGGGAAATTCAATTAAATTAATTTTTGATTGAGGCTTGTACACTTTTTATCGTCAATAAAACTTCAATGAAACAAATTAAACAACTAACATTTATATTTTAATAGCCTTCTGCAGTTATCTTCAATATCGTTTACTTTCCGATTACATTTTAAATTAGATCTGAAAGCTCAACACAAGAAAAAGCTTTTGGAAAAGCTCAAAAAAGCATTTTTGTTCCTTCAAAGTTTCTGAAAACACTGAAATGAAATTTAAATAAGCTTTGGTAATTAATTGACTGATTGACCATGCTCATTGATAATAATTTGGTTGTTGGTTTTGACACCTTCGCTATTTAATTTCAAAAATATGCAAATTTTTCGTCTGATTAAAATTTATTTCGATTCAATCTCGATGAGCTAAATGATTCATTAAGTAATAAAACTTCTCGATGTCGTAAAACTTTATAATTATTCTAGAGAATATAAATAAATAAATAAAAAGTTCCCCAGTAAGCTACATTGCTAGTTTTTTTATAGTCTCACTTTGAAGGCAACCTGTCTAGTCGTCGTTGGTAGTCGAATTTGAATTCGTTCCATTCATCAATTTTTGTAACATTTATTCAGTCACTTCACATAGGATATCAATGGCTTTGACTGTTATTTATGGAAGTTAGATTATCGCTTTCATTTGCATCTTCTTCGTTTTCCATTTAAGGCAAACTGAGGCAACTAAAGCAAATACAAAACAATATTGTAGAAGTGATGAAACCTGTTTTAACGACTTTAAGAATTGTTGATCGTTCATTAAAACTTACCACATGATTAGCCATCAGTTTTCGCTTAGCTTTCGAGGAGTAAAGTCAAGAAACAGGAGAAACGATGAAGAATTTTTTGACTTTTGCAGTGAGTTTAACATCCGATAAATTATGTAAAGTGTTGCTTGATCTTCACCTTGAATAATTTTTTTTTGATTTAAAATCAAGGTATTGTTGAGCGTTTGTTATTTTGTGAATGCAAACCCTCAATTTTTTGGACAATCATTTTCATCTTCAAGTGTTGTTAACCCAAATGGTAAAGTTATTTCGAAAAGTATTTACACTGACAGTACTGGAAGACGCATTGTGAATGGTGGAAGTGGTGGTCCAAACAGTTTCTTCCCTTCCCTCTCATTCCCATCACCAATAAACGAGCTTGTACCACCAAATCTTCCTGGACAATCTGCAAAGAATCAATATCGTCAGCAACCCCAAAATCCCGTCTATCAACCCACCCCAGCTCCATCTCGAGTTACCCGCCCTACATCACGACCACCCACAACACGACCACCTACTGCTCGTCCAACTACTGCTCGTCCAACATTTTCAAGTGGAAAAATTCCTAGTGGAAGTAAATCTGACGGATATTACGTTCACGACAACTCAGGTGCTTACAAACACGACGATCGTGGAAGATATATTTGGAGTAATTAAATCAAATTGTTCATATTCTTGTCGAAATTGCTGTAATTTTCCTTTATTAATATTGATTTTTCATTAAATCATTTTCATGCAAACGAAAAACTTTCATTGACTTTGGACTTTTAGAGTCTAAAGAATAAGAACTCGTGAAAACAAAAAACAAAACAGAGTTGATAAATTCTCATCTACTTTGTAGTTTAAGAATATTAATGAAAAGAAGACTTGCGTGAAATGTTTATTATTATTCAATATAAAGAGAAAGAATTAAAGTATTTTTGTTGATCTAATTGCATATTTAAATAGCATTGTAACTTGAGAAGTAAAGTTTGATGATTGCATTAAATCTACACTTATCATCATGATTCATCTACTTACATACTTAAAAAGAAATCTTAATATTACGACGATAATGATTATTGACTTGGGTGGATTGTTTATGCTTTCTTTCCGTTTTTTTTTCTTCAAGAAATTTAAAACTAAATATTAATTTTCCGAACCAGAAGATACTCTGAGAATTGCTGATTCTCAACACCACTTGAGTATCCTGTTGATGCTTCCAGAGAAAAGCCGCTGTTCAAGAGTCGGGTAATGACTTGGATGGAATTTAACTTGCAATAGCCATTAAGTGGAAATCTGATGACTTGTCGTCCCTCAAATTGATTCCACGCAACACCAGATCGCGCGTCGAGAATTGCTTGATTTGTTTCTGGGAAGATTTCATCAAGAACGCTTCGTTCCGATGACATCAAAATTCGTTCACCCAAGTCAGGTGAAATCTGTAAAGCGACCACTTCAAAGTTATCGCTATTTGTCTTTTTGATGGCTAACTGCTTTGTTCTATTTGGCGATGGTGAACGTGATGTAGATGTTTTGATTCCATTTCGCATTCGATCTCGTTTCATTTGTTCAATTTGTCGGATCATAGCTGTAGAAATGAATAAAAAAAAAGATTTCTGTTGACATTTTGAGATCACACACTCAGAAAGATCAATAAATATAATGAAAACCACTTCTAAGAATAAAAAATGTGAGAGAGAAACTCAAATACTCACGGACAATTTCAAAATATTTGGCTTCTTCCAAAAGCAACTCGAGATCACAGAAATCCTCCGCTATTAAAAGCTTTGAATTTCGCATAAAATTTAAAATGTGACGAAACATGTTTCCATCTCGGTCGATGAAGTAATGTTGTTTGAGTGAATCGAGAACGATGGGAATACTTCCGTTGAAAAGTTTAGCCAGACGTGACTCAGGATATCTGTCGAGAATAATTGAAATTATCGATTATTTAATGGATCAGGAAAATGACGTGAGAAATATCTTTTACTTGGTTAACGTTTCCAGAGATGACGTGTAGATTGTTCCACCCACGTCAATATGAACTGGCGCTGTGTATCGACTCGCTGCAGCGACGCACGGAATCCCTGTGATTGGTTTCGTATGAATACAGCCAGTGGCTGATGATAATCCTTGATTTCCCGGTGGTGATCCCGTTGTTGGTGTGGGAGATGATGAATTCGATGTTGGCGAGGTTGTAGGTGACGTGCTGTTTTAAACGTTTACCAAAAAAAAAAAGAGAAAAGCATTTAAAGTCAAAAGTTATTTTCGTTCGTTCGTTCGTTCAAAGCTGATATGGGACAACTAAGTCATGATAAACATCAACTCTACCTGATTTTAATTTGAGCATTTGGAAACAATCTAGCGCTCGATGATAAATCCCTGGGCTCCATTATGCTTTTGCTATCTCTGTCTCTCGGTTCAATATCACATTTTCGTCTGCAGGCAAAATAAAACGAGAATTTTTTTTGTGTGTAAAATTAATGTGTACATCCAAAAAGTATCTTTGGGCGATTTTTATGTGCCAATGGTTGGTGTGTTCATATACAAAGCATGCCATAGCGACGACCCGATGTTCAAAAAATGAACAAAAGAGGGAAAAAACCACTTAAAGGTGGGTAAAAGATGCTAATTTATTTCTTTTTCTCGGGGTGAAAAAAGGTTTGATTATTGGCTTTCATGGTTGTTTATTCGATTCACTGATTTTTTTTTTTTTTATTAATCTTTATGCCGTGACTCTCTGAGAATCTTGCATTTATTTTTTGTGTGTTTCATTGTGACATTTCAGCTGTTGTATCTATCCTATACAATCATATTTATTTTTAAATACATATCTATGTACATAGATATATTGCTAAAGTATCAAATCACAGATGAAAGAAACCTCACAACTCAAGAAAGCAAGCGAGCAGGCAAGTAAGAAGATACTTCTTCTCTTCCTGAAGTGAAAAGAGCGAACAGAATAAATAAAACAACAGCTAATAAATCTTGTTTCAAATCAAAAAGCTGTTTCATACCCTCGGGATGTAAAAACTTTTTATCTGTCCCGTTGACTGGTCCGAAAAAATTGTATACTTATAAAGCAGAACAAAACAAGCGAGAGTGAGAGAGATACTGATGTAGCTTTTCTTTCTTTTAAGTTAAATTTCATTCTTGCCCGAAGCTCTTTATAATGAGATAAATATTAAATTTCCTTTTGTACATCGAGAGAGCTCTTTGCTTTTGTCTGGTATGTGTTTATGTTATTTGAGCCTACACAGCTGACATCGGCCTTAACACAAAGCACAAGATTAAAAAGAAGCGATGAGCAGGCAAGTATAAGAAAAGAAAACGCATTAAATCACACCGTGGGAGATTTCGTCGATTTATGATGTTAAATTTTTTCGTTTAACTTCATCATTTGACGAACGAACATTTGATGAACTTCAATGAGTTGATACTTTGAAAATCCACTTAAAGTTAATTTGTTGGAGATGCGTAACAGATGTTCATTCGAGTAACTTCATTTAACGTTTCGCCATAAAATTTTTGACGAAAGGAAAAGAAAGGAAGGAAGCAGAAGAGAAAAAAAAGCATAACAGATTTGGTTGGGTCTTCGCTTTAACAAAGATTTGTATCTGGCGTGCACAAAACAAAGTTTAATTTGAAACTAATTTATTTTATTGCAGAAAGTACAAGGCTGTGGCAACACGACAAGCCTCATTCGTTTCAGAAGATGTTGAGTTGTGAAGGAAGAACAATAAAAAAAAGTGTTACTCTGCCTCGTCTGTCTGTTCAAATCTTGCTACTTGAATTGGCAATTATAAAAATGCAGAAGCCAATAAACGGAAACGAAAGAAGCGGCGAAGATTTTAATCTTTTTCTTTCTTGATGTGACTTTTCAAACTGATGATGATAGTGATTACGAATCCTCCAACGAACGCAATAATAAATACTTATGTAGCATTGACTTTTGAATTAAGGAATCCAACACAAGACTTTCAATCTATTTTCATTCTCTCCCTTTCTCTCTCTCTCTCTCTCCCTCTTTTATTTTATTTTTTATTCAAGCAAAAATAGCCCATGGGAAGCTTTTCATGATTGTATTCGATTCTGTATTAAGGAAACGTTATATCGAAGTCAAGTCAAGTCCCGAAGGCGTGTAAACAAAAAGTAATAAAAGTAAGAAGAAAAATAATTAATTGAATGTCATTGTGACGAGGACCTCGAGGAGTGATTGCTTAAAAAGTAAACGAAATATTTCAGGCATGAAAATAAGTATTTTTTGATGTTTCAACTAGTTTAACTACCCTTCATCGTCAGTGAATTGAATACAAAAGACGTCTCACGACAAAGTAAACACAATCAACAACAGTAACAGCAGCAGCAGCAGCAGCAGCGATATGAAAGTGCAATAAATATTCATGAGCAGAATGAAAAGAAAACCTTTGAGAGCGAGATCTCATAAATCGAAAACAATTTTCAATTGGTGTTTTTCTTTTCTGTCACTTTTTCATTTTTATGACTCTGAATTACTTCGCCTAAAGCTTTGTTTTCGTTCATCTTCCCTTTCAATTCCTATTCATCTTTTATATATGTGTGTGTATGTGTTTAATACATGTTTCCTTCCTTCTCGAGATTTATATTATTATTTTCAAACGTAGGTAAATTTATTTATTTTATTTGAATTGTTTATGAGGGAAGGAAAGAATTTGCGATTCTGTAGAAGAGTTGAAAAAAAAGCTAATGATTTAAATCAGAAAAATAACAAGCAAATTACAGTCAACAAGACACACGATGTAAACAAATTAAAATCATCATGAGAAATGAAAACACAAAAGATGATGTTGGTATGTTTGAGAAATTAGTTTTCATTTAACATGCAGAGAAGAACAAACATCAAAACATGCACATGACCTCAAGTATCTATACAAACAAAAGATTTCAACGAATGAATGTTATTTGAAACTATCTATGAAAGGTAAGACATGTATTAGATAGTCATAACAAAAACAAAAGGGTTCTTCAATGCATGCCTCTTGGATAACTTCAATTCTTGATGTATCTGCACTCTTGAATATGGACATAGATTTCATGTCATGAAAGCTCTCAGAAAACAATTTATAATGAACATTTCATTTTCTCGAAATTTTCAACAATATCTACTAGTCCACAAACTTTGCTTTTCATTTATGTACAATAAAAAGTTTCCACTTTGTTAAGGAAATTTATAATGGTTGATGAGGCAGGATTGATGATGTTATTCTTCACTGAATGAAGATACTCGCATTACCATTATATTGTGTACATACATGCATGTACTTGATTGTACGCTTCAAGCTAAACTCAAATTAAAAATTATGTAAATTCAACCTCTTCTAGATACGATGCATGTTAAGGAATCAAGGGTAACTCTCTCACTCACTCTCTTTTCTCTACTCAGCTAAAGCGTTAGAGAGGGTGGATATACTGACATATAAAAACTTTTATATAAAATAAATTTTAAAACAGCTTTTGAATTAGAAAGAAAAAAAATCTAGAAGGAAAATTACGAAAATAATCAGCATACACCGAAAACCTTTTTTTATTTTAATTACGGAACATTTACTTAAACATAATACAAATATTTAACTTTGAATTTTTTACTAAAGATTGTTGGTGATCCTCGGAAAACTCCGAACTGAAATGTTTTCCACATATTCCATGGAGCAGGAAAATTCTCATGCAAATATGTTTCCATCAAATAAAAAAAGAAGATTTTAACATTTTTGAGTTGATGAATAAACATCCACATGGTTTAGAAGAACAAGAAATGTTGAAGGGTAGTAACGAGTAAGAATGTTTGTAAAAAAAACTTTTCAAATTATACAAAAATATAGATGAAATTAAAAAAAGGAAGAAAATGTTATTTTAGGGTTTTGTGTTTGACAGTCGAGCGAAAGGTATGAAAAGGTAAATTATAAAATTGACGTAAGTCATCCACAACCATGTGTGTACGAGAAAATTAATCAAACTTTTGTGAAGGCAGTTAAATTATTTTATTCCACAAAAAAATATCTCGACAAGGATTCTGACATTTCTGAGACATAATTTATTCCAGAATTTCATTAACAGATTCACAATTCACCAATAATGAGAAGTTTTCCTTCATTGAATGTAAAGAGAAAAAAAATGAAGGCAATCGCCTGAAGCCATCTTTGCATGAGAAAAAGCCTGAGAATGTTATCTATTTCATTTCATAGTCCATCGAGTCGGATGTAGCTTCAAGGCGAAATGTTCAAAACAAGCGAACCCATCACCCCAAGAACTCACACATTTTTCGGATGGATCTCCAACGAAAGATATTTGAGAATGAGAATGTTGAGCCTCAAGCTACGAAAGCGAACGTTCCTTGAGAACAATCTATTGAGAACTCTCTGAAGACATGACTCTATGTAGATATATTATGTATGTATACATTGCTATATTGGATCCAAGTATATTTAGAGGCATCCAAAGCGAAAAAAGAATTGAACGAGAAAAACAACACAATCTCAAATGGCTTGCAGCCGTAGCGGAAATTCTCGTGGGCTTTATTTGATTCATCGGATTCGTTCCTAAGCTACGGTTTAATTTGAAAACTACGTCATCATTGAGGCTTTATGCTTGGTTTAATTTCCAAGAAATAATTCCTTTGTATTTTAGTTAATCGCGAATGCGAATTGCCTGCCAGCTAAGCTAAAATATTATTCCGTCTCAAAATTTACAGAAAACGAGGTTCAGTTTAAAATATTTTCATCTTTTCATCTTTCTTTCGCATTTTACAATATTTACAACCCTTAAGCGATCGCTAAGCTTTATAGCTCTTATACGCATATCGTTGTCGCTGTTGTTCGTCAGGGAAAAGAAAAGAGTAGAGTTCTTTCAGCAATGAAAATCTTCTCAAATTCCTCGTGTTTGTGTACGTATTAAAAAATATTTATGTAAACTGAATTGCCAACGAACGCTCATAAAGACGAAAAGTATAATCGCAAACGGAGCGAAGGTTCTTTTGTAACTTTTTCGTTTGATTTTTTCGAAGATATTTTTATATAAAGGAAATAGTCGCGTTATAGCCCCAAAGCCACATCATATCTCATCCCACGTCGCTTCATTTTTCATGAAAGAAAAAAAAAACTTTCAGAACATGAAGAATAATGTTTGTAGTGCAAACATTTCATCTTGAAGATCATCCAAGATAAGGAAGAAGTTTTCAAAAAAAAATATTAACTTTATTCCATGTTTTAGGAGTTTTCCATTAAAACTCTTTATCATCGTTGACGACATTTAAGCTTTAAAGCATTTTTATTTTGTTGAATTTTTTTCAATTTATGCATGAACAAAAGTTTTTTTTAAAAAATGTGATTTTTCCACAGTTTTTTTTTGTTTTCACATAAATGTATGCATGAGTTATAAAGCTTCAAGCATTTTCTCATGATTAAAGTTTGAAATTGTTGAATATTAAAAAATGAATTTTACGTTTAGTTGAAATGATTTTATGACTGTGGAAAACCGAGTCGTTCATTGCAAAGATTTCTGTTTATTGCATTGCTAAAGAATAAAGTTTTGATTATTGCCACTCATTACGAAAACTATTCGTGATTGTGAAGATAAATCTTAAAACTCAGATGCTGGTTTCGGATATTTTTTTACTCATTCTATCTCAAAATATAAATTTTATTAAAAGATTATGGCATTCCATAAAAAAATATTCGTGCTTGTGTTATGTGTTAACCAGAAGGGTAAAAATTTTTTTTTTAAACATTGACCAACACCAACAATATCAAATTCCCTCGACGCTGATACCAAACAAAAAAAAATTCAACACAATTTTCTTTTTATCCCGAGGTGATGGCCTTCACCCCGAGCATTTTGGGACCAGTTACATTTTAATTGCATCTCGTTTTCCCAATCTATTCTAAATCTCACTCTATGAGCCCGTTCGCTTAAAGCTGTTGAGGCAACAGAAAAAAAAAGCTTTCGAAAGAGCAGAAAAAAATAAAATTGGATGTGTGTAGATATGCGATATGAGTTAAGGAAAAAAAACTTCATGAAAAAGCGCTGGCAGCATAATTCATATTTTTCATAATATTGAAAATTTACATCAGCTCAGGACGCGTTTATATATACACATAGTTAACTGATACATATATTAAATTACAGGTTCAAGTTATAAAAAATGGCGAAATGTTTAAAATTGAGCTTCAAGTGCTTGATTTAATGATCGAAAATTGGAATGATGCATCTGTCGCCACACGACAACGTTGTTTGTGCCATGCAAAGACTGGAAGCCAATGACACTTTTGTTGCATAAAATAAAAATGACATGCTTGCTGATCGACATTAAAACTATTGGAAATGTTACAATTACCAGGCATACATATTAAAATTAATTGGGACGACGAATGATAGCAATTTCCTCCGTAACAAAATAAGTTAATTATAAGTTTTACATTTTAAAAATATTTATCGAAGATTGTACCTTTTAACATTAGATGGAGGATCGAATGACATCATACTTTTCACTTTTGCATCTTAATCATACACTCAAATATTATTTAGATATGTGAAATGTCAAGTCACGTTTATTATCCACTCCACAACGATTTTACAACAATGTCTTCACTGAACTGTGTTTGAAAACAAACTGAGACGTGAATGTTTTGTGTGCTTGAGCACAGCATGAAAATAATTTTCTGTGTCGAAGCTTTTTATGCTCTCATTGCTGATTTTCTCTCTGATGATTGTTTCTTCTCCATGATAGCATGAAAATCGTGATTAAAATCCTTTAAGCTTTTTATTTCGTTTTAAGAATTTATCGTTTTGTTTGGACGTTTTTCTTTTAATATTATTATTTTTTCCTTTCTCCTTTAGAACTCTTGGTTTCGACTCGAAACTAGAAGAACTTCCGGAAACAAAAGAAGGAAAACTTCACTTAAGCACACATAGCCTTAAGCATTCTTTCAAGAGGAATAAGAAGCAGAATATTTAAAAGAAGAAATAGCGGCCTCGGCAAAAATATCAAGCGAATGTTATCTATTTCATTTCATAGTCCATCGAGTCGGATGTAGCTTCAAGGCGAAATGTTCAAAACAAGCGAACCCATCACCCCAAGAACTCACACATTTTTCGGATGGATCTCCAACGAAAGATATTTGAGAATGAGAATGTTGAGCCTCAAGCTACGAAAGCGAACGTTCCTTGAGAACAATTGAGAGTTCACTCTCTATAGACTCGACTACATCGGATTTATTTCTTGAATTTGGTTTGCAAGGCAGAAAAGAACTGAACGAGAAGAATAACACAATCTCAAATGACTTGCGGCAATTCCGAAACTCCTCGTGGGTCGCATTCGATTCATCAGTTTTGTTATTGTTTATGATATTTGATCGCAACATTATCGGATCATAGACTGGTTACGTAATTCATAAATTGTCTTCGTTAAATTTCATTTAAATTATCATTTTTGACGTGCTTTTACTAAAGTATAAGTTTGAAGCTCCTCGGGCCATTTCTCATGATTAAAGTTGAAAATTACTCAATGAACTCCAATAGAAATAAAAAATAATAGAGAAATAGAGTTAACACAAAGCTAGATTGCGAGTAGGAGGAAAAGAAAAACATTTACACGTCGTTTGCAAATTTGTCGAAACGAGACGTACTATAAATATAAAATTAGGATTAAAAAATATAAAACAATGGTCACTAGAGAACATTTGAATGTTTGCATTTATGAATATATTTATGTATGAATCAAATATGTAGATATATGCTCAACGTCAATACAAATGGAGACCAGAGACCACAGAGTTAATGAATAAATACACATTCTGCATAGCTGGCGGATATAAAAATTCGCCTTTGGCCTCTGCTTGAAATCAGCTTTTTTTTGGGACCAGTTTCATTTTAATTGCATCTCTCGCTTTTCCTACTGCTCCAGCAAACTGAGCAGGGAGAAAAAATTTGCCGCCAGCGAGAAACAGAAATATCAAAAAAAAAAAAAGTTCTCGAACGGAAAATTGAATGTGTATGTAGGAATATGTGGTGTACGAAAGGTTCACGAGAAAAATGCCTGGAGGGAAATTAATTTTTTTTTCATAATATTATAATACTTTTTAACAGACACATCCCAACAGTTTCATCTTTCTTCAACTTATTCCTTCAAATAAGAGAAAGAAAAAACTTTAGTTTCATATTTTTATGAAAGTATTATTACGACATTAAATTCAGCAAACATCATTAAGAATAGCATTTCTCGATTACAAAGTTTCCTTTCCGTTTTCATTTTTACGACATAACGACAATCGTCGACTTCTGCTTGCATACAACCAGCAGTTGCACTTATCTTTTAACTTTTATTGCACATAATGTGGCACAAACTGTTGCTACTATTTAGAAGAAGTGGATTCGTTCTTAATTACACTTAATTACATCCACTTAAGACAGCATGTGATGTGGTAAGCACTTTATCTAAATAAAACACGTAATTAAACGTAATAAATTCTTTTTAACTGACTGACTGACTTCAGGTCTGTAAACTATTAACGCATTTTCCGTTTATTTTTATTACCGCATGCATGATTTGTTACTTCAAGGACTTTAGAGTAGATAATAAAGTGTTTACCTTTTAATGTTGGCTGTGGAAGGGTCGATTGACAACATTCGTTGATCCAGCTTTATCGCCGAAAAACTCATAAAGTTGATGGGAAGAATTTTGAAACCGTTTTTAACTTACGAATATTCACAAAAACTTTTCTTCACTTACTTTCAATTTAAATTTCAATTTATTAGAAAGCAATTATTTTTCTACAAGGAGTTATTATCACCACAACTTTACGTTTGAATGGTTGAAAACAAACTGAAATAAATTATGTTGCGGAACATGCTACGAAAAATATTTTTCTCTTTTTCCACTCTCGAATTTCACCCTCTTTATGTTTCTCTCAGTTTTCTTTATTTCTCTCTCCCGATTCAAATTACTCTCAGATAAAATCTCTTTGGATATCTGATCGCCTAAGGGCTGCTTTTGTTGCGATGATACAAGATGTGAATGTTTGACAGTTAGGTCAACTTCAAAGGAGAAAGCTTATCGCAATTTACATTGAATTTTCAAATATATTTAAATATAAGCATAAATATAGTTCAATGTTTAAACATTACTAACGAATACATCCCAAAATATGTACATTTTATCTTTAAACAAAACCTACATAAAATATTGTTGTTGCCTCGGGCATCGCCATGAGAAGAATCGTATGAAATATTACGAAACGAGTTTGTTGCCGAGAATTTTCAGTTTGAATGCTGTGAGTTAATGTTTCAAATTATAGCATAGTCGAGCTGGGTTTGGCGATTTGATCATTAATGTAAATTGTTCATATCTGAGAAAACGTCAATAAATTAATTTCGATAAGAGTTAGAAGAGAAGAGATAAAAGAAGTGTTAATTGAGTTTTTCCTGACACAACACTTCAAAATGCACGTGAAGCATAAATAATGGCTGATTTTCTCTCCTGTGCTTATACAATGCTAAAACCGCAGTCAAGTCTATATTAAAGCATAAAATTTCATAATCGCTTCATTCATCTTCCTTTTGATCATTTTTATTTTCTGTTTTCTTCCTTTATTCTACCGCTTGTGTTTATAGAGGTCGTACAGCAGCAGTAGTTACGACTTCTCAAAGTGTTAAAAAGATAATTTCAGCCACAGAAAGAGTGGAAGCTTAAATACACAAATTAACGACTAAAACAACATCTTTGAAAGCAGAATGTACTGTTCATGTTAGATTATGCTTAAAGTAAGAAGAAAATCGCTTCATCCATTATTTTGTTCGTGTCAACATCTCATCGTCGTTTGTTTATGGACTTTGACATTCTATTTATGATGATGAGTATTTAGATACTTCACTAAAGTTTTTCTTTCTCAATTTCATTAGATTGTAGAAATATATGTAAAATGATTGCTGTGAAATATTTCTTTCATGCTTTACTACCAGCACATCATTTATTATGTCTTAGCAGTTGACGTTATCGATCAATCTTTATAAAGTCGAGGAATAAGAATTCTACTAGTTTATGAGTCTTTTTAAGTGAAATCTTCCCAAGGCAAATCTCTAGTGAACGTTATTTCGTGAGTGAAGGATTAAATGGCCGCAAGCTACGCAGGCGAACGTTCTCCTTGAAAAAATCCCATAGAGCGTTCGCTGAAGACTCCGCTAGATCCATATTGAATTTAGAGACTTCCACTTTGCAAAGTATTCACTCAATTCAGAAGAAAATGAACAAAGTATTAAACGCTTTCGGCACTTGGTGAACTTCCTGAGGGCTGTTCACATTTTTCCATCTCAGATCCTTTTTCTAGCTTCGTTGTATAATTTTAAAATGGAAATATTCCGACATCTTGACACAGTAGATAACTTCCGAAGATATAAACGAAATTTCGTTGAACATCCAACACTGTCAACAGAGACTTGAGCAAATATTTCAAAACAGCGCTCAGAATATTTTTCACTCTTAAAACTTTTTGCTCTGCTTTTTAATGAACCTCGAAAAGAAATTCTTTTCGTCTTTGTAGATCGCAATTATTTTAGAAAATAAAATATTTACCGCCCTAAAGCGATTGACTGCGTCAAGTTCTTTTCGCGAATACTTCATCAAAGGAGATAACGTCGACTTGCCTGATTATGGTGGAAAGGTTTCTCTCTCTTTCTTAACATCGAAATTAAAAATGATTCCCATAAGGCATAAAATCATTTTCTCATCTTACTTGTTCATTCATCCACCCTAAAGCACTCCCACGCATTCTTTTCAAAGTAAAGATCATTTATTACAAACATATAAATCACGTGGGAAAGTTATTGGGAATGCTTATGGTGTTCGATCAAACAAGCGAGATATGACTTTTTGTTTTCAACATTTTTTTTTTAATATTCTTGCTGCATAAATAAATAATGTGACAATAAATAAGATGTGTGCTTAGAGAATGTTGAATGTGTGCTTTGAAAAAAAGAAGAAAAAAAGAATAATTATTGAAGACTTATTAAAAGATGAATATTCCGTGGGAAAATCATCACAGAATATTTTATTTAAGAAATCACTTGAATAATGGTAGTGTTCACATATTGGAAATGCAGCACAAAAAAAAAGGTTACGACCTCGATAAAAACACCTCGAGCTATGTCTCTGTTAGGAGAGCGTCGAAAAGAATACAATTCGTGACTTAACTGTACGGCTGGCTTATATGGCTTTAAATATTACGAAATGATGATGAAAATGATGGAATCGTTTTAAGTTGTGCATTCCATTCCTTGTGATCATCCCAATGCACATTTTATTATATTCAAAACAACTCCAAGCGAATTCCCAAACTTTATTTTTAACGCTCGTCTTCGTCGTCGTTTTCCAACTTTCAACATCAACTACGAATCATGTTTTTACCTCAAGCGTTTTTCTCTCCATGAGAATAGTTCGTGGTAACGATGGTGATTGGAGGGAAATAAAGAAAAATACTAAAATCTTTTGATGAATGACGGCGAATAAACGAATGATGATTTAAATATTGCTTATTTATTGCTGTACTTTATCTCATGTATCTATATAAATAAAATTAATTTCTTTGAAAAATATTTAATCAATAAGATTTCTGCGATAAGTGAAAGACATAACGTTTGAATTATTTATTCAACAAGTTGTTGCATTGCCCTCAAAATAAATAAAATCTTCGTTAGGATTTAAGTAGAAATGAAAATAAAAAACGAAAGAGAGAAGGAATTATATCGCTGAATCACGTATTTAATGAAACAACTACTTAGATAGACAATCCTAAAGCGTTTATATTTTTCGTGCAGTTTATGCGAATAAAAAGATTTACAATCGCGACATGATGATACACAACAAATAAAAAGATAATCTGCAGAAAGTTCCTTGATGTCTTGTTTTGAAAACATAATTTGATAACATAAAAACATCGCAACAAAGTTTTTTTTTGCGGTGAAAGCAGTAATTGCTGCAAACACAAAGTGAAACTAATTTCCTTGTGCTACTGCTCGGGAAAAACATTTTTTATCAAATTAACTACATCTTGACAACATTAACGCCATGCTATGAAAGTATTGCAGGTAGGCAGCTCTCATTTCAACATTCGCAACAGTTAATTTTATGAAACGGTTTTTTATTTTTCAAGCGATGTCTTCAGGTTTCTTACGTTTTGCCATTTTTAAATGATACATTTTTTAATTGCTTTCCTTGGGCGCTTTTGTTCCATTTATTTAAATCAACTCTTTTCTTCGTTTGCGACGCATGTTTAAATATTGTAACGTAGTTGAAGACGCTCTCATTACTTGTTCAAACCCTTCTCATTCGAATTCTTCATTAAAATTTTGTTTCGGAACATCGCCTCAGCACATGTGTGTTCACTGTTCGCTCATATACTTTCTGAAGTGAATGTCAAACGTTTTCGAAAATGATACCGAAAAACATGATAATGAAGGTCTCGAGGGTTTTTTAATTCTGCCCAAAGCGCCACTTTTGGAACCAGTTTCATTTTAATTGCATTCCATTTTCCATCGCAATACTCGACGTGTAAAACAATTTCAAGCACGGATGAGGGAGAAGCATGAGGTGAAAGAAACCCTGCATTCAACTCAAAATTAAAACGAATGATGAGATATAAACGAAACTTTTTGAGATATTTCTTCAGGCATTATTCATATGTATGTCTTAAAAGTTGTGGCAGTTTTATATAAGCAAGCAAGCACAAGCTGATAAAATAAAATGAATTTAAAAGGATGAAATTTAAATTTTCTTGAAGGTGATGATACTTTGAGTTTCAGTTTAACTGACATGTAATTCATGAAAATGTTTTCATTTCAACTTGAGCAGAGTTAAATTTTGAATTTTAATAATTTGAATTTCAATTTCAATTCTCTTCAAATATTACTTATTAATTAACATTGAATTCAGATAACATTTCAAAACAAAAGTTTATTAAGTTCCGTCAGATGAAATTTGTTATCGTTACTTAACACCGTGAAAAGCTTCCTAGTTCGCACGAGTAATTGGGCAATCAAACAAATTTACACATCATTGATTTTATTATCGATGCATTCGATTGCATATAATCATCAATTCATGTGTTTGTAAGCGATTTACTAATTTGTGCAAACAACAATTTTATATCCTGAAAATGATTGGTTTCTGATTTCAAAGAATTCGATTTGTGTATTTGAATGAAACATTCAACAACGATAATTCAATCAGATGTGCTCGTTGTTCGAATTCTGCAGCAATGTTAAGCGAAAGCAAACGATTTATCGGTTGACTTTATATTCAATAAAAGAAATTTTATTTAATTTTCATTATGCGAAGTCAATGACGACAATTTTTCCAGTTCGAATTTGTTGATCTATTTTTGTTTCTGAAACACAAATTCAACAAAATGGAAAATCATTTTTGTGTTGTGAAAAGTCAAGAAGAAAGTGATCATCGACAAGAATTTATAATAAAGAAGAAAGAAAAAATATAATGCGACGGCATTTGTTATGGAAACCTTACGGTTCATCAACTTGGGTTCTATATTTAAAGGTGAAATATTCGCAACAAGCAAACTCATCACTCTGAGATTTTTCACATTTTTCGGATGGATCGCAAGTAAAAGATATTTGAGTACGAGAATGTTGAGCCTCGAGACACAAAAGCGAACGTTCCTTTGGAACAATTCAATGAGAGTTCATTCTCAAAAGATCCAAATGTTTCGGCTTTACGTTGAACTGAAATTAGGGTTTTCCGGGTCGTGTTTTCTTCGGGTTTAAGTACGGTCTTTTCGTCGAAAAACCCGAGCACGGTCTTCCGTCGGGTTTCGGGTTTTTGAAGACGTACTAACATACGAACAAAATCATACAAAATATTCGAAAAAATGAAAATTAATTTTATATTTTTATTGAAAAATGATATATTTTTGTAAAGTGGATAAAAATTTCCTTCTTTGTTTTGGTTACTATGATTGAAAGCAACATAAAATAAAAGAAAAGTGTATTAAGATGCTACGAAATGAATAAATTGTAATTATTTTTTATATTTGTTTAAGATAAGAAGAAAATTTGAGATTAAAAAGTTTCTGAAATTCAGTTTACTCAACGATTAAATGAACTTATGATTATGGATTATCTTCATCTATGTCTCGCAATTTTTTTGTTGGTTTGTTAATTTATGAATTCATTTGAAAAACAAACACTTTTTAAGATTTTCAAAGGAAANAGAATGTTGAGCCTCGAGACACAAAAGCGAACGTTCCTTTGGAACAATTCAATGAGAGTTCATTCTCAAAAGATCCAAATGTTTCGGCTTTACGTTGAACTGAAATCTATCTTGAATCATCTGAGTAAGAAAAAGAAAAAAAAACAACACAATCTCAAATGACTTGCAGCTATTTCGAAATTCCTTGTAGGCTTCATTTGACTTTCATGAGATCCCTTTTTTCTAACAACGTTATACCATCTAATTTCTGTCCCATTCTTCACCTTTTGTTTTCCATTTACTCAATCATGCATGGCCGGAACTTTACTTAAATTTTAATAAAAGTTAAAAATGCTTCGAGATAATTTACCTTTAAAGTTTGAACCTCATCGACAATGGTCAAAACCATTTGTTTTCATAACAAACAATGGAAAGTTTTCATTATGTTAAGGAAATTTTCTAGAGATAGAAAATCTGACGAGTCAGAAATTCAAATTAATGCTATTGCTCAATGTTGTATGAAGACAGATACTTAAATTACATGCATGTTTGATTCTACATAAACCATAACTTGTATCTTTGAATAAACGCCTTAAGGAAAATTCAAATTAAAATTTTTAAGTTTTTCTTTCTGACAACAAATTTTCCATCTTTTTTATTTTATTTTTTCAAAAAGAAGGACCATCCAAAAATAATTTCGAGTTTTCTCTTTACAAAACTTGTGTCTTTTGTGTCTAATAAGCGTGATGAAGTCACCTCGTAACCTCTGAAGACGAGCGCGATAATCTTCAAAATAAGAACCCAAAATTTCAACTAAACTTTTTCTTATTTTAATGAACCCAACAACGGAGAAATTTTCCCGCTTTTTCGCTTTCTGTTAAGCAGAGTATTTATATTTTCCTTATAATGAAATATTTACAACCCCTAAGCGATTGACTGAGCTAAGCTTTATAGCTTTTATACTTTTCTCATCGCTTCATTTTTGTTCCTTCTTTTTTTTCTTCTTGTTTTGGCGAAGAGAAAGAGTCAAATTATTTTTACCGAGAAAATTTCAAATGTTAGTGTTTGTTTTATAATGAATTGAGTTGCCTGTTTTCAGAGATTCATAAAAAGCCGAATTTTATTTTGCGACAACTCTCAGCATTATTTATAGAGGAACAATGAAGTATGTATGTTTGTATAAATGTAAATACATATATGAATACATTTACAACAAATTAAGGTACAAGTCATGGAATAGTCGCGAAGTTGCTTAAGGCATTTTGCTTTGTACAAACCCACGAATTTTTAACAGACACAATACTTAAATGCAAAAATTAGATAAATCCAAAGCACATTTATGATGTTAGTCGATATGTCAAAAAAGAATTTTTGCGAGTTCTAATTAGGAAGAAAATATTGACATCTACTGTAAGCAACCCAAGCATCTACTTACATGCCAAGTCACATTTCATTTAAATACATTTTTACTATGCAATCGAGTGAATTATAAATTCATGTTCTCTTATTATATTCTTGCTAACAATGCAGCATACACATTGCTGCTTATGGCTTACCCTGTGGCCATCCAATTATTATATTTAAAATTTGGAATTAAAATTTAAAGTACAAGCAGAATCCATAATTTATAACCGTCAACTAGAAATATGTTTTAATTCATGTTGCCATACAAACATAAATTTGAGTATTTTTCATAAATTTTATGCAATATAATTTGGTTTCTCGCAATTCATTGCCTTCGAGCTGTTTTTCGTAATGCATTTTAAAACTTACGGAGCTTTAAATATAATATTCATTTTTTAAAACTTTTAATACAGAAACATTTTTGCGAGTTGGTGATGATAAGGAATTCTTTTTTATTATTATTGAACTTACCTTTTAAAGTTGCTTGAATCTCTTGGATGCATGTCTTATGACACTTGTTGTTGCTAAGCTTTAATTTTTAATTGTCTTTTGATGATTTCGAATTGTAATTTCACTTTCCTTCATATTTAGTTGAAAAACAATTCAACGAAGAATTTTTAATTATTTTCCAATTGAAATTTACGACTGTTTTCAAGAGAAAACTATTGGCAACTGATCAAGTAAAAAGTTTAAAATCAGAGCATAAATGAATGCTCTCAAAGCTTTTGTTGGGAACTCAAACATCATAAATTCTCTCAATTCTCTCATCTTGTTTCTTAGGAAACGAAATCGAAAAGTTTCGATGATGAGAAAGAACGAAAAAAAATATTTATTGAAACTTTGCAATCAATATTTGAGTTTAAGGTAAAATTGTCATGAGTTATGATTAATGTTTCATAATGTTATCTCTATCCAATGAAAACGTATCACAAACCTTCAGATTTAAAGGTTTCATCGAGCAACTAAACAGAAAATTATGAATAAGCAAATATTGACATTGAAGAGATCAATGACTTATTGAAATATCTTAAGATCGAGAAGAATTTTGGCAGTTCTTCCATACACAACAGACAAGAAAGACATTTAACTCCAATTTTGTTATGAAGATTTTGATTTTTTTTGTCAGTTTTATTCAACTTTTTATTGTTTTGCTTTGTGATAATTATCAAGAATTCAACACATCGTTTACAACTTTGAATTTGACAATTTCTAATGGTAAATATATTTACGAATAGGTAATTAATTAGAGAGAAATTATACAAAAATATTTTTTATGATTCAAGCTTCCTTTGAAAATGTCACACATAATGGAACACATCAAATATTATTTAAAGATTTCGTTTTAAATGCTTTATGGACATTTGCCTTCAACTGGTCATCGAATTCAACAAAAATATTGGAAGCTATCAAATAACGTTTGATAAGGAAATTTTAGGTCTCTGTTGGTATTAATTACTAATTAATAAAATTACAAATATTTTGTAACTTATCTCGTTATGCATTTATAGAATTGTCAGTTTCTTGAGCTTTATTTGAATGAATTCCATCTCTTCCTGAATATTTTTCCTGTAAATTACGTCAACATTTTTAATGATTATAATTAATTAACAATAATACTAAAACTTCCCACCTTATTTTCTTTGGAATAAAGAACTCTTTGATAAATTCGATTGAATTTAATTATGAAATTATACACAAATAGTGCAAATGAAATTATACAAATCAATGAAGATGAAGCACTAACAACTCTGCCTAATGTAGAAACAGGAACCTTTAAGAAAAGAAAAAAGATTTCTAAAATTATTTTAACATACTAAAGTGATGGTCTTCTTACAAAGTCGCCATAACCAAGAGTTGTCATCGTAACAAATGTAAACCAAAAGGTCTCTGGAATCGATGTGAAACTTGTATGTTCAACATTTTTCTCAGCATAAAATGTTACAACAGCCATTGTCATCATATTCAAAATAATAAAACCGATTAAGGATAAAAATTCATTGTAATGTGATTTTATGGTGTATCCAAAAACTCTTAGCCCAATGGAATATCTGGCGATCTTTAAAATACGGAAAGCTCGGTACAAATCAGGTACATTTATCAAATAAAAAGAGAAATAAAATGGTACGATGGTGAGTATGTCAATCACTGACATGAAACTTAGAGCAAAACTCAATCTTGATGGTGCAGCAAATAGTCGAAGAAGATATTCAGCAGTGAAAAAAAGAATACAAGCTGCATCGATAAAGAGGAACATTATTTTATAACGTTCACCACACGACAATGTTCCTGCTCGTCCCGGTCTTAATCCACATGGCACTGAAATAAAGACAAACAAATTATGAAACAATTATTTAATCAAACGAGTATAGACGCGAGACGTCTTTATACTTTTCACTATTATTTAAATTAACTTTAAATAGCTATTTTCGATAAGCTGTCATCTTCTGAACGATTCTATCTAAATGTAGAAAGGAGTGTAGGTAGAGTCCTTTTGAAGATGATAGCCTTGCTGTCGAAAATAGCTTTTTAAAGTTAATTTAAATAATAATGAAAAGTATAATAGCGTCTCGCGTCTAAATTTGTTTTATTTATTAATTGTAACTTTTTTCTCACCTGTTTCAACAACAATAATTGCTACAGACAAAGCTAAAATAAGTCCAGTTGCATAATAGCCTATCAAAGCTGCTGTTGATGTCTGAGGATTTTCGAAAGCTCTCCACATCCGTTGTCTTATATTCGTAGGTGGCGAAAGATCTTCATAACAACAATCACCAATGACATCTGGAAGCACACCGAAAAACTTTAATTCTTCCTCAAAACTCTCGAGAAATTCATGTTTTGGATAATGAAGCTTTCCAGTTCTGTAGTAGTTGAGAATGTGTCTGAATATGTCGGGATCACGATCGAAAAAGTATTCTCGCTTCTCTTCATCAAAGAATTTATCCCGTTCATTTGATCCTAGAAGAGTGTCGGGATATTTTTCTAAAGTACTGCGAAGCACTTCAAATCGATGTCCGGATACGTTTAAATTCAACTTTTCTAAGTTTGTTTGCTGTTTCACTGCCATGTCGAAATAAAAAAATTTAAGCCCAGAAATATTTGTGTTCAGTGGCCGAAAAGTAAGTTTCGAATGAATTGCGCACAATTTTTCATGTTATTTTTATACTTTGTATATACATAGCGTCGTTTCATTAAACGATGGTGGTCCGGATAGAAAATCATTTTCCTTTATTTTGTTTACGAATTTATATTTTTTTACGATATTTACTAAGATTGTTAATAATTATCGATTCATATCGTTTCTTTTTGTTTTCCACAAAATATATTCAATTTCATGAAAAAATTTATGTATCCGACACACAATCAATTCAAATTTAATCAGATGAGAGGTCATTCGAGAAGATCAAGGGGCAGATCATGGTAGTGCTTCTGCCCGCTGCCTCCAAGTGATGCTTCGAAAATCACTAGTGCTTTTCAAGAAAAATGGCCTTTTTCCAAGAATTTGTTTACTTTTTCTTGGAATTTGTCTAGTGCTTCAATGCAGCAATAGTGCTTTTGCCCTCCAATTTTTTCCGATGATCTGCCCCTTGGAGAAGATTAACATAATCTTATGTTTCCTAAAAAAGAGAGCAAACGGGTTATCTCCAGATTTTTCTCTCAGTTTCAGAATTACTCTGTAACTTCCAGATAGACAAAAACACTTACGCGATTTAAAGTGAAAGAATGTTTAAGTGAAAGAATGAAATTATGATGTTTACAGGAAGAACAGTTTTTCTTTGATTTTTTAAAGTTATAAAGATTTCTTCTCGATAATAAGTCATTTTATTGTCGGACAGTTGATCTTACAATATAATGCAGGCACAGTCATTTCTAGCTTTCTAGTACTGCAAAATAATGAAACAGCATAAAAAAATTAATGTTGCATTTAAAACATAATCCCATAAAACTTTCTAAATTATTCGTACTTTTAATCATATTTTCAATTGTTGCTCTAGATAAGAGAGAAAATTTAATGTCGCCAAATAAGTAGATGAACTATATTGATGGTGCATAGTTTCGATGATAGATTCGACTGAAGTTCGATACAATGACAGGAACGGGAAGAGCAATAACAAGAATTCCGCTGAGGGAACAAACGCCGCCAACAATTTTTCCAACTGTTGTTTCCGGTACCTGTTTTTATTTCAATAATTAGGAATAAATTTAGACACTCAGATATCATCACTTCTTCACTTACCATGTCACCATAACCAAGTGTTGTCATTGTGACAATTGTGTACCAAAAACCAGCTGGAATTGATGTGAATTTTGTTCCAGCAACATTTTTCTCAGCATAAAACATCACAGTAGCGAAAACAATCATAATCATAACAAGAGAGAAGATCAAAAATCCCAATTCAGAAGCACATGACTTGAGTGTGTAACCCAAGATCCTCAAACCTTGTGAATGTCTTGAGAACTTGAAAATACGGAATACTCGGAATACTCGAAGTGTTACAAAAGCACCAGACACCTCGCCATTTTCGGTCATAAAAAGTCCGATGTAATATGGCATGATTGCTACAACATCAATCACTGACATGACACTTCGCATAAATTTCACCCTCGAAGGCGCAGCAAATAGTCGAAGAAGATACTCAGCCGTAAAAATCATCACACATGCTGTGTCGATATAAAAGAAAATTATGTTATGACGCTCCCCACACAGCATTGTTTCTGGCCGCCCTGGTCTTGATCCGCATGGAACTGAGGTATAAGAAAAAATATTAAGAAATGTATTGTCAAACGAATGAATCTCGAAGTTTTATTTTCTCTTCACCTGTTTCAATAATGATAGTCATGACTGATAGAGCAATGAAGAATCCAGTAATGTAGTAGAACATTAAAGAAGCAACTGATAACTGAGGATTTTCAAAAGTTTTCCACATCCGTTGTCGTATATTGAGTGACGGAAGATTTGCATCAGAAATGTTGGTCGTTTTCTTCACCAAAACTCGTTCTGCATTTTCACGTTTTCGATCTCGGTAATCTTCATAACAACAATCACCAATGACATCTGGCAGCACACCGAAAAATGTTAACTCTTCATCATAACTCGTCAGACATTCATGTCTTGGATAATGAAGCTTTCCAGTTCTGTAGTAGTTGAGAATGTGTCTGAATATGTCGGGATCACGATCAAAAAAGTATTCTCGATTCTCTTCATCAAAGAATTTGTCCCGTTTGTGTGATCCCAGAAGAGTGCTGGGATATTTTTCTAAAGTGCTACTTAATACTTCGAATCGATGTCCTGATACGTTGATCGTAAACTTCTCCATGTTCTTGAATAACTAAAAAAAATCTTATTTTGTTTTTCGATGCAAACTCACAAGTATTTATTTATGATTGCTCAGTGATTGGAAGCTGAACATGAAATAAACCCGCGTACGACTTTCAAGCCGCATTTTAATTTGAAATGTATTTGTGTTTTATTAATTTGCCCTATTTATGGATACAGAATGTCAATCAAATAAGTGATGATAGTCTGGATAGAAGTATCGTTTTTACTCTGAAATAACTTCAATGTACTGCGTTGAAAAAATTAACTGAAATATTTCATAATTTTCTCTATAAAGTAAATTAATTAATTTATGATGATTTTAATATCCGACTCGCTATTAAATTATTCGAATATATCCAGTAGATGTTGAACAGTTGGAAAAATTGTCTCATTGTATGTCAAATTTATTTTATTATCTTCAAAAATGTTTAAAGTATGAAAACTCTAACTGAATGCTAGCAAACCAGCTGCATCAATCATGACTCATGATTCATCAAATCGCTTCAACCATATTAAAAATCATGATTGGATGGTTTCGAAGTAACGTTTAGTCACTAGAAAATGCTTCCCTTATGTTGTAGAGAATATTAAACGATGATGATTCTGAAAATGTATTATAAATGAACATCAAATAATTGCGTGCTGTAATATAATATCATTGCAAATTCTTTATCATCAATTGCTGAAAATAGTTCAGACAACAAAAAAAGTATTGAAAGAAATTTTCAGGAATTAATGAATCTTATTTTATTTATGAAATAAAAAGATTTCTTATTGGGAAAAGGTTTGGATCGTCATAATAAATATAATATCATATTTTAATCAAACAGTTTAAATTGTAATTAAATATACAAACTTAATAAGTCATCATTATGAAACATTAAATGAAAATGAAATTTAAAAAAGTGTTTTTTGATAAAAATGATTGAGCATGAATATTAGCAACAGAAATGGACAAAAATTATATCTTGAACAGTCTCTTCATACTCTTTAATTAACCACGACATAATCTTTCATTAAAGTGATAAATAAATTTATGATTCTTGCTAAAGAATTTTCAATTAATAAACCTAAAATGATTTTATTGAGAAATTTAGATAAAATTTTAAACATCATCAAGCTTCAATGTTTTGAAATGCTTCAATATCTACGTGTTCTCGGTCTCATTTCTAAATTTTCTTCTTAAATTATTTCGATCTTCGTATCCTTAATATTCTAGTTGTCTAGGTATAGAATTGTCATCTTTTCCAATAAAGCTAAATAGTTTTTTTTAAATCATTTTCAAATTTTAAATAATTTAAATTCACTTTAAATGTTGTCTATCTCAAGTTTCTGTAGTTGAATTTATTTTTAAGCTTTTGTGTACCTTCAATCTTTGATGAATTGATAATATTTTCACAAGTAAAGTGACACAACATTCTATGATTTCTTTTTCTCAAATCTAACTAGGTTTGATTTATTTATGACTGAGAACAATAAGTTTATTGAAAAGTTAACGAGATTTTGTTCGAAGTTCAAGTTCATTTTTAATTTAACAAGGTGTATGATCAATTTTTGCTAAAAGCTCTTGAAATATTTATTAGAACTTTTGTTGCTTTGAGTTTTCATAAAACTTCATGTTTTTAGGAAAATGTTTAGAGAGCATCCCATGCAGCAATGTAAATTTAAGCATATATTAGAGACTCTTCCATTTACATATATTTAAGTATCGTCATCATACACTAGAACCGTGATAAATATTCCCGGCATAAATTTAAACTTTTGATTAGTTAATTAACTTCAATTGTTCCATTGTTTTTACTTATTACATATATTCACAATATATGTTTTTGTTAAATATCCAATTTGATATGTTTAGAAGAGAAAATCAGAATGAGATGAAGTTCAAATGTTTTCATAACAATAAATTTTTTTCTCGAGACATTTAATGTAAATAAATATTTTTAAGGGGCAACAGTTTTAGGAAAAATCACATTTTTTTTCTCCGAAATGAGATTCTAGACAATATTCTAGTAGTCTCTTATAAGAATTTTATTATGTAACACTTAGAATGAAATTATTGCGCAATGAAACATAAAAACCTGATGTTGACTTATTCAAGAATTTTTTATCCTACTTTCTACTGTAGAAATGATTTTCCAACTTTTTTTCGTGTTTTCATATGTAGATGAGAAAGTTTTTTAGAATTTTTATGAAACTCGTGTGTAGGTAAGTATCTCTGTATATTAAATGTCGTTTCTATCATTTATATCAAGCTGAGTGAATTAATTTTTATCTCTACTCCTACTGAAAGAGAAATCTTCTTCTCTTAATCTTTTGATACATCTAAAAGTGTTTATTTATAATTTCAAAAATCTGTTTTCTTCCATTCACTAAAAGCTAATTTAGTAAAAGAGACATTTTTAAATCGTGAGCTTAAATTGTATTATATTGAATTCTATAATAATTCTAATGTTTCCTTATTTATTTTCATTTCATTGGTCAAGTGAATTTAAATATTTTCGATCTTAAGACTTTCTTCTCTGCCTCAGAGGAATTGCATCTACGGATCATTGATTTGCTGATGCATAATTCTAGATTAACAAAAAAAAATTGTTTGATAAATTGTTAAGAAGAATTTTCCTGGTAATTTTCCTTTACCTGATATCTTTGCGAACAGCAACGGCCACAACAAGACTGAAGCAAACCGGGGGTGGTATTCGTTGAATGCGATGGACTTGCCATTGGTGATGGTGACCCTGCTCGCTTTGGTGGAGCTGGTACGCCATTGTAATTGTCTAAGTCGAGTAATTCGCGATCCTACAAACAAAAACGAAACATTTAGGTCTTAAAATGATTTCAAGTTGATTAAAAATCTTCATACAGTTGTTCTCTCTAAGCACTGCAATAAATGATGATGCTGTAGCTCAAATATATCTTCATCATTGTAACTATCATCCATATCAATTCCACTCTCTTGTGCTGCAAGGCGAGCTTCAGCAGCTCGTTTTTTATTAAGAAACGCCGCACCTGATGAAGCTTTTGCGATTCGAATTCTCGCAAGACGTGCTTTCTGAAAAATTGAAGATTGTAAATTTTTAAAGAAGTGAGATAAAGCTAATTGCGTTTATATTTGTTACCCTTTGTGCTTTCCGTTTATCAGCACGTTGGTTTTGATGATAAATTCGACTGAAGTTCGATACTATGACAGGAACAGGAAGGGCAATGACAAGTACACCACTAAGGGAACAAACACCGCCAACAATTTTTCCAGTTATTGTTTCCGGCACCTAATAATTAAATTTAATTTTAATTTTCTTAATAACATTGAAGAATGTTATGACACTTACCATGTCACCATAACCAAGTGTTGTCATTGTGACAATTGTGTACCAGAAAGCAGCTGGGATTGAAGTGAAGTTTGTTCCATCAACATTTTTCTCAGCATAAAACATCACAGTAGCGAAAATAATGATGGCCATGGCAAGGGAAAAGACCAGAAAGCCTAGTTCAGAGGCACATGACTTGAGTGTGTAACCCAAGATCCTCAAACCTTGTGAATGTCTTGAGAACTTGAAAATACGGAATACTCGGAATACTCGAAGTGTTACAAAAGCACCAGACACATCGTCATTATCGGTCATAAACAGTCCGATGTAATATGGCATGATTGCTACAACATCAATCACTGACATGACACTTCGCATAAATTTCACCCTCGAAGGCGCAGCAAATAGTCGAAGAAGATACTCAGCCGTAAAAATCATCACACATGCTGTGTCTAGGCAGAAGAATACTATTTTGTAACGTTCACCACACGACAATGTTCCTGCTCGTCCCGGTCTTAATCCGCATGGAACTGAGACATAAGAGAAAAAGATTAAGAGATAAGAATCGGAATAAATCTCGTAAAATTCTTTTCTTTTCACCTGTTTCAACAACATTAGCCATGACTGATACAGCAATGAAGAATCCAGTAACGTAGTAAAATACTAAAGCGGCAGTTGAAGTGTGCGGATTTTCGAACGCTCTCCACATCCGTTGTCTTATATTCGTAAGTGGCGGAAGATTTGCGTCAGAATTTTCTGACATTTTATCGTCTAATAATCGCTCAGCATTTTCACGTTTCCGATCTCGGTAATCTTCATAACAACAATCACCAATGACATCTGGCAGCACACCGAAAAATGTTAACTCTTCATCATAACTCGTCAGACATTCATGTCTTGGATAATGAAGCTTTCCAGTTCTGTAGTAGTTGAGAATGTGTCTGAATATGTCGGGATCACGATCGAAAAAGTATTCTCGATTCTCTTCATCGAAGAAAAATTCACGTTCGTTTGATCCTAAAAGTGTGTCGGGATATTTTTCAAGAGTATTTCGCCATGTTTCAAATCGATGACCTGATATATTGATTATAAGTTTCTCATCCTCTGCTTTTCTTCGATTCTTGACGAAGGGTGGCGGTGGGAGGGGATTTGTGGCGATAGGCACCCAGCCGATTGCAGTTGCTCTTGCGAACGGCAGCCATGCCGCCACTGATGCCATTTCCTTTCCGTTTTTCTCGCTTCAATAAATTCAAACGTTTGCTTTTAAGAGCTTGCTATTTTCGTAGACAGAGAGGAAACTTTTCCAAACGTAAATGATGAAAGTTCAGGTCTTGATCCTTTGATATATGAACGAACTTTATTCCGTTTCTTTTATGTATGTTTACCCATTTTTTATGTTACTTTTACCATCTAAGCTTTTATTCATCACAATATCTTCTCAATTACTTGCTTTCCATCTTCTCTTTCCTTATCACCACTTAATTGAAAATGTAGGCCGTAAACATTAACATCAGAAATCTCTATTTAATCTCTTCCTAATTCGTGATTGTCTTTCTGAAATATTTATTGAATTCTTCACGACACTTCTTTCTCCATCATTTTCGTAAAGATATCAAGATGAAATCTGTCCCTTTTACATTTTATTGCTATTTAATAGTCCTTAGGTCTGCAATATCTAAAAGATGAGAAAGAAAGAAAAGCATGAATGGCATTTGGCTTCTTTCTCTAGAGCGAAAACTGAATTAATTTTGCTGAAATTGCAAAGCAAAGCAGCTTTTATCAATACACATTTTAACAAAGCATTTATGACATATCATGAGTTAATTTTCCAAATCATTTCTCAGCAATTTTCGTTTCATTTCTCTTCCATTTAGCTCATTCATTTGTTCAACCCCTTTATATTATCAATGGAATTTATGCTGTATCTGATATGCATACTTAATATGTATGAAAATAGAACAAGGATTTTAATGAACTGCTGGAAATTTCTCTTACTTGCATTCAGTCTTGCTTGTTTCTATTTAATCTCTTTGAAAGGCTAAGCCAAAACACTTGTTCACACTGTTGATGCTGATAAATGTAACAACTCTCTAGACAGATGTAGACAAAAGTTGTAACTTACAAAGCTTAAAACCTGACAAGATTACATGTATGCTGATAGTTTTTCATGCATTGTTTTAAATTTCAAATTGTGTACTTCAAAGGAACAATTAAGTATGTCGGGGTTACATACAAAAGCACATGCAAATAAATCAGTGTGGCCAAAACAGACAATCAAGTATTATGGATGGTTCTATCTACATATGTTACTTTATGAAAAGTCCAACTTTTCCAACTACTCATGGGATTTGAAATTCATTTGAGGTCGTTGATTTATTACGAAATGAAAGGAAATAAAATCTTTCTAAAGTTCGTATGTACTAAGTTTAATTTAAAATTGTCATTAAACATTTTAATTTTAGCTTTTCAGTCATTCTGTCTTTTATTATTCACGAAAAAATTAGATAAACGAGAGCGAATTCATTTCATAATGAATTAAATGAAACATCGGCGTCTTTATTTGCAATAAAGCAAATTTTTTCGTTTTCTTTTTTCATGGAAATTAGCAAATTAAATATTTCTCGCCCCATCTGCATTCCAAACGAAAACTGAAATATTTGCATGAAAGAAAACATAAAAATTGATTTTGAATTTCAGATGAGCACATATTTTTGCCTACGTGAATAAATGATGAAACGAAAGAAGGAATGCAAAATTCACAAGATAAATATGCCTGTTGGCAAAGCTCATGAGCAAGGACATCATCATGTATTTGTGTATTGGATCAAGTGACTTGAAATGTTAGATTAAATTGAACATTGATGTCCACGTGTTGATGGTTTTGAAATTTCTTCAAGTCTATATTTATAAATGTATAGAAAAGTTTGCATTCGTTCATGAATTTTTCCCCTCGTTTTAAATGAATAGTGGAAAAAGCGCAGAGACAAATGAATAATTCATGAAGTAAGATGAAGCTGATGAAAGCAGCAAGAAGAAATATTGCTTCAAAGTTTATTGGCAGAAAATTGACTTGAAGGAATGGAAGAAAATGTCTTCTTTCAATACGAAAAAATTCTTTTTGTTGCGTGTCTGAAGCCATAACGTTATTGTTGTTGATTTTCACACACTAAGGAATGATAATTTGACAAAGGAAAAAAATAAATAAAGCGGGTGAAAATTTTTGATTTTATTAGAGACGTTTCAGACTTTGTTATGTGTTTAAGAGTCGATATGCAATGCTGTCGTTATACTTCACATGAGACCGTCTAAAATTACGTTCAAAGTCAAACTTATCACGAAAAAGTATTTTAGATTAGATTATTTCTGTATAAAATTGCTTTCCTTCCATTCACAATAATTCCTCGGAATTTTCTGAATATTTTTATTTCTGTTGAATTTTATATCAGATTTTCCTTTGTCAAATGAGTTCATAAATATTTAAGAAATAAAGACGTTCATTCCGTTCCTTTTTTAGACCTTAATTTGGTTTCACAATGCAATGCTTTAACCAGAAGCAAGAAAGAGCACGAAAGCCTTTTATTAAATTGTCACAAAAACATGAAGAGTCTCCCTTGATGTGGCCATTGTGTTGTGTACAATTGAGTAAGAGATGTAAGAAAAATATCAGTACAATGGAAAAGAATGAACAGGAAATAATGGATGAATACATTTCGTAGGCGAGAAACTCATTAATTTTAACGCTGAATCAATCGAACAGCAGCTGTGTTTGAAAGTCATGTCGTGTAAGCTGTTAAAACACGTGAAAGCTGTTGCTTTCATGAAAATTATACACATTGTCGAAAATAAAAATATTTTCGCACCATCAGAGAAACTTTTTTGTTATTTTCCTCTTTCTCTCTGCATTATTTATTAACTTCCTAGCCAATCGATCGATAAAACTCCTTTCTTCCGAAGCTTTCACATTATTTATATCTTGACTTGATGATAAAGACAATGAATAGAAATGAATTCTACTTGAAGGAGTGGAGATTTTCACTTTAATCCTACACACTAGTCAAGGTGGCGAAGCAAGTTGTAATAAAAAAAAGGAAAAAAAGTAATGAAATTTTAATGTGTTTAGGTGAAAAGAAAAACAACAATTTCACTCTTGAAGAAGCCACAAAGCCTTGTTGTTATGGTGCAGAAGGTGAAAGAACAACATGCTGGATTGAATGTATTAATTCTTTTAATCTTTATGAAATAATTAACTTGAAGAAGGAAAAAAAGGTTTTGTGAGTAACAAAATTGATTGTAATTTATTTTCTTACCAGGCCAAGAAAAGAAAAGCAAAAAGCTCATAAAACTTTCAATATTTATAATAAAAGATATAAAAGAAGAGAAACCGCACACAAAATTCATCGTATACACGAACGTTACATTGTTTATTTTTGGGGCAAGAAATCTCTTTTGCTTGTTACTGAATTAGATGAAAATGTAGGTAAACCTTAAGTCTGAATCATTCATAGCAGATCACACGAATCACGACAGAAAATTGACGTCACGAAGACTTCACGAAATGTTGTAGGCATTTTGTTTATCTTTGAAATAGAAAATCGACAGCAGAAGGAAAAAGAAAATAATCGAAATGTTCATATGGCAGTGGAATAAAATGTTTGATTGTTCAAGTGGAAACTTTAAAAAAGTTCGAACATAAATTTCAACATGCAAACATAAAATTGCACCTGAATTGCATTATATGAATCCAATGCTTGCTCATATAATACAAATAATTGTATAAAGAAAAATTGTGTAAGAAGATTCAATATTCTCCAGACAATTGCGCATCTTGAATAAACATCTTTTGTTATCTAACGTAATAAATTAACTTGAACGACGTTAGGTACAGATTATCCTTTCCACTCAATTTGAAGTGGGTAAGTAGATTGAAACAAATCCATTAGAGATGATTATTCATTCATGAAACCCGCAAATAATAATTATCTTCATAGTTTTAAATATCAATAAAAGCATGGCAAGTGTTTCATAAACATTTTCACCAGGAGAATCAGTAATGGGCTATGTGCACATCTGTTTATTATTAATCGTATTCATTTAATTAGAGCAATAAGCTCTAATGTGTCATCATTAAATGGTTGTGCAGGATTTTTTCCTTGTAATGCTTCCTGAATAAACGAACACGATAAGTCAGTTAAATTCTCTTTTTCCACTTATACCTTTACATAAAAAATAAAAAATAAAAAGCATTATTTATCATGAAGCCAGCTTATCGAACTTCCGCAGTTTTGTGTTAGAACCAATCAATCAGTATGAATATTTTAAAGCAGCAGATTGCAACTTTGCCCTTCTCCATCTGCCTTAAATAATTTTTATGTTCACATAAGTTATTGTCTGATTCTCAAAATGGAAACGAAAAACATCAAACACAAAAGAAGAAACATTGTTTGAAATCAGATGAAAAGCTTATCGTTTACATTAATTTCAGAGTTGTCTTATTCAATTTACGCAACGACATCATAATTAAAGCTTCAAACATAAATATTTAATTGAATTATTAACTATGATTTTCAATTTATACGATTGAGGTATCTCGATGAGGTTGGAAAATGTTTTTAACACAAAACCGACATCTCAATGCTTTCTGAAGCAGATTAAAAATCAATCATAAATTAATTAAATATTTACTCGTCTTGATGCTAAACAGAAATTATGAATGATTGGGATTTTCGCGTGAAAGTTAAACAGAAAGCGAATCTGAATATATAATTAAAAGCACATTTCAATGTGGTCTGTTTAATATCAAATTATCGCTTCAGAATTTATCCCAGAATGTTTATCGTCTACGCACATGTGATTTGATGCTTCACACCCGCTCGCTTCTTTTCTTCGTTCTGGAAGATGAGGATACATTCATCATAACTTAAACGATGTGTCATGACGTGATTTTATAATTAAATGTTGTTTATTGGTAACGAAGGAAAAACAAGCTTTTCTGACATGATGTTACGCTGTTATGATTTGATGACAAATTTATTATTCACTGGCATTCATGTCTATTCCAGCTGTGCCTTGATATTTGGATTGTCAAGCTTTCTCAAATTCAACTCGAGTGAAAAAATTTCGCGTTTTATTTTTCATGCCTCGAAACTTGTGGATTTGAAAATACAAATAAAAATGATTTATCATTCGAAATCCTTTCTCGTTCGTTCTAAATATTTTATGAAGCATTTAACAGACATTACGAAAATTGAAAGCATAGAGTATTCAAATCAATTCAACCTTGAAGGTGTCTTCGGGGTATTGTTTAAAAAAAGTTGTATCTAAGACATGCTGTGCCAGAAAAGTTTGAGGATTTTCCCTGAATTAATTATGTTTTTGTCCCACAAAATTTCTCGGGCAACTTTCACGTCCTTTTCCCCCAAAATATCATAAAAATGAAATTATAGATTTAAGTGAACGGAGAAGTTTCCCATCGGGAAATTCGTGATTAAATCACTCAATAAAAAATTGAAGCAGTCCTCGTAATTCATCTCGTCATGATCGACATTAAATTTTCATGTTCATGCTTGCATGTGGGCAACAATTACGAGTTTTTGTGGTCTTATCGAACATTCAAACTGTGAAAGAGCTGAACAAGTTTTAAAAAACGAAAATCATTCTATCAGAAAAAAATTATCAAAAGTTTCTTTCTTGGTTTTCAGTTTTGAAAAGTTTTTAAAAACATTTTTCTATTGTGTTTTCTGATGTTGGTGCTATATTCGGAAATTTGCTCGAAAATATCACGGCATGAGAGAAACGAAAGCAAAAACACTTCCTGATTCCAAACGCAAGCGCCAACAAAGTCAACCGTACACTCAACACACACTCTAACAATACGTGTCACGAACGAAACCATAAACCGAAGTCAAACTTCAACTTTTCCCCCTTTTTCTCCTATCGTGCCATGCACTTTCCTTCTCTTAAAGCTTGTTGCCGCATAACTTTAACAATTATATATCTAGACTTGTATTGCTTTCCTCTCCAAAGCAACGTGTACATGCCTCAAAGCAAAGGCGAATAAATGGAAGATGAGAGCACACTAAAAGCTTCACTTGCTTTAATTGAAATTCTGCTGGAAAATCGATACAAGGAAACTTTCCTAGACAATTTTTTTGTTCGCAATCTCTAACTGATTTTTTCATCAATATGCAACTTACATATTTATATATCAATGACAAAAGCAACTGATGTTTATGTCATATGCTCAAGTAAATAATTCATGGTTAAGGGCAATGTAAAAGGAAATGATTGAATTACGTTGGTTGCAGAGGCATAACGAAGATTTAGCTAGGAATAAGCCAAAACAATTTACAGCTCCTTAAGGGATTAAATAAACTGCTTCTTCACATTAAGCGTTTCCACTTAATCTATTCCACACTGGATAGAGCTTTACTTTAATTACTTTATTGCGTAGTGAGCCTCTCGTGTTATTTTTCGCATTTATACAATAAAGAGTGTGAAATAAAATGTGAATTTCATTTATTCGTAGTTGTCGTGGAAACATTTTAACCACACGAGACAAGATAATTAAACACACTCGATACCAATCAACATTTAGACATCAAGTTAAGCACGCGACAAGAACTCGTCTATGATTAATTTGTGATTTATTAGCACAAAACCACTAGCGAGCTATTTAAATGATTGACTAGACTGTTTCATTATAACATTCTGAAAGCGTTAAGCATTTGAGTTAGTTTACAACTACACAACATATCTGGTAAGTAGCAATGAAACAAACATCAACAACATGAACTAACTTCAAATCGGTAAATTTCAATCCTTTGAAATCTTTTAACTGATGATATGAAAATTTATTTTCGTCCACATGCGTTTCAATAAAGAAATGATTTGATAGACGTGAGCGAATGATTCAAGGCGAGATAAATGGATAAATGTATGTAAGTATGTATGTTGAACTTTGCAAGGCGAGGTGGTTATTTAAATGATGAAAGGTAATGTAATGTAGGTTGATTGACTGTTCTTTAAGAATTAAATTATCTGATGAACGCGCACTGTGGTTTTTTCGGCTTCGCAATGTAAATATTTATTTCGCTCCTATTTTTAATTCAATATTATTTTTCTCTTTATCTCGCATGTTTGAAGGAAAAACAAACGAACCAAAGACGATCAGGAGTTTTCTTCATCAGCATTTCTGCATCTGTGAAGTTTTTTTTTTCTATTTTTTTTACTTTAGTTTATTTCAATCTCGATTCAAAGAAGAAGTTTTCTTTTATCACAGACGTTTTTAAATTCTCTCATCTCTTTCTTTGACTTTTCACTTCATGTCGATAATATTTCACTTAATTTCTTTTCTTCTCGTTTCTTTTACTGATCTCACGTTTACGATGCCCGATTACACATTTAATGATGATCATCTCAAATGCCAGATCACCAACAGCACCACAAACAAATGAAAATATTTTTCCTCAAACATATTTTGACACATTTAGATCAAGTCTCGCTCAAAGCTGATGAAGGTTTTTTTTTTCTTGAACGAAAAACACTCGCAGTGGTGATGACGAAGAAATTCCCCAAAATTTTTTCGGTTATTTAATTTTTTGCTAACTTAATTTTGTTAATTTTATCATTTTTTTTTCTTCGCTATTTACACCGAAGAAATTAAAATTCAATTTTGTTTGGTTTTCACATTTTCTCGCTTAATTTTTATACTTTTTTTATATTTTATTTGCACAGACACACTTTTTCTGCTGCTTTTACACACACTCGCCCACCCGACCAAACTCCCGAGAGTTGTTTCTGTGAACAGGAACGAGCATGTAGGAGAAGGAAAAAAGAGCTGCTGATAAAGAGATATTACGATTTTCACGAACAGAAATGATGAAAAAATTTCATGGCATGAAGCAGTCCTTGGCTACTTAGCGGACAAGGGCAATTTAAACACGGTGATTTTAAATTCACAATTAACTAACCGAGTGCAATTAATTAAATTAAAAATTTCTTTCTTTCACTCACAATTAAAGTAAAGAACTGAAAAGAGTTTATACAAAGTGCCTCAGAGCAGAGCACAAAATTATTCAACAAACTGTACAACACGAATGGAAGTCTAAATCTGAATGTGTCGGACGACGACAACTGAAAAAATGCGAGAAACTTTATTTTGTTTCAAATGTTTGTATGTGTCAGTGAGTTTTCATAGCCGATTTCCCCTCCACAAATTTCCATTATCATTCGGGTACTACCACACTGAAAGATTCATTGAGTTTTCCGATTGAAGACTCATCGCCGTCTAACGATGTGCTGTAAGTACATAATATCGTGAAAAAAGTAATTAAGACACGAAATATTTGCAAAACTCTTGCACATTAATTACAGCCGATGATTCAACGAATTACAGTCGTGAAGGGAACTTGTATCAAGGAAAATTCAAGACTATTTTCAAGGGAAAGTTATCAACTGAAGGAAATAATAAATTTGAAATGCAGATCATCAATCACAACAACTTGACGTGTTTACATAAAAGATTATGACAGGGGAGAGTGCAGAAACTTATTGTTTACGGTCATAAAATTTTAATAAGAAGCCTACGCTAATCAATTCTTAAAGTGTTAGATTTATTGACTTTCTTCCTGTTTAATGGCTGTGGTACATCCATTAAATCAGGTTCTCACATGACGGCAATCCTTCATTTATTAATTTTCTAATTGTTTTATAAACAGATTACGTCCATCATCGCTCTTATTTCGTTTCCGTTCCCGTGTTGAATTACAAAACATAACGAAGCTGAAGCACTCTCAAGCTAAAAATAAATTTCATTTGACTCCCACGCGAAATTAGCGAAAATCATCTGTTTTTTTCAGACTGCACGCAATCGACGATAGCACTTCTGCTATGAAATATAATTGAAGGAACATTAAACTTTGATTTATGAGATATCGATCCGCGATAGTAAAAGCATTATGTCTAATTAAATTATGTAATAATTCGTACTTTTACAAATTTTTGATTAGAAATTTCATCACTTGTTACTTATTGAAAACCATAAATTCAATATTTTAAGGTCAGGTTCGGTTTCCTTAATGTTAACATTGATTTATTACAGCAAAACCCTTAAAATGTTTCCCAATATTACATGGAACTTTCCATTCTCTGAAATATTCTGCTGTGTTTGATGATATTTCGAAGAACACAATTAATCATATTGGAAAATTTTATTAAACTATTTTTAAGAAAATTGTCTTCATTCCTAAAGAACTTGAGGCATGAGTGACACATTGATACTATGCATAATAAATTGTAGGAAATATTTCAGCTGTCAATATTTTCTCAAGTTTCTCTTTGGTTTGTTTGTTGAAAACAATCAAATGAAACTTTTCATAAAAAATGTTTCCTAAAGCATAACGAAATTGCTTGAAAGCAATTAAGGTACAAAAGTTGTTATGTTTTCCGCTTTCTCATCATAAATTAATTTACAAAGCGGGAAATCTTGAAAACGCTTCGTCATTGTTAGATCATGTCATAATTCTACCGACTGCATTCATTAAATTTTCATGTTTTTCCATAAAATTTTACAGATGGTGGAAAATTCATTCGAATTGAACATGAATCATTACGTCAAATAAATTACATTTGACTCTAATTCAGTATCCCTAAAAGGATTCATGATTATTTAACATTAGTAAAAAGCAAAATTTACCTTGTTCAGCCTTATTATCGCATTTAATCGAATTCCCGTTTAATGTTTCTCTCTTTCCAACATTACTATGTAAATTCCTTAATAGTCGCGCAACAGCAAATTTCGCACCTCACATACACGAACTTGTAAGAAAAATGTTCATGAAAAGCGACTTTTACGAGGCACTTACTCAACCTTTTCACGAAACAAATGTCAAGAAAAGTAAGCTTTTAGCATGAATTTAGCTTGATGAATTGAGAAGACGATGGCATTTAACAAGACGATATTGACAGGAATGTCATTTGTTATTTAAAGAAAGTTTTATGAGAAAAAAGAAGCATATCACAGAAATAATAAAGTTCAAGTGGCATCGCGTGATTCTCAACTATTTACTTACACTTCACCATGACTTTGTGTTTCCTGAAAGAAAAATCTTTGATAAAACTTATAATAGCTGTGAAAGGGGATTTTTTTTATCAGCGAAAGGATAAAATCTCGCTGACATTTATTAATTAAACGAACATAATTAATTGGAACATTATAACAATCAGCCATTGAAACATCATTAATTAAAAGTTAAAGTACCATAAATATAAATTTTGAAGTTTAGGGATGACAAGGGTAATATTGCGGTTGAACTAAAATTGGAAAAGAAATAATGTCAGGCAATTTGTTTAAAGAAAAAATATTTTTGTCCACTCACGTTCAAAGCAACACTCAACGCTCCTTTTATTAGAACCACACAATCCTTTTGCGGACACAAGAGTTCTGCACTTATCACTTTGTACACACAAGCCACCAAGGTTTGCGCATTCATATTTGTTTGGATAGACAACTATACCATCTGTCACTGAATGAATGAAACGGAAAGAGATAAAACGGTCATTAATCATGATAAGAAAATGTTTTGAGCCTATGGCAAAGGTTGTGACATCATTTGTCCCAACAAAATTCATTTTATTTATTTTTTAAATTCTTTCTCATTTGGTGTCTTTTTTGTGATTAAATCTTACCATCATTTGGTGCTCCTTCTGGGCAAACAATGATATCATTAGCCTCGATAGTTTCAATTGGACTTCCACTGCTTGTCATGATAAATGTGAAAAATGTCACAAGTACACACTTCGTTATAAAATTTGATGACATGATTATGAAACTTTTAATATTTTCTCTAAATCTTATTTATTTTTCTCTCACGAGTTTCTTTACACTTTCGTACAGTTTGAATGTGTTTCGGGAACTAAGATATTTTTCTTCCAATCTTCTCGAATTTATATTGAAAATCATTTGAGAAAAATATTTTTCTGTTAATTTCGCGTTTTGTTTTCGCCAAAAACACATTATCTCGTATGAATAACAGATCGATTGCCGGCAACAGCGAAATCTTAGACGTAGATTATTTCATCTAAGACGAATGAGAAACAAACAAATTAGCTTGTTATGGCTATCATATGTTTAGTGAATGCCACGCATCCGAATCTATTTTTGTTCCTTTTCTCGATAATATTTTTCTTCAGCTCGAACAAGTGAAAAGCAATTTTCATTTTCTAAAGATAATGAAGTCAGGCATTTTAAGCTGTTTATGATTTGTTTACCGAAATGAAGGTCAAGTTTAAGAACTCGGTTAATTGAGATTGTTTTGAGATTTTCTTTTTCTAATTAGAGAGCAAGAGCACTTCATTCATAAGATTTTCCTCAAGAATTTATTTACGATACTGATTTATGAACTGTACTTGTACTATTTCAGTTTGAGTAAATTTAATAGATTTTCCGTTCAAATATTTAAGTAAAGCGACAGGTGGCTATTAACAGTATGAATGTGATTAAAATGTTTAGACATCTATGTCATTCATCATTGGTGTTTTGATGTTGTAGCGCCTTTAAAATTTTGCCAAGCTTATTTGTTGGTGTAAAAGGGTTTCAAATTCGAGACATTTAATTTGTTGCTAAAATTATTTTCCGTTCAATTATTCAGAAGGCTATTTTCACAGTCACGGAAAAAGTATTCAGATATAAATAGTATGATGAAAATTCAATCACAATTCATATTTGTTAGAAATTTCCACATGAGAACATGGCACATGCACTGGGCAACACTGGGTAGAAGATTTATTGGCAACGATTTAAATTAGTTTTTTTTGCGTTTGTAAAGCAATAAATAATAATTCTTAGCTCATTAAAATAAACATTATTCAGCAAGGTGTTTTACACGCTCGAAAACAAGTTTCTCTAAATCTACTTAATTCCAATTAAGCCATACATCACAACACAAGCGTTGAATTTGTCATCAATTATCATCAAATTCGAATTTTGAATGCATAATTATGAAATATATATGCACCATGGCGACATGATTTGTCTCATTTTATGCAAAATTTGATATGTATTTATTTATGTTTTTATTAAAGATCTGTCATGTCGTTTTTTTTTCTAACAAATATAAAACATTTGTAAAATTATTTCATTTATGTTGTGCAGTTATTTTTTTAATATTTTCACAAATAAAATACTTTTAAACAAACAAAATACTTATGTCATTACGTTATATATATTTGTATGAATTTCGAATAATATTTCTGAAAAGAAATTTGTGAAATTTCTAAACTCGTTCTCGTATTGAAAGCGAAGAATTCATCAAAATACTATTTTTAACGGCTATATAATTTTTAAATTACTTTTTGAACCATGAAATTTAAGTTCAAAATCCGAAAATATTACTGAACACCCTGCAAAGAATCTATAACGCAAACAATAACAAAGTTTGTTATCCTTTCTAGCCAATCGTATCGCTTTTATATTAGTTATTTATGAATTAATATAATAAACAGTCAATACTTTTTATCTGCTTATTTCCTGAAATATTAATTAAGTTATATAATGCTGATAGATACGAAAAGAATTTAAACTACTGCAGTAATCAGAATGGTGAGTCAAAAATTAAATAAAAATTTTATTTAATCTTCAAATGTACAATATTTCACATTCGTGATATTTTATAGTGCGATTAAGCTTCTTTGCCACTTCTTTTACCACCCCATGAGTGGAATGGTGTTCGTATTACGATCTTCGGTGCTCCTCGTGCTCGTTTTCCTCCTAAAAAAAAGTTTAAAGTTTTAAAAATATCATCAGATATAAAAATTGTTTGAGTTTACCCCAAGAATGAAAACGAATCTTTTGCATCTGGCTTCGATCGCGCTTAGCTAGAACTTGATTTGGAAAATCAAGATCAAAGCATTCATCAATTTGAGTTTGGAGCATTAAAAAGAATTGTGATTTCAATACTGGATCATCAATGCTTTGAAGGATATTTTTGTACAATTTGATGCCCGTTTCATCTTCCGACAAGTGTTCTGAAGAATATTGGTAGAGTCTTTTATCAATTAACTACAATCAATCAACCACCTACCCTTTCTTATTAAATTATTTTCCGGAATTTTGTCGCTAGCTTCAATGCTTTCTCTTAGGTTTTCAATAAACCCGCAAACGTCGGGTGCTTCCGTGATCCCACTCAAAATGACCCTTCGATAATTCTCTAAAAGCAATCCCATCTCTCCAATCTGCCTCATTAAATCTTCACCATTTTCTAGTTGCTTCAGAGCTTTTGCCCCATTTCCGTTATCTAATTTCACGAATTGTGTAGCTTCCTGTGCCGTGCAGATGACGACAACTGATAGCATATAAAGAAGCATCATTTTTTCTAACCAATTTTATAAGCCTTTGGTCTGATTGGCTTATCTAAAAATACTCGGCTTTGATGAACGATTAAAGGAAGAGGGAGGAAAAAAGACAATTTTTATTATTTGTGGTTTCTTTATCAATTATTATTAATTAATTTGTGGGCGCTATCATGAATATTTTTTACATAATATCTAATTTATGACGTGAAGATAAAGACTGATATTTATAGATATTCATTTGTTTAGACAGAAAAACATGTTAACACATCAATCAATAAGAAAACATAAAAAATTCATGAGCGTGCCTAAAGTTTCATCCCAAGTTTGTGTAATGATGCGTTAATTATTTCGTCGTTCTCTATTCTCACACTCATTTGTTCATGTTTACCTTAGTAAGAGTAAACGGATAAGCAATAAAATGAGTAAAGGAAATCTTGTCGCTTTTTTCCACATGATTGGCGACAGATTAATGACTTTATTTGGTTTATGGGAAACGTGTAAAAGGAAACAAGAGCTTTTTTTTTCAATTTATCAACCACTTGTCGATGATGTTCAGTTTGTTGCTTTTGCTCTTTTAACTTCTCATATCATCCGTGATAACAATTTTGTTAACAGTAAATGTAGCGAGTCGATTATAAAACGAATGGTCGATCATGTAAAATCTCTTTCAAATGTAAATTTTTCATTTTTTTTTGTTGTCCTCGAAAAAAAAAGAAACAACAAGCATTTGTTTGAAACGTGACGAACTTAAAAAAGTTATGTCGAATTCGTCTCTTTGATTAAATCTAATGATAAAATTCAGTTTCTCTTTGGTGAGTTAAAGAAAAAGGGTAAAAAGAAATTCTTTATTGAATTTTCTCGCGATTCACTTATGAAGTCAAGTGTTTGAAAAATTTTTCTTTATCTTTTCTTTCTTTTTATTTTTGTTTTCCATTCCACTTATTTACAGTCGGAAGGAAGATAACAAAAGATCAAACACAATCCAATTGAATTTCTTCTACAAGCTTTTGTAATTGATGAGCACCTTTTTTACTTGCTTCAATATTCCTTTTGATTTGCTCCAATGGTTTTTAATCCAAAAACATTGGAAATGTCAGAAACTTAGAGCAAAAGAATAAAAAAAAATTAAACTCAAAGAAATCAATCCACGCCTGTTCACTTCTCGAAGAAAATGGATTTTTTCTTTCTTCCGGTTTTTCACTTTCCGATCTCACTCACTACGATGTGAATCCTCCGATTATAAATGCAAGACTGATGAGCGCTTTGTTAATCCTTATCGCTTTTATACTTTTCTGAACGAACGTTGGTAACATCAAATTGTATGTTTTATCTTTTTTTTTTATTTTTTTTCGGAACTGATTAAGAGCTTGAACATTCGCGTTGTTTTCTGTTGTACTTGGCTATGTTGTTCTTTTACTGCTAGCTTGAAAGTTTCACATGTCACAACAGTTGAAGAGTATTTTTGCGGGGGCTCTCTGTGAACATTTCTTTTGTTTCTATTTGATACAATTTCTCCTTTTCTCATTAATTTTTATCACTTTTGATGGGCAATGCGGAGAGTTAGTGTGAAGGAACAAGAAAAAAAAAGCAAGAGTATCGCCTTGCATAAATCATCATGTGTGTATGTGCTAAAGTGTATTTAAGCAGTTAGTTACGCGGAGAAATGGAATATATTAAAGCAGATTAATTTCTGATGATATCTAACAATCTCAAATAGGGATGAAAAAAAGCGAGGATTTTCCTGTAATTTTTATGCTTCATCAATCGGTACACCACGTGAATTACTAATTTCAATCACATACATGCTGCGAATGTTGATGATGCTTCTTAACATAATAATTGATAAAATTTTAAACATTCCGCGAAAATTTCCTTTAGTTTTCGCAGCTTCGCGGCAGATGATGGTTCACTGAAGTGTAATTAAAACGGGTCATTAATAATTGATGGCGTGTTAAAATACTCATAAACTGACGGTTAATGGAGCAATTCCAAATGGAGAAACATTTGGCGATGCATATTTGATGGCCTTAACGCTTCAAAGAATATTTATTTTTCTCGAGCTTTTAGATAAATTCGAAAATGAGTTCAGTTGATATCAATGTTCCAAACGGTAATTGATTTAACCCTTTCGTATACAAATTAATTAAGAAGTATTCTGACAAAAAAAGTTTGATGAAGCTTTTATCACTTTTGACGCTTTTTCATCGTGTTGTGAAGATTCTTTTTTCTTGTTTCTGCTTATAATAAAATAATAAAGAACAATTAAGTGAATCTAGGGACGACAATTTTGTGGGGTGTCGTCACGAAGAGATAATTTCTTCCACTCAATTTCATTGAGAAACATCGGACGAAGAAAAAGTTTGATAATTGCAAATTGGCTTTAGGCTGAAAGTGAAAAGTGAAGAATTCGTCAAAAAGTTTATTTATCCACCCTTTTTCACTTAACGTTGTTGTTCTCATTAATCGGTTTGACTGGCGAAACAATTAAGAACTTTACAATTTAATTTACATGATTTCTCACTTCACTTTCTTGCGATGATTGTTGAATAATTTATGATTGTTTTCATTTTTCTTTTCCGACCCGAAACTTGTTTAAAAGTTTATTTTTATATAGTGAAAATGACAAGCTAAAACAATTTCATTCATATTTTCCTAAACATTACAAGACATAGAAAGTTATCTTCAAATGACTTAAATTTAAAATTTTCTCTTTTTTAATTTAACAGAAATTTAAATTTTGTGGTGACGGAGATTGTCCAGATTACATTCTGGCAACCATTCATTCGAATCTTTGTGGATTAAGTAGCATCAAATTGAGAATTTTGGCATCACAAGTTGTCAAAGCTGTTCTGTCAGAAGAAGCGATAGACGAGAAAAAATTCAGTGAAAGCTTTGGTGGTTCTACTGACGACTCTAAAGCAGCATACGCTTGTATAAGGTTCTTACTTCTATCCGGTGTTAGATACAGCATTGGGAAAGATATCTTCTCCGTTGAACTTCAACAACTTGGACTCCCACGTGAACATTCTCTCGCCTTAGGAAAAGTTCTCGATGAAAACTCATCGTCATTGAGAGAACATCTAAAAAGCAAAGCTCTCACGATAAATGAATTGATTGATGTGAAGTTTAAGGAATCAGGTGGCATTGATTGTATACAAATGGAAATGACAATTAAGAATTTAGTTGATGAAAATGGGCGAGGAATCGATGGAAATGTTACGAAAGATATAAATATAAGCAAAGCAGACATTCCTTTACTATTACATGATTTAAAGTTAATCAAATCAAAAATGGATCATTATGATTATGAGAATATGTGAAGAATTACAGAATTTAAATAAAATGGTATTGAAATAAATTGTATTCAATCAGTTGCCGAATAATTTCTTTCGTTAAGTTTCTGGTTTTCTTTCGTTAATTTTTTCCCGCAAAAAATTTGAAAGTTCACTTCATATTAAAAATTGAACTAAGACGGAACCTACTTTTGTTTATTTTTAGAAAAAATCACAACTTCATAGAAAAAATTGTAAATTCTTAAAATATAGCTTAATAAATGTCTTCTTATTCAATTATCGAGTACTTTGGTGAGTCAAATGACGGCAAATGTGGGTACTGTAAGCAAACTGGACGATATAACAGTTATGGATTTTGGGCACATACTTTAAATGTCAACGATTATCAAGAAATGATCAATCGAAACTGGAGACGTTCAGGGCAATATTGCTACAAGCCCAAGAACACAGACACATGTTGTCCAATGTACACAATCAAATGTGATGCCTTGAATTTTAAGCTTAGTAAGAGTCATAAGAAAATTCTAAAGAAAATGAATAGATTTTTGCGTGATGGTACAAAGAGCAAAGATCGTAACAATCAATCTGATATAAAGCAACGAGAAGTTCAAGAAATGAAATCCTCTCATAAGCACAGTGATGTTAAAGTGAATGAAATAAATGTCACTTCAATTGGAGGAGACAAAAATGTTGTCAAGGTCAAACCTTGTGTGAAAAGAGAAAGAAATCTGCCAGCAGGTCCAGTTGGTGGTTCTCATAATTCAGTTTCTAGTATAGCTGAAAAGCCTTCTAATCCTAAAAAAGCAAAAGTGATAAGAATAGAACGAAAGAAGAAGAAACTTGCAGCAAAGGGATTAACTTTAGCCGATGTTCCTCGAAAGAAAGCAAATAATGTTGAAAAATCTTTGGAAGATTTTCTAAATCAAGAGCCGAAAGATGGAAAACATCGATTAGAGGTGAACAATTGTTGAATTTATTTCTTTAACGCTCTTAATTCTGTAATGTTTTTTCAGGTAAAATTGATTCCGTCAAAACATGGAAGTAATGAAACAATTTTCAAACTTTATCAAAAATACCAAATGCAAGTTCATAAAGATCCAATTGAGAAGCTTAACTTGAAATCTTATGAACGTTTTCTTGTCAATTCTCCTTTACAGGTAATCAAATTTTCATAATTCATCGATCTAACATTTTCTTTTTCATTTCTTTTTCTTAATTAACATCATGAAAAATGGCAAAGACAAAAATAATTTCAATTAATGCTGCTGAAGGTTCCAACATTAATCTGTCATTTAATTTATTCTGCAAATACGAAAATATGATTCACAAAAGTTCTGATAATGAGTTTACTGAATATGTTCAATTCTTAGCCTCGTCGCCACTTAAGGTTAGCGAGTTATGCTTTTATTAATTAACATTTGATTTTAATTTTCGACTATTAACAAAATTTTCTCAACAACTTCTATTTTCACAATTTTGTAATGATTTTAAATTGATTACAATTTGTTTTCTGAATTTCAGATGATCAAAGATGACACGACACCATCTCAAGGTTTTGGGTCGTTTCATTATCAGTATTACCTTGACGGTGTTCTGATAGCTGTTGGTGTCATTGACATTCTTCCCGAATGCGTCTCATCGGTCTACCTTTATTATGATCCTAATTACAGTTTTTTGTCTTTGGGTACTTACGCATCTTTGAGAGAAATTGCTCTTGTTCGTGAACTTTACAAATCATGTCAACAATTGTCAAATTATTATCTTGGATTTTATATCCCAACATGTCCAAAGATGAGATACAAAGCTAACATTAAGCCATCGTTCTTATTATGTCCAGAAGTGTTCACCTGGCATCTTCTTGATGGAGAACTTAGTGCGAAGATTGACTCGGTTCCTTATTATCGAATAAATAAAGATGAAGATGATGCAGAAAAGGTGACGGAAGATAATCTTGGAAGCACACTTGTCTTAGCAAATCGAACAGCAATGAAGTATGGCGACTTTAAAAGGGTAAAATCATTTAAAATGAGTTTAAAGAAACATTAAATTAACATTCTCATTCTACAGCTCGCTTCACTCCCACGTAATTTACGAGAAGATTCCAATGAAGTCATGGAGTATGCAGCACTTGTTGGTCGTAGTCTCTCTCAGAAAATGTTGTTATTTAGATGTTAATTTAACCACATCTCAATATAAATTATTTATCAAACATTTTTATTGCCATTTTATATTTAACGCGAGACATAAAAATAATAAAAAAAAAATACAAATCGCTCATTGCGATGAATGATCAATAAAATCACTTTTTTGTTGCAACATTTATAACATTGCATCATGGAATTAAATTATGTGGACTTTCAAGTAGATTTCTCAACTTCACTTTCTTCTTTTCTTTCATTCCATTTCTGAACTTCCCCACTTCCGAAAATAATGAAAATAATTCCTGGAATTATGTAAGCTAAAGATCCAATGTAGAAGACATGTTGCCATTCTTCCATTGTGCTTTGCTGATGAGTAAAATGTGCAACGACAAGTGGTGAAATGAAGCCACTGGTGCAACCGACAAAGTTGATTATTCCATAAAGTGAACCAGCATAATTTGGAGCTAAATCTTGTGAGTTTTGTAAATTTGTCATCGTGGCAGCGCCGTTGAATCCAAGTGATAATGTTATGATTGCAACACACACATATGGATCGCAACCAACGAAGCAAAGCAAGAATAAGAAGAGTCCCGGAATCAAATGCGCTGTCAAATAAGAAATAAATTAATTTGATGTTGAATTGAGATCAAGAGAAAGAGAAACTTTTTTACTTACAGAAAATACAAAATGTTTTTCTTATCGTTGTGACACTGAATAGATTCTTATGACGGATGCAATCACCGATACTACCAAAGCCAAAACCAGCTATGAGTCTCATTAAATAAGGCAAACTCGATAACATTCCAGCTTCAGTGAGTTTGAATTTGAGAACTTCACTCATGAATTTTGGTGCTGCTGTGATAAGGAAGAACAAGCCCCAATTGTTTCCAAAATGAAGTAAAAGAAGTGCATAGAACGGTGGACTCATTAACATCTCTTTGATTTTTGGCAATGAATTTTTCTTTCCACTTGTTACACTTGCACCGATTGATTTCTCAATGAAATCTTTTTCTGACTTCTGAATTCGTGGATGATTTGCTGGTGAATCTGATACGAAATAAAGCCATAAAAATGCAACAAGAAACGTAAAACCTGCCGATAAATAAAATCCAAATTGCCATCCAAGCTTTTCGATTATAAAACCGGTAAGAGGCCACGTGATGACAGTTCCAAGTGTTCCACCGAGAAGTGATGAAACGAATTTTCCTTTCTCTTCCATTGGTGACCATTTTGAGATGACATTATGACAGGCTGGGTACAAAAAACCCTGAAAAGAAATCGTTACTTATGAAGATTCTTCATCGATTTCGATTTCTTCAGCTCACTCCCATGATGCCCAAAACTAAACGTGACATGAACATTGGGATGAAATTATCATTTGCTGCCAATGGTGATAATGCAGTTATGATTGATGATGACAACAATCCGATGAAAATAACGAATCGTCCACCGAACTTCTCTGACAAAAATCCACCGAGTAAGTTCGGGAAAATCTAAAGAAATTGAAGTTTTTGAAATTGTTTTCATATAATTCAATTCCAATCTTACATATCCATAAAAGTAAGCGCTCAATAATAATCCCTGATCTCTTTTGTTCCAATCAAACTCGTCACTGCTTCCGCTACCGGTGAAATTTTCCACGATTTTTTCCGTCGAATTCATTGCGCTTGACTTTGTCATTGCAATGATAATGATTGAGAAGTTAACTCGAAGCATGTATGATGTGAAGCTTGCCATGAACAACATAACAGCAACATTAAACCGTGTCGGGATTTGAGCTGTGAAAGATGCAAAATCAAACATGATTACGCAAATGTAATCGCAATTCTCAATAATATTTGCAGAGTGATTGATTAATTTCTATTAATATCGCGAGATTGATGTTAATTTGTTTCTTTCAACTAGTTTAATGTAATAATTTATGCAATGTGTACGATTTATGTGTTCAATAATATTTTTTACGCATTTTATTGCATCTCACATGCAATCAATTTTATATTTGTGATCATTAAATTGAGTCCAATCGAAATTCTCAGATTTATTTTAATTTTTTTCGTTTTAAAATGCTCGCGATTTCTATTTCCTTGTTTCAATTTACATTTTTATCAAATTTTCAATAGCAGGTAGATTTGGTTAATAATATTAACTTAATAATAGCATCAAAGAGAAGCATAATTCAAATTATGTCGCATCAAGTTTTTAAAGGCCGAAACCAGAATTTCAAAAGCTTCCTGTTCTCATCGGACGTGAGAAAGATCACACAAACAGCACCAAATTGACATCGAAATTTACCTTCAGATATAATTTAGAAAGTTTTAAAGTTCAGTTGCATTTCAAATTTATTAAGATTTTAATGGAACATTAAAATTTTATTTGATTTGATCAAGCATGTAACAGCAGCAAAAGAAGGTCAAGAATTTAAAGTTCAAGTTCGGTGAATTTTACAGAGAAGTGTCGATAAATTTATTTGCCATCGTTAATTTCAGGGTTCATCGTTCATCCACGCATTGGAGTCAAAACATATTCCTTGCTAGTCAGATTGACTCTATTTACGGAACATATCAGTAAATAATATTGAATTGCAGTAAATTTTAATTATTCAATAATTCTTGCTGCACCAACATGTAAGAAAGTTCTTTGACATTCTTCAAGCTGTTTTTATAACTCGCTCTGTTAAGTGTAAACTAGTTAAAAGTTTTACTTCCTCTTCTCAATACCATCGACATAAATGACTTCTTATTGAGATAAAAATATAAATGAATACAAGAAAAAGTAAAATGTAAACTTAAAATGCAAGAAATGAACAAAAATGTTAGAGAAGTTCTTAAAAATCGTTGCATGTGTGGAATTGTTTTAATGATAGTTAATCAAACTAATTTGTCATTAGAAATGAACTGCAAAAAAATAGTTTAATAGAAAAATTTCAATAATTTAGCAAACAAATGCATTTGGAACATGCAATTATAGAATTGTTGTTAATTATTACCAACATTTTTTCTGCTACTTCATTGAGATAAAAAAATTATTCCATGGCACGAGACTTTTACAGGAGTTTATGTGACTATACAACATTCAGAAATAAAATATAGATGAAAGTTCATCACTTGCACGGATTTGTTTAATAATTAAACGTTTAAAGATTCACAACAAAATGTAAATGTCATGAATAAGGTGAGTTGCGGATAAATTAAACATTTGCTGAACATTTAGTTTTTTTCTCATCAAAGATTTGTGTCATGGTTAAACAGAAAAATTGCTTAAAACTTTTAAAAATTCATCGATCACTTTTAATAATTAATCGAGTGTATCATGTGACAGGAAAAGAAGAAAGAATGCCGGAAATGCGAAGGACGTTCAAGCGCACGAGCGCAACCAATGAAGAATATTTCACATTCAAAACTTGTAACACGTTGATGAGTCGTAAACGCACTTTACTTACCGAAAACATCGAAAAATGCTCTATTAAGATTCACAGTAAAAACCATCGTGTTGTTGTCTCAAGCAGCGAAATACTTTTTTATATAACAGACACTGACAAACCCAAAACTTTATGTTTTTGCAATTTTTCACACGCGTTGACGACTGAAACGACTGCAAATTTATGATGAATAGTCAAAAAAAAAATTTAAGTGATTTAAATGGAAAGTTATGTTTGATTTCCTTTCTTCTTTTTTATGATTATTGCTTAAATATTTTTTGCTTTGATGAGGTCGACAGCTCAGTTAAATTTTAATTTCAATCATGTTTGCGAAAATTACACAACTGATTTTCTGACAAATTAACAATCCAAGAAACTTAACTGTTTCTCAAAAGTGTGGAAATAAGATGAAAAAGTTTGATTGAAAATGGCACAACCGATCAGCTGAACGTCTTAATGCAAACTGAACTCTCACAACAAGCCAAGCTCCGCTTAATCGTGAATGAAATTAAGTTTATCGTTTGCCATGTTTCGCGAGCGCGCATTTTTTTCTTGCAAACATGTGATTTGAAATGCTTTGCGCAAGTTTTCTTTTCTCTCATTTCAAGCTTTTTTAATGTTTTGGATTGTTGATCACTATTTGTGTTGAATTTTCGCGGTTCTTAGCGGAAGGTCAAGCCATAAACAAATAAGAAGCATGAAAGATTGAAAACATTTTTTCTTCTAAACTCTCAATGATGTGATAATTTTTTTTTCTGTTTAGACATTTAATCGATTTTCGTCAACAGTGTGGAGACTTTGTATGATGTTGCAAGTCGCAGTTTTGTTTTAACTTAGATATTTCCTGTTTCTCATGCATTGTCTATCGACAAGTTAAGTAAATGTTTAATTACATTCTCATCTTCTTGTTAGATATCTTAAACTTTTCTAGTCTGTTCTCTTCTATTTTTTATTGATATAATAATGAATGATTCCCCACAATTTGCTTTGACAACACACATGTGCTTATGAACCATGAAATAAAAAAAACAACAAATTGATTTTAATGACAATATTTTCATCTGATCAAATAACCACTGAACATGAACTTGAATTTGGTGACCTTCGAATGTTTTAATAATGAATGACATAGTTGATCAAATTGCAATAACAAATTTGATGTTCCATTTCACTGATATCGATCAGAATCTGCTGCTGTTAATCGACCACAATATAATGTGGAAATATCGTGAAACTTTAGAGATGAACAGAGAAATTAAATCAATTTAAATGTTGACTGATAAAAAGTGAATTTATTAACAATAAAATAAAATAAAAAATCTTTGAATAACTTTTAAAGTCTTTGTCAAGAAATAAATTGACACATCAATGTTCACAGTCGAGTGACAATTTCATCTTTGGATTTTTTCTTTGTTTCGTTCCATTTTTGTACGTTTCCATCACCGAGAAACACGAATATGACTGCTGGAATAATGTAAGCAGAAGCTCCAATCCAAAACACGTACTTCCATTCGTTGACCGTACTCTGAATTATGAAAAATGAAAATTAGAAAAAAAAAACTTTTTTATGTTTCTCACCGAATCTTCAGTGAAATATGCGACGATTAATGGCGAGATAAATCCACTTGTTGTCCCAACGAAATTAATGATTCCATAGAGAGTTCCAGCAAAGTTCGGTGCCAGATCTTGGGAGTTCTGTAAGTTAGTCATCGCTGCTGATCCATTAAAGCCAAGTGATAAAGTTATAATTGCAACAATGATGTAAGGATCAGAAGCAAAGTAAGAAATGGAAATCAAAAATAGTCCTGGGATAATGTGCGCTGAAAGTGGTGATTCAAACAGTTAAATGTCAACAACACTTGGCCGATGAAAAGTGTGTCAAAGTTACTCACAAAATAAACAAAACGATTTACGAGTTGTCGTCACTTGAAGCAAATTTCTCCGTCGTATGAAATCACCAATGGCACCGAATCCAAAGCCTGCTAAAAGTCGTGCCAAGTGTGGAAGTGATGAAAGTATCCCAGCTTTTGAAAGATTGAAATTTAAAGCTTCAGTCATGAACATGGGAGCAGCTGTTTGAAGGAAGTACAAGCCCCAAAGAGATCCGTAATGAAGAACCATCAAAGCGTAGAATGGAATTGAAGTAAGAATACTAACAAGTGGAGGGAATTTTTTTTCTTTTGAAACGGAGTCACCCAATGAATGTTGAATCAATTCAAGTTCCTTCTTTGATATTCTCGTATGCTTTGTAGGTGAGTCAGCTACAAAATAATACCAAAACCCAACAATCACAAACGTGATAATTGCTGGAATATAAAATCCAAATTCCCATCCAAATGTTTCGATTACGATTCCCAGAATCATCCAAATGAAAACATTGCCAAGTGCACCACCTAAAAGTGCCGACACAAATTTTCCTTTCTCTTCTTTTGGCGCCCATTGTGAAACGAGATTATGTAAGGCCGGAAAAATGACTCCCTATTAAAATATAATTATTAAAATTGTTATTGTGGTGACGACTCTCGAAGATCATTAAAAAAATGATTTAAATCTGTGTAGTCATGGCTGCATTGAAAGTGTTGATAATATTATAAAACTAATAATTTCACACAACATGTGAATGCAATCGGAACATTCATCAAAGTTTGAAAACTGCATCGCAAATTAATGACATTAAAAAATTTTTATCAGTTTTCCGTGAAGAACAAATGTCATTGTTATTGACAACAATAAGTTGTTGGATATCAGCAATTGAAACTTACACCAAGGACTCCAAGTAAAGCACGTGCAGCGAAAGTTGGTACCCACGAGTTAACAGCTAGAAAAGGTGAAATTCCGGTCACAATTCCACTTAACAAGAGAGAAATTCCTATGACGTGTCGACCACCAAATCGCTCTGCTAGGCCGCCACCAAACAGACTTGTCGTTAAATATCCCCAAAAGAATCCTCCAAGAATATACGATTGTTGCTTCTTGTCCCAAGGGTATCGTGGTCCATACTTAAAACAAAATTCTTTGTTGAAACTAAACATTTATCAGACGATGTCATCTTACATCTGGAAGTGGTTCACTTGTGCCATTCGTGTTTGTATCTTGCACCATTGCAATTAAGTTGATTGAGATGTTTGTGCGAAGCATGTATGCCGTGAAACATGCCATAAATAACATGATCGCAACATTGAAACGTGCTGGAACTTTTTCTGAAACAATTATTAATATTTCATCAGATAAATCATTTCGCGAATCGCGATCAAAGTCATGGAAAATGACGTATCAGAAAATTATTATAAATATGTGAAGATTTGTATTAGATATAGCGAATTAAATATAAATCGATAGCAATTTTTCACAGACTTTAAACTAACCATTGGTTAAATGGAAAGATAAAATCAGCAAGACCGCAACTCATCGACCCTTCAATAACATATTTACGAAAATATCTCTCTCGCGATCTCATATTTGCTTCTCTCTGTTTTGTTTTTCATTCATCACTGATAAGATAAAAAATTTGTATAAATTATTTGCTTAGATATATTCAGTTTTTTACTCTTGTTACACATATTGAGAGTATAAATTAAATTGCCAGTTGTAATTTCACTGAATTTATCTCGTATTTATTTTTAAATTAGTTCACCAAGACATGACAATTGTCAAATTTTATTACTGTTTTTATCAGTGATAATCCATTAAAAACATTATAAAAAATTACCAAAGAATCCTGATAACAGTAATACCATCGTTGCTGATTGCTAATGAATGAAGTGGCACTTTAAATTGATCACAACTTGAAACAACTTGTCTTACTTAATTAGATATCTATCACGATTTTTTTTTATCAAAGATGCGAAACAATTAAAAGCAAACTTTACTGATTATCATTTTATCATTCAAGTCTTCTATCAATATTTTATTGTCACAATCTTTCACAACAATTCAGTCATTGACTTTGTTTTCCACAATTTTTTTAATGTGAGTTATAGTCGAACGAAGTTAAATCCGAAACTGAGTCGGGATTGCACGGCAATTTTTATTTTATACGATCAACGTTTTGTTATCACAGACAGCTTGAGTATTTAACTTGACAAATAACGAATCTTTAAACTCGACTAGAATGAAACTTTTTCATCAATAAATATTTCTCTGTAATGTAGCGACAGACGTTAGAGTAATGACAATGTCTGGTTTTAATTAAGGATCTTTTTCAAACAGACACATTTATGAAATGAAAAGTAACAAACTAGATCATAGCTGTTTCAAAGTTAGAACTACAATGAAACATTTTAAGTTTGAACTCATTAAAATACTTAAAACAGGTAAGTAAATAGACAATAAATATGTAAAAAATGTCCGTGTCGTAAAAATATTTTATAACAGCAATAAACAAAAATATTCACTTCGACTTGTCAATGTTATCGATTCATTAAAAAGAAAAGTATTTAAACGAGTATTAGCAATTCTTCTTTACAAGTTTTTGTTGATTTTGATATTACTAAACAAATGTTTGTTATCTTAAATGAAAAATAAATTACTTGTTAAAGACTCACATAAAGAAAAATTGACGTAGCAAATTGACTGACGTAGCTTAGTGGTCAATGTGCTGGTCAAAATTATTGGAGATTGTTGGATCGATTCCAGCCGTCGAGAAAATTGTTTACACTGCTCGATAAATCTAAATTCAAAGTCGGACCAGTGCAGTATGTTCATCGAGCTTATTTGTTTACTGAGCGTTAAGTTTATCGAGCTTTATTTGTATTAATTTTTGCATATTTTTCTGAAATTGTTTTCTTTGAGGAATCGTTCGACAGTTTTCTTTGCTATTGTAACGGACTTTCAAGATTTAAGCTTGAAGCTTAATTCAATTTTAAATTGTAGAAACAACGAGTATGAACATGTGTCATCATCAGATATTTCTTTACTAACACGAAGTCGTGTGAAGAATGATTCGGAGTAGAATGTTTACTAAAATTTTTTACTCTTTTGTAATCTACATTGCTTTTTAATAGACATTTATTTGACATTAATGATTCAAAATTACGTAGACAATCATCAGCATATTAAATGTATATTTAACAATTCTTAATTTATGTTTTTATGTAACGAGAATACAACAAAAAGTTCCATCTGGACATTCATCTTGATTAGAATGTCTGATAATTGGATTGCACCATTCCATACATGCGCCTAATCTATCACCACACGAGTTGGGAATACCAGAAGATGGCACAGGTTCAGTGGTTTCATCACAAACATCGTCGGATTTTTCTGTATATGAATTAAATTATAATAATCTTTTGTACCAACAAAAACATATGAAACCTTGTGGTGCTGCTTTTATTAAGTTAATTGACATCGAAAACAGCAAAATTACGAAAACCTTCACCGTCAATTTCATTTTTTCCCTTTCTTTTCCAATCAATTCGATACAAAATTTAACTAGACTCTACTCATTCACTGAAAAACATTAACTGAGAAGTCTTTTGCAATGAATTTCTATTTTAGTTTTTGTAAATACAATTTTAATATCTTTGTTGTTTACAGTTGCTGGCAGCGAATTTACGATGATCGGCAGTTAACGTACGATGAATATTGTAACACACTGAGGAAAGTTTCCATATAAAATGAAGAGTATTCACGGTAATCTTTTTATGTCTGCACGAAGACTTGGAGAAAAATAATTCCCGATAAAAGTTTGAGCTTTAAATCGCTACGAAAAGAAATGGTTTTAAAAAAGAAGTTGAGACGATTTCAGACTAATTGAGTGAGTTCTTTAAAATCATCCATTTCGAAACAAAACTTGGCACGAACGTTGCATATGACTTGACATGTGCTGTCCATGAAATAATCATTGTAGGATAATTAAATTGTTAATAGGAAATTGGAACTTAAAGTAAATTAATCAAGTATTCAATATGAACAAGTTGTGCAAATGTTCTTTATTACCACAAAGAAAGGAAAATTTTAAGATAATTTATTTGCCATTATCAGTTGTCGCGTCTGCAGTCGAATTTAAAATGGTTCTTAATGAAATTGACTTTTTAATAACAAAAAGCTTCTTGAAAGTTCAAAGCTTTGTTTCAAGGGATTACAAAAAAATTGTTAAAAGCATTTTCGATAACGAATTTCAATGTGCAGTTTGAGAGTTCTTTGCCAATTTGAGGCTTTATTAAATAAAAATGTTTGAAATTGATATTGAAAACGATTTGAAAACTTTATTGGAAGAATATTAAAAAGCTTCCAGAATATTTCATGATAATTTAAGTTAGCAGTTATTCTTTTTTATAGTTGAATCCCAAACAGCAGATTTGATCTTGTTTGCAAACACCCTTCTCGTCTTTCTCTGGTAGGCCTTCTAGTTCTGCACATTGGTTCTTGTTTTTTGTACATAATCCTGAACCGTCATTGCATGTATTCAGACAACAAACTTCCGAGTTGGGACATACAAAAGGTTCTACAGGTTGTATTTCAAAACTTTTATCATAACATTGGTCAAAGCATCGTCCATTTTTATTCTCATCAACGCCGCAGGTGAATTCAGAATCCTCATCCACATCTATTTAAACGTGATATTTTATTTAATAATTTGATAATTTAAGAAGTTTTACCTGTTTTGCAACAATAAAATTGACAATCTTTGAATTCAAACCCTCCAATTCTTAGAAAATCAGCACAATATCGGCGACATTTCCCTTCATATTCACTGCATTTATTTTTAGCTGGCGTGGAACATCCTAATTAAAATAAAGTTACATTAGAAATCAATTAAGAATTAATAACACCAACTTTTCGATTCAACTTGGATTGAAATAAGCCCCAGAAAAACCAAGTAAAGAAGCAGAGAAAGTCTGACACGATTCTTCATCCTTTCAACTCAGCGGTTGTAAACTTCTTTTTCAATTGCATTTTGTTGAATAAATTTCACCTTTTATATGCGTTTGCGAAAGTTAAACTTGTGCATATGAATTAATTAAGAATATTAATAATTTTAAACTTAATCAATTGCAATTTCCGTAAATCGTAAAGTTACTCGCAACATAACTTCTTTTGTTTTTTCATTTTTATCAGAGTTGAATATGAAAACTTACAACTTTGCTGCAAAAAATCCAAGAGTTTAAGATTTAATTCAAATTAGATATTTATTCAAAATATTTTGAACTAATTTTATTATGAAATCTTTCACCATTTTATTTTATTGAAAACTTAACTTAAATAGCATGAAATTTACATAAATATTTAATATCGCGAAAAAAAAAAGAAGTTTTTAAAAAGAAAAAAGAACTGCTAAGAACAGCTTTAGTGCTGTTTTCCAGGTAATATTAATTTCTAATTTCTGTCATATTTACTTTTTACATAACAAAAATTCATTTAAAATTTCTTAAGCCCTATCGAGAGTTAGTAAAGGTCGTATCAATAAAAAAATAGATTATCAATTCTAAATCTGATGTTTTTTATTACAATCAAATGAATAATTTTAAGTTTTGTTTGTACCGTCTCTTTAAACGATAATAAATAAACTCTCAAAAGTCAGACTTAGGTTGGATGTTTTCTAAATCATCATTCTTCATTTATTTTTAACAGTTTTCGTTTCATTACATTTTGATTTTAGACATTAATGGGCCTAAGAAATCGTTTCTTTGTTTTCGTGGTGGTCTTTTATCAAATTCCCCACAACATTGTTCTCCATAGACTGCTGTGCAAACTCTGTTGTTATCAGGAAGTGCATACCAATAATTACAGCCACTTCGACATTGTCCATTTTCGCATGTCCTTAAGCAACAAACCTCTCCAGTTGAACATTCATTATTTTTTCCAGGAATAATCAAATCGTAGTAATCATCGGTGCATTCATCCTTCTTCTTGCAACTACCTCTCATCCCATCGCAGTATTGCACACTGCCTTCGTCATTCATTTTGCTTCCGAATGATTCTGAAATTTAAAAACAAATCTACAAAACTATCAGTTAACTTAAAAATAATACCTTCAGTTTGAATCTCCTTGATTGAAATAATTGCCAGGAAAATAAAGAAAAAACAAGCTTCGGTGAACTTCATTTTTCTATCGTTAAGTTAAATGCTGAAAATTAAATTCCAATTGAATTACGATTTAATTCCCCATACCTTTTATACCCTCCATGGCTACGTTTATCCAACTTATTTGCATATGTCAATAAAATATTAATTAATTCATCAATTTATGACATTTTTTAAAACAATTGACCAACATTGCAATCGATAAAAATTGGAGTGAAGGTTTCAATTTAAAAGCATTGAAAGAAATAATTTCCTCAGTTTTCCGTCTATTTATTATTTTACAGTTTAAAACATTATGAAATGTTTGTAACTTTAAATGATTTTAACTTCTGATGGGCAATCTTTTTGACAAGCTTTGAGTGGTTTTACATTTTTACAGAAAGTTTTGTGATCACCACCAGCAGGATAATAACTTGCAACCACATAGATTTTATTTTTCTCACTACAATGAAGGGAATTTTAGAAGATAAAATCGAATGAATAATGAACATACTTACAGATTGATTGCGTGTCCAACACCCATGGTTTCCGTGCTTTTCCAAACGACTTGTGCAAAGTGTTTTGTTTCAGGTGTCGCATAATTATTTGATGAATCCCAATTTCTGATCTCTGAATACCATTGCATGACAGGTTCAAAAGGATCTGGATAAACCTTACGAGAACTCCGTTTGATGAAAATATTTTCACCATATGGTCCTTTACTTGATCGTTCTGAATCACATTGCATGAGATAGTTAGCGTGAGCTTCAGCATACTTGCACAATCCTTTGTTCAAATCTAACAACTGAACTCCATGACGAATTCTATAATTATTGTGTGCTTCAAGACAATCGATTTGGAATTCCGTGAATTTGTTACCACCGCACAAAGTCATTTAGCTGCTTTGAGTTTTTATTACAAAAATTTTAAAAACCAAAAAGTTTTTTTTGTTTCTTTGTTCTCAACGAACGATGTAAATGGAAAGAAAAATGTTTGCTTAAATTATTGAAGCTAAAATTCCATCTGCAGCACTTTGACGTTGCTATGCAAAGTTTAAACATTTTCATAGTTTTCAAATGAACTCTGGATAAAAATTAATCTAGATTAAAGAAGGTTAGATTACATGTTATATGGGATTGGAGTTAGACTAACATCTAAGTGGATAAAGTTCTTAATCGAGGTAGTAGTTTGCCACCCTTATTGTCTGAGATTTCGAAATTTTTTCTCAGAGCTTACAACTTTGTAAAGACGCCAAAATATATTTAAAAAAGATTTTTAAAAGAATTTCGTGTTGATTAACTGACTAAAAAAAAGCGACGAAAATATGAGTCAGTCTTTTGATTTGCAGGAAAGATACATTTTAGACCTACCGGATGAAATGCTTCTTCATATCTTCAGTTATCTCAATATTTCATCATCACGTAAACACGTTTCACGAGTTTGCAGAAAGTTTTATGAATTAATGTGTGTCGTTAGACGAGACTCGGAATTTCCATTGGAACTTTCTTATTCAAAGGTAATTATAGTAAAAAAATTAGCTTAATTAAGTTTAGTGTTCATAAAATATTTTCCATAGATTTGTGACAAAAAAATTCGCAGATCAATTGTGTACTCCTCTCGTGAGTTTGAAGAATTAACAATTTATTATCGTCATGATCAGGAAAGCATCAACAGAAAACATGAAATTAAAATTGAATATATTGAAGATGTGATGTTGAATTTCGGAAGACGAATAAAAAAGTTTGGATTGAGCAATTTTGAGTTATTCGAATCGCAGTTGAGAAAAATACTTGATTGCATTCCTAACGTAGAATTTCTGGGACTGAACAAAGTTAAAGTGAATATCGAACCGAATGAAAATATTTCTGAGCTCAACCTATGCAAACTGAAGAAGCTAGAGATAAGGAATGGCTCAAACTGTTTTAATATCCTCAACAGATTACCAAAGGATACAATAAGAGAAGCAATTATTATGTCTCATGATGTTGACATAGGCTTGCAAAAGTTCTTCAATAAACAAACAAACATTCAGATGCTTGAAATAGATAAAAATAATCAACTTAAGTTCGATCATCTCAAACTTGAATATCTGAAACTCAATTCGAAATTTATAAATCTTCCTCTAAATTTGCGGCAGCAGCAGAAACTTCGTTACATCGATTTTTCAAATTATTTAATTGATGATGAAATTTTGACAACGATATGTAAAATGACAAATCTAGAAGTAGTAAAAATGTGCGTTAACCTTGGTATGCCCTGTTATGTCTTTGAATCTCTTAAGTACCTCACACAATTAAAGGAACTTCAATTAAAATCTGACGAAATTCATAAGTGTAATCATCTCCTCGAATTGAGCAGAATGCGTTTAAAGATTGAAAAATTGACACTTTTATTCGAAAAGGAAAAAATTCCACCAGAATTCTTCATTCAATTGAGCCAAAACTTCCGCAAACTCAAGCAAATTATAATTTCCAATCGCTCGATTATTATCATTAACACTATTTTGGAACACTTTCCCAATTTGGAGTCGATTGCTGTTGATTTCTACAGCGATGAACCAGAAGAAATTTTGGTGATCAGTGAAAATCTAAAACATGAGAAGCTCAAGGAAATTATTGCGACCAGTCACTGTGAAGAAAAAAACACAAACTCGCTTCTCACGCTTCTCAATGCTTGCCCAAATCTCGAGCGAATTATGTTATTTAATCTAGCTGAAGATCTGCAACAAATTATCAATAACCATCCCAAGTTAACTGAGTTGAGTCTTAGATTCGAAGATTTTACATTTTTTGATGAAATTAAAGAAAAGGTGCATGCTATCTCTACTGCAGCAAAAAGGCTCAAATACGTCAACCTAAATGGACTCAGTAGATGCACTGAATTTTTAGAAAGAGGGTCATCTATAGAAGGACTGTTTACGGATGTATTTGAGGATGAGTTTGATGATATTATGTTCTTCGTTCATATAAGTTCGGCAACAGAAGCCGAGACTGAAATCATGATGAAGAAGAAACGAAATTCTTCCGAATTGTGTTGTGAAGAATTACGAAGTTGAATTGAAACAGCGATAAATTCCATAATAATTCTATAAATACAAATTTATAACAAAAGTACGTAAATAAAATTTCAGTACCTCATCTAAAAATTAATTAAATTAATTTTTTATCATTTATTTATTTGTTTGTCAATTTTTAATTTGTTTCTTGTCTTTTTATATTAAGCCAACCCGAGACAACTTGTGCGTGTTCATATCCCTCTGTGCAAACTTAAGCATCGACGTTGTGAACTCTTCTTTTAAGCTTATCATAAGCATCTAAAGGTCAAAATTATCATCAGCTGCGTAATAAAGTTTCACTCAATTCACACTTCCTATTAAAAGTTTTTCATCAAGTTCACGAATTTTATCCATTTCATTCAATGCCAGAAACCAAATTTTATCGATCACTGAAGGATTTATGTATTCTAAACTTGGCTCATGGGGTTCAAGAGGCATCTTTTCTCTCTCAAAATAACGCCTCACATGATAAAGTTTCCAACATTTTGGAAGCCAAGCTATGAAATTATAGAAAAAGCAAAATAAAAGGAAAATTCTGTCGTAAGCAGGTACTTGTCGTCCTTTAATACTTTCTGCCATTCTTTCAATTGGTAGGAAACTAACAAATGGGGCCCTCGTAAAAAGAAAACAATCTAAATTTTAATAAAATATCTATTCCTTTTATTATTAAATAAATTTTACAAATTCTTAATTTCCAAAATGCTGATACTTATTTGTTTGGTGTGTAGTTGGACTGGATAGGAAGGAATAAAGAAATCTAAAGGAATAATTGTACAACATTTATTAGTTAATAACTTTAAATTTATCCACTAAAAATTGTTTTTAACAAAATATATAAAATCGTTTTATCAATAAATAATTAAAAGAAAAAAATCCTTAATAAACCTTACTTCGGAATTCTCCCCAATAAAGCTTTTTCATTTTAGTCCTAGGGACGATTGAAAAGTTCCGACCCTGGGGATGTCAAATCACTCGTGTCGTTACTGAAATATGATGCTGACTGAAAAAAAGTTGATGCAGGTGGAACGGAATCTTTTCTTACGATATCGGCGGGAGTGGTGACGCTGGTAGATGCGGGGGAGTTGGCAGCAACACCATCAATCTGAAGTGTCAGGTTATAAGGATCTTGAATGTAATCGCTGTAAATGTCACTTCCATCTTGAATCTTTTGTTCTGACTGTAATGGAAGTGGCGAAAAGCTTTTAACAATATCGACTGGAACACCTTGACCCATAATCTTTGATCCAGGATAATGATTAAATTGCATCTTATGACTATCAGGGATTTTCACTTGTTGTGGTTGTGGCGATGTCTCATATGAACCTCCTTGAATGATGAGTTCAATGCTGGAAGTTTCAGAGAATCTTTCCATTTGTTCATCGATATCTTGAGGTCCTAATTGTGGATTAATTGTTGAAACTGACACAATCGGACTGCTTAAATCAGGTGATGTCGTCTCATTGGTGACGAACATCGGATAGTTCTATGAATATCCGACACAAAATGAATTTAAATGTCTGCAATTAATCTTAAAGGAAGACTTACTTGTGGTGTGTCATTAACTGTCATGTTGTTGGTTGATTCAGTCAATTGATCAACTTCTGGAATATTTTCAGTATTTTCAACAACAATCGGTGTTGTCGTGTCTTCTGATTGAATAAAATCTTTTTGTTCAATTGTTGGTGAGATTGTCGGTGAAGGAATTTGTCGAATATTAATTGGGACATGAAGCATGGGATTATCTTGTGTGTTAAAAGAAAATTTAATGAACAAACGATTAGAAAACATTAAAAATCATTCTTACCATTGTCTTTAAACAACTCTTCCTTCAATGTCGGTAAGAAAAGTCCAACGCGATTCCATGTGAGATCCCAAAGAACAGAATATGTCATGCCATCAGGATTGTGAAACGCCTTCACTGAATACATCACCAAAAGCATATTTTTTAGACTTTCCAACACAGCCTCATAAAGCATATCCGTTCCCAGCTTCATAAACTTCTCTAAATATTCAATAACTTCTAACCAGAGTTCATTAAACTCTGGCAATGTCATAAGTGGCGTGAGATGATGAAGGAAAACTTTCGACATAATTGTTGATATTCTTGTACGTGACTCTTCAATGAGTCCCACTTCCGGGTCATTATTTTGAGGCGTCTCATTCAAAAGGAATGTCATGAGAGGAAAAAGAACTTGACGGAAGCATCCAGCCCATTCCGGACCAGTCAAGGTTTGTAAATCATGCATAAGAAGTGCACGTTGAAGACAAGTTATTGCACTTGTTCTCACTTGTCGTCGATGGTCTGTTGAAATTCTCGCTATACCTTGAAGCAACGGACACCAACCTTGTGACCAAAGTGCAGTGCATTGCGGAACTGATCCACCTTCTTCTGCCCACCATCTAAAGATTTGAGCAGTTCTTGTATGAAGTGTATGCATTAAATCAAGTAATTGAATTGCAATTGTTTCATATCTTTCTGGAAGTTCCGACGATGATTTCTCGCCTTTTGAATTCTCACCACGATCTTCTCTTTCCGAATTCTTCATCGACGATTTCTTTGTTGATTGATTTCTTTTATTACTGTAATTCATTGAATTTACTTTTGATATTCTTGCTCTTCCATATGTCATTGATGCTTCAACAAAAGTTCGAATACATTTCACACAAATCTCGAAGTTATATGGCGTGATATGAGCGACATTTCTGACAACAAAAGCTAAACTGTCCCAACACTTGACTAGAGCAATTGGTGAATGTTGCATAAGCTTACATGGATAAATTATTGTTGCGATGTCTTCATTATTTTTATTCTGAGAACTACTCTTCTTCTCAGCATCTGCAACAGCGGCAGCAGCCGCAGCTTCTTTATTAACAATAATCCAATTACTATCCCCGCCGCTAGGTGGCGTTGTGGTTGGTGATGAATTTGAATTTTTGTTAACTTCACCACTGTCGCTTGTATATCCACGATCAGAGACTTCAGTTTCTTCTTCACTACTTAAAGCACCATCAGATTTCGTTCCACTAGGTAATGCGTCGCTTGCTTCAGCTGAAATAGCACCAGCACCAACACATTCGAGAATATTGAAGACAATGCTCCAGTCACATTCAGTGTGAATGTTTTGTGCTGAAGTCTTGAGCAGCTCATACATTCCAATTGACACAGGAACAGCAATGAAGTTGAGAATCTTCGATTTAAGTCGTAAGAATATTTTCATGCTTTGAAGAATTGTCGATGCCAATTCTTCATTTCGCATTAAATAAATGGCGAGTTTAAACAAAGCAATTGTTGAGCGATTCAAAAGATTTTGATATCCACACGAAGCGGAATTGACAATTAAAAGATGGAAAAGTTCACTACATTTCGGCCAGAATGGTAATACGCGATCACGATTTTGAATGAGAATTTTCGTCAAAAGTTCCATGTGAAAAATGACAAGATTTTCATCATACATAATTCCAACTGATTTATGACTTGTTGGCGATTTTATGAGACTTTGAAGATGTGAAATGACTTCAGCAAGTGAATTGGGATGTAAGAATTTCGATTCAATGACAATCAGATCGATTTGACATTCTTTGATGCATTTTCTTGCTAATTTTATAATTTCCTGTTCTTCATATGTCGGTTGACGTTGACTTTCTGAACTTAAATAAAGATACAAGCTTGACAATAAACTCGCTTCGGTTTTCGGTGTTGGCAATGCTTCATATTGAAGTTGAACTTTTCCTCCTGACTCACAAAAATCTTCAATTTCAAGAAATGATTTAGGAAGTAACTTCAATTTGTACAATTGTACAATCAGCTCGATAACATGCTTCCAACTTTCACGCATTGAGTCACCATAATCATGAAGAAATTTGAAAATTGACTTCATTGTTGTTCTTGCTTTTGAATTTGTTCCAAATTGAACACTCATGATGATGTCGTTGGTTTCTGTTGTACTGTAAAGTGTTGTAAACTTACATAAAGTTAAGATAATTGCATCGAACTCTTGATAAAGATTGTAATGTGATGAAATGGCTGCTGAATGCATAAAACCTTCCATGATCTTTTTAATTACAGCAACTTCAGTTACACGATCAAAAAGTGCACCAAATGCTGCAAGCTGTTTAAAAAGAATAAAAAAATTATGTTTGATGATAAAAAAAAATAAAAGAAAAACTCACCGTCGATCCCCAAGTGATTTGAAACAATTGTTTATCATAAATTGGATCAAGAACGTGTGAAAATTCTCCATCTTTTCCTTCACCACGACGCAGCAACACTTTCCACAAATAATTCTCGCGAACACTTCCAGTCTGCTCAGCTGGCATAATAATTTCTTCATTTTTAATTGCATTAAAAACCTCAATTAACATTTCTTGCTCAAAGTCAGAATTTCCATTTAATCCTCTCAAATTTTTTGTGAAATCTTCAACAGTCATTGGAACATTTAACTTCTTTGCGTTGTGATTATGTTGATCCATGTTCAACATGATGATTGCGTATGCTAATCGAAATGCTGCATCAGTATTTGCAAATGGTTCATTATTGCATTTGTGCCAATGATCAGCGAAATGTTCCATGACAAGAAAGATCAACGGCGCTTCGCCTGGCAATCGAAACGTCTCTAAATAAAGTCTCAAAGCTTTATCAATTCTCGTTGATGTGAAATCAAAAGATTTAACGAACACTTCAAGAATTCCTTTCTCAACATTCTTCTTCTTGCTGATATATTCGCCAATCATCTTTTTGTCAAGACCAGGAGATTCCCGAAGAAAATGCGCAATTTCCAGTGGATCAAGCGTCACATTTAAGATTCCATTGTCTTGCAGAAATTGAATTCCTTTCTCAGGTCGTTGGTTGAACAAATCTGTGCCTTGTGACAATATTCGCTTCTTATTCTTGATCTCTTCCATCTTTTGTTCAGTTAATGTTTCACCGACTCTCAGTTTTCCTGAAAATCGATTGTACATTGTGTTGTATTGAATGAAAGTATCCATGTTTTTGACATAAACCGCTCCATCAACTGTCGTATCATCGGTAAACATTTCAGAACGTGCCGTTGAATTGTTTCTTGAATGACGCTTATAAACAATTTGATTTCCTTTCTTAAAAGATGTGCAATTTCTGTTAATTGCTGCAATTATCGTTAATAATGCATCGAGCGACAAAAGTTGTGTTCCATAAATCACTGGACTTGTTGCAGCTGACAAAGCGTTCTTCGATAAAAGTTTCGTGATATTCTCAAAAATATTGGCACAATACAAGTCGCAGTCGTAATTGATGTAAAGTTCAGCAGCAAATCCAGGAACTCTCAAAAGTTGAAGCAAATTGTCTAATGCAAGTTCACGAATTTCATAAGTTACTCTCGTATTTTCACTTCCAATGATGTCTGTTAGTTTGATCAAATAGTTTTCCAATTGAAACTTTAAATGAAATCGAAGTGACTCGAAAAGAAGGAAACAAACTTGAAGATTTGCTGCAAATATTGGCAGACGTTCTGTTGTCAATAAAGAGAATAAATTCTTGCAAAGTTCATCTTTAACGAGTGTCGTGAGAGAATAAAAGTTTCCAATGTTGTCAGATGCAACTTCAAACACCACAGTTAATAGATTTAAAGCAATGTGGATGACATTGTCGTTATTCTGTGAATCGAATGGATTGCAGAGAGAGATTAAAAATCTGAATAACTCTCGAATACATGGAATTCCATATGGAATGTAAGATTCAATATCATTTCGAATGACATTCGGGTTCAAGCCATCGTCTGAAACTTGTGAATTGTCGACAGACACAATTTCTGGCTGTTGTTGTTGCAATGAATCTTCAATAATATTTTCATCAACTTCTTCTTCATCTTCTGCCATTGGCACGACACTTACAGGTTCATTCATATCTTCACTTGAAGCAAGCAGCTTTGTTTCTTCACTCTCTGTTGCTTCTTGAACTTTTGTTGATTGTTGTTGACTTGGCTTATCATTCAAATCACTTATCGATTTTGTTTTGGATGTTTTTGGCAAATTTTCAGGGCGAATCTTTAAAAGTTTGATATTGAAAGTGTTGAGATCTTCTACAAATTGTGGGAGTCTCATGAATAACAAATGAATCATGTCTCTTAAAGCTTGCTCAGCTGTTCGACGCAATAATTCACTTAGTCGTGTTTCAAAGCAGATCCTGAAGCAACTGAGAATAATTTCGCAAACACTTTCATTGGACAAGGAACTTCCTTCGGGACTCAACATCAAAGTCCTTAAAACTTGAACAATTTTTAATAAAACAACTCCATCTGAATTGTTATCTCCTCCAACAAATCTAGCATGTGTAACAGCATCAGCAATTGTCTGAACAATATTCGCCTTGTTCGGATTTGTTGGATCTGGATGAGGTGGCAAAAAGTTAAATGTTTATAACATATTGATACATTAAACATAGAAATAAGGTTTTACCTATGAGTCCATATGACAGAAATTTATTGACAGCTGAAAGTGCAATACTTGTTATCGGTCCAGTTGTTTCTTCAGATCGAATTGCTTCCAGAAATGGTGCAAGAAAAATTTCTGGCGAAATCAATTTTAAATCTTCGATTTGTAAAACTGATTCTTTAAGCTCGTTAAACGATTTAGATAAACTGTCTGAGTTGTCATACTGAAGAATATAATAAGAATGAAATGTAATCAGAAATTTATATAAAAATTCATTTTTTTTCACATACTTGATAGGAGTTCCACGAATTTCTCGATGTTCTTCTCATAGCAGTCATAATTGTAGATAACTCGCCACGCACGACAAATATCCCATTACCTGGAACACTCATGATTCCAGTAATTTCAATTAACTCTTCCTACACTAACAGATTAATAATATAGTTTGCTGAAAATTTCTTTATTTTGCTGACGATGTCCAGCAACGAAATTAATACACTCTCCACCCGAAACTCGCCTCCCAGAAAGTCAGTTTCAGGTGGAGAGTGTGGGATTACTCGCACAGAATGGAAATTCACTTGGAAATTCACGCACAGAATGGTTTTTCGAGGCTCACTGTATATGGAAGGGCAAATCCACGCAAGTCAAAGTGCCGGGTAGTCCGACGTCACTGATGTCCAGCAACGAGGGGCAGGTCAATCAAAATTGAATTTTAAAAGTTCGTTAAAGATTTAATTTGTGGAAATTCGTTAAAAAATGTTATCTAAGAAGAAAATTTTTAATCTTTATAGGTATTTTTATTTTTTTAATGGTACAATATTTAAATAAAAAAATTTTAATGCTTAATGTAAAATAGAAAAAGTTTAGCAACCTAGAAACTCAATATCATGATCATCTAGTTCAATATTTTTGCCATTACTATTAGTTTTTTCTTCATCGCTTTCTTTCTGCGATTCATTTGGTTCTTCTGACATTTCAACCTCGTTATCTTCCTTACTCTCACTTGCAATGTCATCGTCATTTTCGTTATCGTTTGCAATCTTATTCTCATTTTCAGTGTCATCTTCAATCCACTGAATATTCGGTACATTATTATTGCTGCCGATTTTATCAACCTCGGCAATTTCTACATGTTCTGTAAGGGCTTTAGAATTTTCTCCTTTTATTTTCACATTTTTCTCGTCAATTTCACCAATTTGATGTTCACTTCTTTGTTGAGAAATGTTCTGTTTTGCCATTGATAATATTTTCTGTTGACGGATTTTGTTAGTAGTACGAATTTTGGTTTGAATAAAATTCTCGACTGCTTTCTGATCCAAAAGTCTTCCAAAACGTAATCTACTCATAGCATTAACAACACGCAAATAGAGTTCTCGAAATTTTGTATAAATTCTGAAGCGCATTGGTGATAGTTCTTTATCACAGGGAAACCCGTCTGAGTCTCCCCATTCAAATTGTCCAAGCAAATCGGTAAAAATGACTGAATGTAAAACATAAGATAAGAGTTCGCCGGGTTTTTCACATTTGTAATCTTTATGAGATGAGACAATCTTTTGAAAGACGAAATCATAAAATGCTCGATTACATAAGTCTTCTTCCAATTGTTTAAGTGCATTAAGGCTTTTGATAGGAAAGATGGGTGTTCGATAACGTCGTTGTGTAGCAGCAGGTCCAGCAGCTTCAACATGTTGAGCTGAAGTACTTTTCCTTGCTATTACTTTCATTAAAGGTTTCCTTATTGGTTGTTGCTCCCTAATATTCTGAATATTACGACGCTGCATTTCATTGGGTTTTGGTTGCTCATTATTAGGATTTCCATACTTAACTGTTGTTTGAGTCTGTTGACTTAAACATTTGGTGATAACTGTCGTAAACTTTTGCATTTTTAAGCGAATATAATCGCACTCTTGTTGCATTTGGAGAAGCATCGTTCTCATTTCTCCATTCTGTTCTACCAAATCCCTGATATAAGAATCTTTTGCATCAGCTTTACCATGAGAACTTTGTCCTGAATGTTGTGTCAATTCTCGCATCCGATACAAGTGTGAATCTGTCTGAGCAAAAATTTGATTCTTTACTTGGGAATTTAATGGAATTGAAACCGGCGGCAACTTTGAGTTTGTTCCCAATCGTTTTAATGTAACCAATTGTGGATGCTGATGTTGTTGCTGCTGAATTTGTGAACGAGTTTTCGGTCCATTTTCATTTCGAACACTTCCATTCAATTGTCCGGGTGTTCTAACTTTTATTCCTCTACTTACTGGAATATTCTTATCCTTGACTGTTGAGTAAACATTGCTTATTTTCAACACTGACGATTCAGGGGATGAAGTTTGATTATGCTGAGAAATACTTTTCTTCGGTACTATTTCTTCGAGTAACTCTTCAACATCAGACACTAAAAAATAATTTTTAGATTATAACTTTTAAACATCAAACTTTAGAAAGAACTCACTTTTAAAGTATGTTTATCAAAATATTTATTTTGAAATGCACCGGTATGAAATCTTATATTAAGATTTATTATTACAGATTGATTAATCAATAAAACTTTTTTATCATAATTTCAGATGCTTTAGAACTTTCCACATTAATCGATGAACTTTTAGCATTTTATTTGCATCTTTAGAACTAATTTTGCCTCTTTAGCACTTCTTTTTGCTAAATGTTTTCGTTAAAGTTTTGTTGAAAAGTTTCCTAAAGGTTAAAATGCTTGAACATGAAATTTCTACATAAAACATAGAAAACCGTTGAAATTATTATGACATGAAACATAAATCTAAATAGGTATGATTGAAAGATGTTATAGTGTTGAAAAACCAATGATTATCTATAATAAAAGTCCGGAGTAATATTTAAACTCTGTCAATCTGTAAGAAAATTCTTTTTCACATATCTTATTGTAAAACGTGGAAGAAAAAACGAACAAAAGTTTTTGTTTTTATGTTATTTTTATTTTGAACTTCTCTCTCGCTACTATTTTTCTTTGGATAACTTTTATATCTTTCTCTTCAAAAAATTAGAGCTTCATCAGTTTTTGACGCATGATTAAATTATCTTTTCAACCAAAAATAAACATTAGTTAAGAATAGAATTTTCTCAATCAGTGAAGAACAAAATGCAAGTAAAATTACTACTTGCAACACTTTATTTTAGGCCAAACAAATTTTCTTTTATAAAGAAATACTTTCACAAAGTTGGAAGTAAATTTTACCAACACATTGCATTTTGTCCTCCATTTGATGTGAGAAACTTTATAGTTTTAACATTCTAGAATTGTTTTCCCTATTTAAAACTCCATTCTATGTACAATTCAGCAATCCTTTGCTTGATTTTTTATATATCCCATTTACAATTCGTTTCTATATCATCAGGTCGTTATCAAAAATCACACAATTTACTTGTATCATTAATTAGCTTAACAACTATGAAGGGATCTTAAATAATAAATTAAAAGAAAACCTATGTGTGAACAAGACAAACAATTATGTTTTTCTGTTTAAATCAAATAGATACGTAATTATATTTACAATGCAATTAATTAACAAAATCGTCTATCAAACACGACGACGTCCGGTAACTGGTAAAAAGTAATATTTTTCTTGAAATTTTTAATCAGATAACAACGAAAGATTGAAAATGATTTTGGGTCTACGGAAACTGTTATGTGTCGGTTGGATTATGCAGAAAATTGTCGTGAAAAAAGAAAAAAAAGTCCATGGGACTTACAGATGCCAACCAACTAGAAATTTTTTTTCAATATTTATTTGTGAATTTTGTTTAAGTTATCAAAATGACTAGCTTTGACATTTTGTAATTATAGTTTGAAATATTCTCGGAGGTGTAATGATCAAATTTCTTAAACTTTTCTTCTTAATGGAAGAAGAAAAATAAAACTTTAATGAAGTTCTGATCATGGCAATACATATCGGAATTTAATCTTAAATTTTTAACGATGGATCGGTGATGATCTTGAAGATTTCTTTAAATATATAATTTTCTTTTATTGTTTCCAAACATTTCCATTCTTCAACAGCATCTTTAAAGTTGAGCCATGTCTTCATGATCCATCAGAGGCGATAATGTTGCTGAATATCTTCGTTCAGTGTCGGTATTCTCGAAATTATTTTCAATTGGCGCTGAAAGAATTTCATTGAATTATAATTAATGGAAAATAAAATTGCGAAAGACTTTAATTGGGATTTGTCTACTGTCCTTAAAATAGAAATTCTAACAGAACGAATATGTTAAACAGCACTACATAAATGCAGATACAAAAAATATTTTTAATAAAATTAAATGAGTAAAGCAAAAAAATGAAAGCTGCAGATAAATTCTATTCGACGTTATTGACAGAAGACAAGAACAGAAACAACAAATCAACTCTTATATCTAATTTTAAGAAAAGAATTTGTTATTAGTTACTTTAACTGAAAACTACTGCGAAAAACTGAAATCAGTACTGTCGTGAATCCATCATCATGTCGAATGTCACGTCATTGTCATAAGCATTTAAACGATCATTATCAGTTTCTGTAAATTGAGAAATGAGTTTTTGTTTCAATTAAAAATCGATTTCCATGCATAAAAGGAAGAAAATTAAAAGCAATAAAAGAACTAAAATGGAAACAACTAAAACAAGAACGAAAAAAATACTTTTCATCTCACCAACAATCGACGTTCGCTTTGGATCTGGATGTTGTTCTTCTTTGATGAAAACAGCAACAAGAATGGCAACAACAACCATCATCGAACCGAAGACAAATGGTGGTCCTGGCATAAACTGTGTAAGAAAATTATTCTCATGAGATTGTCCCATGATAAGTTCGTTGTTGCTGTTTTGATTGTGAAGTTGAACACCGTCGGATATATTCGTCAAACTTAGTTTCATGTCATTGAAGTTTATATTATTATTTATATTCTTGGATTCGTCGTTGAGGTCAACATTGAATAAATAGAAAATAACGCCAAACATTGCCGGTCCAAGACCATTACACAGCCCTCTCATACCCGTTACCATTCCCTGAACAACTCCTTGTTGATCTGCTGTCGAATGTATCGACACAAATGCGGAAATTGCTGGATAAGTTATTGAAGCGACTGCCGCTAAAATTCCAGCTCCCCACTAAAAATAAATTTTATTATTTTTTGTCATGTTTCTCATCCAATCTTCCTACCATCATCCAAGTTTGCGTTCCAATTCCATACCATAACATCTGAAGCATCTCAAATGTTAATCCTATGATGATCGTTCTCTTAGCACCGAGGACACGCATCAAATCACCTAAAACCATTTGCGCAACAATACTCAAAATACCAACGACTGCTATAAAGATGGACACATCCATTGAGCTGAAGTGCATTTTAAGTTTAAGATAAACAAAAATGCACGAATACTGTCCAGCTTCGGGAAGGTACGAGAGTAGAACTGTGATGCATTGCATGAGAATTGTGTGATTCATTCCGACACGTCTTAATGCAGCAAAAGGATCTGCTTGCTCCCAATTGATTGGACTAAATTGATTTGGTCGCACCTTCTCTGGCAATGATTCTGGTACGGCAACAAGAATAAAAAAGACATCAAGAACAGCGACCGCTGTTGCCAATGCTACTATTAAAGGCTCTGAATACATGTCGTTAAGATAAGCTCCAAGTGCAGGTGAAATCACAAGACTTGCTGCAAATGTTGCTGATACCATTCCATATGCTCGTGAGCGATTCTCAATTGTTGTTACATCGGCAACATAAGCGAAAACTACCGAGAAAGTGACTGCAAATACGCCACTTATTGAGATCATAGCAAAAAACCACCTGAATAAATAAAGTTTGTTGTTTATTTATTAAGCTGGAATCAAACAAGCAAATGGCAACTCACCATGAATTTATTGACATCAATGGAATTGGAACGCATGTAAAGAAGACAGTAATGAGAAGGAAAAACTTCCGTCCCCAAACATCGGATAAAGCTCCGATTAATGGAGCGCTAAGAAATGATAGAATTCCTTTGATGCCCATCACGAGACCATTCATGAGAAACGTGTGGTCGGGAAAAGTCTTGTTGAGGACGTTGATGACGGGCATTGTTAAGAGGCCCCATGAAAAATATTCTAAGAAAATAACAACTAAAGCATGATAAACAGATGGTTCTCCAATGCCAGAGCTCTGTAACGAAATAAGTTAGAAATAATTAAACCACTTGCAGCATCATTTAAATCAAATATTTTCTATTGGAAAAAAGCAATTTCCATCCAACTAAGAAGCTGCACAACATACGCTTACGCACAAACAAACACTCGACGGCAACAACTGCATAAATATTTATAAAATTAAAACAAATTTTTGTTGTCTTTCGTGAGTTGAAGAGAAGATCTTTGGAAAATTAATTTGATTAAATAAATAATTAAAGAAAGAAGCTGCCAATTATAAAAATATTTCAAATCATTGAGAAATTTTTGATTAAAACCGAAATGAAGAAGAATTTTCTTTAAAAGATTTAACTTAAGCAAGAACGAACCAATGAAAATAAGAAGAAGTAGAAGAACATGTTAATTAATTTAATAACCTGACAGTGTGAAAGAGTTGCTTGGTAGCAACAATTAAGGCTGTAATTTGGTGCAATGTTCAATTGTATTTCAGTTGGTGTTGATAGTGTGTTCTGGTGTGTTGTTGATGCCGTCAGTGCCGTTGATGATGCAGAAAAGTTTTTAGGAGCAACAATAATTGGAGCAGAGAACGACTTTTTATAATTTAATTTCAGATCTTCATCAGTTGTTTGAAAATAATTCGAAATTACGTGAGTTCTTGACAATTTAAGTTTGCATGTTGTAATTGATCGTCTGAGTCGTTTTGAATCAAGAACTTGAGGATTTAACTTATTCACTTTAATGACGGAATTTTGAGAAACATTATTGCCATTCGTCCATGATAAATTCTTTTTTAATAAGGTTTTTTTACGATCACAAAGATTGCCATTATCACGGTCGAGAAGATTTCCATTTCCACTATCATCTGATGTCACTTCATCCATCAGCTCCATTTAAACTTTATCAATTATTTCTTTCGCTCGTTTATTCAGAATTTTTTATATAAAATTAGATACACTATAAAACAAATGATTTGCAGAATGGGGGAAGAGATAAGTAAGTTGACTTTCGCACAATTACATTCTACAAAAAATGAACTTTTTTTCTGTTAGACATTGTTATTATGATTATTAACATGAATGACAACGACTAAGATAAATTGTCATAGATAAAATATTTTTCTTGTTGAAATAAGTCATAAATATGCATACATGTATGAACATCAGGAGATTGATGATAAATAGATGGCAATGAATGTGATTGGTTGATGATAAATGACAAAAATACTTCTTGATGAAAATTCTCTCAATAGGCAAGCAATGAAAAATTCAACACAAGCAAAATTCTTGCGAAGAAGAAAAAGAAAACTTTCTCTCAACTTGCAAGATTTACAGAAGAGATTTGAAATTTACATTGTCAAGTTCCTTTGGTCGATATTTTTCTTTCTTGTATCCTTGAATTTCTCATCCTTTATAATCAAAATGTATTCAACAGAGGATTTTGTCACTTGGAAATGTTTACAGAAAATCTTCGACGCCATAAATGTTGCGGCAACATTTCAAGACATCCTTGAAACAATTTTTACCCAAAATTATGTCGATAAAGATGTTTTTATATGAATGTATGAATGTATGATAATAAAAGTTTGTCGTGATTTATGATTGTTATGCTGATATTATTAGCGAATGTTACTTTCATTTTTCCGTTATTTAAAATCCACCTTAACCTTGCGAATGTGCAATTAACGTATCAATCGTAACTTGTAGTAAGAGAATTACTCAATTAAATATTCTTTATCGCGGACAATGAACTTGATGACATTTAAAATTCTACAATTGTTTACATCATACTATTAGTTAATTACTTGTGTCCAGACGAGTAAATCACTACCTAACGCTACTTAATGTAATTTAATTCTATTCCGTTTTATGCCAAATGAGAATTGTTTATTATTATTATGAAATGTGAACTCATTCTCTTCGTTCAAATATAATTTTGTCATGTAAGCAATTCACCATAACTCGTAATTGGAATTGACAAAAAAAGTGAAATAAAATTATTATCACAATGCTCGAACACATCGCGCTTTTTAAATGATTAAAATTATGTGAAATTTTCCCCATCTACAAAGTTGTGTGACTCATAATGGTGACGTTATCTCTACGTATGAATCTCAAGTGAAAAAATATGGCCATGAATAGATAAAAGCATGATAACGACACATTTTTGTGGTTTAAGTACTACTTTAATTGTTCAGGCGAAAATTAATCAAGAATTGTTACCGTTAGCATAAATTTATTGGCAATGAACATTATGGTCATGAATCAACAATTTCATTATCAAATCGATATGCCATTTTTTTCTTTCTTGTCATTCTCATTGTTGTTACCTGACACAAACGTCACTCACTAAATTTTTGACTTACTTAATGATCAAATTTCCATAACAGAAGCTTTATAAGTTTCACAGCAACGAAATTATTTCTTATATTTTTTCTAAGTCTTTACTTATACTTATGCATCAGGATATAGACGAGCTGTTGAGAAGAGATCAATGACTCAAGGTCACGCAAAGGTAATCGACATTAACAGAATACAAAATCAGGAGTTTTATATGATTAACATCATCGCGAACACCTTCAAATGAATAATTTATGCGAGCAGAAACAGAAAAAGTCTTTTCGATGAAACTGTTTGTTTTTAAAGTTTGATACGTTTCATCTTTCTCGCACATCATTCGAACAGAATTACATATTCAAATTTCAAGGTTATTGATTTGGAGCTTTCGGTCGTCGTTGTTTCAAGTTTATGAGAAGAACACTTGTGATAGTCGCTGATTGTGAGAAAAAAAATGACAAAAAATGAAAAGAAAAAAGAAAAATGTATGGACATGCGAGGAAATATGAATTTGTGAACAAGCAGTGCAAGTCGATGAGAAAAATACCATTAGATCCCGAGTAGAATGGAAAAATTTATCGATTTTTTTATATGGTTGAAAGTGATATGATGATTCAACACGAGAAGGAAGAAAGTGAAATTTTAGACAGAAATAATTCTCTCCCAATCTATTAATACACTAATATGTTATTATACTTACAGTTAGCAAACTTCTGTCGATAGTTTTTTGCATTGAGAGTATCTGATTTGTTTTAATTCTGATCTGTTGATGCCTCAATGGAATTTTCTTGATTGTGATTTTTGGCATCGTATTTGAAAACGTTATCACCAAGATAAGTGCACTATTTTATCTTATCAAGCACTCGATTCACGTATTACTCATTTTTAAATTGATTTACCATTTCGCAATGGGTTATTTTAATAATTTAATTGAATTTTATTTCTCCGCCAACTTCTATGTAGCGAGAAATAAAAGAATAACGAGGTACAAGTAACTTGGTAATTTAACGAAAAATATGTTCTGAAATGCGAAAATTCTTTTCGTTAAATTTCTATGTTCATATCACTGAATAAATGTTGAGTTCTTAAATAAACTCTTCTTCCTGAGAATGTTATTAGCATCAATTGAAAATTAAAAAACAATGAATACGGCATTTACTAACATTGGATTTTATAAGTTTTCTTCTAACCCCTCGTTAAATTTAACGTGAATTTTTGAAAAATCTTTTTCAAAACCGTTAAAAACTTTACTAATTTCATATGAAAGCTTAAAAGAATCTTAGCAGTTTAACATATTCCTCATAAAACAAATTATTTATAACATAACAGAATCTTTTTATGACCTTTCCGTGATTCCCTTGACCTAATTTAAAGCTCTTAAAATAAAAAGTAATAATTAAAAATTCAACTTTACACAGCGATTAAAACGCTTGATGTTGTTAATTGAAAAGCCACGACAATAATAAGTGGTAATAAAATAGTTTTTAGTTGAAGTAGATAATTAAAATTTAAGTTGAGAGATATTAATGCTCAATAAGTTCTTTATTTCTTGATAACGATTAGATATGAAATATATTTGAGGCACATAGATTATTATGTCACCAAATTGCGTAAAGCATAAGTAAATAAATGACAATTCTCATTAATCTACTTCCATGTCTTCTTTTTCAATGACCTTTTCATCAACAATATCAATGGCAAACGTTTTAGTTGACAAGATTCCCGTTGTACCACGTTGGGGTGTGTAATCATTAGAACGAATTTCCTTTTTAATAGGCAAATCATATTTGCGGATAAATTTGTGATAATTTTTTTTAATGACACAAATATCAACCATGGATCCCGAACCAAGATCGTTGAATATTCCAGCTCGAACTGCATCACGTATCATTTCAATTCCTTCTTCTTCACTCAAATCTGGTCTCCACCTTGATTCCAAAACTGACATTGCAGGAAGCTGACCCGAACCCAAAGCAGAATAAGGAACGCTACTCGAGCTACCACGATTTTCACATGACCATATATGAGGTCCATCGTTATCAACACCACCAAATATCAACCAACATTTAAACCTTCCGTTAGCTCGGAATAAGAAACGTTTTGCAAAGGTAACAGCAGCTGCAACCGGCACAAATTTACGATTTGTATTCAGTCGTTGCAATGTCATATTTGCTGATACATATTTTAATGTCATTTGCATATCAGCTGCCGTGCCAGCTCCACATCCACTGAAAAACTGAAATGTCAATAGGAATTTTTAAAAATTATTTTGAATCTCACAAAATGTTATCCTGAATGTAATATAATTTCTGACATTCTTTCTCCATAACAATTCCACCCGACGTCGCTCTTGTGTCAGTTCCTAAGACAACACCATCTTTAAAAATAAGCCCAACAATTGTAGTTCCAGTTTTAGTTTCTTTTGGAGGTTTGAATCCATCATTGATTAGATTTTCATTTCTGAAATATTTCAAAACTCCTTTAGAGAGCTCATAAATTTCTAATATTTCATTACCTTCTGCAATTTCTAAAACTGAATCCTGGTGGTTCGTCATCTCCAATTAAAACGCTATTCATGGTTATCGACTTCACTCTTCTAATAGAAATTATTAAATGATGATAACCGCTCTAAAAGTACCCAAATTTCTCAATGTTTGCACAAGTGTTCAACATCTTTTTTTTTATTCCATTATTCATTAAATTTATTCATGAATTTTCATATTACAACTTGTAGCATAAATAAAAAAGAATTTTGATCGAAATTGTTTTTCTGAATTTTGTTCTTTGCCAATTCGGTAAGATTTCAATTGAAACAAGTTTTAAAAGGAAATTAATGAGCATAAGAAAGCTTAGTTTGTGTCCATTCTCTCGACACCGGATGATGATGCAACAGATTCTTCAACAACTTCAAAAGGAATTTTCTTTACTGACAAAACTCCAGTTGTGCCACGTTTGTAAGTGTAATCGATTTTTCGTTCTCCCTTTTGATTTGACAACTCATAGTTGCGCAAGTAGTTGCAAGAATTCTTCTTTATGATGCAAAGATCAACGTTGGATCCTGAACCAAGATCGTTGAAAATTCCAGCAGCGATTCCATCACGAACAAGCTTCATTGCTTCTTCTTCAGTCATATCTGGTTTCCATTGTGACTCGAAAACTGACATTGCTGCCAAACTTCCGGAACCCATTGTTGCATAAGGTACACGATCTGTTGATCCGTGGGGATGAATTGAATAGATGTGTGGACCTTGGCTGTCAACACCACCAAGTACAAGAGCAGCTGAGACATAGCCCTGATAACGGAACAAATACTGTTTCAACAATCTTGCGGCACAAGGAACTGGAACAACTCGATTGGTACTCAAACGATGAAGTTCCAATTGACTTGCGATCATCTGAGTTGTCATTTCTGTATCAGCGGCAGTTCCTGCACCGCAACAGCTTGAAAAATATTTTATCGTTATAATGTTTTCAATTGAAGTCATTTTTAAGTGCAACTTACTACATATTCTTAGCTAAGAAATGAATTTTCTCACAGTTCTTGTCAGCAACAATATTACCAGAAGTTGCTCTTGTATCAGCACCTAAGACAACACCATCTTTGAAAATAATTCCAACAATCGTTGTTCCAGTCTTTGTGGCTTTAGGAGGTTTAAATCCATCGTTGAAAAGATTCTCATTTCTAATTAAATGTAATTAAATTCATTATTTTTGTTGTTGTTGTTTCAGGTTATGGATGAATCGGCAGATTTGTTTATGTATTTAAAATTAATTTTTACTTACCTTCGGCAATTGCTGAAGTTGAAGCCAGGATATTCGACTTCAGGAACTATCACGCTATTCATTTTGGAGAAATTAAATGTTTTAAACACGAAGAGAACTCAGATATTAATAATTGTATAAATTTTTGTTTTGGTCAGTGAATTTTCTTGCTACGAATATTTTCGCAATATCGAGACTTAAGTGTAATTGACAGGGTGAAGTTAAGTGTTGAATTTTGTTTTGATAATTTTTTTAAATTTAAAAGTTTTTCATGCATATTGAGCATAATCATAATTAAGTGCTATAATTATTCATAAGCTTGCTTGAATAGAAATTCTAATTCAATACATTTAAACTAATCAAGTTCTTCTCATTGTATATCTTGGACTATAACATTAGTTTCAACCCTACATCAGACTGTTTTGGGCTCTCTCGAGAAAAATTTTTCATTAAAAGCTATTTAGTTGGAAAAGAACAGTGCAATAAGTAGTATCACAATCCAAAAGGAAGGTGAATTTTATAGAGGTATATTAATGGTCAAAAATGGAAGAATTATATCAAATTCTTTGCTTGAAAATTGAACGTAAAAGTGGTCAAAGATGAAAAAAATTATTAAGTCATGGATTTATTTTTAGAAAAATTTTGTTATTAAAGTGTCTGTGAATGCGATTGTTGATAATTTTTCAAGATTCGCAACAATAATAACAGTAATAATAATATTAATGAGGCAATTGAAATTAAAAAATCTCAAGTTCTTTACTTTTCTGCTTTGTTTTTAATTTAATTAAAAGGAAATTTGCTTGCAAAGCTGGAAAATCTATAAAAAAGAATAATACCATATCGTTGTGTCGTGTTTGAAAGGAATTAAATGTGCGTTACCTCTTCCCCAATCCACGACTGTGTGTCAGTATCGTAAATTTACTTTTTTTTCGTAGATTAATACTCCACTCCTTTGAAATTTTATGGTTCATAAGTTCACCGTTTCTGTAATTACCTTTAAAGCCACAAAAAATCAGGATGATGAATGTTTGATTCTAATCGCGTAGCCCAAAATAATATCTACAAATAATTGAAGCAATAATAATTGTAATTATGCAAAAAAATATTTAAGAAAAAGTGATTTCAATTGAAAGACCCTGCCAAACATCAGCCAGCAGCAAAATAGTTTGTTCAATTTTCAAAAATAGAATTTACACATTCAAGAAATCTCATTTGTGATCGCATCGTAACCCAAGAGAGAGACAGTAACGAGCAAGACACACACATAACATTTATTTATTTATTTTTCTTTCCAACAAAAAAAAAATATTTTTTTAACTTCTTTTTTTCATTTCTTTTCTTTTTCATGGACATTTTTGCTTCAATAATTTTAATTCGTCATCATAGAGGTCAAAAATAAGAAAATTGTTGATTGAGATCCATCTAGTAAAGCATGGAAAGTAATTAAATGTTATACGATAAAAAGCAAAGCTAATGGACTTAGCCGAGCAAATCGACGATTTTATTCCTTCTGTACAATCAAATCACTCCGATATGGATTCACTCATCATGCTTATCTTTATTGTTATAATAACATCGTTATTTCTCGTATGGCTGGGAAGATTTTTATATCAAAAGTACGTCGCACGAAAGGCTGTGCCTTCTTCGACAGCTGCCACACCTTCAACAACAACACCCGGTAGTCCATCAGTTGCAACATCACCGCTTGTTGCGAAATCAGTAGCATTGCAGTCATCGAAACCTTCACCTTTTACTGGATCAGTTGGATCACGAGGGGCTGGTGCTTCATCAGTCGCGAAGTCACGATCAATGAGTCAACAATCATTGAATAATTCTGGCGTACGTAAACGATTGACGAGACGAAGTCCTGGACCTGACATCCAACCGAGACGATCACGAAGCATTCCACCACCAGCGAGTGTTTCCGGTCCCGATGATACAACAGCAACATGGACAAGTCAAGTCTTCAAATGGCTTTACAGTGACTTAGTTATAGTCAACGATCTACTTTATGGTTTTATCACCGCAATCAATCAAACCATGGCACATAACACCAACGAAAATGGCGTTCTTATTGAAGTTGTTCGTGTTCTACCTGAATCAACAACACCAAATATTTCAAATATTTTCTGCGATAAATCGATGGCATCACCGAATGTAAGTGAAGTTGTCATCACGATGGATGTTGAGACGACGATTGTAGTGCAGGTCAAGGCTTTTAGACAGTTGTCTGGTAAAGCAGATGTTTTGCATTATCGCGTGACAATTCGATTCAAAGGCCATTTGAGTGTCACAATGAACTACATGACGCTCGTTGGTGACATGAGAATCGAAGGTTATCCGGAAGTGAAGATCAACATCGCAGCTATTGGACCGATTAAAACAACAGGAAAAGAAGAAACTGAAATGCAAGATTTGATCAGTGAATCGTTGAATTTGACGATTCGTGAAGCTTTGTATCCAATTGACTTTTCAGTTCATGCGACATGCCCACGAGCTCTTAAAATGGAGCCCGACGATTTCTACAACAATCGTCCAATGGATTTTCCTAATCCATTCGATTATATGGAACGTGATCATCATCAACAACAAATGCAACAACCATTTGAACGTTCAGCACGAAGTGGAAGTTTCAACCAACCAATAATGTCAATGACCACAGCAAATCGTCGCTTACTTGTGAAGATTGTGAAAGGAGAAACATTGATGCAAGCGAAAGATCCTTATGTGACTGTGGAGATGGATGAACCACCACAGAAGAACCAAACAGGTGCAAGACAAGGAACAAGTCCATTCTGGGATGAACATTTTCTCTTTGATTTGTCGCCATCATCATCAGAGATTCTTTTCGAAGTTTACGATCGACCAGCAAATCCAAATGAATATCCGAAATTTCTTGGTCTTGGATTGGTTGGAATTGACGAACTTGCTGTTGGTCCATCGTCATCTCAGATCATCACACTTCAACCACGACCATATGAAACCGATCCTGTATCTGGTGCAATTAATGTTGAATTTGTTTTCATTGAAGGCGCTCAAGTGCCTATCGGACGACGTCCTTATAAACTCAAGGAAGCTCTTAAACTCGATCCAAATCAAATGGATCAATTGATGACATCACAATCACCACAATCATCATATGAAGCGCCATCACATAACATCAACGTACCACGTCACTCGCCAATGCTTCAACAACGGCATCAACAACAACAATCACCATACATGAATGGAAATGATCGGCATTTGGTAAGTGTTTATACAATTTGTAAATCTTTATTTATTGCAATTTGAAAGTGTGTGAAGGCCATTTGAGTTCGTGAATGTGTAGCTAAAGAAGTGAAATAATTAGAAGCAAAAGATTGAAATGTCCCAGCTTGTCAATCATCATCACTATAAAGAGTAGAAAAGAGAAACACGAAGAGTGAATTCGTAGTTTTACCTTCGTGATTTTTTTTCTTTACTCCATTAAAAAAATGAAAGCAAAAGCTTTGCTGCTGCCAAATGTCATTCACATCTATCTAACACTGTGTAAAATCAACTCATGTAACCCAAAACATGTTTTTTGTGTTATTCTTCCAGAATGTGAATCCTAATTCAATATCACCAAGATCTACCTCACCATCAAGAGATGATTTAAATAGCTTAAGACCAATCAATAATAATTCTAGCCAAGCACATCAACAACAACAGCAACTCCAGCAACGTCACAGCGGCGGTCTCAGCGTGACAAATAGCAGTAAACAATATCCTTATGATAACAGCAGCAGTAATGTGTCACCGTCATTGTCAGCGAGAGGTGCGGTAACATCAACGCCCTTGAAGCCTTTAAATAGTTTGAATGTTAAGATAAGTATGATACAACAAGAGAAGGAATCATCAGCAGAACCTTTGACCGGTAACATAATGGAACGTGGACGAGAAAAAAAGAAGACAACAATCTTTGGAACTTTGAAGAAACGTTTGTCGAGATCAAAGACGAGGAATGGGGATACAACAACTAATGGAACGAGTAATGGAAATGGCTACAACAACGATCATTCGAATGAATTAAATAATGGAATGGATTCACCGAGAGATACGCTGTCACAATTAAGAAGTTCAACTCTTAAATCACCAACAGGTGGAACATTGACGAGACTTGGAATTTCAGGTTCACGTCGTTCATCACTCTCAGAAATGTCAGGCGTAAGTCGCATGTCGAGTATTTCGAACAAAACATTTGTGCACGAAGCATCAAGCTTAGTGTTGGAAGTTATCGAGAATGGTGTCAAAAGGTGAGTGAAGATCGATCATCATTTATAATTAAATATTCAATCATTGTTTACATTTTCTCAGGCATTATCTTGTTCCAATAAACATCGCTCAGAAGCCGCGATGGCGTCGAAAGGGAACAAAGTTGCACATTTATAATGATCACACTTTCATTGCAAAGCATTTACCAAGGTAAGTTTAACGTCTCAAATGTCAGAAAGTAAATTCATCATAACGATTTTATTACAGTGGCTTAATCTGTGAAATCTGTATGCAATCAATTCCTTACCGGATGGGAAAGCAGGGCTACGAATGTCGCGATTGTTTGATGAAATGCCACAAGCAATGTCATGTACGAACACCGCAAATTTGTCCCAAGCCGACCATTCAATCAATCGAGTTGTAAGTAGCATCAATCAACAACTAATTTACATGCTTTAAGTGGGTGGCACGGTTCGATTGGGTTAATGCGGGTCAATGTTGTGTTGATTATTGTCGATCTATTTATACTTTTTTCTTTATTTGCTGACACTTCTTTTTTTTCTCTTTTTATTTATCTTATTTCTTCTTTTGTCAACGATATTCAAGGAGCTCAATACCAATTCTAAAAGAATAACTTTGTGGGTGTAAACTTAGCTCTAAGAAGCTTTAAAATATTTTTCAATTAATTATCATGTTGATCACGTTAAATGTTGCAATATTATTACACTATTTTATAAGTCTTGATAATTAGGTACGTACATTCGTTCATTCAACAATTCAATTGCAATTATGTTTCTTTTTTTCCCTTCCACTTTACTTTTGGGGTCATCGTACTTTACCTCGATTGTTATCATTTCTTATTTATTTATTTTTTAATGCTTTTGACCGCTTTTATTTCTGTTGAGTTTGTTTATATTTTTAATTGTTGTTTTGTGTTGTGAATTTCTAACTCAAACATTATTCTGAATTACTTCTCACAGGAAAATGCTGTTAATTCTTTTATGTTTTATCTTTTTGACAGGTGCAAGATATCCGATGCTGATACCGCTATACGAAAATTGTAGAACACTTGCGCTTTTAGGCTGACAATGATGTTTAGCACATGACACAATATTCATAAGATGTATCTAATAATCTTTCATTCATGAACACAACACTTCACTACTATTCATTAAGTAAACACGATAATAAGGGCAAAAGTGTTTGTTTAGCGTTCTCTAACAATCGATATTGATGACAATTTTTTTGATACAATTTTTATTGTGCAACGTTAGCGATCGTGGGTGGTTTAAGGTGGGGAAATGGAACAAAGTTCCATGATTTTAATTTGTTTTATGTTTATTATTATTTGTTTTTGTTTCATGCTAAATGGCAACTTAATTACCTACTCAATTAAATTGGCACAACTTAAAGAAATTTACTTAGAAGCTTTCGCTAAGTCATTTTGGGGAATATTTTTAAATGTTGTCGCGTTTTGTTTTCGTCCTTTGCAATCAATCAATTAAAGTGATTTATTTTTGTTTATCATAAGCTCGTGAAGAACCTTGGAAATCTCTTGTAAAGAGTCTCTTGGTAATTAAAGAAACAAAGAAATTTTACTTTTATTATTTCTTATTATTTGCTTGTTTTCTGAAGAAAATTAAAGTAAAATGTCTCTAATCATTTGATGGCTGATGAATCCTAAGTTTTACTTAATAATACTTATGAATGGTGTAAAGTCACTTAAAAGTTTGCAAATAATAAAAAAGATTCTCTTTATTCAAAGATTTTGGATAGTGTAAGAGAATTAAAACGATTTTCCTGTCTATATTTTAATTCATTTCCTTTATTTTTCCATTCTCATCACTTTATTTTATTTTCTTTTCCTTTTTCTTCTTCATTTTCTTTCCTGTTTCCAACACTGAAGGCTCATCAGCCGTTTCAGTTTCTTTTTCAGAATTTTTCTTCTTCTTTTTCTTCTTTTCCTGATTGACATCCGCAGTTGCTTCTGCAAGATTTGCTGGAACTTCTTCTGATTCTGATAACTTCTTCTTCTTCTTTTTTATTGAAGATTTTTCTTCAGAATCTTCTGACTTTTGCTTCTTCTTTTTAATCTTCTTTTCATCTTTTTCATTTTCCTGGTCATTTTCGTTAAGTTTTCTTTTCTTGTCCTTTTTCTCTGTTTTCATATCATTTTCTTTTGTTTGATCGTCAGACTTCAGTGCAACTTTAACAACTTTCTTTGTCTTACGATCAATACGCAACTTCTTGGATTTCTTAGCAAGTTGTTCATTGATTTTATCCAGTTTTGATTGTTTAATACCAACTTCGACTGGAACTTCAACATCGTTTGGATCAATTTTCGAGTAATAAATTGGGATGCTAACTTTGGAGTTTCGCATGGGCTTTAAGTATAAGCGACTAATATTCTTCCATCCACCAGGCCATTTCTCTTTTAATTGTTCAAGTGCTGAAGTGATGTTATCAACAAACTTCGAGTCTTCCATATTATGAACACCAACTTCGAAGATTGAGAAATTGCTATTGGAGCTGAGCTTAAACGAGACCTTTCGGTTTGCCTTTTCAATAGCTAATTTCATAGTTTCGGTCTTGCTTGTGTCGATTTGGTGTGGACGTTTGCGTTTCTTAATGAAATGCTTTCCAAGAATTGTGTATGTGTGATCAGCAATTTCTTGTTCTACTAAGAACAAATCGTAAGTATTGAGAAGTTTAAGTTTCATATTGTTCGGTCCAAAGTCTTTCTTCAACTTTGAAAGAGGAAGAATTGTTTTGATGCCAGTTATTCCAGATTCCTTAAGTTTTTCTTCGAACTTCATGATTGCTTCTTCAACCGAACGATCAGTTTTCTTCATTTTCAAATCACGAATGATAAAGCAAACATCAGGCTGCTGCTCACCAAACAATGAATGCTCCAATGAACTAGAATTTTATATAGAAATATTAATAAATAAAATTTTAATCAGATAAACTAAAAATTTTACATTTTCTTGGTGTGTGCTGGAATTTTTGGAGTTTTTAAAGCGACAACCTGAAGTCCATAGCGTAATTCTTCATCGAATAACTTAGCAGTTGCTGATTCCTTTTCTTTTTCAATCCCGGCCTTTGCAGCTTTCACTGCTTGTTTAATTACACTTCGTTTTGCAAGCTCTTCTGGCACTTCAGCTGGGACCTCGGTAGGTGACTCTTCAGTTTTTTTCTTAGTTTTCTTTTCTGACTTTTTAGCTTTAGAAATCTCTTTCTTAGCTTCCTTAACCAGAGGAATAACTTCTTTCTCGATGCTTCCACCAAGTGCAGATGATTTATTTACTTTCTTTGACTTTTTCTTCAATTTCCCATCATTGATTGATTTGACTCTGTCTTTTGGACTGTTTTCATCAAATTGAGTAGCTGATTTCGGTTTCTTCTCAAGATTTTTAACTTTTCCCATTCTATTCTTTTTAAAAATATAAATTTGCGTTTTTATTTCAAGCACGTTGGTTTTTATTTTCTGAAAGATAGCAAATTCGTCAGTAAGCTATTTGATTGTTTCATAAGTGTCGGAATGTCATGGGAAACTTTAGAAATATGACGCACAAAATGATAATTTGAGGCGCTTCAATCTCATGCACGTTTTGTTTACATATTCGCAAATCGTGATTCTCATTTTAAGTAAAGAAAAACAAAAGGAAATCAAATCTGTAAAATAAAAAACAGCTATAATATGGATGATAAAGAAATAAAATATAATAATCATCGTGAAAGACATACTGGTAAGCCACAATTTCTTATATTTTAAGTAAAAATATTTAAATAAATAAATTTTTTAGGAGGAATCAGTAAAATTCCAACAGAAGATTTCATTTACATAAGAGAAATAAATAAAAGCAGAAAGCACAACGAAGATGATGAACAACAAGTTATAATGGCTGACAATGTTTTGGAAACTTGTCGTGATAGAGAAATGTCATTTGTGACACATCCAGTGGCATCAAAAGCATTGGAAGCTCTTTTAAGTCATTCATCACCAGAGGTTTTTGAACGATTCACAACTGCACTTATGCCAAATCTACGACTTCTTGTTAACGAACCTTCAGCCTCTTTTGTACTAGAATCATGTTTAAAAGTTGGAACTTTACGAGCAGTTTCTACAAAGACTCAACAGAAATCTGATGAGAATGTTGATGAACCAGCAGCGAAGAAAAAGAAAAAGTTTGAAAAAGTTTCTTTATGTGTTGACTATAATCTAAAGCTTGACATTAAACATTCACATAAAGTTTACTGTCAAGAATTGGTAGAGAAATTAAGCAGATTTATGCTTAACAATCTTGAAGATTATATTTATGAAGGAAATGCTAATCATTTAATAAGAACTGCAGTTCTTTGTCTTGGTGGTATTGTAACTCAAAAAACTGTTTTTCAGAAAACCGAAACAATCAATTTAAAACAGCAAAAGGAAGTGAAAATTCCGGAATCATGGGAAGAACTTGTCAAAGAATTCACAATTCGACTTCTTGCATGGCCACAATTTCCTGAACTTGCATTTGCTGAAACTTCATCTGTCATTCTCCAGACACTTTGCAAATCATTGAAAAATCTCGAAAATCAAGATGAAACAATTAAGAAACTAATTAAAAAAGTTATGAAGGAATCATTCAAAGATGAATCGGAAGAATCGACAGAATCTGAAGATATGAAAGCGTTCAGTTCACCTTCATCGCTTCGTTTACTTGAAACTATGATGGAATGTTGTGAAGTTAAACTTTTACATAGAATTTATAAAAAATATTTCAAGCAAAAATTTATGGAGCTTTGCGAGTCACGTGAATTAAATTTTGCTGTTCAACGTTTGATTGACGCTTTGAAGATTGAATCGAAAGAAATTTTCGAAGAGATTTTCAACACATTGTCACCTGAAATAACGAAATTACTTCAAATTGGACATACTGGTGTTGTGTTGTCGCTATGTAAAGCATGCGAAAGACTTGGAGTAAAGCAAGGACAATTTATTCAAAGTTTATTGAAATCATTGGATTGCTCAGCTGATAAAGCAAACAAATGCATTTTTCCAATAATTTATCTCACTCCATTGACAGTCTTAGAAAGCCAGGAAGATGTTGAGATCACACTTCACGGATCTTTAATCCTCCAACACATATTTCAGTTCAATAAACCAATAAAAATTATTCAAAGCTTATTAGAGATGAAGCCACAAGACATTGCCAACATTTTCTGTGATCAAAAAGGATCAAGAATTGCTGATGCTTATTTAGAGTCGAAGTTCATTGGTGAGAAATCGCGAGAGAAGCTTGTAAAAAGTTTAGAAGGAATGTACTTGAAGATGGCATTATCTAAAAACGGTTCGCACGTTCTTGAGAAATTTTACAACTTATCATCCGACTCACAAAAGGAAGTCATCGTTCGTGAACTTTCTGAGCGAATGAATCAACTTAACAGCAGTGTCTCTGGAAGAATAATCAATTACAAGTTCTCTGTTGAATGCTACACAAGAAATATTAATCAATGGAAAAGTTTTCTTTCAAAATCTTCTCAAAGGTATGCAAACTGAGCTCTTTATTATTAATTTCATTTTCAATTTGATTGTTAAAAAAAATATTCAGAACAAATAATTTCAACATAAACTTTTGTATCACAAAATAAAATAAAGAAGATTTTAATTAATTACCAGACTTTGTGTTAAATCACAACAGCACAAAAAAAACTTTAATTAACAAAAAATATATAGAAAAGAGATCTGATAATTAATTATTGTGTGAAGACTCGTTTGTGAATGAATTGAATGACTCCGTACTTTCCTGTACTCATCCATTTCGATCCTTCTTCTTCCCAAAGTCTGTCAGCTACTCCAGGTTGTAAGCCTGAGATAAGATCGGCTTTGATTGTACGTAAAGCACATAAATTGGTTGGTTCAAAGCCAGAAAGCGATGTTCGAAATTCGGTGGTTGTATCCCAATTTGTATCAGCTAATAGCTTTCTGTAATTAAGGTCACCTTTGAAGATGACAAGATGAGCTTCAGCAATATTGTGATACAGTTCAGGTGCAATTTTTTCCATCTTGTAGTACTCAAAAGGCGATGTAAAGAACATATGAGCTGGTTCGATAAGTTCAAAGATTCCTTCACGAAGATAACTTTCCCATCTGCTTCCAGCTTCTCTAAGAACTTCCTTGTCGTGTTTCCTAAGTTCATCGAGTGTATATCTAAAATCAGTTGGAAGAACGTCGGAAATAAACCAAGGGATTGATTTCACATAGAAACGAATCTTCTTTGCAAGCTTATGATGAATAATAAAATCAGCTAGAACAAGGTCACAAAGCAGCTCGTAACCAGCATTGTCATTAATGAACGAAACAATTTTCTCGTCATTTCTTTCAATCTTTATGCAATTCCAAATATCAATTGTTTGATCAACCAACAGTTCTTTGTTGTATTCTTCTATATCTGCGAGCGGATCAATATCAGAGACCTCAATTTCTTGGCCCAAGGTGATGCTAAGGTCGTTGCGATTGCCCCATAAGTTGACCTTGAGTAGTTTTCGAAAGAAATTACCGAGTTTCTCATGACCAGAGTTAGTGTTATTGAAATCATTCACAGATTTTAGGACACGAGCAATATTTGCCATCGAATGACTCAATTCCAATTTCTTTGAGACTTCAAAATAGTCAAAATTCCCGAATGAAATTGTTTCATCGAAAATTGATTTGAGACGACGATAAACATAACATTCAGCATAGAGCCAGACAGATGAAAAGTAGCTATTGTTGGGTTCGATCTCTTTGAGTAAACGATTCCATTCATATTGGTCACTCTCATCACCGGGAATCTCCGTCATTTTTTTATCAGTTTGAAGCTCATATTTTAGTTTCGAGATTTCTCCAATGCATTGTTTCAACTCGTCTCGACAATGCTCTCCGTAACGTTGAATGATTTTCTCTTTGTCTCTTGTTAATTGATCGATAATGTTGGTGATTATGATAGGTACTCTTGTTGCTATTGTGTAAAACGCATATGACCTAGAATTTCAATGCAACTCATGAAGACCTCACTAAATCTTATCGCAAAAACTCCTTTTTTACCTTTTATAATGCGCTGTCAGTTGCTCATTGATTGGAGTTTTCTCATCTGACAGTTTATACTTACTAAAATCAATTGAATTACTCATTGTAATAAGAATAGATTTAAAAAACTTAAATTTTTTCACTTAGAATTGCAAGATTTTCATCTATGGCTGCAAAGGTTGTGAGCCCAGTCTAGCCGCCTAAAACAAACTCAACGCAGCCGCCAAAATCGGCCGAAAACTGTCCGTTCAATTTATTCGAACGTAGAAATCTCTCAGTCGTCGATGAGTGCTTTAGAAAGTAACATCCGCGATCGTTTGTGTTGTCTTAAAGATTTCTTTTTTAATTGATTTTTAATGTTTTGACGAATATTTTAATGGTCATGAAATACATTTTTAATTGTTCTCACGAAATACGGTAGAAAAAAGCCGAATTAGATTAAAAGAATCAAACATTTTATAAAAAAAAATATTTTAATTAAAAAATTATTACTTGCTCAATTTTAAGCTGCAACGAAGCATAAAGCACTGATTAGAAGCCAAGAATAATCAATTTATCTGGCTTGTTATCGGCATATCAGTGAAGTGTTCTAAATGCTTAAAAAATCAACAAGTTTAATAACAAAAACAAATAGGCATAAAAATCGTAAACTACAAGTCGTACAAAAAAATCATTGTGGAATAATTAGTTTCAGCTAATCAAGCGGAAGAAAGTAAGTCACACAATTCCATACATACGAAACTTTCAATTAGCAATATCGTGAGAAATCCAAAAAAAAAGTTCAGTGCTGATAAGAAACTAAATTTAAATGAAAATAAGGAACATTTTGTAAAGCGAAAATAAAAATGTACGTGAAGATATTAGAGACAAAGAGACGTTGCATTGCTGGCGATCATTGTGTTGTTGATCGTCACCAATTTTAAGCGTATGTATGTTTTTATTGTGAGTGCATCGTCAATTGAAAAAGTAAAGCGAAGAAGAATTTAATAAGCTAATAGAAGAAGTAGAGACTGAGATTTTAACAAATAATCTTGATTAAATAATGTTGTAAGATTTCTGATATTTCAACTATGTGGTAGTGTCAATGAGGTCATTTCACTCAATGTCGTAAAGCGGTCGTTTAAACTAAAGCATCCGGACTGTTACTCCTTCTTCGATTTCCTCGAAAATTCATGAAAACATTAAAGAATAAACTTGCTTATGACGTAAATAAAGAATAAGAAAATCAAATCAAATGCATTCCATGTTAAAGCTCTTTTTTCTACACGATCGCACAAAACCAGTTTGTTTTTATTTCTCTCTTTTTTTTGTTGTGTTGTGTGGAAAGACGAATATTTATACTTTTTATTAGCTATCTTAAGCCTTCTTTGTAGGTGTGTGAGTTGTAAAACAATTAACATATATAAAAAATATTCTCAGTAATTCACTGAACAAATTTGCGCTTCTTAAAATCTTCTTTGAGTTATCTTTTGTGGAAACAGAACAAACATGTTGTGGAAATTTTTGATGACAATTCTCAAGACAAAATCTTTAGATGGCTGAATGTTGCTTATCTTAAATTGTCTGCTGGTAGTGTACATAAAAATGCACACAAAGAACCCTCAGTTGAAAATAAATTGTTGATTTCTCCGTTCTTCGAAAATCATCTGCTTCCGAACATTGAAATTGTTTTTATCATTAATAAAATAGAGACACACATACACACTGATAGACAGAAAAAGTTCCATATGATCATTAATTTATGGAAATCACAAAAGAATTTTCAAATTATGTATCTGATTGCGTGACCTTTCCTTCTCCATTTGTTTGAACAAGTGAATGACAAAAGTCGATGGCTGTGCCATTGATTTAATGACAGACACTTAACATTCACTGCTTAATACATCGGATGTACACAAATTCTATAACTGATTTGATGAGAAAGTAAATCATGACCGCTTGATCCCTAAAATTGTAACCGAGAAAAAGTGCTCCAACGGCCCCAAATGACACAATTAAGTCATCTAAACTAAACAAAACATCTCGTCGTAGTCGTGCTCGTGGTGCTAGAATTTCATAGCGAAATGATGATTTCTGTGTGAATGGAATTCCGCCATCAGCAGCCCTGAAAACAAAATATTAATTCCCGACTTATTTAAGTCAAGAGTTTCTCTTCACCAATTGATCTTTTTTAAACTATTTTGAGTATAAACAATTTCGACGCATGTTTTTGGGCATGCACATGAAACAATTCTATTTCTCCATTTCTTGACGTCAAGACAAAGCAAACCAGCTGGTGAACATGAAGTTCCATTAACAAAAGGATAGAAGTATGGTCGACATCCACAAAGTCTTAAAGCTTCTTTTGCACGACAAACTAATGAGCAAGCTTGAAATATTATTTTAAAAATTAATTCTTAGTCACTTTATAGATTATTACTTATTAAACAAATAATCAAACCTCCATAACTGTAGATCAAAAGCTGTTCAATTGATTCGTCATTAAAGATACATTTTCTTTGAATAACATTCAATGTTCTCAAAGCATCACTTGATCTGCGCTTATTAAACCTTCACTTGAAGATAAAAAAATTAAGAAAAAAGTAATTCAACTCACATTGTCTCGAGCATGTTATAAGTTGATTCTATCTCGTCAGTCATTCCGATGCTAAAGAAAGGCGTCTTGTCAGATGGAATTTCAAGTGGTGAATGAATTGCAATCTAAGGAAATAAAAAAGATTAATTTTTGCTAAGAAAGCTTAAAACTTAATTAATGTTACGAAAACGGTTGGATCGAATACATCGAGTTTCATATAGCACTGATTTTTGCTGAATAAGCACGAAAGCGGACGTAAATGTTTATTTAACTCCTCCTGGTTTAAAGGTCTGAAAGATTAAACTTCCACTTACACTTTAAACTATTTTAAATTAAGGAAAGGAAAGAACATACAATGTGCTTATCATGTGCCAAGCAATTGAATTGACGTTGTAGCAAATCCCTTTCTCAGTAATGATTTCATTCATTTTAAATTCAACAAGTGTATCGTAACTTGATACGATGCTGTTGATCAGTGGATGAACTTCTTTAGCTATTGTCAACATGTTGATGTATTCAAGTCTCTTGTCATTTGCGAAGCGATTGAATTTCGAAAACGACTCATTGACGTTCACAACAGCTTGAATGTAATTGAAAAAATATGAATATTCCTCGTCATCCTGTTCGTAACCCCACAAACGTTTGATTAAATCTTGAGCTTTTGATTCGTTTATTCTGTTATGATAGCAAACAGTTAATGATGGCAAAGTTCCATTCCATTGCCGATAGTCTTTTTCAAGCGATATAACAGTTGGATTAGCAGCAAATCTTGAATATTGTGTCATGCCAATTTTGTAAGCTCCCCAACATGTTAGCAACAAAATAATGAACCAGAAAACTCTTTCAAATGGATGAAGACTTGAATCACAAATATATTTCACTCCGTGAATGCTTGATTTTGTAATAAACTCGCCAAAAAATCTCCAAAAGCTTTTCACATCCTCTGAATTAAGTTTTTCATAAATTTTGCTTTTTAAATTTGGTCTTTTCTGTTTCATGATGAGACCGTCAATGACGGTCAGTTGACTTTACTTTTTAAAATCACATTTCATGTCTTAGATGTTCGTGGTCAACGCGATTATCTGATAAAAAGCATTCGATAAACAAGCGATTATGTCCGAAATGATTTTAATGATAATTTAGGTTGAATTGCTGCAATATCAAAACAAATAACATAACTAATTGAGTCAAGGTTTTGCTTTGTCATTATAATTCTAGAACTTATAAGTCATTATCCCAAATCACAATAAATTATTTGTGTCAAAGCGAGTGTTAAATAATAATATTCTACATATTTCTTTATCATTAACAGTGTCGTATTTTTCCATACAGACTGTATGTTTATATTTATATTTAAGTTGCTTATGCTTCAAATGTGTTTACAAATGATAAAAAAGAAATCTCATGATAAATTTTCTATTCCTTTGCTGTGAAATAAATGAGCGAATCAAGAGATGATTTTAAATTGAGGTTCTTACCCGCTTCATCCGTGTTTAAAATATTTTCATGTTGTTGTTTGTGAAATAATGAAAATATATTTTCAATGATTTTTTGGGAACAACAAGAGAAACTTCCTCGAAAAGTTGAAGAAATGAAAGCAACAAGCAAAATAAATTTCTTGGCTCGAAAATGTGGTGAAAAGAAAACATCGCAATACATTCATGCGAAAGCGACCTCGACATTAGCACTTTATTTTAAAACCAATAACTGTAAACATCCCGAAGTGATATTCGATATTAACTAAAGTGTTTATAATTTTTTTGAAGCTTCTGCTTCATTTCTCCTTTTTCCCATTCCTCTGAAGGTGATCATAGAAAATCTTTTAAAATGTTTGGAATTTTCGGCTTTGCATGTGCATTATTGAATATAAACAAGTTACATAATGTAAAAAGGGAAAAACATTTCCCTTGCAATTCTCACAAATGTTACATGAAAACAAATAATCATTTTCCTCATTTATTACAATTTTATATTTCAAAATAAAACAAATGACGTAAATTCCATGAAAACAGAATTTAAGTTTCTTTTTCCGATTGTTTAACAAATCATTTTCGTTCTCTAAGTAAATAAATAAATATTTGTTTGTGTGTATGTGTGATTGTGCCTTTGCATAGATAAATAAATAAATTGAAATTGTTTTCCCTCTGATAACGCATAAGTATACAACACACAATCAGACTATGTGAAACTAAATGTATTTAATGATTGCTGATGACACAAGTTGTTCTCCCATTCAAGTCGCGCTTGGAAAAAGCTGTCATGTTCACCTTTTTTGTATTTAAAAGCAAATTCTGTTTTTCTGCAATGTTCTTTTACTCAGAATCGAGTGTTCAATTCTAAAGAAACGCCAACAAATTGAAATGTGTATAAAAAAATTTACAGAGTTTCTCTCAGTTAAAGCTGCGTGGGTGGACTATTTAAGATTTGGTTTCTACTTATGTGATGAGAGTGTAGTGCTTATAAATTGTTCACTATTTATTTAGAAATGATATTGATATTTTGTTTTAATCTTCTTATTTTCCTAGATTCTTTGATATTCGATTAATTTTATTACCAAGGCGTAATGAATGTGAAATTCGATTCAATTTTATAAATATTTGATGATGCTTCGATTTTTTATTGTTTGAAAGAATAACGAAAGGAAACCTTCAATGAACCTTGGCAATGAAAGTTTCATCAAATGTCAAAGTTTCTGACAAATATTGGAAAGAATATAAAATTAATAATGATAGTGGTTGGTTTGTGAGTTTAAAGTTTTTTTTTATTATCATTCTTTAATGTTCTAACTTAGTAATTTATGATTGTTAATTACAGTTATCAAAGTAATTCTGTAGTAGTAGCCTTTGTCATTCAAATTAGATTTGAAACATTAACAAACTCATATTCATATTCACTCCACGTTCAAATGACATTTTGTCCCACACGGAAAAAAATAAGCAAAAATGTTTAAATTAACGAACTCAGCAAAGCAGAAAATTGCCAAAAAAAGAGACTTCATGTGTTCATGATCGTCATCAAACTCAAATTGCATAAGACGAGAAGTAAAACAAAATTTTAAAAAGTCACAAAGCTTTCCTTATCAAAAAGCTAAAATTTTGTTTGTTCGCTTATTAAAAGATGTTTTTGCATCGAGCAAATCTTACTTGAGTCATCAGAGAAAGTTTTTAAAAGAGAACTCAAATTCAGGCTGAAAGAAAAAAGAAAACAGCTGAATTATATTTTTAGCTCTAAATCTTTCCATGATCAGCCGCCGCAAATTTGCGCACGAGTTATCTAAATAAATATTTGAAGAACTAAACATGAGTTGCATTTGTTTTGCATTAATTAGTAATGCGTCAAACACCACACTTGTCACGATATAAACAATGATTCACTTATTATCGCAATGGAATCACAGAAATGCAAATAATATTGTTGCAATTACATATCACGACATTCTTCGGCATGTTTTGTGCATTTTATGTGACTTAGAATTCGAGTAATCAAACGGAAATGAACGGCTAAAGTTAATAAAATAAAAATTGTGGCTGTGTTGTTGAATACGAGAAGAAAATAGAAAATAATAAAGCACTTGATGCGTTAAATTGCATGTTTATTTAAAGATGAGTACATAGAGAGTCACTTATCAAAAGAAACAAACTTGTTGCTTGTCTGATTAAATGATTCATTCATGACAATGCTCAACAATTTTTTGAACTTCTCTTTTCATCGTAAATAGTCTCGAGTTGAATTGAAAGTGATAGTGTTCTTACAAAGATCATAATAATGACACGCAATGATGAACAGTTTTCAACAAAGCGTAAAAGAAACGAATAAAACATAAAAGCGAAGATAATTTCTTAACCCAGTAACCTTTAAGAAAGAAAACATGAAGAAGCGACTCTTGCGTAAATTGTGGGAATTCGGAAACGATGACTTTTATCATTGTTTTCGTGGTTTTGAAACTTATGAAAAAGAATTCTTTACTCAATTAAAATGACCACCGATTGTTTCTCACACATTATACATACAAGTTGTAAATTATTTAAATTGATTTTCTTCGAATGAAACAGAAGCTGTTGAAACAGTGAACTGATTAGTCATTGCGATCAGATGACGATGTTCAAATTAACTTACAAAAAATAACATTGAAGAGCGAAAGAAAAATGAGTGGAAAACGAATAACATTTGGTAGACGTGTGCTGCAAAAAGAATTGACTCACAACTCATTTGTCTCGGCTTTTATTTCTTTTTTGCTAACTAACGCAATTGTCTAAGCAATTCTTCTTTTTGCACGAATCTAAAATTATGTTTCTGAAATTTGATGGTCTGGTGAAACATTCAAATTTTCATTTCTCGAGATTTCAAGAAAATCTCGCAATTTTCCGGTTCATTGATTCACTCCGAAGTTTGTAATTCAAGTGACTCATCTTCCTTCTCTTGCTTATGATAGACAATCGCGATAGTAAATTTAAACATTTCTACGTTCATTCTTTCTTCACCTACACGAAAAATATTAACAGCGGGAATTTTTGTATGCAAAATTGAGTCTTTTAATGTTTTCGTCAGATACAAAGAAACATCTTCAGATAGTTTTCGACCACTTCAGGAGTTGTTTACAAGAATATAATTCCATAGAACTCATTAACAATAAGTGACAACATAAATAATCATCCGGCATTGGCTGACTTTATTTCATTTAGAATTCTTCTTGTTTCATTCACACAAACACAAGTTATTATTCAATTTGAGACCCTCAACTGTGATTCAAATGCTTATGCCTTCGTTAAATCTTTCTTTGTTTTACAACAAGTGAACAAGTTCAAAAAACTTCTCGAATTACTCACAATTTTATATTACTTATCACTTTCATAGTTTTAAAATTTATTGTTTAGTTTAAAGAAGGAAGAATTGAATAATAAACTGCACTTGATTGAACATTAAACTTCATTTGTAAGTTATCTACTGTATGCATGTTTCATTACAAATGGTTATGTCATGTATTAAAGTGTTGTTGAATCGCTTTGTGCTGATTAATAATTTACTTCCCTGTATAACTTTAAATTAGATGCGTCATAATACCTGCTTGTGAGCGATAAGACATTTTATTAAATATTATTATTATTCAAGTTCAAGCAACATCTTTGATTAAAACTTCAGACGAATTTTATATAAGCTCATTGATGAATTAATTAATCTACTGAGCAGAACAAGATAAAAATGAATGAATGAGGATGTAACGTAGCGCATAAGTCTACACAAGTTTTTATGAATATTTTGCATTTTTCATTCATTTGATTGACAGTTCAACTCACTCGTTTTAGCCTTTTTTAATCGTTTATCTACTTTGATATCTGAGAACGTACATTGTTGATTTTATTGTTTAGTAATCAAAACAATTTCTCTTCTGCAAAACTCATTGACATTAAAATAATTAAATTTTGTTGACAATGTTATAATTAGGTCGATCGCTAATTGATTTCCTTGTTTAAAAATTCCAATTCGCATGGTAAAGTTAACCGAATATTAATTCTTTTTTACTTTTTTTCAGATAAACTTTATCGTTTTTGATATCACAAGATATGCATTAACAAAAAGTGTAGGAAAAGCAACGTTAGCATAATTCAATTGAATTTAATTAATCATGATGAAGAAGCCCAAAATTGCATTATTTTTATTGCTTGCCACTGTGTGTCATCGTTTAAAAGCAGCTGACGATGCAATGGCAATTGTTGGTGATGAGCTTGAAGGTCCGAATGTATGCAAACGAATCGATCCCTACAATGTCACAGTTGTCGTCACAGATATGATTCCATACCAGGAAAGTAGAATGGTTTGGTGTGCACAAATACCACCACGTTGTCGGAAAACGGAAATAAAACTACGACAAGTCAACAAGACGGAAGTTCTTGAGAAAACGAGAGCAATTCGAGAATGTTGCGAGGGCTACATTGAGAATGAAGCGAAAAACCGTTGCGTACCTTTTTGTCCGAAGCCTTGCATCAATGGCCATTGCGCAGCACCCGGACAGTGTAAATGTGATTCAGGATATGGTGGTCCATCATGTGATATCAGTAAGTTTCATTCTTTTATTGAATAGCAAAAAATTATTTTCAAATTTCCAGGCTGCCCACCAAATCATTACGGGAAAAAATGCAAAAAGAAATGTGATTGTACAAATGAATCACAATGTGATCCCTATGATGGTAAATGTCACTGCAAGAAAGGATATCGTGGTGATAAATGCGAAAGTACCTGCACACCCGACAGATATGGTGAAGGATGTTCAGAGATTTGTCGATGCGAAAATGGAGGAAAATGTAATCATATTTCTGGCGAATGTTATTGTCCACAAGGTTACACTGGCCCATTGTAAGAACCTTAATATCGTCTTATGCGATGCCATTATTAATGTTGATTATTTCGTAGATGTGAAGATAAATGTACAAAAGGAAGAGGCGGTGACGAATGCAGATCATCGTGTCGATGTCAAAATGGTGGAATTTGCGATGAAGATACAGGATTTTGTAAGTGCCCACCAGGATGGGTTGGTGATGTTTGTGGTAATCGTTGTCAACCAGGTCGTTATGGTATCAATTGCACACACGCGTGTGAATGTTTTAATGGAGCATCTTGTGATCACATAAACGGTAATGCGTTTCATATTCAATCTTGTTTCACTTTTAACTTTGTTTCAAATTTAATCTTCAAGTGAAACTTGTACAAGTTTCTTGTACTTAATTTTACTTGTAAGTTATTTAAGTTAATTTAATTTTTATTTTTTTCTTTTATTAAAAGGCGATTGTATATGCGAGCCTGGCTTTATGGGTGACAAATGTTTTGATCAATGTTCCTTCGATAAGTTTGGAGTCAATTGTACTGAAACCTGTTCATGTAAAAACGGTGCAAAATGCGACAAGGCAACGGGAAGTTGTGAATGTGCACCTGGATATATTGGCGTTGATTGTGGTGAAAGAAAATGCCCTGAAAACAATTATGGACCAGATTGCAATGAGACATGTGAATGTGAAGTTGAAAATACTGAATTATGTCACCCATATGATGGAAAATGCGAATGCAAAGCAGGTTGGAGTAGTTCAACATGCAATCGACCATGTCCCTTCTTAAAATATGGAAAATCATGTTCATTCCAATGTGACTGCAAGAATAACGCGCAATGTTCACCATTTGATGGGACTTGTGTTTGTCCTGCTGGTAAATTTATTTAATTTCTGCTCTAAAATTTAAATAAAATTAATTTTTCCTTCTTCAGGTTTCACTGGTGACAAATGCGAGAATCATTGTCCGTCTGGAACATATGGAACTGATTGCCTTCAACATTGTGACTGTAAGAACGATGCTGAATGCAATCCTGAAACTGGTCAATGTTTCTGTAAACCTGGATGGTCTGGATTCAAATGTGAACGACCATGCGAGATGAACACTTACGGTCCAAGTTGTTCAATGACATGCAATTGTTTAAATGGTGGCGGATGTCATCCAGTAACTGGTGAATGTTACTGTAGCCCAGGATATATTGGAGAGACATGTGAAAAGAAATGTGATCCATGGTTCTTTGGACAAAATTGTTCATTCGAATGTAACTGCGAGCAGTCGAAGACACTTCAATGCGATCATGTCAATGGCCGATGTTTATGCAAAATTGAATACCGTGGAAGTAAAACAATAAAATATGCTGGCGTAAGATGTGAAAGTTCATGTCCAGTTGGCTTCTACGGTAGTGAATGTCATCATCAATGCAACTGTAAGAATAATTCATCGTGTGATCCACAAACTGGCGAATGTTTCTGTGAACGTGGATGGATTGGAAGAACTTGCGATCAGAAATGTCCGACTGGTTATTATGGACAAGATTGCAAAGAGAAATGTCCTGAAAATATGCCAACGAAGACAACGTGTGATCATGTGACGGGAGAGTTTAAATGCCGACCAGGCTACATTGGATTAACTTGCGATCATCCATGCCGTGAAGGAACGTTTGGGGAAGATTGTCAGCAGCGTTGCAATTGCGACAATGGCGGCGAATGTTCACATATTGATGGAATTTGCCATTGTCTGCCAGGCTGGACTGGAGATCATTGTGAGATTCCATGTTCAAACGACACTTGGGGCATAAATTGTCATCATAAGTGCAAATGCGTCAATAACGCGCGATGTCGTAAATCGGATGGCTTGTGTGTTTGTGAACCAGGCTTTATGGGACAAAAATGTGAAGAAGTCTGCCCAGAAGGCTATTACGGAGCGAATTGCCTCGAGATTTGTAATTGCAATCGAAAACCGAACTTTGTTTGTCATCCAGCACATGGTTGTGTCTGCAAATCCGGATACAAAGGTGAAAATTGTGATACCTCAGCGTTTAGTCAAATAACATCGGAAGAAGGTGAGTTTAATTTTTCTTTCACTGCACTGATTTTATTATATTTTACTAACATTGAAATGAATTTATGCGAATAATAAGAAAATGAAGATTATGAGTCGGAGAAGGAATCAAATAATGAAACTTTAGTTGATACTAAACATATTCGAATAAAAGTAACGACGGAAAGTTCCACAAGTGCTGAATCAAGTATTGATGATGATGATAACGTTGAGAAGAACTTCCACGATGCAACAACAACACAAATGACAACAACAGAACTAAACGATAAAAACTTTGAAATCTCATTAGAAATGACAAATGAAATGACATCAACTGAACGAATCTTTTCAACATCATCGGAAGCTTTAAATGTTAATCAAGAAAAAGAAAAGTTTAATGACGTCAATGACGTTGATAATTCTTCTGATGAAATATCGAAACGAAAATTAAAAGAAAAATCATCACACGATAAAAATGCTGTGACGAAAATGACTGAAGATGAAATTGAAGTTGAAAATGAATTGTCAACTGATAATACAAACTCACACTCATCGGTGGATGAGAATACTGAAACGAATTCCGATGAGTTGAAAAGTAATAAAAATTTAATAGCGACTTCTAGAAGGTCATCACAAGAAGTAACAGGAAAAACACTGACGACAACTGATATTAGTGGTAAAGACGAATCAACCAATAGCGGTGCTGAATCTTCAACAAGTGAAGTTAAAGAATCATCAGAAGAAGTAACAGAAGAAAAATTGACAACTAATGATAATGTCAGCGACGAATCAACCAATAGCGGTGCTGAATCTTCAACAAATGAAGTTAAAGAATCATCAGAAAAAGTAACAGAAGAAACATTGACAACTAATGATAATGTCAGCGACGAATCAAGCAGCAGCGATGCTGAATCTTCAACAAATGAAGTTAGGAAATCAGCATCAGATGTAACAGAAGAAACATTGACAACAACCAATGATAATGTCAGTGACGAATCAAGCAGCAGCGATGCTGAATCTTCATCAAATGAAACAAGAAAATCTTTGGCGCGTAACTTTTATTACTATTACTTTATAACAGCAATAAAAGCCAATGAGAATCGAATAAATGGATTATTCAATCATTTGCGTGAAGAAGAATTTGATGATGATGAAAGAGAAGAATCAGCTGATGAAGAAACTTTTATGGGACTTCCAGGTGACCATCAAGATCATGTGTTAAGCACCGAGATTATTCTGTTGTTGTTTGTTCCTTTCATTCACTTCTGCAATCTCATAATTTCTTTTATATCCAGCACAATTAATTCATGATTTTATTTTGCTACTAACATCTTAATTTAATTAAATATTGTGGCAATGCTAATTGACGTTGTTATTATAATTACAGTAGGACGAGCTGGTACAATTTGGGCGGTGTTCTTATCATTGTTGTTCCTTGGAATTCTCGTGACAGTTTTGTTCTACCACAGACGTCGTGTCGCCAGTCTTAAGAAAGAAATTCACGTCGTTCAATTCATGTCAGAAGATCGAACAAATTTTGACAATCCTGTTTATAATTATCAGCCTAGTAGCATCAACACAGACATGTCAACTTTACTTCATCGTAATGGAATGATGAACAACTTACGACACACGAAACCATCAAACGTTGACCGACTCAACAACTTCGATCATGATTCGAATTCAAGTGGAAGAACTGCTGCTTATTCCTTCAATTATGATCCAAGTTTGATGAATCAGAAGAATCACGAAGCTGACTTAACAAATCCAAATCTTTTCGAAGATCATCTTTATGATGAGATCAAGCAAAAAGCTGATGATTCAGGTGAGAATATTTTCATGACATTCGACATTTTTCAGTTGACGTTTAAGGCCTATTATCGATAATCAAATATTTAATAACATATTTTCAGAAGAATACGATCATCTTGATTATTCACGGCCAATTCAACCACCAATTCCAAACTATCATCGTACAACAAGCTCAACATTATCAACATTAAGTCATCGAGATCGCGAATCAAATCAATCGAGTAATAAATTTCCATCGTTCTCCGATTCAAGCTACGATGCACCAATTCCCCATCCGAAACAGTTGAACATCAACGTTCCACCATTACCTATGAAGAATCAAACGAATTCTAATCTCACACCATCACCATCATCGAGTACAGCGAGTACAATAACGCAAGACGAAAACATTGACGCAATGATTTCCGTCGATAAACCGATGAACAAGAATTTCCTTCAGGCTGATGATAATGCGACAAGCATCGATCTGAATGAGAAGTCACGTGATGAAAAATCGACAGACTGATTATTTAGTTGAAGAAAATGAAAATGAAGAGAAGGAAATTATCATTTTTTTTATTAAGCTGAGAGTGAATGAAAATTGTTTGATTGTTGATGCTTTTATAAATGTTTCTTCATCGTGAGTTTATGTTTGACATTAAATAATTAATTAAAGTGATGGATGACGTCAAAAAAAAAAGAAAGTTTTAATGGTAATTTACTTGTTTGTATGCATGTGCCTAAGAATGATGATTCCGTCACTTCTATCTCATTAAAATATTTTAATTTCTTTAACTAAAAGTTTTCATTTGTGCATTTCTTGAGCAGATTTTATTTCCTAAATTAATTAATTTTTTTTGTCACTTTTTTAGTCATTTGATGAAAGTTTTCTTACTGATTTATAAATGTTTTATATCTTTATTATTTTGTACAGATTTTATTTTAAACAAATATTAAAGGAAAAGAGCTTCTAAGAGAGTGTTTAAGTACTAAAATAAAGTTTAAAATATTTGTGATAAAATTGACACTTTTGAACCAATTTTCCTTCAATGTTTTTCATTCTCTCTTCCTGAAAAGTTTTATTGTTCGCCAATGGAAACAAAAACAATTGTTTCATCCTTTATGAAATGTTTAAAAATAATTGGATAAATGAAATCACTTTGAAAGTATAATGAAAGAGAGAAAAAAAGCATTTAATGAAGCAATACGAATAAATAATAAAAACTTTGTAAAAACTAAAGAAACTTTTCTTATTCCAATTTCCTTTTAATTCATTGAAAATAATTTATTTTCAGCAGATATAAATCCATCACTATACCTATAAATGATATTAAATTTTCCCTTTCTTTTTCATCTCACCACGAAATCATTTTGACAAGCAATCTCGATAATCTTTTTTCCGAAATTATTTTCATTTCTCTTCAAATTTGAAGATTTATTGAGTGGAAATTTTATTTCTCTGTCTTTTCCTCTACTTTTCCGATGAAGTGAATTGTTAACTCATCAAATGTCTCAAGCACACTTCATACATTGCTTAAGTGAATTCAGAAAATAAAATAACATGTAGATAAATATTGCAAAGGTTTCAATAGGGAAATTGAAATGGTGCGCAGGTATTTCTACTCCAACCCTCACAACATGAACAATACTTTCAAGCATAAGTACCACAATACACTGTTGAACAAATAAAAACGTAGAGAACACAATTAAATAAACGACTACAGTTACCGGTTGCTCTGGAGTTTTTTACAGATTTTTCTTTCCTTTTGTCATTCCAAGCTTTCACATCTGTGTACTTTGATACTTGTTGCCGCACGGACGGATTTTCAGGATTATTTGATCGGAAAATTTCAAAGTGTTGAAATATTTTAGACAAGAAGAGAAACAGTTTTGTTTGTGAATTAATTAATTAATTAAGAAAAAAGGAAGTGAAAGAAATTAACAAAAAAGAAAGTGAATTAAATTGCAATCTTGATCGCCTCTGTTTGTATCTCATTCAATCATTTATTTAAAGAAGAAAAAGGAGTTTTCCATCTCTTATGTACATACATATGTAGGATCTTCATTTCACATCAGATTATATGGAAAGAGTTTTATTAATCAGAAAGAAAGATAAATTACCACTTATCTTACATGATATATTCTCACGATCTAACGACGTCACAAGAGTGCTAAAATTTCCTAATGAAACAGATAATTGAATAATGTTGATACGTCTGATGTTATTTAATATGAATGTAGAAACGAAATACGGATTTACGAAATTTTTTCATAACAATTGTAGAAGATCCTGATGATGGTGACATTTTGACACCGAAACTAGTCGATGAATAAAATCTGAGAATAATATATTCTAATAATATTTCGTTTCTACATTCAGATTATTAATTAGTTATTGAAGTGACAGCAGAAAAAAAGAAAACAACAAAATATGTAGTGAAAGAACAAAAGAATAAATTGGATACGATCAAATTTAATCATTTATTAACAGGTAAAGTAGAAGAGTGAAATGAAGACGACAAATTTAGGAAATAATTTCCTTCTTGGGTTGATTATTTATCAAATGTTCTAAGTTGTCAAGGTTGCGGGAACTTGAGAAGCCGCTTGTTACATAATCTATCGATAGAAAGCATAATTTTTAACGACGATTGTGAGAATTTCCCACGTCGCAATAGTGAATATTTTTAATACACCCGAGCGACGTGAAGCCTTACACTGCTCGTTTGCTGTTGTCATTCCGCGAAAGGAATTAAATTATCAATCGGTCAATCTTCAATTGCTTTAAACGTGTTCTATTTAGTTTGCTTCCATTTTCTGTCTTTTTGTTTCTGTGTTGTCACACACGAAATCAGTAAAAATTGAAATACTAAGTATATAATACAATAAATATAACATGAGGTTCAAACCCGGCGTGCTGTGTTAGCTTGCGTAATTGAAAAAGATTCAAAACCAGTAGACGAGATTTGCTCGTTCGTTCTGCTTTTTATTCTCTATCGATAAAATATTTACTACATGTAAAATTTTTATTTATTTTGTTCTTTCTGTTACATAAAAACAAAAAAGATATTTTCATTGTTTTGTTCAACTGTGTTCTGTCGCTATCGATATGTAAGTGCATAACGTGTTGCTTTTATTGCATAACGAACTAAAAGTTGTTAACAATAATAAATAAAATCAAGTGGAGAGAAGAATTCTTTCTTTAAATGTAGAAATAAATTTAAGAAAAAGGGACGAACGATTCATGCAATTTCTGTTCTCCGCTTTCTGAGACTTCAAAAACTTTTCTTCTTCTGTTTTATCGGCATTTCAAGTGCTTTTTTCGGCCAAAGCGTGTTTCAAATACATTCTAATCAACTTTCCTGAACATTATTTTCAAGAATACAATTACGTTCATTTAAGTAAAATTTGTTATGTAAAATACTTTGACAACTCATATTGAATAACAGATTTGCTAGGTCTCAGAACCTTCCGGAGGAAAAGAGTAAACAAATGTTGAAAGATTGAGATTGACGTTAGACGAGAAAAGTTTATTCGGCGCGTAGATCATTCACGAATTATTTTTCTTTTTCTTCTCTCTCTCTCTCTCTCTCTCTCTCTATTCACTGTAATAAATATAAATGTAAATGGTATCATCTACCTGTTTATACCTATGACTTCATCATTTTTAAGGGAATCAAAAAACATGTTGATTAAAAGAACGAATGAAGATGAATTTAATGCAAATAAATAGGTATGACTTTGAACTTTTCGAATTCATCTTTAATTGCATTCTGTCGATGACACGAAATTTTAAGCAGCTTTAATACAAAATATTTAAGCTTTAAAGAAAGAAAGTTTTTACATGTTTGTGTACGATTTCTTTACTTACTATTCAAAGCACAATATTTATTTATAATTTGTAGAAATGTAATCTCTTCTTTTTTTCGTTCTACATCAGCACAATGAATCGACATGTGTAAATTTGCATTCGTAAATAACTAAGCAAGAATTGACGACTGTTTTTCTTTCTTATGTAATTTTAATTATCCCGTACTACAAAAGATTATGCAATAAGAAAAAAGTTCCTACTTATTCACTTCTTTGAAATTCGTGGTACTTTTCCATTGCGTCCTTAAATCTTTCCTAATTGATATTAAGTAATTATGATTTATTTTTCAATTTCAAATTGGCTATTCATAATCGATGAAATGGTTTCAGTTTTATTATTCAACGAGATAATTGTTGTTATTTTTCTTGCTTCATTTTCCAAATATCTTATTTATCACACATTCATATTAGATAGCTATAAGTACCTAAAACACATTTCAATATTATGATAAAGACTCTGAAGCAATATTTAGTTATATAAATAACTGTTCCTGATTGAAAGATATCAGATTATAAGGCAATCAGAAAGATATCGGTGTCAGTGTCTTTAATATTATTCATTGATTTTAGTTTTCTATTATTGAAACGATTACGTGTTTATACACCGAGATGGAGGAGGATGACGATAAAGCTGATACCAAGAGGAAATCCCGGAATCTTAGTGAGAAAAAGCGGCGCGATCAGTTTAATTTATTGGTCAATGAGTTAAGCTCGATGGTTTCAAGTAACAGTCGTAAAATGGATAAATCGACAGTGCTAAAGTCAACAATAGCATTTTTAAAAAATCATAATGGTAATAAATATTAGAATTCATTTCGATATGAAGACAAATGTTTCTTTATTACATCTCAGAAGTTGCTGTTCGGTCAAGAGTCCACGAGATTCAAGAGAATTGGAAGCCATCCTTTTTACCAAATGAAGAATTTACTCATCTCATTTTAGAAGCATTAGATGGCTTTATTATCGTTTTCTCAACGTCAGGGAAAATACATTACGCATCCGAAAATATCACATCGCTTCTAGGACTTTTTCCTGTACGTTACTCGCTTACTTGTTGTGTGTTGTTCATTGTATTCGTTTATCTTTTTAAATTTATACCAATCTTAGAATGATCTCTTAAACATGACAATTTACGACATGGTATACGAAGAAGAGCAACAAGAGATATACAATATTTTATTGAACCCACCAAAGACTGTGATTGATTCACTTCAGAGAGGAATCAGTTCGGAAAATCAAGTTTCCTTCTTGTGTCATGTTCGGCGTGGTTTACTTAAGAATTCTTTGGAAATTTCATACGAATATGTTCAATTTTCTGGATATTTTAGTGAGTTTTATTACCCACTCATGTATTAATGTTTGATAAAATTAATTTTATGAAATAGGAGATAATGTAGATGTAGATAACATGATGTCAACAAGCAGATACGGAAGTTTCTCGGGAGAAGCTTTCTTTGTTGGTACTGGTCGATTAATGACACCGCCTTGGACGCCGCAACTGATTCGTGATATGTCGATTGTAGACACAAATAGTGAATTTACATCTCGACATAGTCTCGAATGGAAATGCTTATTTCTTGATCATCGAGCTCCACCCATCATCGGATATTTACCATTTGAAGTGTTAGGCACATCGGGCTACGATTATTATCATTTTGATGACCTTGATCGAATTGTCGCATGTCACGAAGCACGTAAGTTGTTGTGTTAAACAAGCGAAGAAAAGTTTATGACTTTCTACTGATTTATATTTTAATTCGAAATTCAGTGATGCAGAAAGGCGAGGGAACTTCATGTTATTATCGATTTCTGACAAAAGGTCAACAATGGATCTGGCTTCAGACACGATTTTATATAACTTACCATCAATGGAATTCTAAGCCTGAATTTGTCGTATGCACACATCGTGTTGTGAGTTATGCTGATGTGATGAGACATATGAAGAAAAGCGATGGTGCAACAATAAAAGATGTTGATGATATTGACAGTACAGCAAAAGATAAGAAAGCTTTACCATCAACGTCAACTCTCATGGTAATGTCACCGTGGAGTTCGAAAAGTTCAAGGGCTTCAAAGACATTTGCACACACACAAGAATCGTCAAGCTTAAAGCCAAAACGTTTTTCTTATCGTCCCGACTCCGATTCTGCTACTTCCATGTCGGCAGACTCGCCATTAAGTCATCATTCAAAGTTGACACAAAACAGTTCAGTCAGCCAAGTAAGTTATTTCATGTACATAAATTTATTGATTTACATTATACAATACTGAATTGCTTTTTTCTTTTCTTTTTTTAGCGCTCAAGGTCCAAACAGAATATGCAGATATCGAAGGCACTAAGTGGAAATCAACAACAGCAGCAACATCCACAACATCATCAACAGCAACATTCTCATTTCAGTCAATTCAACTTACCACAAACTCAAGTCTCTTCACAACATTCACAAACAAATAATCAACCGAATTCACAAGCACTTTCACTTTGTCCACCCACATTGGCACCACGAATGATTCCTCATCATCAACAAGCAAGTGATCAACTAGTGACACCATTCCTAGATCAATCTCAATACTTGACGGCTATTCCTGTTCAGCCAGTCTTTCCTGCCACTGCAACTGTTATTTCACCAATTCAACAAGCACCGGAATATTCGTCGCCAGGTATCGTTTTCACGCCTACTCAGAATCGAATTCAAGATCATCTCCAAAGGAAGCATGAAGAAATACAAAAATTAATTGTTCAACAGCAAGAGGAACTTAGAAGGGTGTCAGAACAATTGTTTATAGCACGTTATGGCATGCTTCCAACAGCTGTTAACGTGACTGTTCCATTTGTGACACCAATGGATCAACCAGAATGTATTGACATTAGTCGTTGTATAAGTACATCGTCACATGCTTCGTCATATCATGATTATCAACCTCAAATGATTCATCCATCGACGACGTCTGGTCAACAACAAGTGAATAATCCCCAAATGCACATTCAACCTCCACATTCAACGATGCATCCGCCTCATGTTCCAATACAATACGAAATGAACCCGCAGAAATCAAACACAATTGAGAATATGGAAGCAGATCAGCAGAATGAAGATATCATGCAATATATGCAGCTTCAATTTCAAACACTTCAACCTTCAAATTCCCACCAAATGTCTCAACAAATACAACACCAACAAATCATCACTCACGATGACTTTGAGCTAATGCCATACCAGATGATGCAGCAACAAGCTCAAATGTTGTTTACAAATGATAATAACAGTGAGAATACTAACAATAAGTGAAGTTGTAGTGCACAACTGACGTATATCATGATAGAATTAAGACAAAAAGGTTTTCGCATGGAGTAAAAGGAATAAATAGCTGTTTAGCAACTTAGTTTTGAGATTATGTTTGAGAATAAAACTAATCACTTATGAGTTTAATTAATTGACTTGATTAAACTTTATTTTAAATTTGTACGTCTTCACTCTTTAGAATATTTATTCGTAATGGTTGACAAAAGGGGTATACATAATATGTAAATTAGAACGAAGGGTGATAAACTATGCGAGTTTGTTAATCGTACATTCGTACTCTCAACACTCCTCCTCAAACTAGCAATAGTTTGAATCTCGATTCTCTTGTTCCTTTAGGTCGATCATCATTCCGAGCTCTCTTAGTATCTTGATCTTATTACTTGAGAGTGGTTTCGTCAGCATGTCAGCAACGTTGAGATCGGTTTGAACGTATCTCAAATTGATCTTCTTCTTGTCTACTAGATCCCTGATGAAATGACATCTCGTATCAATGTGTTTCGTTTTTTCGCTGAAACTTTGATTCGCAATCATCGTCATGCAACTTTGACTATCAGTTTGGATGGTGATAGAATCTGGGATCTTCATGTCGAAAGCTTTTGCAATTTCACGCAGCCATAATACTTCTTTACAAGTTTCTGATAGTGCGATGTATTCTGCTTCACAAGAAGAAATTGAACAATTATCTTGTTTCTTGCTGCACCATGTAATTGCTCCTCCGTTAGCAAAACAATAGAAACCAGTGATTGATTTTCTATCTTTTGTATCAGATGCCCAACTTGCATCTGAATATGCTATCAGACTTTCTTGAGCTTCCTCTGCATTTAGTTGTAATTTTAAATGCTGAGTCATCTTGAGATATCGAATGATTCTTCTTACTTCGTTGAGATCATAATCAGAAGGACTTTGCACCTTTTGACTCAAGATTCCGACACTGACAGCGATGTCTGGTCGTGTGTTTGTGCTGAGATACAGCAACATTCCAATGAGTTTTCGATATTCCTCATTGTTTTTCAACGGTTTTCCTTCATTACTGAAGTATCCAGTATCTAGCGGATGCTTAGAGCCTTTTGCGTTTTCCTGACCTGCTTCTCTAACAATTTTCTCAATGTATCTTGGTTGAGAAATCATGAACTTATTTTGTTGTCTCACAATATCAATTCCTAGATAGTGCTTTACTCCTCCTAAGTTCTTGATTTCGAAATGTTTTTCCACGCTCTTCATGAGATGATACATGAAGTTTGCGTTGTTTGTTGCTATAAGTATATCGTCAACATGAATGAGGATGTAACAAACTTTTCCGTTTTCCTTAAGGGAGTATAAACATCTATCAGTTTGGTTTTGTACACAATTATATTTTGTGAGAACTTCATGAAATGTTTTGTTCCACGCGCGTGCAGATTGTTTAAGTCCGTAAATAGCCTTCTTCAATCTGAGAGACTTTCCAGCAGCTGCTGTCATTCCTTGTGGGTATCGCATGTAAATTTCTTCTTTAAGTTCTCCGTTTAAAAATGCTGTTTTCACGTCATATTGATATACGTCGTATTTCCTTTTTCCGGCAACAGATAACATGAATCTTAGTGTTGCACTTCGTATTACTGGAGCGAAAACTTCATCATAATCGATTCCATATTTTTGTGAGAATCCCTGGGCGACCAGTCGAGCTTTTCTTTGTGCAATTATTCCTGTATCGTCGTATTTTAATTTGAAGACCCATTTGCATCCAATAGGTGAACGATTTTGTGGAACAATTGATGGTTCCCATGTATTTTTCTCAATCAAAGAATTCAGTTCCTCCTCCATGGCAATTATCCACCATTTAGAGTAAGAACAATGTAAAGCTTCTTTGTAGGTTCTTGGTTCAAATCCTTCCTCCGTACTATCAGCTTTATATAGCACAAAATCACCAAATCTTTCGGGCAATTGGCCAAGATTTTGTCGTTGTGATCGTCGTGGTAATTCCTCCATTGGGTTTGGAGTATTTTCTTCTTCCTCTGCGTCTTGAAAGTCGTCAGAGTTTTCTGATAGGACGGAGTCATTATTTTCCTCTCTTGTTTGAGAGTCGAAAGAAAATTCTGGCAAAATTACATCTTGTAGATTTTCTTTTTCCTTTTGAGTTTCAGGTTCAAGAGTTGAGATTGTGTTTAGAAATTTTACTTCCCGACTAATAACAATTTTGTAGTTTTTGTTAATTAATCGGTATCCTTTGGCGTTGAGATCATGTCCAACAAACTTTAGCTTAACAGCTTTTTCATCTAATTTCCGTCGATGTACATCAGGTATTTGTGAATATACATCACAACCAAATTCATGTAAGAGTTCCATATTTGGTTTTTTATTAAAAATTCCTTCATATGGTGAAGTTCCGGTCATAGCTGTTGGGAGTCTATTGTAGGAAAATGCAGCATAAGAAATAGCTTCTCCCCACAAGAATCTTGGTAGATTTGATGCGAAAAGCATTGTTTTTGCAGATTCCACGAGTGTTCTGTTCATTCTTTCGGCCATTCCATTTTGTTCCGGAGCGTAACCGACAGTGCACTCATGTTTTATTCCTTCTTTTTCGAAGTATGTTCTTAAAGTTTTATTTAAATATTCCAGACCTCGATCTGTTCTTAAAACTTTTGGTTTTGTTTTGAATTGTGTCTTTATATTTTCCACATATTTCATAACTTCATGCGCAACTTCTGATTTTTCTTTGACAAAAGCGACCTTGACGTACCTTGTATGAGCATCAATGAATGTTATGAAGTATTTATTTCCACCCAAGTTTGTTGTTTGCATTGGTCCACAGACGTCACTCACCACCAAGTCGAAGCATTGATTTGTTTTTGTTGCTGAAGTTGGAAATGGTCGTCTCGACATTTTTCCTCTAATGCATGGTTCACATACATCAGAGTGATCACATTTTTTAATTTTTATTTGATTTTTCATTCCTCGTATATCTTCAAGGTTCCTATGTGCAAGCTGTTTATGCCAGTCATGTACACATTTTCCTTTACTAACGAGTGCTTTTCCAACGACTGATAATAGATACAAGCCATTGTTACTACTTCCTATAGTGCAAGTGTGATTGTCAACTATTATTTGACAAACTGATTCCTTAAACACTACAGTAAAACCTTTTCGAGTCAAACTTCTAACTGAAATTAAGTTATCACTAAGATTTGGAACGAATAAAACATCATTGAGTGTAATTTCAATTATTTTTCCACTCGCAAAAATGTTTAGTTTAATTGTTCCTTTTCCTACTACTGACACTGTATTTCCATCAGCAATAGTGATTGTGCTACTGTAAGATTCCATTGTAACAAAAGAATTTTTATTGTTACACATGTGATGAGTTGCACCTGAATCAATGCACCAAATATTTTCGATATTAAAATTCCTCTTATCATTATTACTGTAAAAACAAGAGTTTCCTCGTTCCAATCGTTGAGCGACTGATAAACCTTTGAATCGATCAACATCTTCCAGTTCAGCTTCAGCTTTTTTCTTTTCCCATTCTTCAATGATAGCACCTCGAACATTTTTAATGGTGATATTGTCTGAATTCCAAGCTTCGATTGCTGTGACGAGATTTCCGTACACACCGCTCACGCTTCCAAGTATGATTGCACAAGCGAATTTTTCCTTGAGTGGTTCATCTTGTTCACTCAAGTCATCTATCCATTTTGCGATTTTATTCATATGATCGCGCATGTTTTCTTCCGGCTTGAACCGTAATGATGTTAAATTGCGAATAGTTCGCATCTGAGCGCCTGCCGTACGGCGTTGATACATGGTTTTAAATTCATTCCATGCTTCCTTTCCGGTCTTAGACTTTTTGATATGAACGACTTCTTTTCCTTCAACGTGTAAGGCGATAAGTTGACGAGCCCGTGATTCTTTATCTTTCCAGATTTCTGCTGTAATTCCTTCAGGTCTTGCTTCACTTTCAATTGTAATCCAAACATCTTTAATTTCCAGAATGGCTTGCATTTTGAAAGCCCATGTTGAATAATTTTCACCGTTCAAGTGTTCGATTTGGAAAGTATTTGTTTTCGATTCCTTTTCCATTTTAATTTCCTTGAAACGGCACTTGAAAAATAATTATTCGATGATACAAGCAAAAAATTTTTATGTTGAACAAAATTGCAGGTTATCTGGATGTTGGTTGCACTTTTCCGAATTACACGTTTTTGATACAACAATTTTAATTTCGTAATTGTTTGACTTCTTTGATGTAATCGAGTTCTCCTGGGCCCATAACCTTTTGAGATTATGTTTGAGAATAAAACTAATCACTTATGAGTTTAATTAATTGACTTGATTAAACTTTATTTTAAATTTGTACGTCTTCACTCTTTAGAATATTTATTCGTAATGGTTGACAAAAGGGGTATACATAATATGTAAATTAGAACGAAGGGTGATAAACTATGCGAGTTTGTTAATCGTACATTCGTACTCTCAACACTTAGGCTAAGTGTAAATGTTTCCATGTGTTTCCTGATGATGTCCCACAGACAACAGTGTTGATAAGTATCTTGTAAAGAATTAGTTTAAACAGATGAGTAAAAGAATATTGTTGAATTTAGAAAGAGGTCAAAGTGACAATTTCTCTGAAATGTAAGCTAATTTTCAGCAATTCAAAGTCATGATAAATCAATTTCACTTATAGTGAACATGAAGTGAATAAATATAACTCAAAATATGGTTTGACAAAAAAGAAGATTTTAATTTATTAAGAAATTAAGAAAAAAAAATAATTTTCAATTTTATTTAGGTACTTTTTCGCTCTTAATTTTGCAACGTTTTTCTCTCGAATTTGAATACTTTTCAAAAGTGAATCGGTTATTTCAGACTTAAATCGGTTATCATCAAAGAGAGTTACGAAGATGTGAATTCTTTAATTAAATGTTCATTTGAAGAATCATTTGCGGGAAGTATCATCAAATATTTTCTCGTTTAAAGTCAACATAAAAGTTCTAAACTTTATTAAGAAACTGTACGCAAAGAAGAATCCATAATTTAAGTAAGTAGTTTTCAATCTTGCAATAACCGAGGCTACGTTTACTGTTTTCTATTGAAACTCATTTAGTTACATAATGCTTCTCATATGAGCCTACTTTTCAAGGACAAAATGTCAAATTTTTCTCTCCTTATCGTAGTACACTATAAAAAAATATCAGAAAGTTTAAAAATGGAATTTGAACAAAATATCACAAATAGTTTTCAAGATACAAAAGGCTGGGCATACCTTTGTCCAATGTTCTCAGATTCACTTGATCCAATCAAGCTTGTTGGTGACATTTCATTTTATGGAAGGGGATCACATGAAAGTGTAACAGAAGGATTTATTTTTACTGCCGAGCATTTGAAACGTCACTTGGAGGTCATTAGCAGAAATCACTTCTGGATTCAAAGAGAACGTTCATCTGGAAACGAAATAAATTTGAGTCCAGCTGTTCTTCATGTAACGGGAGCAAACGGTTTACATCTGAATTTTGAAAAGCTTTCAAAAGGCAGTTGCAGAATATTAAAAGATCGAGACGTCATTAAACTGTTTTTGGATTTCAGCTTGTTTATTTTTATGGACAGAAGAAACTTTGAAACTAATGGCTATCCTGAGCTCTTACTAGATAAATACTACTTTGGTTCTATAATTGGAAGTGGTGGTCAGAGCTCAGTACGCGCTGCCTATGATAAGAAAGCTTCGACAAAATTTGCTGTCAAAGTGCTTTCAAGAGTAAAAAATGATTGGGAATCTGAGTACGGATTTTTCAAACGTATTCAGCATGTAAGTTTTCAACTGCTTAAATAATAAATTTCTTAGGTTTACCTTATTTTTTATTTAGATGAACGATGAGGTACGTGTAATGAGAACATTGAATAATCCAAACGTCATCAAATACGTTGCTGACTTTGTCCATAACAAATACCTTTTTATCTTCATGGAATACGCTGATTGTGGCAGCTTACTTGATCTAATAAATGAATATCCAAACAATCTCATACCCGAATCAAATGCAAAATTTTTCTTGGCACAAATATGTAAAGGCCTTTCAAAGGTCCATCAATTGAAAATTGCACATAGGGATATCAAGGTTGAAAATATTTTCATTAAGTCATTAAGAGTCGACTCAAAAATTGAGCTTTTGTTGAAAATCGGCGATTTTGGTTTTGCGCGACCGTCTGATGAAACTTTACTCACTCAGCTTGGAACAAAATTTTATTTGCCACCTGAAATTATGGATTTAAATGGAGAGTATACGATCAAAGCTGATATTTGGTCATTGGGATGTTTGTTCTTTTCATGTTTGGCGGGATCTTATCCATTTCATGATGAATACGGAACATTTATGAGAGAACAAATTAGAACTGCAAACATAAATTTCTCTAATACGAACCTTTGGGGAAAGGTGACTACTTTTTCTTTTCTTCTTAAATTTTATTTTTTTTCTTTCAGATTCCATTGGCTAAAGACTTGATTAAAAATATAATTCAAGTCGATCCGGAATCACGTCCAACTGTTGACGAAATTTTAAACAACATATGGTTCACTGGTGATTGTAACTTACGTTGTCGATTACAGCAATTATACCAGCTGTACAATAAGCAGCAAATCCAAATCCAAAATCTTGAGGATGGAGAACCTCAAGAAAAAATGCAAAAATTATCTATTTAATATGACATTCAATATTTTTCGACGTCTTAAAAGTTTTTTAGTTATTTTCTTGTTGAAAATTCTAGTTGTCTTGATAAATTTAATTTTAATATAACCATAATAAAGACCTAATTTAATTAAATATTTTGGAAAAAGTAATGAAATGAGCTTTTCTGTTATCATTAAAACTTACCTGAACTTTAACGAATTCAACAAATTTAAATTCAAATTTCATTTTCCATTTTGTTTCATTTCAAAGTGTTCAACTTCAGTGTCTTTGATTCTATTACCGGCATATTTGTAAACAAAACAAAAATAATAATTTAAACGCTTCTAACTGTAAACAACAAGCATCGTAAAAGATTACATCGAAATGGAGAACTTCATTAAAGAACTGCCAAAAATTGTAAGCTTCAACCTTATATTTTATCTGAGGCTTCATTAATTATAATTTTATCATTTTAATCCTTTATCGATTTATAGGAATTACATTGCCACTTAAATGGAAGGTAAGATTCTACATCTTTATTCATTATCTCACCTATTAACAACTTTGTTTTCTAGCTTGAGTGATGAAACGCTTTGCAAACTCGTAGAACTTAAGCAAGAATCTAATCCAGATTTTGAAAAGCCTGAAATAATTAATTATAGTAAATTTCGTTCTCTTGCTGAATGCTTTGAAGTTTTCAAAATTGCTCATGACTTAGTTGACACCATAGAAGCTGTTAAACTTGCAACAAAATGTGTAATTGACGAATTTTCAAAAGAAAATGTGATTTACTTTGAACTGAGAAGTACACCAAGAAAAACTCCAAACATGACGAAATTGGAATATTTACATGCAATCATTGACACAATCATGTAAGTTAAAGTGGCTTATGTAAATTCACTAATGTATGTTAAATTTAATTAAAGAACATGCCAACAAAGTCATCCTAAAATTGGTGTGAAATTTATTCCATCGCTCGGTCAACATTTCTTATGGTGTCAGTGAAGCTTTAGAAAATTTTCATTTATTTTCAAAGCTACACAATGAATTTCCTGAAATTATCAAAGGCATTGATTTGAATGGTGACCCAACAAAAGGAAAATTTCAAGATTATCAAGAAATCTTTCAACAAGCTAGAACGGAAGGGTTCGGCATTACGTTACATTGTGGCGAATCTGAGACGCATGATGACGAAGAAGTTCTGAATATGCTTAAATTTATGATGCCAGGAGATCGAATCGGACATGGAACATTTATTGATGGTGAGAAGAAATATTTTAATTCTTTAAAATCTCAGCCTGATTAATGTGAGACTGGTTTGACTTTTTTTATTTCTTGTTCAAAATATCTAAATAGAATCTAATTTAGAAGCTTGGAAAATTTTGTTAATGAAGCAAATTCCCATTGAGATTTGCCTGACGTCAAATGTGCTGTGTAAAACTGTTCCATCTTATGACGATCACCATATGGGAAAATTCTTAAAGATGAATCATCCAATCGTGATTTGTGTAAGTCTTTGAAGAAGCTTTTTGGAGTTTCCATTTATTTTTATCGTTATCTATGTAGACCGACGACTATGGCGTGTTCAAGACGAATCTCACCAATGAGCTCAGAATTTGTTCCGAAACTTTTGGCTTAGACAAAGAAAATCTGATTGATTTATCACTAAACGCGGTCAGCTACAGTTTTGCCAATAAAAAGGAGAAACAAGAAATGAAAGAAGAAATCGAGAATTTTAAAAAGAATAAAATGTTTTAGGACATGTTTATCGTTCGCTTCAAAATAAAAAGCATTAGAAAAATAAAATCTACCTATTCAAATTTAAAAATAATTTTGCTCTTTCAGCTGTTTAAGAAAAATGATTTGCTTCTTCTTAAGAACGAGAATGAAATCAACTTGATTAACATTTTATTATTGAACCGGTGAGAACTTTATTGATTATCGATCGAAGATCATCTTACCCGAAATTATTATTAAAGACGTCTTATAGAACTAATAAATTTCTGTCAATTTAAATACTTAGATATTTGTCTACTCAATTCAATCTGCAGTAACTAGAAATAAATTCCATGTTGATATTTAAATTTAGCAGCATGAACAGCGCTTTGCTTTTTGCTGTAAACTTTTGGATGTTATTTTGTTAAGGTTGAAAGGTTTCAAAATAAATGCGAAAAATATAATTTTTATAGTCAATTAAATCTAATTCTATGACAAATTAAAATTTCAACACGCTTTTGGGTACATAAATTGCTGAATAATGTGGTTCTAAATATTGCTTACTTATTTTTTATTTTAATCTTGTAAAAAGCAAGAAAATCTTCTTACAACGAAACAATTCAACTTAATTAGATTTAAATCTTTCATTCTTCTCGATTCACTTAATAAATCGGCTGCTATCGATTTTTTTGTCATGAAAAATATATATCGTGAATATATTAGCACCAGCAACGGAATAAGTTGGATAAATACCTAAAAAATAAAATTTACATAAGCGAAAAAGAAATAATCACGTTATATGAAGAAGGCCCGGAAGGTTGCTGCTAACGGAGATATTTTTATGTACGTAGTCGCCAACAGGAAAATTCTTAAAGTCCAAAAATGATCTTTAAATCTTAATTGTTCACATTAGCATAATTAAAGACGTGGAAATCACCATGCAAGCTTTTGACACACTTTTCTCGGACGCTTTCGCTTTCTAACTTCAAAAATTCTTTGGTGGCTTCGGGATTGTGTAAACAAGTTCCAATATTCGATTATTTACTTATGTACAATGTGAGTCTCGTGTAGCGTAACGGTGTTCGCGGTGTGGTACAGTTTTGTGAACAGCCTTGAATGTCAGCTGATAGAAGAGACAATCTGAATGTTTCCAGTGAGAGAGACAATGTCTCATATTAAAGCCAGACGTGTAAAAATTATGTTAATCCAAAGATGAAGTCATGAGCTAATTAAATTTAGTAGAATTCTGTTACCCTTCGTTGTTAATGGAACTTATAGGTGGAACGGGCACATTGCGAAATCATCTAGCAAATAAAAAAGTGTTAAAGCTCATGCTATTTTTAATTTATGATCAACAGCATTCGCGCACATGCTTAAGCATTCCATTAAATTAAATAAGTTCAAAAGTTAATAATCTTTAAAATTCCCCTTCAACAATCGATCATAATTATGTGACAAGAATTGTAAAAAAATGCTTTAAACAAATTCAAGCATAAATACCTGAGATTATTCTAATGATGTCGTCAAGCACATTTGATCATTGATCGCTTCCGTGTTTTCTCATGTATGGCTAATTCATAAAACAGAAAAAAAAATGTTGAGTTTGTGTGTTTATGCACAACAAGCCTCGATTCTCAATTTCGTCTTCGTTTAAGCCACTTGGTCTCTATCTCTGACTCTCTCTCCTTCTCTCTCTCTTCGACAATAGCAGACAAGTTGAACATTAGTTTGCTTTAGAACGCCAATGTGTTAACATCTTGTTGTTTGCGTTTCGCGAGAATAAAATTATTTTGAAACCATCGCAATTAAGCGGATTTAGAGTTTTTATATCTGATTCGATGTTTCCATAATGTTAATGTTGAGACTTTTATTAACTGCTTTAGCGATAGTGATTAAAATAAATACTGTGATAAGTTTAAGAAACGAAACTGTTGTAGACCCATCAATATCATGGTTTTTAAAATACACGCCACTTGTTGATTTGACGGATATTCCTGAAATAAATGCACAGTGTCGTAATGATTTTCAAACATTCTTAATTGCCATGGAGAACCTCGAGTTGTGGGCTTTGAAAAGTGAGAATATTCTTGAGATGATAAAAATTAAAAACAATTAACATTGTTTGTTTTAGTGCATGACGCAACTGCTAAAATTCCGAGTGGCATTTTCAACGGCAACATGAATCAATATGGCGATTATGATCAGTGTCTAAACACTGTTTCACGTTCTGAAAGCTTTCAAGGAAAATATTGCATTGCTTACCTCCAGCCGCGATCAAAAAGTGGCGCTATGAGAGATCTTCTAAAGCTCGTTCAATCACACGAGTTCTTTAAAAGCAATTTCAATGATGTTTGTATATTATTTTTCTCTGACATTTAACTTATCTCTTTCTATCTAGCAACAAACAATTCTCACAAATGTTTCTGATAAAAAAAAGCAAAACCAGTTAATGATAAAAACCAAATAAAAATTTCTCTCTCAGTGTGGTCACAGAACGCCCCGATTTTCGCATATAAATTGGGCTGTTTGCATACCTTCAAGTTGTTCTCACGAGGATCTTGAGCATGGCATCAAAGCTTTTCTTAGAAAGTATTCAGAGAAGTCAGACATAATCATCGATGTCAAGGTCGATAAAGAAATGTGTCAGCTGAAAAAGGATTTAAATCTAACCGGACTAGATAGTGCTACGAAACGTGTTATGTAAATCAAAATCAAAATCTTTTTTCGTGAAACAAAAAAAGGAATGCAATCTGATCTTGTTTTCCTTCTTCACAGAATGCTCTGCTTTGCGGTGCTGCTTTTATGTGGGTTCTGCACAATCTACGACATAAAGGTTAAGACGAACAAAAGTATGTATAAATTAATTAAAAAAGATTAGCCAATGCAGATCAGAACGTTTTTAATTTATTTAGATGAATGGTTAATCGCTTTTTCGGTAACTAAGAATATTCAAGATTTGCTAAATGTCGATGATAATCCAAATGAGATTCAAACAGTTCACGGCATTCGGTTTTTGAATGCCATGGTGTTAATGTTCACGTAAGTTGATAATAATATTTAATCAAAAGGGTTATTTCATTCATCTATGTGTACTTATGAACGAATGTTGAATTTTCAAAATATTTTCATCTGTAGACATAAATCTATGGCAATACTCTTCAATCCATTTATAAATCGCACCGAGATGACAAAGCGATTGGCTAATCCATTCCTGCTTGTTTACGCATCAGCAGCATCACTTTACACTGACATCTTTTTAATGCTGAGTGGTTTACTTACAACTTACACACTTATCGGACGATTGCAAAAAGGTCGGAAGATCGTCATTTGGCGTGAATTACTTGATCGATATGTTCGAATTGTTCCTTCGATAATCTTCCTGATTCTCTTCTGCACTTATATTCTGCCACTCCTTGGCTCGGGTCCAATGTGGAATCTTGTTGTGACATCTCATTCTGACATCTGTAAAAAGCATTGGTGGCGAAATCTTCTCTTCGTTCAGAATTGGTTCGGCTACAATTCAATTTGTCTAACAAACACGCACCACACTGGAATTGATATGCAACTATTTATTGTCGCGATATTTCTCACAATCGGATTGTGGAGGTGGCCGAAACGGGGAATTCAAGCAATTATTGGTCTTTCGATTCTTTCAACAATCGCGAGATTTTACGTGACAATCACACATGAGCTTTCCATTCATATCTTTTTTGGAATAAGTCTTTCGAAGATTGCTGAAGTTGCCGATCGAATGTACATTATCCCACCATTTCGCTTTACAGTTTATTCAATGGGAATGCTTCTAGGTTACATTTTGAGAAGGCACAAAGACTCTCAAATGACGCCAAAGCAAGCAAAGCTTGGATGGACATTCGGATTTCTTGCCTTCTTCATCACACTTTTCGTGTCAATTCGAATGAATTTTCCCGATTACAAATATAACAGCTTTGAAGCTGCTTTATATGCTGCATTTGCGCCAGCATCGTGGTGTGTCTTATCAGCATGGATAATCTTTGCATCAGAGAAGGGATGTAACAGTAAGCAACATAAATTAAATTAATTCAATTAACTTTCACTTATTCGCTAATATTTGTCATCAATTTAGATCAAATTGTGCAACTCTTCAAGATGAAGATTCAGAGGATCTTCACGAAGATATCTTACGCAATTTATCTCACACAATTTCCAATTTTTTTCTACAACGTTGGTAAAGTGCGCAACGCTGAATACTTTGAATTCATCAAGTTGATGGTGAGTGCTTTTAACTTATTTAAACATTCACTTTTTATTTCTCTCTTTTGTTTTGTTTTTTGTTTTAACAACTGCAGTACAACGTTGAAGAGTTCAGCAGTATTATCATCTGTTCACTGGCATTGCATCTGTTTATTGAAGCACCATTCAATAATGTTCGTAAAATTATCTTTGATAAAAAACCTATCGCTACCAAAAAGATTGATTAATTGACGCCATAAACATTTAAGTTCTTTTTATTGTGTTTTTATTTTGTGTTGTTCGCTAATAAGTTTCTCTCGAGTCATTTATGAAATAAAATAAAATGAAAAGAACGCTTTAAAAACGTGATTCAATATTGGATATTAAATCACGTGAGATTGCACATCGGTTTTGATGGAAAATTATTATTATTGTTTTTTAAATACATTTCACCTTCATAACAAATATTTTGATAAGTTTATGAGTTGATTCTTTAGAATTTAATAATTTATAGATAAGCAAGATTATGTTCAGAAAAAAAAATCATTTTAACGCGCAATAAATATTTTTTCATTGAAATTCGCAACTACAAAAAATGTTTAATCAGCGAGCTTAAATATTTTATTTCCAGTTGAAGTTTGTCTACTAAGAATTTCATGAACATATCAAATTAGCAACAAAAGATGTTTCTACGAAGACTACACCTGCTAAGTAAACGACAGCTCGTCGTCTTCTCTTCTTGGACATATAAGAACTTGTTTGGTAGCATTTTGAAAATTAAGCGGTCATTGATGACATTATGATGATGATCAAGTGATTGTGGGACGGATTGTAGAATTCTTACCATTTAATTTAAAGAAGAAAAATTGATTTTTGATTCTTTAACAATAAATTTTGTTCAAGAATTTTTTTAAAAATTCTTCCTGACCACCATCGAATAAGCAAAAAAATAAACAAATAAACATCAAAAAGAATAATCTGAACTTCTTTGTGAAAGATGGAAAGAAAAAATCAAAACTATAATAAAATATCGTCTCCTCCTATTTTTTCTTTGTTTTTGTCATGTCATGCAATGAGCCGGTTTCGTTATTGCCAAATAACGTCGCACACGTGGGGAAGTAAACAAATCATCGAATAAAAGCGAAAGTAAAGAAGACAAGTCCGTTGCATGACGTGTTTGTTTGTTCAATTACATATGAGTAACATCACGAATCTTAAATAATAACAATAATCAATGTCGATTCACTTAAATATTTTTCTTGAATGCATTATCCTTGGATGGATGAGTGATTGAAGACATTTACAAATGTTCCTGGTTGTTGTTTATAAGGAAATTACTTTGCAACTGAATTAATTTCATTAAGATGTTCGTTTTTTACTACTTCTCAACAACAACAACACGAAACGTAACCAATTCGATTTGAGAGAATAAATATTTTTAAGTACTTACAATAACGGCCTTGAGCCAATCATCTTAAGATGAAGAATGAATCGCTGTTAGTCATATATGTGTCATGTTTTTTTACAAGATTTGTGCTAACACTAGACAAAAAAGCGTCAACAAAGAAGTTCTTGTAAGAATATTTTGGCCTCATCATTTGTCAAGTGTTTATAATCTGAAGATTCTTCATCTTAGTACGAAATTTAAGACTTCTATGCGAAATGAAAGTGAATTGCTGTCAATGTGGAGGTAATTTGTGAATTTTATTAAATACCACATTGAACTTGTGAATTTTATTACCACATTGGTCTCAGTAATTTACCATCTCCCTCCTTCTTCAGCTCAACATGAAGCAAAACAGTTGCAAGTTCAAGTAGAGAAATGAAATCGAATCGCTGATGAAGTTAAAGATCGCAGTTTGGCATTGAAATTTCTACTAAAAAGTACGTTACCCTTTGTCTAATATTTCTATTGTAAATGTTAGGCATTAATCTTTTTATGACTTTCACGTTTCTGCAGATTCTGTATTGAAATTATTTTTTTAAATTATTGACATATTTGAAAAACATTCTAATTTTTTGTTTACGAAAGGAATGGGAAAGAAAAAGGTCGTTTCAATGAGACAAAGTCGATTTAAGTCACCAAACTCGCACGTTTTAAAAGGCTTTTTTTGTTTCTTTGTTTCTTTATTTATTAATTAATTCCATCGAATAAACAGAATCATTTTTGTTGTAAAATATTTTTAAATGTAAAAAAAATTAATTAAAATTACAGAGAGAAGATTTTTTTTGTAGTTTTCTTAATTTACCTCACTTGGGGTCATTTAATACGCTGATTCACATATTTATGTACTTAATTACTTCAACATGATCATGAATAAAATTTATTGAGATTCTGATTTACAACCTGCAAGATAAAAATAAGTTTTTTTCGTCACAACTCAATTTTTTTTTGCGATTTGATTTAAATCCCAGTGAGGTTCGAGTTGTTCAAGGCACTCTTGGAGGGAGAAGTTTGACTTCAAATTTTGAAGTTTGCATAGCTTTATCGCTTTTTGTAGATCCCAGTTGATGAAGTCGAGAGTTAGCAAACATCTTTCTAATGTTATCTGTTGGAAATGAATAATTTTAAGCTTATTTTTGTGTCAAAGAAGTTTTCAACTCACCTTCATTCCAAACATTTTTATCATAATTCTCACTTCATCTGACTCTGCACCGCGTTCTCTTCCTTTCGGTTTCATTTCTGAGAAGTCGAGAAGATCTTCACAACTGACGTGGTTTATTGACTTTTTAAGTTCACATTCATGGCCAACGTCGAGTTCAACTTCGCATTCTTCTGCCATTGCAGCATTTTCAACCGATTCCTTAATTTTATTGAACAAGGCGTTGCTAGCCAGTTCATTGCGTGGCATTTTATATTTCGGATATTTCTGACTGAATTCAAGTTTTTTGGACTCGATGGCAGGGGAAGGCGCAACTTTTGATACACATTTCCTGTCTGAGGGTTTCTTAACTACGCCATCAAACGATTGCTTTGAACCACTTTCAAATACACAAAAACCGTCAACCATATCGTCAGTTATGTTCGGAACATTCTCGTCATTCTCTAATATCGATTCAAAATGCAATGACGCAGTGTCAGCCTCATCATGACATGAGAATCTCTTCTGAAATGCTTCAAGATTCTCATAAGTTCGATGACCATTATTTAAGTTGACGAGAGAATGTCGCGTTGCATTAACAGAAGCAGGAAAATTATTCTCGATAAATTCTTTTTCATAATTTTTCTCAACGAGACTCTTCACAGTTCCATAGTGATTGACATTCTCTTCGAATTCTTGTGAAATTTTTGTGTCGTTCTTCAAGTCTTCAAAGACATCGTCGTCGTCATCATCATCGTTGTCAATGTATGTCGGTGCTGGTATAGATGGAGGTTCACTTATAGGAAACACGTCCAACTTCTCATCAACCGGCGTAATTTGATTGATTTTATCCAAAGTTCTTTGGATGCCACTCGCTGGGATGATTAACGGATACTTCCGAACATGACGCTTCTGTGCAACATTCAACTGTAATTTACGATCTCTCGGTGGCAATGGCAAAGGATTATCTTCGATGGGTTTAATTTCAGCTTTTGGTGTTTCACTTGTCTCAATATTCAAGTTGAAGTTTCCTGCTGCGTTTGCCATGTAACTTGGAGTTTCGCAAGGATTCTCACAGTCGTGGTCTAGCAGGAAAGTCGTTGAGTTGACACTTTCACTACCAACTGATGGTAAAATCTTTAATCGCGGTTTACCGATAGGAAAGCTCTTGTCACGAAGAATCTTCAATGGACTTGACGTTGAAGGCTCGGAATCACCTCCTTTGTTTTTACGAAGAAGTTTGCTCAATGTAGCTGCTTTGTTAGATTGTTGATGCGTCGTCTGATCCGACGATATTGACCTTGGCAATGTCGATGTTCCATTCACTTCATTCTCATCTCTCTCGCCACATTTTTCTTCTAATGGAGCCATGAAGAGTAACTCTTTTGGATCTTCAACCAGAGACTTGTATGCCAATGTATTCTCAGGCGTTATCGTGCTCTATAATGCGAGACAAGAGAGAGCAAAAAAGGAAGGATCGACAGAGGATGTGGAAGGGAATTTTCGTGTTAAATGGAATATAATATGATGAAAAAAAAAATAAATAAAGACGAATGAGTAAAACTTTTATGAAAAGAAAAAATAAATGAAACGCATACAAAAGTAAACAAACAAAATCATAAAAAATTATCATAAGAAACGAGAAGAAGAAGAATAAAATTAATTTGCAACATTTGCAACACCGAGGCAAAATGTTTGTGCTTGAATTCTTCAAAATCAGATTCATTGCGTCATCATTGACTTGGTGTCGCTTTCCTTGATCGTCCAATTGAATGTAACTTTTTTTTTCTTTTTTATTTCTTCAAACTACTTTTTCCATCATTTTTAATGTTTAAGGTTTCTCTCTCCTTCTCTCTCTCTCTCTTTTTTTTCTGGGTTAGTAATGCTGTTAAAGTTATTGTGAGTTACAAATATCTTTTGTCTGTTAATAAATACTCAAATGCCACTAATTAATTTCCGGATATCAAAGATTAATTCAATTATTTATCAATTCAATGTGTTAATGAGAAAGAAAACTTTACAATTTTAATTAATACCACTAAAAAAATGAATTAAAGTTCGAGATAATGACAAAGAGAAATAATGTTTAATCACATTTAATTTCATTAACGTCTCTTTACAATGTTATTGCGCAAATTTAGAATTTCAATTTTGTTTTTCTTCTTGTGATGTTGTTGTTTAGATTCTGTACAAGTTTTCATGGAAAGATTTGTCATTTTGATCACAAACAACATTCGACTTGATTATTCATGTTTTATGTTTCGAATAAATTTAATTATGTTGCTAGCATTAAGAGAGAACATGAGTGGGAGTGATAGGAGGCTAATTAAATATCTGATTATCTTTGTTTTGATCACATTCGTCATGTTTCACATTTATCAAGCATCTGACTGAATGCTTCAATGAAAAGAAAAATTAAAACTAAAATTGAAGATTTTTTTTTGTTCACAAAAGTTTGAAATAAATCTGCTAATTAACAACATTTCGCTCATACATTTGTTTGTTGTGAGTTTTCATTAGCAGCTTTGCAAGCATCATTTGTAAACAAATGAATATTTAATAATCGGATTTACTATTTAGAATTCATAATTTATTTTTCGTTCATTTGTCAAACGAGAAGTCGAAGAATCCTCAAACATGCAACAACAGTTGCCAATTGCGAAAGAAGAATAATCACAATAACCGACTAAATTTTCTTAGCAAACCACAAAAATATCACTAAAAATCTACATTAATTTGTTATTAATCATTCATAGATTCATAATTGAGAATTTATAGATAATTGAGATGATGCACTTGATAATATATTGCGCGTAGCTATAGATAGTTAATTATGTTACATTATCTACTAATTAGAAATGTTTCACGAGGCAAATATATTCATTTCAATAGTTTCTTACTTCATAATACAAAATAGTTTTGTCCAACAAATTGTTTTATCGAATACTCTTCAAGTGGATATTTTATTTAAATGTTTTTTAAGAGAAATCAATTTTAAAGCGCTGCTGTCAAGAAAAGTTAATCTTAATTTATCTTTTCTTAAAAGATATGTGAAAGATAATTTGAAGAACTTTTTATTATTCTTCTTTATAATGAAAACAACGAAACTCATTCATTGTTATTTATATTTTTCAAATACGTCTTCAGATGCTTAGAAATTACGTCGTCATATGAGGGAAAAAATTTATGTCCACAGATAATAACAAACAACAAGTAAAACTTTTTCCTTCATCACTTCTAATCTCAAAAATTGAATCTTTTAAACTCTGACAAGTGTGGGAGGAAAAAGGGGGACATTAAATGTTTTCCAACAGTAAAACTTTTTCTTTGGGACGGAAATTCTAAACGCAAATCTGATTTTAAGGAGCGGGGCTTGGCGGCATAAATTCTTGATGACGAAAATTAAGAGAATCGTTTTCAGTGCTTGTCGAGTCACTTGAGTAAGTTGACTTCTTCATCTTAAGATTATCGATCATCATTCGTTTCTGTTGTTGTCGTCGTTCTTCCTTCTCCTGCATGTCTTGTTCATGTTGCTGCTGCAATTGTCTGATGAGATCATTTTGCTTCACTGTCGCGCCATGAATTTTCTCAGGCCAATGAAAGCTTCCACCTCGAGAATTGATTGATGTTTTATTTCCTTGTCGTAACGAAGACTTCCTATTTAAATTTGAGTAGTCCATTATATCGAAATAACTTTGAGTTGTTGGAGATTTGCCGGTCAATTTTGACACATCAAAATCGGAATATAATAGATCTAAATTTGAGCTTGACAGCTTTCCACTCTTAACTTGGCTGTATTTGTCGCTTAAATATTTCTTCTGTTGTTGTTGTTGCTTGATGACATTCGATGACTTCTCATTGTGAGCCGATGAACTGTTGCTGTAGCTTCGATTAAAACACTTGCCAACAAACTCATAAATATTATTAAAGTTTGATGTGATTTGTGTCTGTTGTGCAGGTGGTGGCGGTGGCTGCGGTGGTTGTTGTGTGGGTGTGAGAGTTCTAGACGACTCAAACAAGTTTTTCTTACGTTGATCACTTATGGAACTGCTATTCAAATCATCATCCGATTCAATATCACTACTACTCATTGTTGTCTTATCTTCACCACCCACAATTCGATCGTCATTGGAGAATCTCTTCCGATCGCTCATATAATTATAATGTGGAGCGCTTTTAATTGATGCATTCGATCCATAAAGTTTATCACGTCCATTCATATTTGAATTGCTGCTGTTGTTGCTATACTGTGAGTTGCCACGTTGATAGTACGAACTGCTCGTGCTGTTGTGAAGTTTATGATGATTATTCAGATATTGTTGTCGGCGTTTTTGAAAACGAGAAGAATAACTTTTCGATCTTATGTCACATTCTGAGTGGGCAATACTACGATCCATATCGCTTTCGCTGCTTGACGATGATGAGTCGACCATATTCAATGGATTATAACTTAAACGGCGAAGATTTCGTGCTCTTATGCTTTTCGGCTTATATGTTATAATGTTTCTCGGTTTATGAGCAAGCAATTGACCTTGACTTGGCAAAATATAATTTCTGTCATTCTTCTCTTCATCAAGCGATCCAGTTTTACGAACTTCGCCACCTTTAGTATTGTTGCTACTCATCATTGGCTTTATAACACCTGATATTGTCGTTATTGTCGTCGGTGACTTTATTTCTAAATTCTCTGTGAATGACATCGACCTTTGTCTTGGACCGGTTTGAAATGTTTCGTCATATTTTCTTGCTTGATTTAAGAATTGTTGGTTGGCAAACATCCTTTTCGTAGGTGAAATGAAAGCTGATCTATTGCTGTTAATGGGATTGTAGTTGAAGAATAAGCCACGGGATGTTGCTGTGCTTTCTTGGGGACTATAACTATTGGGTGTTGTCTTTTGAGAGTCCTTTGGACTGTAAGACTTGTCGGAAGCTGTTGAGCGTCTATCCAAAGGCGAGTAATAATCGCGGGTTGAAGATGAAGACTTCTTCACTGTATTGTCCAAGTCATTTGTAAGCTTCTTAAAATTAGCCATTGTTTTCACAGATCCCTGTGACTTTAAATTATTTTGAAGCAAAAAGTTTTCGCCGAAGAGCGTTTCCGCAGAATCGGTCTTTTCAAGCTCATTAAATGCTTGCAAAAAATCCAAGTTCAAAGCGTTTAGCGTTTTTTCAATGTCAAGTAAATTTTCGCCAATTAAATCGCGCGTCTTTTTATCATAAACACGCTTGTCAAGTGTTGATGTGTTAAGATCAATTGAAAATGGTTTACTTAATATTTCACGAGACTTTTCAAAGCAAAAGTCCGACGTTTTCTTATCAAAAATTGGAATTTTAATGTCACGTGAATTGCTATCACGACAACTTTCAATTTCCGTCAATGAACGGAATCTCTGTATTTGTTTTGTGTGTGTTTGTTTGTTAAAAACCATAAATAATAAACGAAAAAGCATTCAAAAACAAAGACAAAAAACATCAAAAAAAAACCGAAAATACATAAAAATTGTGCAAATTTTTCGTGTTGAGAAATTCAAGAAATGTTTTGAGAATGAGAAGAGAAAAAAAATCACAAACGAATTGATTAGTTTATTAGTTTGTTACTCTCATATTAATGTTACTTATTTAATGGGAATAAGTTGACAGAGGGTTAAATCATTTAAAGATCTACAGTTGAGTTACTAAAGTAATCTGAGAACTTCACACAGATGAGAATTTGTAAGTCGCAAGGAAGAGAAATGAAGTCACACATTTTAAGAGGGATTTTATTATTTTTGAGGGATTAAGGGATTCAAAAATTAATTTCCTACCCCATTTAACTCAATTAAATCTACATAACTTTAAGAAAGATGCAGAAGTCAGTTGGAAATGTGACAATAAATAAATGAAAGGAAAGTGATTTGCAATGATAAACTTACTTGTAAGTCTGGCACGTTTTTCGCTTCTTCGCTGAAGTTCCTTCGATCTTTTCCAAGATAACTCATTCCATGTTGATTCATGGAACTACTACCACCACTCAACGTCATCAAATGTTGTCCATTATCTTTATCATGATTTGATGATGAATGTGTGAGATTCGGAAAACGGAAACTGAACTTTCGTCTTGGACTTTGTGTCGATGAGCTTTGATCGAGGTCTGTCATTGATCTGTTTAATGGTATTTAAAATTTCAACAACTTTCTTATGTAATCTTTACATTATCTTTACCTTGCACTCATCTCATTCGCAATTTCAATTGCTTGATTGAGTATTTTCTCATCCTTGACGGAGATTGGCTTCACAGTTGATGCTTTCTTTTTACTTTTGTATGTTGCGACTGTAAATAAACAAGAAAGAGAACACTTGAGATTTTTTTCTTTTTCTTTTTAAGATAACGACAAACACTTACCAGCCGTCATGCCACTTGCTATAGCATTGCCACCCGAACTCTTTCGACTCAATTTTGAATTGATTTCAGTCAACTCATTTCGTTTGTTGACATTTTCAAAGTTTGGTGTTAATGGTGGATTATTGAGTGACGCAGATTCGCCACCCCCACCACCAGATGACGTTCCTGTTGTCATTGAACGAAACATAAAATCCATTTCATCAAGAAGCGATGGTCCAAAATCAAAAACTTTATCGTTCTGCATCATCTCATCGTCAGAGATTTCATGATAATCATGAGATTCTTGTTTATCCCAAACTTTCTTTTCCTGTTGTGGCAGCTGCTAATGGAAAGCAAATTTCTTATAAATTATTCAACAACAAACTGAAATATGAAAATCTTACAACAACAAAGTTCTTTGCCATTTCCGTCGTCCATAATTGATGATCAGATTGTGCAAAAGGATTCGACTCATTAAAATGTCCATTACTAGAAACAATTGTTGAGCTTAATCGTTGAAAATCACCAGATAACAATGTAGCCGTTTCAATATTATTGTGCGATCGTTCATGTTGTTGTGCATTTGATGATGGAATTAAATTGGAAGATTCCGAGAAGTAGGCACTGCCTGTTTGTGTTGAATCGGGTGATGTTGGCGTTGGAGGGAGTAATAAAGGTGTCTGCTCTAAATCTTCTGAAGGTTTATATGGTGTTACAACTTGCCGTGGAAGTTTATTGTACGTTTGGGAATTAGATATAAATGCAACATTACCAAAATAAGCTCCATCAATACCAACATGTCCAGTGTGCTTCAAATCGTTTTGTGGACTCGAAATCATGTCAGTATTGAGTTTTCTTTTACTGTTGCGCTCTAAAGTGTTACGAATAAATGAACCACCAACACTTCCATGGTGATTGTTGTTCATTGATGATGATGATGACGATGGAAGACTCTCGAGATGTGCAACGGTATTTGCTGGATTAAATAATCCAACTTTGCCGGAGTTAAGGACACCAAGCCAATATGGTGAACTGGTGTTTTTATCTAGAACTGTTATAATCTCACCTTGCCGATATGCCAAATAATCTTTCTTGATTTCAGCAAATTGTGTGACAGTCTTAAGTTGTTCTGGTTTCATATCCGGAAGCAATTGATAAATTTCGGAGAATTTTGGACGTTTCAATGGATCGTGATTCCAGCACTTCAACATTAACATGTAATATTCCTTTGGACAACATTCGGGTTGTTCGAGTCTTTGAAAATTCGGTTTATCGATTGCTTCAAGAATTTGATGTCCGGTAAATGCTGGCCATGGTTGGAAGCCATAAGAGAACATTTCCCATAAACAAACAGCGTAAGCCCAAACATCAGACGCACTGGTAAACTTTAAATAGTTTACACATTCAGGAGCACACCATGCAATCGGAAGTTTTAGATTAACATTGAAGTTTGTTTTGTAATAATCTTTGCCAACTCCCAATGCACGTGAAAGACCAAAATCTGATATTTTCACTTTATTCTTATTGAACACTAAAATGTTTCGAGCAGCAAGATCCCTGTGAAAGTTTAAGAATTAGTTTTTTTTTTCTTGCTATTGTTTAAAGTTAATTTCACCTGTGGATAAGGCGTTTGGATTCTAAATACATCATTCCATTGCAAATTTGTTGGGCAAAGTCGCATAGAACTGGAACTGTTAAGAATTTCACACGCAAGTCGGAATCTTTCAAACATTCCAATAACGATCTAAGATGGGCAAGTTCGGTGACCAACATTAATGAGTCAGTCGACAATACGACGCCATATAGTCGAACAATGTTTTCGTGATCAATTGAGTGCATTATGGCGGCTTCTTTAAGGAACTCCATTGGATTGCTTTGCATTCTATCACGACACAAACATTTTATTGCCACTTGAATTCTTTCATTTCCATTTGTCCACACGCCTTGTTGAACAATTCCGAATTCACCGACTCCCAACTGTTTGTTGACGCAAATTGCATCGAGAGGAATAATGTGTTTGTTGTTGGGAACTTTATTTGGAGAGCTGGGCACTTTTGATAATACTTCGACAACAGGAGGCTGATACGTGCACTTGAATTTAATTAAAATTTTAATTACGCACTGATTATTCTCATCTTCTCTTTTTATACAAATAAAATTAAATTCTACTTACGTCATCTCGTTTGGGTGCCTGCAAGAGACGTTTTATTTTACTCAAATAACCTTGAGAGTAATATTTGTCATGGAATTTATGAAGTCGACGGATTTCAGGTCGTGAGAATCCGATGCTTTTAAAATCATTATCCGTTGCGTACTTGAGTTGGTGTATAGCAGTTATTTTTAGCTCATTTCTGAAACGGGAAATATTGCACGTTAAAAACATCGCTTTTTTATTGATGTTGTTGTTGTTTCATTCATTCCCTTTCCCCGACGTTTTCTTCTTTTCATTCAAACAATTCTGTCTAAATAAAAGTCCCTTCTCATGTTTCATTGAACTATTTTTTCAATCAATGGATTACGAACACATCTTTACAAACGCGGAAGAAAAAATTGTCTTATGAACATTGTTCTTACTTTAAGCTAGAATAATACTGCTGAAGCTCTGCTTCAACCAGAAACTCATATAAATCTGGCATTTCTTTCCTTTCATCCATCTTCGATTGATTTTTTTTCCTATTTTGATTTTTTCTGTGAACATTTGAACGATTTTGGTGGTTCGTGCATTGAATCTGTTGTAATCTTTAATTTTTTATAATTATTAACACTAGAACATTATGGTTAAATGTATATGGAGTAGATAAATGCACTCTGAAGCGTGATTTAATTTATTAACTCACAAGAGTCTGAATTCTTTAAATAAAATTTTTAGCTCATACAATTTTGACAATCGTCGAGATTTCATTTGTCCGACTGTCTATTCATGGTGAATAAAATTTTCACCAAATTATTTAAATTAAAATTAAAAACCTATAATATCTGCGATTCCGAGGATGACATCTTCATATCGAATGATGAGACTGTGCCTTAACATATTTTCTTTACACACAACAAAGTATTCATTTATTAAATTGCTTTTAAAGACTTTAAAGCAGATTTATTTACATTTCGTTTTATAACGACTTTCTAAAGAAAGTACACATTCATTATTTGCAATTGAAATTTCCTTTAAAAATTAAATGTTTTTAGTCATGTCTGTTCTGATAAAATCAAAGCAGAAAGCATGAGAATGTATCTGATAATTTTGCATAATATTTGAGCGATATATGGTTTAAATTTTTTAAAAAATTTCGAGTGGGTACGAAGCTAGGGAAAAAATTTTGTTTTTCGGAATTCGAAAATAACATTTCTGAGTTACATCATTGTTTCACTTCTCCCACCCCAAAACATCAAAATCATAATCTCTAAATATAATGTTTTTTTAATTTTAGCCTTAGTTTGATGTATTAAATAGAAGATTGAAATTTCTAGAGAAAGATATATCAAAAGTTCACAACATTGCGCATTAATTTTTCTTTTAAATATTTTGGTTTGCTGAGAAATACAAAATCAAAGAACGACCGCACCCAACATAAACATCGTTGAAATAATTCAGTTTATTATTAAAAAGTCTCTTCCTAAAAATCAAAGATGAATTATGGAAGAAAAACACCATCATCATACCGATCGAATCATTCGGTACACTCTCATGCAACTACTGGGAGGTGAGTGTTTTAATGATTTGACTCATCTCTGAAGTGAACAAAAAAATTTTAATATTTAGATCAGGGCTTTCGAGGTCAACTAAGTCACTAAGGATTCCCTGGTATCAAAGACCATTAGTTAAAAACAATCAGTACATTAACATTCAGAAAGGTGCCATCATAATGGGAACACTTTCAATTGTAAGTTGGACCTGATAAATCAAATTTGTAAATTTAACTTTTTGATCCCTTTTCAGTTTATTGCACTTTTCACTATTGGATTTGGAATTTTTGACTTGTACTGTTATTCAATGGCAGCTCCAGGATCAACTCATTATGGCTATTATATCATCTCCTATGAGTTTGTTTATGTTGGGAACAACCACGTTAGAAATGTTTTGGTGGTCTTTGCACTATTTTCGGTACTAGCGGCTGCTGTTATATTTGTTACCAGCATAATGTTGATTGTGGCATTACGAAAGGTAATTAAATTGATATGTCTTTAGTTTTTTTTATTAACTCATCATCTCCTTTTCCAATCCATTCATAAAAATATTTTTACATTCTTTGGTAATCGATAAACACAAACATTTATGAAACTTTCAAAATTCAGGTTCCAAAGCTTAACCGTCGTAATTTAACAAAACGAAAGGTATTTTGTGTGTCATAAAATTTTATCGTTCTTTGTTTTGATTTTCCCATTTTCATCATTTGATTTGATTTTGTGTGAATTTTTCTCATCGTTTTAATTTTCGGTGTTCAGATATTGAAATTTTGTTATCAATTTTGAATTATTTTTATTTTTTCTTAACAGGAATATGAATCGAAAGTCGTTCCATGGTTGTGGAGCTACGGAGCTTTCCTCGGATTCCGTTTCTTTGCATTTTTATTCTTCGCGATTGTCAACGATTTGATCTTTTTCTATAATATCGCAATGACAATGCTGTGGATTATTATTATTGCTGTCTCGATTTACGGCTGGCTTGTCGTATATTCATTGTATCTTGAACTCTCTAATTTGACGAAACTCGAAGATTTAGCGCATTTAAGGGTAAGAATCTAAAGGTCTTTAATCTTGAAAACTCTTTTTAATCTCATTGATATTTACAGATGGGAACGATGCAGTCTCTGAATGCATCAGCAATGCAATCGCTGGCGGGATCTCGTCCCACAACTCCGCATAGCACCGTCTCTACAATGCCAGTCTCATCGATCCATTAAAAATTCAAACAAATATTTTGCACAGAAAAATGAAAACGTCCGTAGAGAATCTCACAACATATTAAAATTAAGAATTTATGAAAAGACAAGAAGAGAGAATATCAAACAAAATTCCGTCCAAAAAGGAAAATTTATTTGTAAAAGTAGTAAAATAGTTTTATAAGAATTTACAACTGTAAGATGTCAGGCTCTGCCGTTCTTTGTAACAGAAATCATCTGGTGACTTACAAATTTAATGCCTTCTACTCTCATGTAACTCATCATTGTTTAAAAACAAAATAAACAAGAAGAATTTTAATTATAAAAAGAATTTTCCGTTAATTTAAAATAAATATTCATCCATTGGAAAGTCGCATGTCAGCTTGTTGGAAAACGAGTACAAAAATCGATAAAGACAACGGTCGCATGCGATATGCTCTGAAAATTGCAAAAAACTAATTTTATTTTATATTTTCATATGAATGCAGCTTTCGATCTCACTAGAGAAATGAATAAACTTTTACATCATCTTGTGTCATGTTTCAAATGTTCCGAAATAAAATTTATGTGTGCAGCGTGAAAATAAGATATCCCATAATTTAAGAACGTAAGTATGTTAGATATACCTTGGGAAAACGCTCAGAATTTTCCATGTGAAAAATCGTCTCTCTCTCACTTTCACTCTCACAGAAAATGCAAAAATTCTCTTCATGTGGAAAGCGTGTAGTGCTGCTGTGAAGGGAAAAAAGTTTTCTTCTCAACGTTCTCAGTTTGTCGTTATCATTTCGTGGCAATGTTGTGTGTCCATCGAGACGCCACAAAAAGAAAATTTTCACACAAGAAGATTGTAGAGTAGAGAAAAACAGTAGAAAAGAAGTGAAAAACTTATGATTTGTTTAACTGATCTAATTTGGTAAAATTCTCTTGATCTGAAAATTTATGTTCAACAAATGCAAAAGGAATTTTTTATGTGATGATGAAAAAAATGATTGCAAAGCGAGAAGAGAAAAGAAAAAAGTGCTTGCAAAAATGAAAATGGGGGAAAATAATTTTCTTCCATCCTGAAGCATTGTTTTCCATTGCGTTAGAGAAGAAGGAAAAAGAAAGCGGTGAATAGTTTAAGAGATGACAAAACGAGAAAAGTATGAAGCACGCATAAGTGTCCTAATTTATGTTGTTTGATAACAAATTGCAATAGTAACGAGCATAACATAAAAAAGTATAAAACCAAAGCAAGATTATCATTGGAAAAATCATTAAACATAAAGGAAAAGCATACAATCCAAGTAATTAAAAGAGAAAAAAAGTAACAGAATGCGTTAAGCATCGCAAAAAAAGCATCTTGAAGAGTAGAAAATTCTTTGGGAAAATATTTTCCTAAGTGAACACACACACACACACACACACACACATAAACACAAGTGAAAAACGAACATTGTAGAATTGAAAGGATTTAAGAAAAGATTTCTTTTTGTAGCCTTATGCAGAAGAAGGAATAACTTTCCATTAAATTTTATAACTCCAACCAACTCTCTTTGTTTGTCGATAAAAGCAAGCTAAGGATGAGTTTATTGATTGTGAAGAGAAAGTGGGGGTGGGTGTGATATTGGTGATGTGTAATATTTATGAAGTGAAACAACAAAATAAAAAGGAAAAGAAGCTTTAAAGTGAATATTAATTATTTCATATAAAATTATGAATAATGGGCAAAAGAACTTTTCAATAAATTATCATTCTAATTCAAATAACTCTTGTTGAAATCATTCTTCAAAGTTACGCTTCATTCCACAGCACTAATTAATTAATTTACTACCGAAGAAACAGTGAAAAACTGTTCTCATGTTAAACAAAAATTATTACGATGTTTATGATGGAAATGATGATATTTACGTGATTCGTGAGCTATATAAATGAGATGCAAGAAGAAAAATCAATTAATTAAAAATCTTTCACAGACGATTTTCAATTACACATAAAAATATTTAAAGAGAGCGCCAAGTGCCGTAAAAATAGCGCCTCGATAGATCTCATTGAGAATTCAGAATTGACGGAAATAAAAGCAAAGGAATGGCATTTATTACAAGATTAAATCATTCTGAATATAATTTACAATCAAGTTAAGACAATTAGTGTATGAAGGCGTGAAACTGTTCGCCTTCTCCAAGTGAAATATTTAAAATCATTTCGCTTAGAAAACGAAACGCTCAATCTAAAGAACTGGCAAACGAAAAATAAAACTTTTCATACCTTCGGGAGAAGAATAATAAATTATAACGAAATAATATTTACACCGTTTGGTGAATGAATAGAAGAGTGCCAAGTGACAATACTACTTTTTGATAAGAAAATTATCATTAAAATAATTAAAGCCCGCGCTTTTTCGTGGAAAAAATCGAAACCGAAAAGCGGAAAATCTTTCTCGTGTCATTAGAATGGGCTGCGGGCAATCAAAAAAAATTCATTTGTATCCGCGAAAGAACAAAAGCAAATCAAATGGAAAGAAAGGGCACGGTAAGTTATACTAAAACTAATACATATTTGCTACATTACATCCATTTTATTTATTTCCTCTTTTTTGTGTCTTTCCTTCGTCGTTATTCATTACAAAGTTTGTTGTACGTAGGGTGCTTCCTTTAAATATATTTCCATTGAGATTACCTTGAAATGAAGGGAAGTATGTAGTGAATATGAAATTAAGGTACGAATGAGAACAATAAAAAGCAAGCTTTCATTTGTCGGGAAAAAGCTTGAGTAGCTCAATCTAATAAAGAGTGTTAAAATCCACTTGATCGGTTTGTTTTTAAGTAGTTTTTAATCACAATCTTTATACTTAAAATAAATACTCTCAATTTCTTAATGCTCTTTCGCTTCACTTCTTTTTTCATCGTTTTATTCCCATCCACTTAAATTCGACAAAAGACGAAAATGAAAAACTTTCATCTTCGCTCGAATGCTGCTTTACGAATGATTTCTACTAGAAAAGGAGAAACAGATAAACTTTTCATTTCCAACTATCTCCTCCAATTCATATCGTTGTTTTGTGAGATTTATGATTCAGTACACAACGAGGCCGTTGAATGTTGAATTCTATTTTATTTTCTGTTTCTGTTTATTTAACATGTCCTTTCTGAACTCTCGTGTATTCATCGTTGCCAAACACTTTAATTTTATTCTCCCACTTACTTGTTCTCTTCTTTAGTAAAAGCTTTCTTTTCATAGTTGTTGAGTGGAGAATGAAAGTGGAGAATTCACTTGATGAGACATGTTGATACGACTGATTGAGCCTATAAATGAATGCAACTAACATGTCTTTAAATTACCGTCATGTAGACCCACTGCTTATGAGACTATTACGCTTCCATGTTGATTCACACAAATAGAAAACACATCCGTGTTGTGTGTTGAGGAAGAAGAAGAGTGCTTAAGGTTCAAAGGAATGGAAGGTTTCAAGTGTCCCAGAGCGATTCATGATGAAAATCAAGGGATGAGAGATACAAACAGAGGTTTGAAACGAGAAGACAGCTATTCAAGAACGTACTAAGCATTCATAAATATTTGACGATTGAGACATTGAGATTAAGATACAACAGCGCAACGCATACATTTATTCAGTGATACTTTAAGTGTTCAAAAGTGTTTCTACGGTATCGAGGAAATTTTTAAAATTTAAATGGAATTTATCATCACCAACCAACGACTGAAACAACAAAATATTAATATGTAAATTTTTTGCCACCTGAGAAGTGAGACAGAAGCTAAATCGATTCATATTTTTATCCCCAAAATGCGTAGGTGTTATCGTTTTGATATCGAACGAATCTTATTCATCTCTTACGCTTGTTGCTTCCAATCGTATCATCATACAGAAACTAAGCCCAACTTAACCCTTTAAACTCAAAGGTATGCTTTATGCATATCATAAGCTTTCAATTCAAAATGCCCTCCAACGTTTACGTCAAAGCTTTCTGATTTACACCGAGCGACGAAATGAATACTTTTTCGTTCAAATCCTATTAACATTTAACTGTATACATCTAAGTCATCAAAAAGTAATTCAAAGGAAGGAGTTGGGGAATCATTGACAACGACTCTAAGGAGACGCATCATACTTTCATTCCGCCTTCCCCCTAGTACGAACTAGATACTCTCATACACAGAACGCACAAAGGTAATCATATTTGACGATGTTGAAAAAAGCATTAGTGTTTATAAGAGATAAAAGCTGAGCGAGGGAGATGCAGTCACTTCAATGAAAAGTTTATGATTTAATGTTAGTAATACATTTTCATTTAACAAGGGCGTACAAGCCTACGACCTATCTACCTAGGTTCACTTAGAGTAGGTCTCTTGTGCTGATCAATCGTTTTATTTGCAGGCTCTCTTAATAAAGACTGATGACTCTCGTAACCTTTATCACATTTATTTCTTATTTATGGAGAAAATCTCCATTTAGTTACAACATCAATTTACATTGTTGAAATGTTGTGTTCCACCTTGTTCAATCTTTAAATTATCGCTCATGTTTTCATTAAATTCAATTACAGTACAACTTTTAGCTTCTTCTTCATTCTCATCAATATTAAGCTCCTTCCTTCGAAACTACCTACTCATGAATAAATATTTTCATATTTATATTCGTAAGCGAGCAAAGATTTAAGTGACATGAAGGAAAATTTTCTAATCTATTACGACAGTACGCATCATAACAACGCGTTTTTAAGTATTTTCCACTTAATTTGTAATCCTTGCCAATATTCACATAATGTACACAAACAAATCGATGATTTTAGCTTTTCAATAATATTGAACGAAGCAAATTTTTTGTTCATCTCTTTCGTTTATGAAATTTTCTTTTAATTTTCTTCTTAATATTTTCCCATAAAAATTGTTTTCGTGTAAACAAACCAACCGAAGTTTGTTTGGACGTAATGCCTAGACATCAGATGAGTAAAAAAATCACAGAAAAAGAAAGAAAAAAATCATCACAAAAGTGTGTCAAATTTTTCAACTTGTTCTGATTGGTTTTTGTTTTCATAATTCAAAAGGTTGGAAATAAATCAATAAGTTAAGTCATATGAGAGAATGCTGAGACGTCACATCAGTTAATGATGTGAAAAATATTAATGCTAATCCCCAAGACAATTTCATGCTACGACATTCAAAATTAATGCGAAGAATTTTTTGATATTCATATTCAGATGAATTCCGACATGATTGACTCAAACAAGAATTTAATATAATTTTATTTATCTCATTCAACATTATGAAATTGCCATAAATTTTTTGATTCATTTAAATCTTCTATTATCTCATAACTCTTTTCCTTTCATGTCTCCGAGCTTGCTAAATTGTAAAATGAACTTTGAGAGCATGAAACGTGCGAATAAATTTTGACGTTTATCGATTAAGACCCAAAAACCTTTAGAATTCAGAAACAAGAAAAATATTTTTTCTCAACACTCTCATGTCTCATAGCTCTCGTTTTCACGATAACTGAGTGGCTTTCCATCAAAATGAAATTTACATTATGTGTCAAAGAGAACAGAAAAATTAAATCTATTGAGGAAAACATTGAAAAATGTTTCCACATAAAAGGAACGAGGAAAACGAGTGAAATGGAAGCGTGGAACAAAATAAGATAAAAAATTTGTTGATTTCATTGTGAAGGTTTTCTTTTGGCATTATGGGAATAAACATCATTTGTGATATTACTCATGAGAAGAAATAATAAAAAGAATCATTAGAGAAGATTGAAAAAGATTGTTTTAAATCTCATATGTAATGGCCTTATTAATGAGCGCGCACTGGCAAACGAAATTTGCGATTCGAGTCGAAAAAATCCCCGTTTCATAATATTTAACGACTAAATAAATAAATGAACACAAAATAAATGTTGGGAATATTTGATCGACATCAGCGGCGTAGGCAAAATATGAAACATTAAACCATTCTTACGTTTTAAAAACGAAACAAATTTTGCAATCGATGCCAACAAACAACTGTTGTTATGTTGTTCATCTTGTTTAAGTAGTTTCATGTCACTGATAAAGAATATTGTCCCACTCACCAGGGGATATAAATAAAATATTTTTGATGGGTTTTATTTATAAAAATAACTGTAAACGAAATCCGATGGAATTTTTTTTTCTCTCCTTCTGAACACGTTTCGGAGGAAGTTGGAAGAAAATAGAAAATTTCGACCAACGAAATTAATTTCTCTACTATAATACTTACTTAACGTTCTCATAGCGCCAAAGATAGAGAAGAAGAGGAAAAGTGGAATCCAGCCAATAAAATCCGACATGATTTGCGAAGAGACTTTATGTTTTTAGATCATAAACTGAAAGGAGATAATGATCGTCTTAGTGTGATGTGAGAAGTTTATTCGGAATGAAGAAAAGAAAAGAGAAAGTAAAACATTAAAATGTCTTCTATTGTGATATATGACAATTAAAGCTGCCAGATGATGCGACGACGTTATAATATCGACGGATGAATCGCTTTAATAGCGAACAATAAATCAGCAATAGCTCGATAATCAGTTTCCATTGATTTTCTGTTAGCTTACTGAAATCTCCCGAGTTTTAATATCATCGGCACTCGTCATATAATTTCCAAGATTCATTAAGAACATTAACACTTAATAAATCAACTCTCGGTAATAAAAGAATATTTGATTGCGATTGATCCAATTAATCGGTGTCAGAAGTTATTAATTCAATGATTCCCGCGCCTTGATTTTCTGTGTTGTGTGCATTGTGAGCGTCGTCAACTGTGTAATTTAAAAGCTGAAATTGGCACTGCCTAGCAATAAAAATCGATTTTCGGTCTTCTTAGTTTTGTCGTCGTGAATTTTTCTCGATCATGAAACTCGCAAATCATTATTTTGAGGAAAATAGCAGCAAATAGGAACACAACTCACATCCATCAAACATTCGTCAATACCGCTAATCTCTTCACAATTTTTCATTAATTACTTTTCCTCTTTTCATGTCTACAACTCGTCACAAATTCGTCGCAAGCAGCTGATTTAAAAAAGCGAGACTTTCAAGTGGCTGCTTTGTGTCATATTTTTTCTTTCATGAGATTGCGAGAAATACCTCTTGAAGTGTGAAGTCAAGAGTCGAAGCAATTATCGAAAATCTCTATTCATTTCTAAATAAACATGCTTGTAGGTAGATTAAAATTCTATCGAACTGAAGTGAAAATCATTTTAACATTCACGACTTTACGTCGTCCCTTCATTCAGAAAAAATATTCAATTTTTCTAAACTACATTTTCTCTTTCATCACGTGGAATAAAAAAAGCATCAAAGAGAGATTCATCACTTTACTCGCCTACACATTGGAATGAAGAGTAATACATTGTCAGCATGATAAATAAAAAAAATAAACTGCTCCCTGAAAAAAATATTGAAACGATAGTAGATGGAGAAATAAATAAACAGCAAATGGTGTGATGTCGAAAAGAAAGTCACACTGTGTAGTGAACCGCAAGAAACGATTTCATTTTCCCGCTTTCGTCGGTAACAAAACAATTAACACGTTTTTTCCTTCAATTTAATTTTGTTTTCTTTTTTTGCTTCTTTTCGTTCTGCTACGACCTGTAACATGACTCAGAAACAATGATAGCTAAGTAAAAACTTGAATTTATGTAGGTATAGGAAAAGTTCACATAAATTTTCGGCCATAAAATTTGTTTTCATGTAACGCATCTCGCTGAGCAAAAAACTAATTAATTAATGATTACATCTTTGTGTGAAGAGGCCTAAAAGGCGAATATATTTATTTGTTTATTTGATGTGGTTTCTTCTCTTCATTTTCTTTTCTTTCTTCTTTTTTATTGAAGTTACTCAGGCGGTTAAAGAAAACCGAAACTTTTCTCGGGGGAAACTCGCGTTGCGTTTAATCTTTAATGAAAACAATTTTCTTTTTCTCAGATTTTTTTCATGCGACGACACCGCGTAATATTTTCTATATGTAACTTATATAGTCACATTTACTGCGTCTGTCATTACATTTAAACATTTTATTCATAAATTTAAAAGAATTTCCGGAAAATTTCAAGGTCAGCTTTTCATTTTTCTCTTTACAGACACGCGATAATCAAAATTTTCACTAAAATATTCAATTGAATTTTCTAGTAGAATTTAACTTTCATGAATAAAAACGAATCATTAACTAAATAATGAAAAATTAAAGTAGAATAATTTATGAAAATTTCATTATTCAAAAATATTTCTTTACCCTCATTACAGTCATCTCCTTGTAATTAAATATACGAAAACATTACGTGTGACTGCTTTTATCATTTTTTGATGGAAATTAATTTATTATTGCAACACAGAAAACAAAGAAACATCTCGTTTATGTTCCCGTAAACACTCATCATATATATTTTAAATAAACTTCTTGTGTTCAACGTCACCAATAAAAAATATTACTGTCGTGTGTCATGAAGAAAATTTAATGATTTTTACGTTCGTGGGAAATTTGAGAAGCTTTTCTCTATTTCTCATAAAGATATAAAACATCGAAAGGGATATAAAACAAGACAAATGTTCATTATTTATGTACACCTGCCGTCACAGTTTCTCTTTAATCAGCTTGAAGAGAATTTGAAAAACGTTGAGTGTGAGTAAGACTTGAAGATTAAATTCGAAAATTCTTTCAGAGTGAATGAGGCAAGAAAGTCTATGACGGAGAACATGTGTAAGGCTTAATTGCTCCCCATCATTATAATGAATTTTTTTCTTGAACTGCTATAACTTTAGTTTGTTTGTTTATGTTCAACATATGGATGAATGCAACAAGTCTTTTATTCAAAAACATTTTTATATTCACTTATTTAGATTGTTCTAATTCAGGAAAGAAACGAAATTTATTCTAACTTTCAAAATATATTCCTAAAGTTAAGGAGAGAATGCGCAACAAGTCACAAGCGTTACCGTGACTACACGAATTGAATTATATCCGAAAGCTGCTACTATAAAAGTTATTTTGCATGTTCACTGTTTTCCCTCCCTTTTCACTCACTTCCTGTGGTGTTTTAGAATTTTGTTTCTAATTCACATCAGAACTTAGCAAAGCGTACCCGAGTAAAGGTCAATCTAACGATTTTCTGAAATGCTATTTTCCTCCCTTCAGGCTATTTTAATATTCTTTTTTTTATTTATTTTTCAGACGACGGGACGGAAGACGACGATGAAGAGCACACTGAGGGACGTGAAAGTAAGCATTATTAATCCACTAAATCCGTTTAATTTCCATTTAAAACTTCAAGAAAGCGAACCAGTAAAGTTAATGAAAAATTTCTCATTCCAACTTTGTTTTCTTCTTAATTAAATTCAACCCAAAAACAAACGACAAACCAACCATGCTTTGCTTCAAAAACTCTTGAACTATCATAGAACATGATCAACAACAAAAAGAGAAAGAGAAAATCGATGAAGAGTTGCAGCAGTCATCGGAGGGTAACTCGCCGGAGCCAAATAGCAATGAAGTTATTATTCCAATTCTAAAGAAAAATGGACCACTCTTACAAAGCCAGTAAGTCATTGAACGTTTAAATGAAGCTTGATTACAAGTACTTTATGCCAATCCCCCACCCTGTTGCAGGGATATTTCCAGTAGTCAGCAAAACTTTTTTAAAATGTTGGATCAGAAGATTGAACAAGGTCCAGATTATGATTCCAATAGTGAAACTGAGATTGCAATTGAAGAAGCGCGTCTCAATTCACTTGTACAACATTGGGAAAGTGCCAGTTTGTCAGCGTCAATGTGTTCATCAACTAGTCGATCACTTCAAAATACTCCAGTTCGACATGCATCATTAAAGTAATTATTAAGCTTCTTAATGGATCTTTGAACTTCATTTAATGAAATTTTTATCTTTTGATTCTTTTAGTAGCAGACAGTCTCAAATCAGATCACAATTTCAACAGCCATTGAGTGCGGAATTACTTTCACAGCAACAACAAATGATTAAGCAGTTGCAACAACATCAAGCAAACCAAACAGCATCCATCAACAGTCCAAAACGTGTAGAACTTAATGCTAATAATCGTCAACAGCTGCTTACACAAACAATTATTCATCAGACATATGGCGTTCAACCACAACCGTCATTACCACAAGCTCATATTCTCGCACAATATCAGAATCAACAACAAACGACACTCTCTTCGAACATGCAACTTCGACAGTTATCAGCATCTTCAGTCATTCCATCAAACTATTCACCGCCAATTCCCGGTGCCACAACAAATGTTGCCAATCCTAATCGTAATCTTGCATGTCTGCAAATGTCATATTATTCGCAGACCCCACACTTTAGTGACGCGATTCATTCACCGCAGGTATAAATATATGAATGAGAATGATAATTTCCTTTGTTCTTGATGTTGTCACTTAATTATCTGTTGTCACCTTGTTATCCAATTCTCAGGTTCAACAAATACAGTCTGAACCACGTTTTCCACCTGCAATTAGTGTTAATCGACTTGCGCCTCAGGTAAATCCATCAACTCACCTTGGCGTGCAAGGAAACATTACAAAATAAATTTCTGGTCTATTTTAGGTTCAGCGTCAATTAAGAGAAACTCAAGAGCTGATAAAGGATTGCACGCCATTGTATGGCACTTATCAGCCAGCTATTAATTCGCCAGGCTCTTCAACAGCTACACAAATTCAAATACGTTCCCAAACACGTACGGGTCTAAGACGACCAACGCTTGAGACTCAGTACTCCCAAGAGTTATCGTGATATTTAGAAAATTAATTAGACAAAAAACTTTCTGTTATCGTTTTCGTTTTTCTTCGTCTTTTAATGCTTCGTTTAAACACTGTTCTTACGATCTTTTACCCAGAACTTATATTCTGTTGTGTTGTGTAGAAGGAGGTGGCAGTGAGAAGAAATTTATGCAATGTTCATTTTCATCTTTCGATAACTTACGAAGTCAGAGAAAATTAAATTCAATTAGCTTCTCGCTATGAAAAGGTTTGGGGCGGTGTTGTGTTGTGTCTGTTGAAAAGTCAAAAAGAAAAAATTATATCTATATAAATTGTGAAATTGAAAAGTATTGTGTAGCTTTCTCGACAGATGAAAACTCTCCTTCGACTCGAACAACATAAAATAATTCTTAGAAGATTATTTCGAGCTGATAACACCTTTCATCTCGTTTCCTCTTTGTCAATGAACTTTTTTTTATATATTGCGAAGGAATAAAAGGCAATCAACACGAAAGTTCACAAAAACTTTCGATCTAATGAAAACACTTTTCCCGCAGAACGCTACGGCAAAAGGCAAAACTTTTAATCGTAAGTCAAAACAAAGTTTTTAAGATGTAAAATGTATTAAAAGTAAAGGGAAATATCAACATTGTGGGAAAGTTCTTTTTGTGTTTCCTTTTTTCGTGAACAAAAAACCGCCCAGCTTTCCACAATGAAAACTCAACTCCTCAACTCTAAACTTTTTTTATCAGTTAAAAGCAATCTGAAAGAAAAATATAAAAATATTCTCGAGATACATATTTGAATTCGAATTTTGATTATGGAACCAATTAAAAACAAAGAGTAGATAATGTGCGATAAGTTTGATACCTCATTCGAAATTCCAAATGCAAACGATAAATAAAAACAGATTATCGAACTTTACACAAACGGATGAACATAAGAATAACAATTTTATGTACTGTTTACAACATCATTTATTATCACTTTTTAAAAACTCCCATTGAGAAAACTTTGATAACTTTATGCAAACATGATTAATATCTAAACAAAAGCAAACAAACAAAAATCTTGATAACATGAAAAAAGAAAATCTTTATAGACTGAAATAATTTTTGTAGGAATGAGAACAAGAATTTGTACGTATGGTTAGACTTTTTTCAATTAATCTACTTATTATCAAAATATTTTAAGACACACTGAGAATAGTTAAATTGTTTTTATTTCCATTAGAGCAGCACTAAACCTTCGTCTCGTTTTTATAAAATTCTATTTATGAAAAATGGTTTGAGATCAAAAAAGTTTGAAGCCCAAAATGAAAGCTTTTGTTGAAAATTTGTTCGCTTGAGATTAATGAAGATTAATAGAATCTCATCTCACAATATTATAAGTACAATATTACTTAGTACATTATCTAGATAATTAAACAAAACAAAAATCTAAATTGTCTACTATTTTAATTGACTTCAAACTTTTCTGATCTCATTCGAAAAAATGTTCTAATGTAGATTTTATTTAACTTTAAGAAGAAATGGAGTAGTACTTAAAATTCAAAACATGATTATGTACAAGAAATAATTAAATAAGTAATAAATACAATAGTTTTGTCTACTCCATGCCAAACCACAATAAAATGAAGAACTCTGAAATTATCTCATACAACAAAATATGTTTAAAATAAATCATATGTAGCTGAAAATTTATTTAAAAGAAAGGTAAAAAATATAATTTAAATTTTAAGTAACAAAACAAGAAATGTTTATGTAAAACTATTAAAATAACATGAACTATACAATGCCATTACACCCTTAACATACATTCTCTCGTTCCCATCCTGAAAGCAATAGAAAAATCTAAATTTTGTGTCGGAGTTTTTCAAATAAGGCGACAACCTTTTAAAAACATGTAATAAAAGTGAATAGCTAGTCATGAGTGTATGAATATAATTAAGAAGGTTAACAAACTACATACCTAGATATCTACTTTTTTCTCACATAAGTACTCAGATTGAATCTAGAAATAAAATTCTTCAACATCTCATTTCTGGAGTTTAGAAACTTTGTCAAAACAACAGGGAAAAGGCATGTCATGTTATGCATATAAATATCTATGTATTTGCAATGAAATGAAAGAAATAAAATATGACAGGGGATTGGACTTCTCAAAGCTTTCATTAACAGATGTTTCTTACAAAATTCCAATAAAAAGGAGATGAATGAGTAAAGTATCATAAAACTTTCTGAATAAATTTCCATTTTTCCCTTCTGTTAATCTGAAGTAAATAAGGAATGAAAAAAGCAAAGCTCATAAGAAAAATAAAGAAATTTTTGATTGTTGTAAGTATTAAAGCCGAAAACAAATCGGAAAACAAAGAAATTCTATATATTGGATGAGATGATGTATGATATTAATAAAAGAAAAAGCATGTGAAATAAAAAAAAGTCATAAATCGTCATAAAAGGAAATTTTAATTAGAATTTATTTTTTCAGAAAATATTTAAA